AAAAAAAAAAAAAAAAGACAAAGAATGCAAAAGCACACTTTTCGAGTCTGCGAGTCCGCTCAACCTCTCTCTCTGTTGAATTGACACTAGAAATTGAGCACTTCGTTATGAACAGGGAGCGAAGGAATCGGGAGGGGGTTCACCAGATTTTCAAGGCAGAATGACGAAGACGAATGCCATCAGGCAAGTAGCCTGGCACGCCTAACCAGTGGATGGCGGCTGAAGCTGGTTTGACTGGCTTCTGAGACGAGTCTTGATTGGTAAAGCCATAGCGGATCCAAGCAGATGGTGTGAAATTTAGCACACCTGGGCGCCACAAATACACGCCGCGTTTGGTGAAACGAGAGCCAACCTCCAGGCCAATCTGAGGCCGCCGAAGTAAGGCCCAGGGGAAATTGAAGTTTGGCGTTGTTTGGCTGTTATCCTCATTTCAAGTCATTGTTTTTATCGCGTGGCATCAGTGCGGATAGCCAATGCATTATTGCTTTGAAGCCTACGCGACTTTGACTATCATGGTTGTTAGATGTAAATAAAACCTGTCTGGGTTGATCTTGGCTTGACACTCGCAAAACAGATTAGAGTCAGAACCCAGGCTACTGACTACTACGTACCTAGATAAGAGCCAGGAACAGGTAAAAGAAAAGAAACATGTGCCTTTGATGATAGCCAGTAGAAAATATGAGAGCAGGCAAGTGCTGCATATCGAAGACGAAATGACCTTGATTATTGTTTCACTTTGCAAGTTTAGTCGACCCTTCTGTCACTCATAGAGTCGAATCCAATTAGGTATTAGCACTTGTCGCTGGTCAACATGGTTCTTCAGCACAGTCGCTTGCTCTTCTTTATCCCCTGGACTCATACTGTGTACGTGGCTGCCGCAGGACGGCAGGACGGCATATCCTTGTTGGGTCTCGATTGGACAAGTTCGCAGGGGGTAACTGTAGCTTTGTGTTCTTTGGCGCATGGCTCAGACCAATCACATGGGCCTGCGCAAAGAGCATTGCATCTGGGACTTGCGAGAGCTTCCATGATGGGATATGAGAGTGTGTTGCAAGCTGACTGCGTGATAATGATGAATCTGGTCGCGTCATCGCCTAGGAGCGATGATGCTACATTATGCGAACACCAATGCTGAGCAGATAGGAATCTTTTGATGGCTTACGGATACTCCATGTACGTATTGGTTCTGATGTTACCTGTTGAGTCTCGTCTGACAATCTGCTCAGAAACCCGACCTCAACCACATGTGTGCAACGATCTCTTATCACCATGGTGTCGTCTGTCTCGCGATGTTGCCCGTATTCGCACTTACGCTTGGCCGACTGGGGCATCGAATTGGTCCGCGTACACGTGAAGCCGCGTCGTACTCTTGGTCTCCAACTCCCCATTCTCGTCGTTTTCGAGTCTTGTTGCAGGTCCCGTTCCGTGTGGATTAGGTAGGTGCCCGAAAATGGATGAGATGCGTGATTGCCCAGCTTCGCACCGATAGTTTTCGTTGGACTGAATCATTTTCGCGACGAAACCTTAGCTTCGCACCATCAATAACGATAAGTTGTTAGAAAGGAAGCGGGGGAAGAGACTGCATTATGTACTGTAGCTTTGAATGCATACAGTGCGGCCCTGTGTGACGAGGATCAACTCGAGCGAGACCAGGGATTCACCCTGCCAGCAAACACGCGTGAGAATGCATTGTCCCAGATATGCGGATGCCATTCAGCTCACACCGAGGTCCACGAAGGGGCCAATCAACATAAGCGCAGTCAACTTTCCTTTCCCCTGGCTTGATTTACTCCTATAACAGATTGGAGATCGAAGCATTGGAGCCGAAGTGTCTCACCATTTTCCGTTTGGGTTACTTTCCAGACATTGCCGATGCAGAAGACAAACCACCCAGTCTCACCCTAGCATTTCAACGTCGTGTTCCGCCTCGTCTGCGTTTCACTCCGAGAGCAACAATCGAAATGTTCCTTCTTCATGCCCATCGCAAGCAACAGGTCACAATGAAAGTGGTAAATCAAAAATTACGCCCCCCATGGCCCCGAAGAGCAATGGAGTGCAGAGACGACTCCGCGGATGTGCAATGCAGGTCCTCTGCACTGAGAAAGCCGAATCTTGAACTGGCCTTCTCGGAACAAGGTAAGTATGATTTTTTGCAAATAGGTTGGAGGAAAAGCCGCATTATATAGAAGATACTGATTGAGGCCCGTGCGCGAGGTTGTCAGTCAAATGCCTCAGGTTCTGATGGATACGTGGACAGTGGGTTGCTGGGGCTGTGGCGCTAACCGTGAGTAAATAAACTCGAGAGGCTGGCATTGGATGCTTTTGGAATCGAAATGTTCCACCTCCGCATAAGCTAGGGGCAGGAACTCGGCGATTGCATAGAAATAAGCTACTGTAATGCAGCCACTCTGATTATGTTGAAGGTGACCAAAGTACGGATACAGTATTAGACAGTTACCCAGTTGCCTTTAAAAAAAAAATGTGAGGCTGATATATCCGTACCTGAGTCCTATAGATGTATCAGAATAACAACATTAGCGTCATTACGAGGTCAGTATCGCTAAGTTCCTTGCAATACACTCGAGTCTGCTTCCATGATACAAGAGGCACTTTGCTTGCTTAGTGCTCTCGGATACGGCCCGCGACTGCTTTTGCAGACTGCAAGGCGGTAAGGCATCAATTTCCAGCTGCTCTGGGCCAGTCGTTGAGACAAAGGGTGGAGCATCGGTCCCATGACGCATTCAACACTAAGCCACTCGCCATCCGCCATTCTACCTTGATAACGACTTCTTCCATCACTACAAAACGACTTTCATCAATATCATTGACCGCTTTGCATCGTTTTTGTAAACCATCCAACCTTCAAGACTCAGTCAACCACCAATTCATTCCAGGCGCGATGCGATTCTCTACTGTCACCGCCTGTCTGACTGCCTGCCTGGCGCCAGCGGCGGCTCTGAGCGTTCTTAATGGCAAGGCTCCCGAACTCACAATCAGCGACGACCTCAAGATTCCCGGCGATTCTCCTCTCGAGTTCTGTCCCGGAGACCACGCTGCCGATCTTATCAAGATCGACCGTGTTGATTTGTCTCCCAACCCTCCCAAGGCGTACGGCTAGGCTTACCCCTCTCATTGCGCGACTCACATGGCACGGTACTAACATGGCGATAGTGGCCAGGAACTCTTGATCAAGGCCAAGGGGTCAGTCAAGCAGAAGATTGAAGAGGGCGCCTACGTTCTCTTGACTGTCAAGTATGGTCTTATTCGTCTTATCAGCACCAAGGCCGATCTTTGCGAGCAGATTGGCAATGTCGACCTCAAGTGCCCCGTCGAAACTGGTGAAGTTGAAGTTACCAAGAGCGTAGACCTTCCTGCCGAGATCCCTCCTGTACGTGGACGTTCCTCACATGTTTAAGATGATTTCACTAACCCGTCGTAGGGCAAGTACACTGTGCTAGCCGATGTCTTCACTGTCGATGATGTGCAGATTACCTGCTTGACAGCAACCGTCACTTTCTCTCGTAGCAGCAAGGGTTTCTTTGGCAGCGATCTGTGATTGGGATTACAACGCACGCAACACACGCATGATGGCATGACTTACTGTTGAGCACGTTTCCACGGGTTTCTCTGTTAACGTTGGTTTTGGCGACTTTCTAGCTCATGTAGAGCATACTGCAGCGGCTTTAGAATCTATTTAGCATACTGATAAACAAGTCTTTTGCATTGTACTCCACCTCATTCCTCTGTATAGGCATTGCTCTGCACAACGTGACCAAGTCGAAAAGAAAACACAATACTGACTTGCGCGTCATATACGGCTGGGCTAATCGCCGTCCCTATGCTACGTTCGCTTCATTACTCCGAAACAAGTCCATGCACCGAATACAACCGTAGCTTTACTCTCCAAACAGGCGTCGCACTCGTCGCAATACACTATCCTTCTCGGGGTCGTAAGGGTGGTCTTTGCTTGGGATCTCCAACACAGCAGGGAAAGCCGCGGTGTATGTATCGATACGGTGTCGAATTCGGTCCGCAATCTGTATAATCATCAGTCTTGCAGCCAGATAGATGTGAAGCGAGAGTCTGACGTGTTGGTTGATGAGCACAATGCCGATATCTTTTCGTTCTTCGGTAAATCGGTCGAACGCGGCCTCGATGGCGGATGTGTCGGTCTTGCCGTCGACAACGAGGAAGTTCTTCTGGGCGTCGGCACCTGTGGTCACATGCTATATCATAAAATAAGCATACGGAATGTATGAGTGCAATGATTCAAGCACTCACGCCGATTCCTGCAAGAAGAAGACCAGTTACGGAGTCCTTGATTCGAGCTACGTCAGCGCAAAGCATCAAGCAGAGAGTCTTTCAACATGGCACATACTTCGTCGCCAATGACGGCGAGGAACTGGCGATCCTTGTAGTCTGCTTGCGAAGCCATATTGAGGACTGTTGGTTTGATTGTTATCTTGCTCCCCTTGTGGAGTTGGAAGCGCTAGGTTGGTTGTGCTTCAACTGAGATACCTTGCGCAGGAGGTCGGGCGCCTGAGGCTCCGCTCCGTGTCCGACTGCTCTTGCAGTGGAAGCTCTGACCATCCCCGCGGTGGACGCTGCAGCCTCCACTGCATCCCTACTGGTCGACTAGGCAGACTAATATAGAACAAAGAATTGGACCTGGTCCTCAGCAACAAGACTTTCAAAGTAAACAATCTCTGGCCAGGCTCTCGCCATCTCTTTCTCTTTGTCGTTTCTACATCGACTCAGGGTCCAAGTCCCACATCGCGATCGCTATCATCGACTTTTTAAGACAACAAATAGTCGTTCCGTCGAGATGCCACGCCTAGTACGCCGGCAGCCGCTCAGAGAGCGCATCATGGCTTCTCTGAACCCCATGGACTTCCTGCTTTGGTTATCAGAAGAACTTGAGACGAGAGACTGGGACTCAGCTACCGCAGGAACACAACTAGGCCTAGCCATGAACTTTGTGTTTTTGATTGCGCGCGCCAATTCAAGTTCTTCTACCAAGAGTGATGACGTTTTCAGCGACGAGACAAGTTCTGGCTGGATTTCGTTCTTTGTAAGTATTCTGCTCCTCAATATTGCCTCCAAGGCCTTGATGCTAATCGCCTGTTTCTTCAAAGGTTTATCCCCTCGTTTGGATTCTCGCTGCGTTCTCGTTTACCAACGCCTTCTATACGATCACACGAACTCGCAAGTACCGACTCTTTCTAGCCAAGGTCGATAAGCCGCTTTCAACACCATCTGCACGTCGCGTAAAAGTCAGCCAGTCCAGCGCATCACCTTCAACACCCCTAAGCTACCTCGCGAATTTGATAACACCTGAATCTGCGGAGTCGCGAGCGTACCCTGATAAGACGTCGGATGTTTGGGAGTTGTCAGTCTGGGATCCTCTCCCAGTCTCGTTGCGGCTCGCTTGTCTCTTCGGGCCTGGTCACATCCTTATTTACATGATCTTCCTTCCTCTTGCTCCCCTGGATCCCCGACCGAGCGTGACGGTTCTCAACACGTTGCTCCTGCAAGTACTTGTATCTGCTCAGCTTCTCTTCTTCTGCTCTCGTTTTGCGCAGCAAGCTAAGGATAAAGCCGTCATTCAGGAGCAAGTGATGAGAGAGTATGACACCAAGTTTGTTCACCCTCGTCTTCACCCTACTGTCCGCGATATTGGAACACAGTTCTCTATGGATCAGCCCAACGACTACAAGGAATTTGTTCAGACTGGTACCCCTACAGTCCAGATTCGGCACGGCTTTCAGACTCACTCTAACCCATATACTGGGTCTAACGATGCCCCTGAGGATCGATCTGTTACACCAACCTCCAACAACGTCTTGAAGCCACGCATGTTTACGCCTCCTACGGCAACCCGACGCTCGGAAGCCTTCCGGCCTGCTACTAATCAAAGAAGTGTCGTGCCTCGTCAAAGTCTGCCTTCAGGTTATACATCGACGGGCACCTCTTCAGGGGCTCAGGGAATCAACTTTGGCGGAAACATGGGCATTCATAGCCACAACAAATCACCGCTAAAAAAGGCTACAAGCTTGCATGAGTTGAATCCTGAAGGGGCTGCATCTCCGCGTAACTCGCGAGAAATGGCAGCATATGAACAACGAAACTGGGGAGCGGCCACCCCATCTAAGAAGCCAGAGAGCCGTCGATTGGTAGGCTCAAAACTTAATGGCGGTGGTAATCCTTTTGCTGGACTAAACAGGGAGCGAGCACCACCAGAGAGCCGCCGTCACCTGTTCTAACGTTGGCTCGTCCTTGCTTCTTTTATTTACCATGTACCTGGTCAACTGTATCATAATATGTATTATGCTTGGTGGCAGAAATTGGCGTTAACTTATGGCTTTTGAATAATAATTTGTTAATACCCGTTCTCCTGAATGTCAGGTGAGTAACAGAAGGATTGTCCTCTAAGGCCTAGACTGCCATAATAAACAGCCTAAGTGCTGGTCCTAGCTGGCATAGAGTGATACAATTATTTCATCTCCTTTGCTTTCGGGGGTCAGTTCTTCTGATATCCTTAGGACTGTCTGCTCGACGCGGTTAAGCTTCACGTCCCCGAGATAGGAAAAGTAGACGGATCCGTTTTCAATGAATCACATCTCAGTGAAATATATCATGGTGTGGCGATTGGTAGTAGCGTGCCATCATCGCGGCTTCCTTCGATGTTGCTGGAACGTCGGGAAAGCAACTGCGTTCCAGCAGTTCAAGTCGACCTACCTGCCCTCAAAGTACCGGAAACATCTACTGAAACATCAATGTGCGACCCTTGAGGCAATCGACTGGTCCCTAACTTACAACCTCCTTTGAAGCCGAGTTTCCTACTAATTCATAGCGAGTATTCCGCCTAATTCCATATCTTCGACAACAGTTTAACATTAAATGGCATGGTAACGCACTGGAATCATCAACAGTTACCTCTACACAAAGATGCCGGACGAACCACACTGGTCATCTATTCGACATGGAAGAGCCTCAAATGAACAGCCGCCTGACTCTGCGCCTTCGCGAAACCTTCCTCGTGCTACCAATGAGTTCAATCGGAGACTCACACTAGGGGATATAGGCGAGTGGTTGAAAGAGAGGCAGGAACCTGCTCCGAGTGTGACACTGGGGGACGTAGGGGCTTGGTTCAAGAGGAAACTTCCAAGTCATCGTCCAGAAAAGGGGGGAACGCTAAGAAACAAGAACAACTGGGTCAATCAAGAATCGAATGGCATCGATATCTCACAGTCCGCATCCAAAGATACCAATCATCCACCTACAAGCTCACTCCCTCCAGAACAACGGCTCTCAGCCACCAATCATCGCACTGGACAACGAAGTAGAACAGGCGGTTCAGATCGTCTGATGGATTGGAACACGCCCAAGAATCTAAGTGAAGCATTGCCAGAGTCCAAACCATCCGAAGGAAAGGCGACCGCGGCTCAGAAGCCATCTACCCGTCGGAAATGGCTGAACCGAAGCAGCAAGCGCAATCAACAGACTAGGGGTGACAGTATAAAATCCAAGGAAGACAAACGGGAACAGGCGCGGGGAAACACTACAGAACCACAGCCGTTCGTCCCAGCTACTCAAATGATGCCTGATATACTCGAAGTTCTTGATGCTGCGAGGAAAGCGAGGACAAAGGCACGGGATGAACGAGAAAGCCTGAAAGAAAGTGGAGATTATCTTGGAGTTCAAGGCATCAACCCACAAACTGGTGTTTTGGATCTTACATCAGACAGTGGAGAGAGTGGTTTGAGTTTAAGAACAGAGCAAAAGCTTGCAAAACTCGAGGACCAGGCCAAAAATGCGACTTCAGCTGTGAAAAGAAAAGAAGCCGAAACCGAGATTGTCAAGATTCACCTCGATCGTGACGTTGACAAGCTACGGCGTCGAGAGGAAACCGAGAAACGACTCAAATGGCGAAGGGGAACCCATCAGTGGTCATCAGTGCAGGAGCCTGATTTGAGTCCTATCGCCCAGTCATACAGAAGCACCTCAGACCTGTCAAGTCAGTACCTGTCTATTTTGCCTCGACCTGTTTACTAATTATTCCCTGATACAGAGCGCAAGTTGCGTCGTGATCACGACGTGACGAAGCAACAAGATCTTATAGATTTGGACGTTGTTGATAAGAAGCGAAGCGAAGGGCAGCCATTCGGTATAGCAGTCATGACCAATTCTCATACCAGAGAAAGTGCGCATTCATCCGACACGGTAGTCAAGACTCCTCATCGACGCGGGTCTGCGGATATCTATTCTGCAGCCTTTGAGCCTTTTGAAAGCGACAAAAGTTCTCATAGCATGGACAAGCTTGGGCTGGATAGAGACCTGTTCGCAGAGCATGATGTTAGGCCCTCGACAATTCATGCGCAGGCACCAAGTGATTTGTTGTCGGAGATCACTGGTGAGAAGGAAGTAAAAGAAGCCAACAACAACGCAACTTTCGACTCTTTTTTAGCCAAGAGCCAAAGAACGGAAGTAGAGCCAGGGGGGACAGAAATACTCTGGGCACGAACCAACAATCAGATATCACCAGATCTCTTGACGACAAGCCCTTCAGTAGTCAACCACGACAACGGCCTAACCTTGACGAAGAGCGAATGCGAGACGCCAAGTCGCCGGGAGGACATTCTGCGAAAACACTTCATGCAAGATTCGACGACAAGCCACCAGAGATTCACTATCCACCCGACAGTGCTGAAACCAACCGTACTAGAATCCCTCGAAAACAAGTGCCGACATACACCAATCCTGATAAGTCGCGAATAGAACCCGCACCTAATGGAAAGCCCAGAAGTAGAACGGAATTGGGAACATTTGAAGATGGTCAGCTCAGAGCCGCCGCCAATGATCCATCTTCTCCAGAGGCCTCAAGCGTTAAGAGTTGGGACGATAGCCGACCCACTACTCCAGAAAGAGGCAGAGCGGTCAGTGATTCGAGATCGCCTCACCGCTCTGCCAGCGTGCACAGCAGAGGCGACAGCGTGGCTTGGGCTGCGAAATCTACCCAAGACAGCCAAAGAAATACAAGACTGCGAGGAAATAATCAGAAAGAATCTTCCTCAACTCAAAATGTTGTACCAAACGATACTCGAGATCAAAGATCACGGCAACCACCAGATCTGCGCACAGAGCACGGATCAAGACACCGTGAACAGATACGAGATCAAGGAGGCGTATGCATCCATAAACACCACCACTACTGGGTGCGTCCAGACAGCTTCGATATTCCCCTCGAAAGGGCCCCGAAGTCAAGAGAGTGTCCATCACAAGCGCAGACTCAACCGGGTTATCCGGAACCTACGATACTTCGGGACGACACCAAGCAATTCGGACATCTCCCAGACAAATCGTGGGCTGAATCCATTGCCGAAATCGAGGTCTCTGGAAGAGATACCAGTGACCGATACTATGTTCGAGAGCCCTCAGGCGTCTTCGAATCAAGGACCACAGGTGCAAATGTGCAACAACATGGGACCACAAGCAAGAATGTCAGCAACGCAGCACCGATGCAGCAGTTTGTCAGCATTCACCTGCACGGCAGACCGCAAGGATGTCAGAGGGGAGAAGACCGATCAAGGTGTTGTTTGGAAAGAAAGGACTCAACTGGACAACGGATATCATCTATCGGACATACATCGTACAGGTCTGAGCGAAACCGTAACGAATCCGGGAGCGCAAACGTCCGGCGGACTTCAGGAACATCAGGACGCCGAAGAAGACACCGCAGATCTTTCCAGTGACATATCTCATATGAATGAGAGGGGAGGGTTGTGGAATGCCATCAAGGAGTTCGTGTGTACGATTTTCGAGTACGGCATATTGCTGTTGAGGTTGTACTTCAATACTGTAAGACCTGTGTTCAGTGTCAGGTCTTCGTATTGGAGATGCTCCAGCCAGGAAGACTGCGGCTGGATGAATTTGGTGAGCATTTGTCTCGCGTTACCACTGATATTCGGGTTCTCGATGGTATTAGTGTGGAGTATGGAGTTGACGGTCATCACATTAAAGTGCATGGATGATGACTGGGATTGCGTTGTAGATCAAGCCTTGGCTATGTTTCGGCGAGGCTTGACGGGAGTTTACCTCGACGACTAGACAACGGCCCGGTAGACATGCAAGAAGAGACCGGTGACCGGTGCCGGCGAGTCGAAGTAGGCAGGGTATGGTGGGGCGGTGTCAGTATCAGTGTTCAGCCCATCTCGCAAACTGGGGCAAGGCCATGGGCCGATGGCGGATGCGGAGGATGGTAAAAATAGACGATTACATGATTAGACTATATGTTTCTACGGCACAGAATTAATAAGAGTACATTATTAGCAGCTATGGCCGTTATTCACGGCATCAATCATTTTATTCTTCTTCGCCAGTGCTGTAAGGACCTGTTCGGCTTTGAAAAAGAACTGTTGAAATAAATTAGCTAATTAACAAGTGCCCAGAACTCGGCATTGAGCACTACGAAGCAATTGATGTCGTAATTAGACCAGGATAGAGCCGTGGAGTTTCAAGAAGGGTTAAGCTAAATATTAATCGGAGCTCTTGGACTTTTGACATCGGAGGTTGAAAAAGTGGCGATCGGCCGGTATGATCGGAGCTCTAAACCAATCACTGTCGCTCATTTAACAATCAGTGCAGGCAAGAGCTGCGGGTCTACCCCGCGCTGGCGCCCGTCCTGGGGCTTCCTTCCATTTTACGGATTCTGAGCTTCAATTGTTGGCGGCCGCAAACGGACCCCTCCGATCATCGGCGCCTACCTACCATTTCTATGAAGCTCATGGAATTGGACAGGAGAGGGGGGCGCTGATGAATTTTTGTTGATAAACCCAGAGACAGAACGCCTTCTTTTCCAATTCCAGACCATTTTCCTGTTTTCTTCCCTTTTCAGCTTCAAACTATATCTCCATTTTCACTCTTCCCTTCCCAGAAGAGAGTTCCAACTTCTTCTCTTCTCTCCTATCCTCTCTCCCTTATACCTCAACAACCAGCAAACGACATCCTCTCAATCGGCATAGTTCCATTCCATTACAGCACAGCTCTGGACCCTTTGCTTTGATATAGTACTCAACTTTCTCGCTCAACGCGACCCCTATCATCAAAATGCCTGCTCCCGTGGGTACTCCTCAGACTCTTTACGACAAGGTCTTCTCGGCACATATTGTGGACGAGAAGCTTGATGGCACAATTCTTCTCTACATCGGTATGTCTCTCTCTCTTTCTCTGTGCTTCATTGTGTCTATGAGCAGTATGGCTGACAAAAGTTGGTCAAAAGACCGACATCTGGTCCACGAAGTGACATCACCAGTAAGTTTAAGCCCCGTTTAAAGGATCGGCATTGGCTTTGCTTTTGACCACCCGCTAACCACAATCGCCAATAGCAAGCTTTCGAAGGCCTCGAGAATGCAGGCCGAAAGGTCCGAAGACCAGATTGTACTCTGGCTACCACTGATCACGTAGGACCTACCCATTGAACTGGAAGCCAACTTACAGTTGGCGATTATCAAGGAACCTTGCTAACCCCGGACCTTGCAGAATGTCCCCACAACTTCCCGCAAAGCACTGAAGGATATTGCTTCTTTCATCGAGGAGGACGATTCGCGAACACAATGTGTTACCCTGGAGGAGAACGTTAAGAAATTTGGTGTCACATATTTCGGTCTAGGCGACAAGCGACAGGGTATTGTCCACATCATTGGTCCCGAGCAAGGCTTTACTCTCCCTGGAACCACCGTCGTGTGCGGTGACAGTCACACTTCGACACATGGCGCCTTCGGTGCTCTGGCCTTCGGTATTGGTACCAGTGAGGTCGAGCACGTTCTTGCTACTCAGTGCCTGATCACCAAGCGCAGCAAGAACATGAGAATACAAGTCGACGGTGAACTGGCCCCCGGTGTCAGCTCAAAAGATGTTGTTCTCCACGCCATCGGTCAAATCGGTACTGCTGGAGGTACCGGTGCTGTTATCGAGTTTTGTGGATCCGTCATCCGCAACTTGAGCATGGAGGCCCGTATGTCCATCTGCAACATGTCTATTGAGGGAGGTGCCCGTGCTGGTATGGTTGCTCCTGACGAGATTACTTTCGAGTACCTCAAGGGTCGTCCACTGGCCCCCAAGTATGGCTCTGAGACTTGGAATAACGCCGTTGCCTACTGGAAGTCTCTCCAATCCGACCCTGGCGCCAAGTACGATATTGATGTCTTCATCGATGCCAAAGACATCGTCCCTACCCTGACCTGGGGAACCAGTCCCGAGGACGTCGTGCCCATTACTGGTTCCGTCCCCGATCCTGAGACCTTCAGCACCGAGAGCAAGAAGGCTGCTGGTCGCCGCATGCTTGAGTACATGGGTCTGACCGCTGGAACACCAATGGAGGATATTCCTGTCGACAAGGTCTTTATTGGGTCTTGCACAAACGCCCGTATTGAAGACTTGCGGGCTGCTGCCAACGTTGTCAAGGGCCGCAAGGTTGCTGACAACATCAAGCGAGCCATGGTGGTTCCTGGTTCTGGTCTTGTCAAGGCTCAGGCTGAGGAAGAGGGTCTTGATCAAATCTTTGTCGAGGCGGGTTTCGAGTGGCGAGAGGCTGGTTGCAGTATGTGTCTGGGTATGAACCCTGATATTCTGGCTCCCAAGGAGCGATGTGCCAGTACTTCCAACCGAAACTTTGAGGGTCGACAAGGTGCTCTCAGCCGAACTCATCTTATGTCTCCTGTCATGGCTGCCGCTGCCGCTCTTGTTGGCAAGCTTGCCGATGTGCGCAAGCTGTCGCACTACACCCACCAATCGGCCTTCAAGCCTCGTGAGCTTCCTGCTGAGGAGCCTCACGTCGACGAGCGAACCAAGGATGACTCCGAGGAGCGCGACCTGATCGGTGATCAGCCTCAGGATTCCCAGCCCCATACTAACACCCTGGTTAGCCCTGCCGGTGCCGCTTCTGGTCTGCCTAAATTCACTATCTGGAAGGGCACTGCCGCTGCTCTGGACCGATCTAACGTCGACACCGATGCCATCATCCCCAAGCAGTTCCTCAAGACCATTAAGCGAACGGGTCTCGGAAATGCTCTCTTCTATGAGCTCCGATATAAGGAGGATGGATCTGAGAACCCCGATTTTGTCTTGAACCAGGAGCCTTTCCGCAAGACCAAGACTTTGGTTGTTACTGGACCCAACTTTGGATGCGGTAGTTCTCGCGAGCACGCCCCTTGGGCGCTTCTTGACTTCGGCATCAAGTGTATCATTGCTCCCTCTTTCGCCGATATCTTCTTCAACAACACTTTTAAGAACGGCATGCTGCCTATCCGCATCGATAACAAGAGCGATCTGGATGCCATTGCCGCCGAAGCCCGCGCAAACCGAGACATTGAGGTCGACCTGCCCAACCAGCTTATCAAGAACGCCGCTGGCGAGACCATCTGCTCATTTGATGTGGAGGAGTTCCGCAAGCACTGCCTGGTCAACGGCCTCGATGATATTGGCCTGACCATGCAACAGGAAGACAAGATTGCCGAGTTTGAGCGAAGCATGACACAGAACACTCCATGGCTCGATGGCACTGGTTACCTGAAGCGTCCTGGACAAGGTGGAAAGCTGGCTGCTAAAGCTGTGCCAGTTCCCAAGACGAATCGCGGTGAGGAGAAGAAGGAGCCTCTCGAATGGTAATCTAGGGATGATGAATTGGAATTTAAAATGACTTTACGGCGAAGTGGGACATGTGAGGATTAGCATTGGGTTTATGTTATTTCGAATCTTTGGCTGGGCCGGATAACAAAAGGGGTTGCTGACTCTGTCCACCTTGGTGGATGAAAAGTACCAAAAATCAGGAGTAGACACAATGTCAGTACTCCCAACGAGTTTATGAATCAACGCAATTACAATGAAATCAAGCAGTATGACTATGAGAAACTTTGATGTAATGTGCTGATAAATGCCGCCGGGCTAAACAGTGTACGTAATCGCTACTCCTATAAAAAGATATCTTGGCTACGTATACGTGACTATTGACTTCGTCCGAGTTCCTCACGGAGTATGCCAACATGCACGACAAATCCAGCTGTTGATCGTAGCTCTTCGGGTAGCACGTTGTCAGAGACTCTCCAGACATGGAACGAGGCTGAGAACGCTTTGAGCCACGACTCAAATACCTCGTCGCTGCGGAGCTGTTGCCCAATAACACAGAGGCAAGGTCTTCTTTCATCGCTATCAGCAAGTGCAGGATCAGAGAGTCGCAGGCGACATGCATCTGCGCATGTCTGAACGAAGGGATCTACGAGAGCATAGTTGTATACGCAATCACAAGCAACGACCGCATCAAAGCTTCCGGCCTCGTCAGAACCCACTAAAGAAGGCGTAACTTCGTCGGTCTCCCAATCGAGCGTTGTGAAGCGAATGTTGTGCTGGGGAGCTGCAGGGCTATGGGCATTGCGCTTCTTCCTGCCGCGACCGCCTATGGGTGTAGATGTGCCTGAGCTAAATGCCGATGAAAAGTTCTCGTCGATATTTCTCTGGAGAAGGCGCTGGACATAAGACTGGTCGGTCAGAACGTAGCGAGCCACACGCGGACCGAGGGCTAGAGCACTCAGGGGTGATATGCCACAGCCCAGCTCAAGGATGGAGGCGTTTGTGAGATTGATGTTGGCGAGAATAGGGTTGGAAGGAGATGAGAGCCAGGTAGCGAATGTGGGTGCTATCTTCCAGATAACTATGCATTAACTCAGTATTATGTTTGCCTCTTGGTGTACAATGAAACTGACCTGCTCCAGTTGTACCACCTGATCGTGAAGATGAGAGAACAGTAGGGGACTGATGTATAGTGAAGTCCCGGTCACCGACTGATACATCGACTGAAGTAGCGCGAGCATCTATGAATCCAAGGTTCATGGACGGTATAGGCTGAGCATACAGATAAAAGGTTTCTATTCTTGTTAGTGAGGTTGGCATTTGAGTGAATAAGCTTGTACTCACCTTCTTCAGCATCTTGAACTTCTGGCTCTAAATTCGTAAGGAGGTTATTGAGAAACTCCATAACTCAGACTTGCAATATGGATTTGATGTGAAGAGTTGTACATGTACCAGGCCTTGCTTTTTGCTTGTTTGCAATGAGATGGAATAAGGAAGTGGTGTATTTCATTTGAAGATTCCATAAAAGAGATGGCACTTAATTACCTACCTAGTCAAATTTGAGCGTCAAGTGCAAATGCAAGTGGACCCCGGTTCTTTCAAATCTAGATCAGTGATTTTTCAGTTGGATGCTTTTGTAGACTCTGTTTGATAAAAACTACTGCTTCTGACCGTGATATTTCAGATGATGCAGCAGCTCACTCAGTGATGAATACTAGGTACCCTATTACTCAATTCAAGCAAGACCTCCTTCCCAACTAAGCCAAAGCTGTAGGGTAGCCTGCGTCATCCTGAGGATAACCAAGCATCCATATCTTAAGCCAGATACATGACCTGGCCGACGAATGTTCACAAGCGAAGACAAAGGCAGAGGGACAGCCTTAGTTGGAAAATTGCACATCGATTTATTTCATAAGGTAATCATAGACCTCTCCAAGACCTTCGCAAAACAAGAGGCCGCACCCTTGTGTCAAGGGCAAACAGGAAAAGCAAAAAGACAAAAGCTCCTTACACTCCTGGCCAACTATGGCATCCATGGGTCCTTCTTTTCATTCATATTTGTTTCTCTTCCCTGTACTCGTCTTGTTCATGTTTTGCATACCGCTGCCAGCGGAATCTCCGCTTCTCCTACACCAAGCCGTCATAGAGGGATAGCGCTGAGACGATGGTTTCGTCACGTTTGCTGCCCTCCTTAAACTCCTCCATATCTAGGCTGCCGTTCTCGTCCTTGTCCATCATGCGGAAGATCTTCTTTACTCGCTTCTCGGGGGTATCTTCGTCTTCGGGTAACTTGACCATGGAACCGACCTAAAGCACAGTTAGTCGGGGCTTTTGTGTCTCTCATAACTCAGCTGATGAGAGCAGCAAGTGAAAACTTACCATCTTGTAGATAGCCTCGACAATCTTGAGCATCTCGTCGTAGCTAATCTTGCCATCGCCGTCAATGTCATACAGCTGGAAAGCCCAATCCAGTTTGTCCTCCATCTTGCCTCTGCTGGTGACACTCAGCGCACAGATGAACTCCTTAAAGTCGATAGTGCCGGACTTGTCGCTGTCGAATACGTTGAAGACATAATCGGCGAATGAGCTCGGATCCCCGAAGGGAAAGAATTGTCTGTAGATCTTCTGGAACTCCTCCTTGGTGAGAGTACCCGACGGGCAATCCTTAAGGAAACCTAGTGCTAATATTAGGCAACTATTCTCTTGCAACAAAAGGGTGTCGAGGTTTGGTGTGCGGGCAGTGCAGTGCAAAGCACGCAGGAGGCCTCGTGAGCGACATCAACGTACCCTTGTACCATTGCTGCAACTCCTTCTTGTCGAAATGGGTTGATTTTTGAAGCTCAGCAAGTTGATCTTGAGAGAGCTTGGACTGTCTGAATAAGCACAAAGATGGTTAGTAATGAGCTATGATTGTGACAAGGTCGATCCCAAAGAATAATGACGTCGGTCCCTAGCTTCCGTGGGGATCCGAGTTTGACAAATGCGCTTGCGCCCGATGAGATTCTGGCTACAAGTGACGCAACGTGACCCCGATGGCATGGAGGCGACAAATAGCGGGACAACGATGTGAAGCGAAGCGACTCGCAACAAGAACAGAAATGCGCCAGGAGCAAACTTACGATTTACCCATGACGTTGGAGAGTTGGGGTTGTTGTTGGCGAGTGTAGAGGTAGAGAGCGCGAATTGCGCGATGCTTGAGCCAAAGTTGGACGGCTTGGAGAGTCTTTTACTCGAAAGAAACGAGAGAATGGAAATCAAGTCGCCAAAGCCAAGGATACTCTCGGCCTATTGAAGTGTCGCCCACGGAGACGAGGTATTGGAGAAAGGCGACGTCAATATCGAAATCGAGGTCGAGAAGATTGGGGAGGAAATAGGTTACGTCGAAGTCGGAGCGCGGAGGCGAAGGTAGGGATGAAAGCGAAGCGCCTGGTGAGGGGCTAGTAGCCAGTGGTTAAGCTCTCAGGGTCGTGTACAGTACTGTAGTGCGGTGCGGTGCGAGAGTTGAAGCGGGAGAAGAGCCCAGTCGCGAGAGTTTGTTAGGACAAGTAATAGAGAGAAGAGGAGAGGAGAGGATCAAGTAGTTCAAGGGGAAAGAGGAACAAGAAAGGTAAAGCAAAAAAGTGATGCAGGTGAGTTGAGTATAGATGGAATAATTGGCATGGAAGCTACATAAAGCACTAAGGTCCAGAACCAGTACCTATTAGACTCGGGCTAGAGGTGGAGGTCACTCACTGCCTTGAAAGGAGTGGACAGTTGAGTGATAGCCGGGCAAGGTTGAGCAAGGGTGGGAAAGAGCCGACCCCGACACTCACTCAACACGAGGACGAGGATGAGGCGACGGGACATACACAAACCCCGCCGGAGCAAGATCGATCCACTACTTAGGTACCTAGAGGTAGGGGGTTTCCAGGGCATCCACCCTCAGTCCAGGTGCTCTGCTGACCACAGTTTAGGGGTCTCAGTGCGGTATCAGACACGCAAGGTATGCCCTGGGCAGCCCACCTCACTTCCATTTCCATAGTGGGGGCGGGGTTGTGGAAGTTTAGAGGTTCCAGAGCCTGTAAATCGACACACTCCCATGAATATATCACAATCTTATTGGTCAGTCGTGATTTTATGCTACTCGACCCGGTAGAAATCTGGTTTTCCATCAATGTTTCCATTCCAGTTTCCAATGACGAGTCGAAACTACTATACCTAACATAATAGGATCCATATCATGACTGGAATCCACCATTTTACACGATTATACATTTCCCCGCCAGAAGAACACAGTCCCTTCAAAATAACAAAGATTCATGGATTCATATAATCAGCTGCCTCTTTGAGAAGATACAGTGTCTGTACCAATGACAGTAGCTACAGCAACCATCTCACCTCGGCTTAAACATCATTGAGGCTGTGTACATGTACATACCTATAGTACTTTTTCGACTTGTGGAAGCGTGGCGACTGACGACCAGGCAGCCGGGTTGTCCGGTCGCATCCACTGAACGGTGTGTGGCTGTGTATGTTACCTTAACAAGCATGAGCGGAGTTAATGCCTGTTGAGAATAGCAGTTCTTGATTCTAGATTCTTAATTAGTAACCAAGTGGTGATTCTCCTTTTCCTCTGCTCCTCTGATAGCAGGGCTGTGTTTACTTGAACATCTGCCACCAACTTAAAGACCGGCACAATGGAGTTGGTAGGTAGGTACCTAGATAAAATAGAAATATCCATTGTATTCGAGCGACTCATCTGTAATTGTGTCACAGAAAAAGCTGCATCTATCTATCTGCATCTGCGCCAAGTCGGCACCAAATCACTCTATCGTCAATAAGCTTTTACTGCGCCCACCTCAACTAACAAACTGCTGCTGCTCTCTTACACCTTTCTCGCTAGCCTCCAAGCAGAAGCTCACAATGACATGCTACTCAAGTACCTTCCGCCAACCTTGGCTGCCTCTCCGTCTCTTTTCCCCTGACCCCTGTTGCCCTTTGATCGCCCAACGTACTTTCGTTCTATGCCATCTTTGATTCCTAATAACAAGAGACAACCAGGGTTAGCAAGCTCGGGTTGCTAGAGAGCATAAGAGACGAAATTAGTGCTTCACTTTATGCCATTTTAGACGTGCCCTTATCCTAATATTATCTACTTTTTACACTCACAACTTTGAATCAAGGTTGTGACATAGAGCTCTGGTAGCTTGCCTACCAGGAGACACTTAGTAGGTACCTATTGTAGAAAGGAGCATGGAATCACCATGCTCGGGTAGGTTACCTGCTAACTCGCTCTCCCAAGTCATATCCAATGCCATAGTACTGATAACACAATGCAAAATGCAAAATTTGATACTTATAGTAGACTCCAATGTAGACATTGAGTCGAGGTATCTTAACCATAGTCCCGCCCATGCATGCAATGTCCCAAATCATGATGCTGCCTTACTCCTATCCGTCTGCCAGCTTGGACAATATCCTATCCAATACAGAAATATCCAGTCCCAATCGCGTCTCCCAGGACAACCTCCACATATACAGTCATTAAACTTGGCAACCAACATCGCCATCGTGCTCTCTAACCCACCACAGCCTTCATACTGAGACTCTCAAGGAAACCACCGAGATCCTCCTTCTTTATTTCTATCACACAACGGTCGAAGTTATCAGCCCGCCATGAGGCCTTCGTCTCCTCCGCCGCTTTTTCGAATGCAATGCCAAACTTGTTGAGACCGTAGCCCTTTTCATGTTCGACGTCCTCATCATCTGACACGTCCGAGTCTGAGCTATCCGAATCCTCCGACTCGGTCTCAAGTTCGTCTTCATCATCACCTGCATCTCGTCGAGCCGCCCGTTTGTCTTCTCGTACCTTTTGCTTTGCTAGACGCGACTCTTCCTTCTTCTTGAGTTTGGCCTCTCTTTCGGCTTTGCGCTTCTTCGCGGCTTCTCTGTCCAGTAATGTCGTGTCTGGGCCACCTCCACCACCTGTGCCCACCACGACATACACACCTCGTTTCTCATTAAGACCAGCGACAACAAGGGGTGTACCGCGGCCGCCCTGTGACAGCTTTCCGTGAGCTTCCCTCTCTTGTTCGGCAAGCGCCTCGCCTATCCAGAGTGCCAGTTTGGTAAGTGCTGCGGGGTGTGTGAAAAGCGAAACGTCAGGCCCTTCCTTGACTACACACATGCGGAATGCGCGAAGGTGTTTTATTTGCTTGTCCTTGATGAGCGAAGTCCCTGTCCGATAGATTGCTCGATGGAGAAATTGAGCAGTGGGGAGTCCGGCTTTCAGCGCGTCGATGCTAGTATTGTTGTCAGTGGCCGATCATCGAGGCTTTAATCAAGAGAGAATGCACTTACTTTTCCAGCGCGTCGTAGGCCTCCCAGAACTGTTCAACCCATTCTTCTCCCTGAGCTGCCAATTCGGCTTGCTCAGTTTCTTGGTTGGATTGACTTGCGACTACAGCGGACTCTGCGTTCTGAGCATGCTTGCCAACTTCTAAAAGTGCGCCGATGACAACTCCCACGTCCTGAGCACTCAATGTTGCGCGCCAGCCCCAACTACGAACAAAACCCCATCCATCTTTAGCACCGGCACGATCTTTGCCATCTGTGTCGACCGGCGGTACCATCTCATCGAGATTATAAAGTGAGCCGTACTTTAGCAATTTCGCCCTGAGCTCGCGCTTCAGCATCATGTCCATGTGGGTATAGCTTTGCTTGCACTGAGCAAGACTGACTCCCATCTTTGCAAGCAATTTGTGAAGCCGCTTGATTCCTGTCTCACTCCAGGTTTTTAAACGTGAAAAAAGGTATGGTGAGTGCAGCATGCTGTCGTACAGACTCCAGTGGCGGATAAGTAAGAATTTGGGCTCAGGGGACAGTCGAATTCCTGTGTCTTCCGGGTTTCTCGCTGTGGTGGGGATAACACCAGTATTTTCCACAGCAACACGCCCGTTTGTGATTTCTGGAGGGTTTAGACGTCTCACTTCGTCTCGGAGAAGCTGGCGTATCCTCGCCCCCCGAATCCCTAGCCAGCCTGTCGGACGACTCTTGTCACTTTGCCTGACAGGCGCAGCAGTACCCGCTGACGAGCGACCATAGATTTCCATAGACGTGACACCAACTATAGTTAGCCATAGGAGATCGTTGTCTTCTCTACCAAGCTCGGAAGCAAGAGAATACATCATCGAAGATAGCGGTTCCGAGAAGGAGCATCCAATTTTGTAATACTGGTTGCAGATGGTTTCGTTCTCGTCAAAAATTCGTCGTAGTCGTCTGCGCAGTGCACGAGGTGACGGGCCTGCCGGTGGTTGTGCTCCAGAAGGGGGCTCGGCTGGATCGCTAGACATATCAACTTGCCGTGCAGAGAGGAGGCCCCTCTGTTGTGGACGCCGTGGCGACTCTGCAATCGAACTAGACTGAAGGGAATGTTAATGAAATTTAGGAAGAAGTGACCAGGCAGTCTTACCGAATTACTCCTTCGTCGTTGTCGAGGTCTGTCATCGTCGCTATCGTCCTCTGCATCTGACCAGCTTTTGCGTTTTTGACCCGCATGCGTAGGTCCTTGGCCAATACCGTCAACATTCTCATCGTCATCGTCCCCTTCCTCATCATCGGTGTCTCCCAAGTCATCGCCATCGTCGTCAAATTCAGGTATGTCTGCTAATGTAAGGTACGCGTTACGCTGAGGTTCCATGTCTTCTTCAATGTCGCCATCATCGAAAACGATGATGCCACCTTTACCAGGATTAAAGACGCGAGTGATCTTCCCACCATCGACTCCAGCAGGGCTTCTTGACTGGTTCGTGGACGATATCTCGGTTGCAGGTTCCAGAGGGAAACTGCCAAAGACGTTATGAAGATTCCATGGCCGACGTGCGTCCATTAACCAGACCTCTACGCCGCTATAAGGAGCATCATCGCCTGGAAGATCAAGCTCGAGTGCTTTACCCAGGTCAATCATGCCTCCCACCCCAAGGCACACGACGACACCACCGCTACCACCCTCAGACTCTTTCATGGGCATGACTAATTCCTTACCAGCTTTTTCAAGATCGTCAAAGCCGGATACGGGCTGGATCTTGTGAGGAATATAGTCATGTTTGAGCAATCGGGTGAGAATTCTGCAAGCACAAAGAGCGTCGGGTTCGAGGGCGACAAGAATAAGTACAGGTGGGGAGAGCGGGTGTCGTGTTTGCTGGAGGTGGATGTATAGTTTCGAGATCAAAGATCGTGGAAGATACATGGCTGCGAGGTGACAGCGGTCCAATCGCTATGTCTATGTGCCACGAGTCTCATGGGCGGGCGTGTATTCGACTTGATGATAGTTGGGTAATCGGTCAAGGGGTGAGGTCGGGGCGCGTAAAGTAGGTGCTGTTGGAGAAAAAAAGGTCGAGTTCCAAGAAATTATGGTATAGAAGGACTCGGTCGTGTTGAGAGTATACCAGGTAATTGAATTGAAAGGTTAGAACAAGTACGATACTATGAGCTTGAAGTGTACAAGTCAAGGTGGTTTTGTCGTTATTAATGGATATCGGTATGCAAGATCCTAGCTGCGATGCGTTGCTTAGACGTTTAGGTAGTTTAATTGAGATTCAATTTCGCGGACCGTGTTTTTGGCGACGCGCCTGGATTGAATGACGCGCTTTCCCGCCCTAGCAATTTAGGTCCATTTGTGCTAGAGGTAGGTACGGACAGGCTAGTACCTTTATGAGTGTCTGCCCCTCCTTCCAATCTGGGTACTTTCCATCAATAAAACACAAGATGGAAGGCGTAGAGGATGGGCAGGCAGGTAGTTACAGAACGTTCTGCCCACCTCTTACCTCCATATCAAGGAACTCTCGGTCAAAATACAGTGCTAGAATAAGTTCCATGCAATAGAGGAAACAAACACCCATTGAGGTGATGGCTCGTGTAGTTACGACCAATGCCAAGCTGAGAGACAGGAACAATCTGCAGATGATGGATGTGCTTATCCGTCTATATCCTCTCTACCTACTTATGCACTTCACTTGATTTGTTCCTCTTGTCTCATCTCGTTTCGTGACGATACTCAAATTTAATTTACAAAGAGGAGAACAGCCATTCTTTGCTCTCAATCCTGATCTGGCATGATACTTCTCACCTCGGACTACCTGTGGTCTCAAGCTGGCCAAGTCAGAACGGGACCATCATTGCTTATCCGAAAAGCCTGCAAAGTTGCAATGCTTGATTAAGGCACAGCAACGCCAAGGTCTCAACTTTGTCAAGCGCGCATTGCTATGCTTAGCAACCTCCACCTGGCCATATGAGTAACGAGACGGATTCAGTCTCATACCTGGTGTACTGTTCGTTATCGCAATCGATAAGGTCTATGCATCTACGATTCATTGCCGAGGACTGGTTTCCAAGTCGGAGCGTGATAATTTGGTCGAATAAGGCAATCATGGTACTACGGCCCGGTCATCCAAGTTTAACAGTATTTCATGGCTCATCAGCTGCAAGACAGAGCACTAACCTTATTGTTACAGACCAGAGCGATTTGAGTGTCGAGAAGTTGAAGTGCCCAGAGAAATGGAGACTGGGCCCGTTTGATTTGGCCCACCCCAGATATGCACTCACTCACTCCATTACTCTATTCTTACTTGTTAGTTACCTATTAGGTTAGGTACCAGCTTGTTACTGCACCCAAGTTACAGCGCAGCGCAGCGCAGCACAGCATAGCATAGCATAGCATAGCACCCCCCTCAGAGCAAGGTTGACGACACAGGGGATATCTTCTCTGGTTGCTTTCCTCCGCATGTCACTAAATTTCTTCAATCAAAGATCGGGAGCAATGCATCTCATTGAATGAATCGTATGGTCCATCATTGTCTTAGACTTGCCAGATACCAGGACTTCTAGACCTTCCATCATACAGTGGAACAGTTGCCTGTCTCCAGCTTCAGTCTCCACGCCTCAGACTTGGGCTCAAACTCACGACTCGAGACACAGTTCCCACTACACAGGCCCTTACCATGACCAGCTATCCTCGCTGCGCATGAAATAGCCAGTTTGCTAGCATCTATCGCCACGTTTCGGCCTTGTCTGTCTCGAGCTCGCTTGCTCGACCACGTCACGGCTGGGTTGCATTACTGTCGCCAATCTCTCTTCTCAAAAGAGTTTCGGTTTGTCCCGAAGGCTTGGTTCACGCCGGCTTGTCTCAGGAGCCAATTCATAGTCATCCCGCACCCACCGTCCTGTGTGTTTGCTACTACAGTATACCAACCGCGCCAAAGACCACGACCTACCAGTCTTCTGGGAGCTGGGAGACTTCTGGGTCTTCCTGCACCGCCTGCCCTCCCTTCCGTCGTGCTGGGAACCGCCCTTGCCCATCCTCCCATCGTATTGGCTGTCTGTAGACATTACTACCAGCACCCGCCACACAGTCCGAGTTGCTGGGTCCTGTGCAACTTCACGTTCAACCACGCCCATCGCCAGAAACAGCAGGGCGTATCTTGGGAATCTTTATTGGCACGCTACTGGGCAATAGACTACTGTCCGCACTTTCAACTCTCCTTGTCATATCTCACTCTGCCCGCATTACCGACTACCGTACCTTCCACTCGGGACTAAGCCCAAGTATCCAGTCACCAGCATATACTTGTGGCTCACTACCGCCCAAGCTGGTGTCATTTCAATCCTCACATTGCCCTCTACCCTGTTGCTACCCATCTGGTTAGGTTCAGGTTGTGTTCTCATGTATTCCCGTCCAACAACATCCTGTTCCTACAATAATTGTCTCTTCTCGAGCACAATCTATCAAAAGGGTCTTGTTTCGAAAGTTCCGTAGCAATGGATCATAATGACCCCGAAGAGGACCCAACGTCGGACTACGGTGATTCTATAGCAACCTCCGAATTTACTTCAGTCAACACAAGAGAACTATACTCATACGAACATGGAAGGTATTTAGCAACACACCATCCATTGTCTCTTTTCTTCAATGCTGATTTGTTAGGCGCTATCAAGGCTTTCTACGCGGCCGTTATGGCCTTCCAAATGACGATGCTGAGCAAGTTCGTGAAGGCCTAAAGCACAAGCTGTATTTGGACTATCTTATGGATGGAAAGCTGTTCTTAGCCCCAATTGGTGATAATCCGCAAAAGATTGTCGATCTAGGCACTGGTGTTGGCATGTGGGCGCAGGATGGTAAGGCCCATCCCTCTCGTAGCACTCTCAAACTAACTCAAGTGTTGTCGCAGTTGCAGAGAACTTTCCCAGTGCACGTGTTATAGGCACAGATCTCTCACCAATTCAACCGCATTGGACTCCACCGAATGTCGAATTTCGAGTGGAAGACCTTGAGGACGAGAACCGCTCGTGGACGAGCATCTACGCAGATGCAGATTTGATTCATATCCGCGCTTTGTTGCAAACACTGCGCAAACCAAGACAGCTATTGGAAAGAGCTTTTCAGTGGGTGGAAATACCCCATATCCTCTCATTATGATAACTAACTGGGTGATTCTAGAAAACTGAAGCCAGGTGCTTGGATCGAGATACATGAAATTGTACCTTTCGTGTTCTCCGACGACAACACCGCTGGGTATGACCATCCTATGAACAAATTCTACCGGCTTGTTGAGGGTCCTTTCACTGAGCTGTATGGATGGAATTTACGCTTTCCCCTCCAGATCGTTGCAGCACTCCGCGACGTGGGTTTCATCAACGTCAACGAGCGGCACGAGTTCACCCCAGTGGGTCGGTGGCATCAGGAGGCCAAGATGCGAGAGATGGGGATTTTCACGCAAAGTATTCTTGAAGAATGGGTTACGGCCATGCTTGGCCGCCCGGATATTATGGGACTTACAGAGGACGAGGCATATGAGCTTGGGCATAGCATTTTTGAAACTCTCAACAATACGCGCATACATGCACAACTCGATTGGATCGATTGCTGGGCGCAGAAGCCGCTATAATAGGGAAGTCCAAACACCCCCGTTATAATGGCAAACTTCTCTGAATTCCAGTCATACTGGTGGCCTTTTGGCCGAAGTTGATAGCTGTCAGCTCACATTACGCTTGTACCTCCACTCCAGCTACGCAACAGCCAGTCAGCCAAATTTCGTGTCAGACTCTTTGGTTCTGGCGGCTGAGGTGACAGGGATGGAGGTTACGTTGCATGGTGCCTTCTGGTCATCGAAACGCAACACAAGAGCAAACATTGACCCGTCACATAACACGCTGATGAGCTTGCCGTGGAGCGTGGCTCATGCCAGGTATCAAACTAGGAAACGGCAGTGTGACGCGACAGGGAGGGGCTCGAGATCCTTGCATCCGGATCTCACTGTGATACATACATAAAACCCATCTCCCAACTTATCGGATAGCCATCGGCTTAGAGGCTGACGGAACAAACTACTGTTGGAAACACTGCAATTCTTGAAAGGGGCTGTCGAAGAGCTTGGGCTTGCATGTTTCTGCGCAGTCGATATTTAAAACCCCGATGAGACATATAGACTAGTGTCACGAGATCTCAGTTTCTCCCCCATCTTTTCATCTTCCTAGACCTAGAGTAACATCATGTCATTCGAGATTCCAGAAGCCGACTGCTTGCAACAAATCTCCCAGCGACCTTCTCGACTTCGCACTCAGTATGTACCGTTGAATTCATAATGCTATTTATTCGGCACGTGGAAAAGAAAGAACGGAAATACATGCTGGCTAGTGTGCCAAAAGCTTTTTTGATATTGCCGCCAGTGTATGAAGGAAATGAATATACAAACACAAATTTCGAGTATTGCCATTTCTGCAACTGTTCCAATGTGGCATGTCCTCTAGTTCGAGCGTACAATATGAAAACACGAATATATGAGTATGTGGACACATAATGGGACAGAACAAAATAAACGAAGTATATCGCTGTACAAATGCTCGTAACCGAAATGCAAGTATCGCGTACGATGTGGTTCAAGAAGGCATAGTTTTTGACTTCCGGCAAAAGCAAAACAAAAGAAGAAATGGCAAGCGGGAAACAGCCCAAAAAGACGCTCGTGTATCGTATCGCATTAAACCAATTCGTATCGCTAATTTCCAAACATATTGCCGCCGGGAGGAGGGCCACGTCCCATGCCTCCCATAGGGGGTGGCATACCAGGCATCCCTCCGCCGAACCCACCGCCGCTAAAGCTTCCAAAACCACCCATCGGAGTAAAACTGGCGGTGTCATTATAGCCTGACATCATAAATGTCCAGTCCATCTCTCCAGGCTCGTCACTAGAAGCAACAGAGCCCGAATTCGCCCGTTGGCCGTGGTGTACCGTCACAGGGGTCATATGTCCAACAGAAGGGGCAAAACCTGTGGAAGAAGGCGTCGTGACTTGTGAACGCGGGACGCCGATCTGAGGTCGGGAAAGATTAGGGTCGGGTCTTCTCTCTTGCTTTGCCCGTCGACGAGCTGCAACGCGCTCGCGCAGAGGTCCAAGAAACGCTGGCCTCCGAGGCTGTCGACCGGCAGCGATAAGGGAGGCTTCATGTGCATCCCAAGCTTTGACAAAGTGACCACCAAATGCCATGTGCATAGGGTTGTGATAATTATTCATGAGGCCGCGAAGATCGTGGTTCTTCTCTATGGCATCCCACGCACGTTCTACCATCGGACCAGAGACGCGGTGCCGTAGTTGCTGAACAAGAAACATGTAGGCAGGAAAGGGGAAGTGATGCATAGAGTACCATTTGAACGGACGCAGTGACTCAGAGGATTGTACAATATTGTCATACTCAATCATCTGCGTAGCTTGTAGAAACAAGCTATCTCTCTCAACATCCTTGAGCGGGATATTGTCGTCGTTGCTATGCATTCGAACAAGAAAGCTGATAATACGCATCTTACACATGGCTTGACGAGTCATTGTAAGGGTAAAGAAGTGCAGAGGGATCTTGGGATCGCACTGGCTGAGATAAGTGCCCTCGATATGCGCGCAGTACCCGTCGAGAGTATATACAGGCCCATCTTGGCCAGCAAGACGGATTGTTGCCTGGTTTTTGTTGGCAGCTGGCCCCCCAGGGCTCTTGTCTGGGTTGTTCATTTTATAGCTGTCGCGATTGCTATCGCTCGAAACAGCCATTGCAAGCTCAACTCTTGTGAGGGAAAAGAGCATTTCAGTTGGACCGGTGTGGGGAGTGGGGAATTCTTTGCCATCGACGTGTAAGTCCGAGTCGTTGACATTCATTGGTATTTTACAGTCACCACCGGTAGAGAGGGCAGTGACAGTTGATCCAGCCATCTCTCCTAGTCGCCGGTCGTATCCAACCAGCGTCCACCATAGCCGACGGCGTTGCTCAACTTCGAATGGTGGCAAGCCAAACTGAGCCGGGTCTCGATGAAGACCCATTCGTTGAGCAATACGGACAGCCAACCCAATCAAGCAGAAGACCTGTCGAGGGTCAACAAACCACCGAACAGCAAACTGAGATTAAGTCAGTATAAAAGCCCGAATCATGTAGCTGATGATAAATTTACCAGGTAGAGAATATACGCCTGCAGCAAAATGGGATCGTTGACTCGCATAAACCCAGCTGCTGTAAGCGCTTGCTGGGTGCCAGCATGGTATCTCGCTAAGAGTTCCTTTTTGGTTTCGTTAAATCTCCTGTAAACATCGGCTTCCTCCAGTGATGTGATTGCCATTAGATACATGGAAAACATGAGAGCCTCAATGTTCTTAGGTGCGTTTTCGATATCGGAACTTGCTTCGATGATCTGACCCTGGACAGTTGGTACATGTGTAATTTTAAGCAATGGGTTAATGTTGTCGATGTAGATTTGCCATAGTTGAAAAATGTGTATGGTAGAAGGGTGCAGGTTAACAATGGGAACAGGGGTAGCCCCGACAATGAAAGGGAATCCGTCAGTAGCAAACATGCGGTCAAAGGCACGATGAATGGTAGATCCCACCTCAGGTTCTTCATCGGATGAGTCTTGGAGCATATGTTCACTTGCTCGAAACTGTAGAGGAGATTAGGGACTTGCAGCAATTGGAGGAGCTGAGTTTTGGGCAGCATACCTCTTTGTGATAAGAAAACCACGCTCCACCACCGGTTCTGTAGTAGTGTAAGCAATCAACTCACAAGGAACAGGTTGGCATGATCTGTAGGATGCGTACTTTTGCTCTGCGTTGGATGGAGCAGGGGACGAGCTAGCTTCAGGGGTTGTCTTGAGACCTTCAAAGTCGTTCTCCAGCTCATCAACATCCTCACCTGGGGGACCATCAGGCCTTAACTCGTGGCCGATGGCATCGACCTTAACCCCATGCTCGGCTAAAAGGTTTTCATATTTCTTGAGACGCTCGATCAGATCCTTTTCTTGGAGGCGCTTCTTCCGACGACGAGGGGGCTGAGGAGGTATAACCCGGCACTCAACCTTGGCCTTAACACAGTTGGCACATGGTTTATTCTTATCACAGCGGACTTTGCGTTGTTGGCATAGAACACAGCTGGTGCCTCGAGTCAACTTGATGTTTGACGGATCTTGAAGTTGTTGTTGTTGCTGCTGTTGCTGTTGCGGGGCCGAGCCGGGAACACCGGGGATGCCATTGGGATAGGGCATGGCAAGCCGTGATGGGGGCCGTGTGAGAAGGTCCAAAGAGCCGGAGTCTTTGGACCCGATAGAGTGGATACTGTGTTCCGGAGCGGAGCAGCAATAGACAAAGCAGATGTCGGGCCCGGAGTGAGTGAATGCAGTACTGCGCTGGAGTGGTGGGTGCTGAGACAATTCGCCAGCAAACACAGCACAGCTGCGCGTTGCCGAACAAGTGGCGCTGACAGGCCCCGAAAAGGGCGTTCGATCAATCAGCAGCTATCAGCAGACCTGACCTATGTTTGATGGATTCAGCTAAGCTGCAAGTCAAATGTCTTGTCAGCCCTACAGCTGATGAAGGTACCGTGGCGTACTGTACTACCGCAGCTATAGGTAGGGATCAGAGTGAGGGACCAGATGCAATTGATTCCGCAACGGTCCAGTGGTAAGACTTGAAGAACGAAGAGTGTCTGTCTTGTTGTTTGATCTTCCCGTCGGGCCCGAAGCTACAGCACGGGAGCTTACTGTAGTTTACCTCGCTTGGCGGCCGTGCTTTGACATTGGATGAGAGGATTGATTGTTGGAAGATGTGGAAGAATGATTGGATGGATGGTTGGCCCCTCTTTCTCTTTGCTGATAAGATAACTTATGTGATACCTACCTGCCTGCTAGGTAGATTGAGAGACAAAGTGAAGTGAGATGCTACCTTGAATACAGGTAGATAAAAATGTCCAAAAGGAATACAGAGTAAAGTACAGAGAGACCATAACAGAGGACGTTCGGGTAACAAGAATGTAGAAATTGGCCGAGAGTTGTTCATGTTAAGAAGGCAAGAGCGCTCGTGTCCGTCGGTCCCGAGCAAGAGACCCTCTTGCCAGCTTCGCAACTTTGATTTCCCAATAAGGATTAGCGTCACCATCTCCGGATCCGACCTATTGCTTCATCTTTCACCTTCGGAGATTTATTCAGTCTTGAAACAATTTTATTCGGGTGGATTTTTCTGTGTCTCATGGGAAACTAAAGACTATCGACCGAGAAATCTCACTTCGCTTCGAAAATCTCCCCTAAATCATGACGCTAGTTTCGTGTTGTTGTAAAGCTCGGTCTTCTGTCTGTCCGATGGTCAACTCGCAATGTAGATATATATCTAGGACAATACCCAGTGCAGCAGTTGCTTCATGTTGTTTATCATCACTCAAACATTATCTCTCCGTCCAAGTAGCAACTCTTCCCTGATATACATTTATCTATTGGACAAGTCTACACCTCGACAACCTCAACAATGCCTTTGACTGAGAAGACACACTCTGGTCTTCCAGAACGCAAGTCAATCAACTCGCTCTCATCAGCCGAACCACAGATCCCCTACAGCTCTAAGCAAGAAGAAAACCCTGAGTCGAGTCAGAATGTTCAGCAACCATCTTCAAGCACTCGTGAACCTGAGAGTCCAGCGCCTCAAGGCCCAGTCGTTGACCAGGAAGCATTGGAAAACTACAAACCAAAAACACTCAAGTTCTGGCTCATCATTGTCTCGGTCTTCTCTGCCATGTTACTAGTTGCTTTGGATCGCACAATCATTGCAACCGCCATCCCCGAGATCACAAACGACTTTCAGAGTCTTGGAGATATAGGATGGTATGGTTCTGCCTACATGCTTACCACCGCTGCCTTTCAGCTCATCTTTGGGCGCATTTACCGTTTCTATGACTTGAGAAAAACATTTCTTGCCTGCATCTTGACTTTCGAGATTGGCTCTGCCATCTGTGGAGCTGCACCCAGCTCTGTTGCCTTTATTGTTGGGCGAGCTATTGCTGGAGTTGGCGCCGCAGGAATCATGACTGGCTCGATGATGTCTATCGTGCCCTTGGTGCCTCTTCATAAACGACCTCTCTTCCAATGTAAGTATCGGACGCTTCGCCATCACTCTATTAACTGACTAACTCTGTTTGCAGCAATGTTTGGTATGGTCTTTGGAGTCTCTTCAGTTGCTGGGCCTCTAATCGGCGGAGCTTTTACCCAGCATGCCACTTGGAGATGGTGCTTTTACATGAATCTCCCTGTTGGCGCCGTGGCCTCCGTCTTTCTCTTCTTCTTTCACACCATGTCGAAAAAGAAGCACGAGTCTGTCCCTGCCCTCGAGCATATCACCCGCCTCGACCCGCTTGGAACCTTCTTCTTCGTCCCTTCGATGGTTTGCCTTATCCTTGCACTTCAGTGGGGAGGCTCAACTTATGCTTGGAGCAGCTGGCGACTTATTGTGCTCTTTGTTATCTTTGGCTTCACACTCATTGCCTTCGCTATCGTGCAGGTCAAGATGCCAAAGACGGCAACCATTCCTGTCAAGGTAATTACCCAACGAACAATGCTGGCATGCGCTTGGATCTCGTTGTTCGTTGGTGGTGGCATGATGGTCGTTGTGTACTATCTTCCTCTATGGTGTAAGTTTCTCCTATCTTTATATCCTAGTCATTGCTAACATACTCCTAGTCCAGGCTACAAAGGGTGTCAGCCCAGTTGACTCGGGCGTCTACACCATTCCTCTCGTGCTCAGCCTTGTAGTAGCCAGTATCATCTCTGCTGCTTTTACCCAAAGGATTGGCTACTATGTTCCTTCCATGATAATCTGCCCCTGCATCATGTCTATCGGACAGGGCCTCTTAACAACCTTTAAGCCAGACACCGGTTCATCTCAGTGGATCGCCTACCAGTTTTTGGTCGGGTTTGGTCTGGGTCTTGGAATGCAGAGCGGTGGTCTCGCAATCCAGGCAACGCTTCCCAAGGAGGAAGTTCCTACTGGTCTCTCCATCACCTTTTTCGCTCAACAACTTGGCGGTGCTATCTTTGTTTCTGTTGGCCAAACTATCCTCAGCGGACGTCTCGTCGAACGACTGTCGGGTGTTCCTGGACTTGCCTCCAAGAATCTTGTTGAGACTGGTGCCACAGAGCTCAAGAAGATAGTGCCATCCGAGTATGTCCCCAAAGTGGCAGAGGCCTACAACTACGCCATCACCCGCATTTTCTACGTTGGTGTGGCATTGGCGTTGGGTCAACTGGTCTGCGCATTATGTGTAGAATGGAGGAATATCAAGCCAAAGAAGGCTGAGTCATCGCCAGAGACTGGTAATGCTCAGCAGGAGCAAAAGGCAGAGGAGTCATGATGGACGAATAACGACGAATACGGAGGGGGTCATGGGTAATAATTATAAAAAAGGGTAACCAGTATGATGAAAGAAAAGCTCCTCTCATTAGAAAAAGAATTGCTCCGGGAAGGAGGATACAGTTTACAATGCATTAGATAGAATCATTACAGTAGCTAAACATCCATGAGTATGACCATGTAATTGATTTTCTATGCGTATATCTTAATTAGGCAGTCCATTGTGACTTGGACGTGACCCGATTTGTTGTTGCTGTAGCTCACCGTACATCCTTCTTGGTCTTTTATGCTCAAATATCATCTTTAGATGGCATTTTTGGCGATGAGTTGTAAGGCGTAGTCGATTGAGTATGGCGGTGAAGCCTGTAAGTGCCATGATCATCATGCGACATCCACCAGAGAAATCTGGACAGGGATCCCATCTCTACAACTGTACAAACGTTTGAAAAGAAGGCATGAAGGGCCCAATCCTTGGAATTTGGCGTCTTTTTGAATCTCCATCTCCTCCGGACTTGTATGAAATAACCTTTAATGTGTGGGTTCGCCCACAATTGAGTCCACGACAGCCCAAAGGCCCAGGCATATTTACACCTCTCTCTCTCTATCGCCATCGATCTATGGCGCAATTCATGACTTGTACTTTTCTGTCTAATCCTTAATCAAGATACAATCATCCAAGTCCAATCGCTACTACCATGTGCACAAACATCAGAACAACAATGGCTTGCGGCCACACATTCACAAACTATGCGACGGCGTGTGGCATGCAGCCCATGTCACGTTTACGTTCATATTCACGATCACGTTCGCGATCACGACCACGCTCATGTACACCCAGCGTCAAGACTCAACACTTCAACGACACATGTGCTGCGTGTGACCCAGCGGCCCGGAGGCGCCGTGTTCGGCAGGACTATGAGAGCCGGCACGCCGAGCTCATGGCGCTGTACATAGCGGCCAAACGGACGGGCGACAGGGACGCCATGGCGCGTGTGGAACTTCTCGTTCTGGAAAATTCCATGACTACTATGGAACGCAACTTTCAAATCAGCATGCCGTATCAAGAAGAGGATGTTATATGGTGGGAAATGAACTGAAGGAGAACTGAGCGGAAATGATTCACGACAATAACGAGAGGGCATAGATTAGGCGTTGGTCGGGCTGTTTAACTTTGATAATGGAGGAATTCGGAGTAATCTTTTTTTGTTTGCATTACCGTCTATTGATATCTATCCATCTGTTATTAACACATTAAAACCATGACCGAGATACCTTTAATCTCCCAAGATGATCCTCTGACATGTTCCAGAGTATTGTGTTCCTCTGTAACCCCACTCTACTGGTGAAACGCCGATAATGATAAGATCGTAAGATAGCTTTTTAGATGCTCATGACCGAGATTCTCGTATCCATATCCGACATGGATAGATACTTTATGTTCGGCATGACAAAAAGATGAGGTGAATCATTCTTGGTCTAAATAGCTGCGCAAAAAATCAAGCCTACCCTCGAGTCGTTGACGAGGAATGCAAACGTGGTATCCAATTTTTGTTTAAACAAGGAAAATCATGTGTCGTAAATTTCGGTGTATCATCTTGACCTGTGCAACATTCAATGCGATCTGGGTGACGGTGGTGTCGGGGATATTGATCGGTACGCTGGGCGGTCATATTGTACGCTCTTGAATGCCGGTAGGAAGGTATCAATCGAGAGTGGCGGTTGATATGTTGGCATTGTTTGTATTTGAGAATAGTCCAATTCGATAGAAGTAGCAGTAGACGAGGTAGATGTTGTCGAGGCATCTGAGGCGATAGAATTTGCCTGTTTGTATTTCTTGGTGGGTGGCGGCGTGTCACTATCGATGCTATCGCAATGGCGGCGCTTCCCACTGCGAGTCGAAGCCATGGTGTTGCGTCCTGTATCCGTATGCTGTGGTAGATAAAGAGTAGGCGGCGTGATGGTGAATTTAGGTGAAGGCGCCGAGACGCGGACCATTTTGTCCGTACTTTGGCAAAAGGCGGCGATCATATTCCAAGTGCGACGGTACGGTACTGTACAATACAAGCAGTAGACTTGGGCCAGATCTGGTGAGACAAGGTGGGTGGGTTTTGAAGTCGAGAGTCGCTTTTTAGTGTTGACCGAAAGATCAAGATCCAGATCAAGATCCAGATCAAGATCAAGATGAGTGTCGGAAATCGAAAGCAGATAAGAAAGAGATTCTGCTAGAGAGATCAGATGAGTATTTGATATTTGCCGAAAAGATCCAAGACAGTAAATTCAGCCAGTGAGAAACAGCCGAGGAGGAGGGGCTAAGAAAGGTAAAAGGGAGAAACGAGAATGATATATGATAAAGATGCTTTGTTTGCGGCTAGACAAACAAATACAAGAGGCAGTGGATATCAATGGAGGAACACGATAAAGAAAAGAAAGAAAGAAAAAAGATGGCCAGAATGCAATGGAAAAAGAGAGGAACGAAGGGGGGAAAAGGTGAGACTCGGGTAAGTACTGTAGGTAAGAGAAAGAGACAAGACGATAGGCAGGTAAAGCAAAATGCCCACATCCACATCCATCAAATGCCTGCTTGCATATGTACTTGCATACCTGTGGAGATGCGACGGGCAACTAGATAAACCCTTTTTTTTTTTTCTTTTTCTTCTTCTTCTTCAATATAGAGTTTATGCCGCTCTCCTCTGCTCGGCTCTGTATTTCCTTCAGAGTACGGATATCCTTACAAGACTAGAGGTAAACTGCCCTGTCGTACGGGGCTTTCGTTGTGTCGTCCTGAGAGACCTGCAACCGCTGGCGGTTTTGAACAAAGGATCTCGCGCATCAAATGGGTCCAACCTCAGCTCCTGGTGATCAAAGCTTCAACAAGGGCATAAATATAAATCAAGGCATGGAAGGATCCGTCCGCCGCGCTACCAAGCAATTCAATGAGTGATGAGCAATAGACAATGGATATGCTTTAAATAGATGAGAAGACAGTCTTTAATCAGACCACTTAAAGCATTAGATAGTAAACATTCATCACCAACAATTACTGAGACCAAATGTTGTGTCGCGTTGTATGATCATGAGACAAATATCCGTCCATGTTACTACAGAGTAAAACGAACCGCAAATGGCGGCAAAATTCAGGGTCGCATGCAGCTGAGCTCGAATTAAAACGGAAATTGAATGCTAACATAATATCGGATTCTCTGTTTCTTAGGTACCTACCTCTTGACCCCACATTGAATTCCCGCCCTACCCGTCGTCTCAGCAAGTATGGGTAGCTTAAGGTACTAAGGTAGAGGCCTACTAAGCTACCTGAGTCCGGGCGGGCAGGCAGCTTTGCAGCCTGGAGCTAGGTCCTACCTACTACGTAAACTCAGCGCGGGGCATTGTTATTCCCATGATCCATCTTCAACTCACCTCCATCGTCTTCAATCTTCACGCTATCATCTATCAGCCAAGCTAACAATAGCTTCGCTCAACACCACACCAGACCTTCTAATCTCAACCACCCTGACTAGCCTGAACCAAGCAATTTCCACCTCCGTCTTCGAATCTCATACACGATCCACACCCAACTGATACTTTGACTACCTCATCATGGCTACCTCGGCCCCCGCCAACCCTCTTCTCTCGAATCAGAAGAGTTCCGAACTTCAGGCTGTCCTTCACCCTCTCGTTCTTCTTACCATCTCCGACTATATCACGCGGCATACTCTTCGTCAGCAGCAGGGTCCTATCATTGGCGTCTTGTTAGGCCAGCAGAATGGCCGCGAAATCACAATCGAGCATGCTTTCGAAGCCCATACTCGCCAGGAGCCCAGTGTACAAGGCGGATACCTACTTGATGGTGACCGATTCAGCACACGTCTAGAGCAGAGTCAGTTGTCACGTATACGCTGTTGGTCTACCTCTCTAACCGCATACTAGTGATCACCGTCCACAAAGACAGACAACTCGACCTTGTCGGATGGTATACCCTTCTACCATCTTCCGGCCCTACCTCGACTATTCTTCCCGTTCATAATCAAATTCTTCAAGGCTGGAACGAGTCGGCCATACTTCTGGGTTTCCACCCAGAACAGGTCCTTGATCATTCTGTCGGCGGCAAGCTCCCTCTGACCATTTACGAAAGCAACTACGAGGTCGATGATCCAAAAACTGATAATGATGGCGAGGATAAGAAGATGGACGATGGAGAACCTACGCTCAAGCTCAAGTTCAAAGAGCTACCATACACCGTCGAGACTGACGAAACCGAAATGATAAGCATGAACTACGTCGCTGCTTCGGGAGGAAACGCGGCAGCTGCTGTTCCCAAGGAAGACAAGCCATCTCTCTCAATCGAATCAAATGGCAAAGGAAAGCGCCGACTCGTCGAAAGCCAGGACGAAGAGAAAGATGTTGCTCAAGAGGATGAGGTTGCACTTACGCCAGAGGAGGATGAGATGATCGCCGCCCTGACTGCAAAGGCAAACGCCATCAAGATGCTCCAGTCCCGACTCCATCTGCTCACGACATATCTCGAGCGCCTTCCCCCTTCCTACGTCAATGGGGACGCTACCGATCCTAGTAGCATGGATACCGACTATACCACCCCGTCACCAACCGTTCTACGTCGTATTCAAGCTCTCGTGAGCCGCCTGGACCTTGTCATTCCTTCCGACAAACCCTCGTTCGAGCGAGAGATGCTCCACGAGGCCAACGATGTGAACTTGGTGAGACTACTCAACGGAATCGTGCAGAGCCTGGGTCAAGCTCGCGACGTAGGCAAGAAGTTCCACGTTGTTGAGGCTGCAAAGGCTACACATCGTCGTGGTGCAGCTGCTCCCAGTCAAGAGTTCGCTGACCCATCCTTCAATATCCGTGGGGCTGGTGATATTCTAATCTAGAAACGACTGTCCATTTGCTTGCAAGTCTGAAGCACAAAGAATCCGATATGATCAAGATGAGCTTGTCACAAAGTATTTTAGCCCGGCGTTAGGTGTTTAGAGTAGATGACGAATACAAAAACATTATAGACCGGCCACATCATCCCTAGCAAGCAATAGCCCAAGGCTCTCATCGATATGCATTTTGACTATGGACCCAGTAATTGAGCTTTATCTTGCTACCAAACCATCAACACTCTTAGAAGATTATTGTGCCTTGTTGTCAATGTTGTTGAAATGGTTGAGGCGGCTGCTGCTGCCAGCGTTTGCGTAACGTCAATTTTCACTTGTTTGTGCACCTATAGCCGATATGCCCGCCAGGAATCAATAACCCAACTCCCAAGACCGAAAGGGACGTGTCATTAAATCATGCAATTGCCTGGATATCTATGTCTATTTTCCGTACCATGGCGTGGTTTCAAATCTGAAAAGAACCTTATGTCTCAATCACAATCTTCAAAACTAGGTTGCCCTCCTCGTCACTGGTGCGTGTTGCAAGCTCGAATGCAGTTTGTGCCTTGTCAAGACCCCTGAAGCGATGCGTCACCATGTCGTCCAGCGAAGGAAGACAACGTCCAGAAGGGTTCGTAGCTTGAGAGCACAAAAGCCGAATGCCAGTAGGATAGGTGTTCGAGTAGCGGAATACGCCCAAGATATCGATCTCACGCAGGTGCGCCACTGACAAAGGCAGGGTTTGGATAGGGGTTCCCATGCCTACCATGATGACTTTTCCCCCAGCCTTAGTCGCATACAAGCTTGTGTGCATACAGACCTCTTTGCCGGTACACTCAAAAGTGATATCAACACCGTCCTCATCCTCTTCAAGCAGGAATGAGCCTGCCGGATTCGATGAAGCAACTATATCTGCTGCCAGAGACTTTGCTCCGTCAAAGCGGCTTGCCGTCGAAAATGTGCTGGCCGGTGTTGAAGTACCAGTAGCAGGAGTGGAGATACCCGAAGAGTAGTTTGATGAATTCAAGCGTGAGATGGGAGTCACGAACCCATGCGTTGCAAATCCTCGGCTGACGGCGTAGTTCACACGCCCAGCATCAATGTCCGTGATAGTTACTGAAGTACAACCTGATTGACGAGCCATTGCAGCAGTCAACAGGCCAACGGTGCCGGCCCCAACAACAACGGCAGTGGAGCCAGGCTCCGGTCTTGCGCGATTCACTGCATGTATAGCTACCGACAAGGGTTCGAGGAGAGCCGCTGCCTCATATGAGACGTTGTCTGGAAGCCTGTACGCTTTAGTAATCGCTTTCGTCGTAGGGGGTGCAATTGACTTACTTGTGACACCAAACTGCAGGGTGATTAATCCTTTCCTGCAATGTGCCTTGGTAGTGAGGATATGTTTTGGCACTGCTCCTGAAGCGCAACTTTTTACACAGGTTGTACCGGCCCTTACGACAAGTACCGCAGTTTCCACAAGCGACGCCAACCTCAAGGGCGACTCGGTCTCCTAACTTGAAGCCATTCACTTGAGGGCCAATAGCAACAACTTCACCAGACGATTCGTGGCCTAGAGACAGTGGGTGGCAGGCACAAAGATCGCCGTTGGCAAACTTCTTGTAGTAAGAGACGTCTGAGCCACAAATGCCTGTTGCTTTGACAGCAATCTGAAGCTCGCCTGCTGCTGGAGGCTCAATGATTCTAGTTTCCTGACACACGTCATCAGTCAGGCTTGTGTTCGGGTAGGGCTGAATCTTTAACTGGGGCGGTGGTCATAGTTAACTTACCATCCGCAGATCGCGGGGACCATGCAAGACAGAAGCGCTGATGCTCAAAGGCTTTGAGGGACCTGGTAAGAGCGCTGATGCGGCCTCTCCCGTAGCAACTGGGGCCATGGCTGTCAAGTTCAGTGCTTGAAGCGTGGGATAAAGGTGGGATTTTGATTGAGACTGGAGACGTGAAGTCGGTCGATGGCTTGACCAGTTGCCGTTTGGGGCATTCACAGTAAAGCGGATTGGCTGGTGGGGAGCGAAGAAACGTGGGAGTTGACGAGCGCGTGGGGGTAAGCTCCAGGATAGTTCGTGGAGGTGCTTCAAGTGCCAAGTGCTTTAGCCAGGCAGATATCGAGAAAAACTGGAGGTGAACATGAAACTGATGAATCGAGCCTTTCTGGTACAGTGGTGGAACTAGGTAGTTCGGGCAGGTAAGAAGCTTTTTAGATATAGGCGAAGGGGACCAGAGAAGACGGGTTCCCACCCTTTAAGTACCTAGGTAGTAGGTAGATAACACGCTCACTCTCCCCAGCTCACTGCGGAAGTTTGGGCAGAGGAGTCCGGATCAAGAGCGATGGGGAGTAAGGGCGTGTGCTATCGTCAAGTTGCCCAGTGCCAAGCTGGTGGGTGTTCAGAGGCGTCTGAAACGACAGGAAAAGGCCCAGTCAGGGATCATTAAGCTATCGGAGGGAAACCAAGACCTACCGTAAAGTGTTGTCATATAACAAACTAGCTGCAGGACTTCCATACAGTAGCATGATGGCAAATGCGTACCGGCGGAGGGGCGGTCTTGTCGCTGGGGTCCTGACGAGCCAGATGTGTGCCGTGTGCCATGTGCGTGGGCCAGGGCCAAGTAAAGAGAGTGAAATTGGTGGATGTCTTGCGGTCGAGGTTCTCTTAGAGCGGGCGTCCGTCTCGCATGCAGATACAGGTTACAAGGGTTGGAAAGCCTAGCGCTGGTACAAGCCCCAGATTACTTATATCAGCTATAAGTCTTACTTTTACTACTATAAGATAATAAGCAGTTACTACCATATAAAAGAGTAGCTAAAAAGCTATCTAATGGTACTATTATTGCTATATCTTACTCCTATAGCTCTCTTTCTATATCTTTATAAAACACTAGGTGGCAAAGGTAGGTATGTTTGGGACCACTTTACAGGATTTCCAACCCTTGTAACCTGTATGGGGCGTCACTGAGGACTTGATGCTTGTTCGTGGGGCACGCTACCAAGGGTCTTTTAGCGGCATTGGCTTTCCAGGGCTCTCCTAGGAGCAGTTGGTCAATATCGCGACCAGTTGTATCTTCCTGCTCCTCTTCTGTGTTTGTTTGAGCAGACAGACAGCATGTCTGCAATACTACTGTACTGGACGATGAGGTGTGCTACCAAAAGCTGTACCACAATTTGATAACGCCGAGATCTTGATGATGACGGCCGCGACTGGTGCCCGCTCTAACGAGGAAACAAGATCGTCAATTGTGACGACGAGCATGCCCTCGATGTTGTCGCATATCTCTGCAACGGAAGACGGCCAGGTGTACCGGGGGCCATGTAACTTGCAATCCTAAGCCATGCACAAATAAGAGCATGGCATAACGCTTAGTCTGCCCGATATCGCGGTGAGCGAGACTGGTACTGTACAAACAATGCTATGACAACTAGAAGGTCGTCGTAGGAGCGACAATTGAATTGTCCTTTATGAGCTCGAGTTTGGGGTCACCAACATAGTACCTATGTGAATGGTTGAGAGGGTCGGGTGCCGGTATTGATCATAGTTTTGAAGACGGTAGTAGGATTCGTTCTTTACAAAGGAATGAGTCGTTAATAAGGCTTGTTCTCCACGGTTAAGCCTCATTTGGGCTTCTTTACCTTCTCCGTGTGTAGGTCATCAATCAGGTGTCCATCTGATAGTACCTAGCGCACTGCTCTGATGGATAGGTAACGGATGCAAGAAGGTCACAAGAAAACCCAAAAGAATCTGGGGAAATCATATCACAATACCGATCATTATGGTGCTTGTCTCCATCAATAACAGGAAGCTCTTTCCCTGAGCAATAGGTAGGTATGTCTAACCTTCCAGGTGTAGGTACCTAGGTAGGTACTTGCCTCCACTTCCACCAATCGGAGACATACCCATTCTATTAAACAACAATAGGGAAGGCGCATCTCCCATGAATTCCGACGTCTTCCTTACCTACCTGAGCAAGATTTTCTCTTGGCCGCCTGATACACTTTTGAACCTGCAGTCATTGATATCTCAGTCCTCTGCAGCTCTCTGAGACACAGTCTTGTAGGTGACATTATGAGGAAAGATACCCGAAACTCCCTTGAATCCATTGTTATCCCGACAGGCGAGATCAATTACCGCTATCAATTGACACACATTCTCGACTATTCGCTGCCCGCTTATCGCGGTCTACCCGTCACGCCATTGACTTTTCATCGCCGACAAGGCCCCCTGGGAGCACGCGAGAGGATAGCGTCTTTTCATTCGGTCCCTATCAATGTCTGCTGTACAGTACTCTATACCTTTTACTCACTGATAGATGGCAGGGATCTCTGAGAGGGTGAACCCCAGACCCCATAGGCAATATGGCAATCCAACCCTACAAAACGGGGATGGGATACGAATGCATCCGCCTCCCCTACTCTATCGTTTCCCCACGGCGATCTGTTGTCTCAAGATGAGAGAGGAGTGATCAAGTCCAAATCTGGTGGTGCCCCTTCTACCCAGAACGATACGGAGAAATGCCAAACAAGAGTTACCGTAATTGCATCCAAATGCTGTCAACACACAACCTTGCAAGTTGAGCGCTTGCAGCAACCTTTGTGCTACGTCTGCACCCTCATCTTCTTCCGTTTAGAACATGGCCATCAACAACCTAGGTTTGATCTTGCTAGCCGGCTCTACACCACTCGGGTGCCAGGAAATATTATCTAATGCAGTCTTTGCCGCAAACTTCAGCTTCGTCCGAACCTGACAGGCTAAGTGCCGTGTCCCTGGCTTTCAGTCAGGACGAAATATTTCGCTGTTCCAGGTAGATGTTCGCTGTTCTACCACGGAATTGGCGTGGTTGATTGGATGGTTTGGTTTGGCTATCTCGCCGTGGCTCTGTCGCAGGGTTGGAGGCTTGTAAAGATGCAGACATGACGAGATTCATGCACTTCGGGTTCCACTGCTTCATCCCAAGCCCTAGGTATGGCAGTCGATTCCTGATCAACAGTCCTAGGCCAAAACGGTAAGAATCCAGGACCCAAGCATGCCAAGCCAGTTCGCAATAACTGTCAATCACGGTTAAAGACTTCCAATGAAATGGACTCACTAGCTGCGATTCAGGCTCAATGCGAGGTTATCAACACCCGAATTACCGACAACTTCGATTTATGGAGAACGGCTATGGTTTACAGACCCAGTTGCCAAGTTAGAGTGTGGCCTCATTGCTTCCGTAGTCGACGGCCACGATTTTGGCACCCAAGAAATTAATTCGACCGTTACAGTCAAATCAATGCTCTCGATCAGATCAGCCGTGCCCCCTCCAAACACACTACATGCGTACTGCCATATATACACATGGTATGGCCATAGAATGGCCAGACCGCCACTTGGTATCTTAAACCCACCAGGCGATTTGACTTAGTTACTGTTGATAAGAGTTTCAACAAGAACAAATGAACAATTGAGACTGTCATTGAATTATAAATACTACCCCAAGGCGACATCCATGTCAGCTTCATCCGTGGTATGCAAAATACCGAAATGCATCCAGTGGCTTGCTATCGCTACAATATGGGCTAAGCTTGACTGCATCTTGAATGTTGCCCAGCATGTATAGAGGCGTGTTCACTCACGCATGCTTGTAGCCATGAAACCCTTCGTTGGTTACGATTTTCTCCTAGTAACCTCGACTTTCCACGAGCAAGTCTTGGATTGGGTTTTCTTCAATGTGTACAACGAATCTTATTGTAGCTATCCCCACATGCAATTGGCAGTTACACGCTAATCTCGAACAGCCGTAGGTTGTATACGACAGTTACATGCATAGTGCGTTATCCTGCGGCTTGGCATCGGTGAGCATAAACTTTAGATATCCTCAGACCGATTTCATATTGCGAAAACAATATCCAATGAGTTCGAATTCCTTTATCTTTCTAGGGCCTCTCAAAACCAGTGCAGAAACTCACGTGAAATCATGAAACGTACCTCTGCGTTGCCATTTTCGACGACGGACATAACTGCGACGATTGATCAAGCCCTATCCTGATAACTCAATACCTACTTAACATCGCATCATCCTTATTCGGGTACTGAAAGCCACACGTTCTCTCTGCCAACCCTTTCACACCGCTTATCGCTTCGAAGATCGGACGGCAGATGTTAATGATAGATGACAATTTTGTGTTGTACCACAAAGTAGTGTTATTATCACAGTCGAGGCTGCTGATTGATGTGTACGGTTTACGAAGGCACACCACGGTGTTCAATGCAAGTTATGAGGCCTTACACATACAGAAGAGGAGACCACCAGAGGTAAAGATAACATACAGTTTTAAATGACACCAGGCTCGGAGCGATGCTATCAAACAGAGAAAAGAGGCAGGAATCTGATGCAGGGCCCTCGTTCATCACCCATAAGCGTCCTGGCAAACCAGCTTAGAAAGTGCTGGCGGCCAGTCGACTCGCAGCATTTCTGGCGTCCACTCGATCCTCGTCTTCCTCCTCACTGACACCCTTGAGGCCTGTACGACCGGCGCCCTGGCGTCCTTGACCTGTCTCGGTGTTCTCTTCATTCTCGCCCTCCTCTGATACCTTACTGATAAGGCTGCCTGACACGCTGCGACCAGTTGCATCTGAACGACGAGGAACGCCACTCCAAGAGTCGCCCTTGGGACCTTGGCTAGCTGCGAGGCTCGAGCGACGTACAGTTGGGTGTGATTCGCGACCAAGTCGGCTCAGACCACCTGAAGCGTCAATTGATCTAATGTCTGGGCGGACTGTCTCTAGTAGAGCCAATGTCCGCCTTTCGGCCTCGATTTCACGAAGCACATACTCCCTGATGCTCAAACGAAGATCTGCAGAGGTTCTCGAGAACCATTTTCGTCGCTCTTGAACCAGATTCTGGGTCACGCGGTTGGTTTTGTTATACAACCAAGTCTCATGCTGGCGAGCATCGTCCAATGCTGTGATGGCCTCATCTACCTTCTCGCGACGCACACTCGAGCTTGCCTTGAGGCGATCGGCTGCATTTAGCTTACTGCGCGTGGCCTCCTGTGCTTGTAGAAATTCACGAATTAGAATTTGGCGATTGGTAAGTGATTCCTTGACAATAAAAGCGTCCTGGGAATGGTATTGGAACGGGTCGCCAATAGTCGTGGCCTCTGCTGTTGCTTGGGCAGCATGGTAGTCACCAACGGTCTGAACGACTTTACCAAGCTTTCGGTAGGCGTTGGCCAGACCAGGATGGAGCTCTTGGACGTGCATACTGGTAAGTTTAGAACCATAATCGGCTTCAGAAAGGCCAAGACCTGGGGGACGTTCAGTATTCTGTAGTTTTACGGCACAACGAAAACTCACCTCTTCGAGCTTTGACCAGCTTATCAACCTTGTGGCCAGCATCCATGCTGCCCAGATAGAAAAGCTTAACAGTTGGTCGCGCATCCGCAAGCTCAGGGGTGTCGTCGGGAGGCGGAGCAAACTGCTTCAAGATCTTTCTACGCACGCCTGTCGCGGGCTGTTTCTTCTTGACCATAGGGCTGTAGCCAAAATCGCTTTCCACGAATAGCACCATCTCGTCGTCTCGCATCAAGACCTCGTTGCTGCAAACGTAATTCAACCATCGCTGCATCAAGGCCTTGACACGAATTTCATCCTCATCTGTGCCGGCTCCAGCGGAGGTCAGAGGCGGGGGGACTGCAGGAACAAAGACCTCTGGGTTTGCAGATATCAGATGATCCGCGAGCTTAACAAACTCGGAGTGCAGACGGCGGACGTCGCGGAATTGAGTTGTACGAAAGCGGGGAATATTTGTCTACAACCGTCAGTTTATGCGGGGGAGAAGGGGACCTGAAAATAGCCATACGTGAACATCAAACCGCAAAATAGGGTCCTTCTTGCCAGTGCGCTCAAGTCCAGTGATCTTGGCCTGGAGTCTGTACTGAGGTCCAGCTGGTTTTTGCGGAGGCTGCTCATGCTCAGGCTGCGAAGCTGGTGGACCAGCCTGGCCGTATTGCTGGCCCTGTACCGTGACTCGTTCTGCGTCCTCGGCTGAGGGTTCGGCGGTTGTGGACTGCGACTGCGCCTCTGAAGGGTGCAGCGTCCCCGAAGCCTCAGTGTCATCTTCAGTGCCAGATGCCGTGGTCGCAGTGCCCGGACGAGGGAACTCTTCAGTCTGAGGCGTAGACTGTTCTTGGGATAAACCGTTCGAAGATTGTGTGTTGAAGCGAAAGGGAGGAGGAGGATTATCAGCCGAGACGGGATTGAAGGCAGCAATATTGTTTCGCGATGGAGACGACACAGGGGAGTTACCCCAGGGCGAATCGCCGGCGGGATCCTCAGCGTCGTGGATCGTGGAGCTGTAGTCCATCGCGAATGGCGATTATGTTAGCTGAAGAATTGCTGATGGGGGAGAGAAGCTGAAGGAATGACGTTGCGTTATGTTGCGCGCACCCAGATCCAAGCCCAAGTCGGCGGTCGGCAGGGACGGACGGGGGAGACGGGGGTGGAGTAACTTAAGGTAATCGAATTGAGCCAGACCACCTTTGCGGAGTGGAGGCTCAGGGAGCTTAGACCTTGGACCCAACCCAGAGCAATGGTTATCTTATCAGCTCTCTTTAGGTTAGTGAGGGGCTTAGAGAAAATGTTTGGCTCGACATCACTGGGAAGGAATTTGAGATTTGCCAGTCAACCTGCCCTGCTACCTTAGGTACTTTAGTTGACAGCTCTTGCGCCGACTTCAAGCAACAACCTCAACGACCAAAGACTTGTCTCAATTCTTGAATCAATACTGGAACGCAATACAAATTTCAAAATGGGCAAAAAGCGCGCGCGCGAAGAAGCCAAGGATGTCCCACCTGCGGACGTCGACAAGATGGACGAGGATGGCTCCGATGGTGAGGTAGGCAAATCTTGATGAAACCATACCATTACCCTTCTGACCATCGTATAGGATTTCGATATGGTCGACGTCGATTTTGAGTGGTTCAACTTTGACCCCGAGGTTGACTTCCATGGAACCAAAACCCTTTTGCGACAGCTATTCGACGTTGATGCGAATCTTTTCAACATGTCTGCCCTCGCCGATCTTGTTCTCTCACAACCCACAATTGGCTCGACCATTAAGGTTGACGGCAAAGCCAACGACGCCTACGCGATGCTCACCGTCCTCAACACAGCTGTTCACCAAGATAAGGAGCCTATGAATGATATCATCAAGTACCTTGTGGAGAAGGCGCAAACCAATTCGTCTCTAGCACCCATTGCGGATGTACTCGGCAGCGGCAAGCATGTAGGACTCGTTTTCTCTGAACGACTCATCAACATGCCCTCTGAACTGGCGCCACCGCTCTACTCAATGCTTGTCGATGAGGTCGAGGCCGCCGTCGAGGATAAGGAGCCTTACAATTTCTCCCACTACTTGATTCTATCCAAGACATACCAGGAGATGGAGTCCAAACTGGATGTCGAGAACCAGAAGCGCAAGAAAGCCAAGGAGGAAGCCGGCATGTACTATTTCCACATGGAGGATGAGGTGCTGCACAAACATGCGGTCGCGCACGGAAACTTCAACTACACAAAAGAGGACGAGCTGGCGGCAGACAGCAAGCGGGCATTCCAAGAGATGGGCGTCAAGGCGCACGGGCACATGATTCTCATTGAAGCAAACAAGTTCCCCGGGGCAGTAAAGGCTGTTAATGAATATCTGAGTGCTGCGCAATAAAAGAACCTTAGGCGTCCGATTCTAGCCTCTGCATTAAGTATTCAACCTCCACCTCCTTGGTCAACGGGATAACAAAGTCCTTGTACATTGAAACAACGGCATCGACATCGATCTTTGCCGCTCCTTCTGTTCCGTCTGGGATAGAGGGGTCCTTTCCATAAGTCAAAGCCTTGAGTCGTAGTCGCTCGAGAACCTGTTTCTCAACAGCAGAATTGGTGATGGACTCTGCGATACCTTCTCGGTCCTCTGCCTTAATAAGTCGGATGTATTTCTCCTGCTCAGAGCGGAACTTGGACTCGGCGACAAATTTGCCGAAATGAATTCGTCGTGACAAGGCTTGTAGACAAGCAATATCGCAAGTCGCAGTTGAGCCGTAGTTTTCCTGAGACTCGCCCCGCTCCTCGCGGCCGAAGTCGGGGCACACAGCGGGAAGGAACTTTTCTGTATAGAATTGCTTGATCTTGTCGTTCACGTTGACGTCGTTTTCGTGTAGGATCCTGGGGTAGTTGAGAGGCTTAAGAATTGGCTTTTGCAGAGCATCTGGGAAGAAAGGGTATTCGTCGGGAGATTCGAAACGGCGGATCAGAGATTGCAGCTTTTCTTGTTCGCGAAAGTACCAGTCGAGAAAGCTCAGGTTCGCCTCTGGCAGCTCGACAGCTCCAGGGACGTAAATCGTCTATTGAAAGACCAGTCAATCACCTATCATGCACTCTCTGTAGCTTCTGATTATGTTCGGCTGGACCGGGGTTTGTATGAGGTGCCTCATATCCCACTTACACCATTCAATGCGAACTGGACTCTTTCAATCAAATGGAATGTGATTGTGTCCTCAAGTCGACTTCTACTGTCAGTCTTGATCTATCTTGAACCCAAAGAATAAAGCTTATGTGGAATTGGGTAACTCGTACATGAGCTGGAACCGGATTCTAGCAAGGTCCAGGGCGTGTGCGGCATCGGCCATGTTGATAACTGTATCCATATTGATTAGTTATGATAATAAAGAGTGATTGCGTCGATTGTTTCTTGGCTCGAATAGGTAGTGTAAACCTGAATAGTTGGAAATATTCAGGGCTGATCAGAAACGACAATGTCCAAGTTTGATACTTGGCCAAAGTGAGATGAGATTATCAATGTAACGAGTCGTATTGAAACCCAATTGACTCAAAAGGTTAGTTGAAGCGGGTACGGAGTACGGAAAGCCCAGTTGTACGGGCACTGAAGATTTCCCGTCTGGGCTGCCGACTTTACCTGCCCGCAGTGTCAGAAGAATTGACCGTCATAAGCGTAAGGAACGAAATAGTTTAGTCATCTTATGCCAGATTTGATTAGCATTTAGGCTACTTTATTTTGGAGGCCTGAGCCTTAGAGTACCTTACATTTCATCTTTTCACCTAGCCTGCCCGACCGAGACCGAGCCCAGGGCAAGAGCGGATCGGGAACTACCTGGAGCCGGCACTTCCCTAAGATCGATTACCATCTTTTCGCGAACCTGTGCGAAAAATTACAGTGGACCTTCCTTACTTTATTGAAATCCATGATGGGCGGGCATGGAGGGGTAATCTTTTCTGGGGCTGGGAAGAGCTCAGGAGGGAAGGAGGTCTTGGATGTCACCAGCCGGGCAGCATAAAGCCGCACTTGATCTAATCTAATTGAAGAGCTTGGACTGGCTTAAGTCCAGGGCACAGACAACCTGGAAGCAAGCCGAACCAAGGTAGCAACTGCACGCCACCAGACCGTGTTCAGAGATCGTTCCAGCAGTTCCAGCGCTGCGGCAGACCTGTCACAGTAACCAATTACAGCGGGATTTCCATTTGCTTCTGCCCACATTAGCGTCTCGGGTCAGAAGCCTCCCAAGCCCAAGTCCAAGCCCGTGGTCGGGTCTTTTTGCCCTCCACCTCTAACTATAACCAAGGTTATCCCGGCGCGCGTCATGATAAACTCCTCGTGAGCGGCCAATTCTTTTGTTCTTTCCTCCCCCCGAAGCCTCAAGCGTCATTGTTTCAATTCAACGCAATCGCTTCAGAGCCCTCTGATTCTCTTACGCTTCTGCATCTCCGGCAGGAGCTTGGCCATGGCGAACCAAGAGACTCACTATGGCTTCGACGAAGGCGGAGATGACGACCAGTCTATTGTATCGGTGTGTAGATACTCGAAAATCCATTGTCCCATATGGACCGCAAATCGCTAACCTCAATCTTTCTTGGGTAGACGCGCGGACTCGAGGCTTTCAGTCGAAAGGTTACCACTACAGCTACTCATCTGATCGGTCCAAATGCTGAAGCCACGGCTCATCACTACCAAGCCGCCATGGCCGAGGTTCACAAGCAAATGAAGCGGCCGACCGTCCAGCGAAGCATGTTCGCGATGGCGAGAACGACCCCCACCGACCTCATGCGCTCCAGGCTCTCGACGCACGAAATTCAGCATCGCGCCTTGACGTACTTGCCCGATGAGCTCCTCGCCAACATTCCCGAACACGAGAACCCTTACTCGTTATTTCAGGGCTTCCAGGCCAGTTTTCCAGAGCTGACTGACGAAGGCAAGAAGTTCCAACGACGGGTGTCTCGGGGTCGCAAAATGCTGGAGGATTCAGAGGGGACGCCAGGAAGCCCTAAAAAGCTGACGCAGTTGAAAAAAGAGAAGGCCGCGATGATGCATGAATTTGGATTGTTGGGCACTCGTAAGAGTATGGCGAGTTATGAGATTCGAGAAATCGATAACAAAATCGCCAACCTCCACGGCATGCGAAGAATCATCTTGGACAGGCTAGCGGGATTGGAGCAGGATGAAGCCATGCTGGAGCATGACAGTATGTTCTGTGCCAAATATGTCTCAAGAGCTCTACTAACTTGACAAGTCTCTGAGATGGAAATTCGAGTTGACGAGGCCCAAGCACTGGTTGATGAAGCCGAGGAGATCGCACGAAACACACGGACTCAGGACGAGCAAGATCTAGTTGGTGACGCCGATGATCATGATCAAGAGTTCATGTCTCAGTCTGTGTACGAAAAGATCCCCGCCTCGGAAGCAAGCAGCACGCCCCGAAAGACGAAAAAGGTTCATCGCAAGAAGTCAATGCCCATACTTCATGAGCATTTCGAGCCCGGTACCGCTATTCGCGAACTCCGAGCACACAAGGACACGATTACGGCTATTGATTTTGACGCTCCATTTGGCACTATGGTTACTGCTGCTCTCGATGATACAGTTCGAGTTTGGGATCTTAATGCTGGTAGATGTATGGGTTATATGGAAGGTCACACTGCATCGGTACGTGCGTTGCAAGTTGAGGATAACATCCTTGCAACCGGCTCCGTGGACGCGACCATCCGACTTTGGGATCTCAGTAAAGCGCACTATGACCCTCATGGTGGTCTTGGAAAGGACGATGATGAGGATGCCATTGCGTTTGGAACAGATAACCACCTTGAACCCCCACCCGGCAGTATGGCCGATTGCCCTCTATACACGTTGGAATCTCATGTTGACGAAATCACGGCTCTTCACTTCAGAGGTGATGTCATGGTTTCCGGTTCTGCAGATAAGACGATTCGCCATTGGGATCTTGAAAAGGGCCGTTGCGTGCAAACACTAGATGTTATGTGGGCGGCGGCAGCGAGTATGACAACGACGGACAGCACATGGCGACCTACCGGGCGATCTCAAAGTAGCTCTGCCGACTTTGTTGGCGCTCTGCAGGTCTTTGAGACCGCCCTTGCGTGCGGTACTGCAGACGGCATGGTGCGTCTGTGGGATCTTCGAAGCGGACAGGTCCATCGCAGCCTGGTCGGTCATACCGGTGCAGTAACATGTCTTCAATTCGATGACGTGCATCTGGTAACAGGAAGTGTGGACAGAAGCATCAGAGTAAGTGACCGCCATTTTGAAATTTAAGGTACACTTGACCTAACAACAGTAGATTTGGGATCTTCGAACAGGATCTATTTACGACGCATATGCATACGACAACCCCATCACAGATATGATGTTTGATGCCCGACGAATCGTCAGCGCAGCGGGCGAGGACGTAGTCAAGGTGTACGATAAGGTCGAAGGACGGCAATGGGAATGCGGCGCTGGCATCACCGCAGCCGAAGAAGGCAAGACTCCAGCTATCGTGGAGCGTGTACGTGTTAGAGATGGATATCTTGTTGAAGGCAGACGAGACGGTATCGTTGGTGTGTGGACAAGCTAAGATATATCGTGTGTAATCTGTAAAATAATGAAATCCGCTCATGACGATTTGTACCATGAGAAGCTCTTGAGTTGCTGAAGTGTGGTTCGTGAAATGCGCACTGGTTGCTTAAAGTTGGGCAAAGCTGGACTGCCCTTGTCCGTGCTTTGGGTAAGAAATACCCAATCTTATTGGTTACACGTAAAGTTCTTCATATACTATCATTCGGCTACGTCTTTGGATTATGGCTTACATCTTCAAGAGCGTCACGACTATACCTTCATAGGTACTAAACATATACGACAGTCAGAAATAAGTCGCAATCATAACTATCTCAGGCACACGCACAAGCACATGAGGGGTTTATCATTCGTTCACCAAAGCTTCTGGTCCAAACATGGCGTCGGCAGAATATGAACCAGTTCTTGCCAAATATCTCGAGAAAGCACAAGCACTGATCGAGGATGCGAAGACCAAACACACCCGAGATTCAAAGGTTGGGGGCATACACGACGAGACTGAGGGAGAGACTATAGAACACACTCCAGGGAACGAGGAAGATGGAAACGACAACCTTGACCATATGGCAAATGCCATGACACAACTCCTTGCTAGGCAGGCCCACACAATTATCGCTGTTCATAAACAACTGATCTCGAATGACGATTCACTTAGATTTGATGAGGGACTACTTCAGAAAAGGATAGCAGACTTGATATCTATCTCGTCATCCAAATTCTACGCCTACCGCTACGATCTTCTCCCTGTCATATGGCGTCAGATATATACTGACGCATGCATACTTGACTCGTTTCAGGTCCTCCTAGGTTCTCTTACCGTTGACAAATACCTCTCAGAAACGGTCTTGGATACGATTGTTGAGAAGCTCGATAGGGCGCTTATCACGGCTGGGGGTGGAGGACAACAAGGATGGCTCGAAGAGACATTGCGGTTGCTCGAGGAGGCTTGGTCAGCGAGCGAAGAGAGCAACAGGCCAGCGAAACGCCAGAGGCATGAGGGATTACCTCAACGGAATTTTTCGAGTCATGAACCTCATGGCCGCCCAGCTCTCTCACCCACGAGGGAGTGTTCGCGGTACTCGGGCTGGACAATGCCACAATTTGAAGATTATATGAACAGCAACGAGGGTGAGCCTCGCCCAATTGTCTTCAAAGACCTGATCCAAGGCTGGCCTGCTCTCACAGATCGACCATGGAAAAGCCCCGAGTATCTCCTCTCAAAGACTTTCGGGGGAAGACGCCTGGTACCAGTCGAGCTTGGAAGAAGCTACGTCGACGATGGTTGGGGACAAGAGTTGATATCGTTTCGCGAATTCCTCAGCCGATATGTCGAACAAGATTATTCTGTTTCGAAAAAAATTGGTTATCTCGCTCAACACAACCTCTTCCAACAAATTCCTTCTCTACGCAACGATATCTGCATTCCAGACTTCTGTTGGGCTGATGTCCCACCTCATCCCACAACCCCATCTCTGAACCAACCACCCGTCGACGTGCCCCAGCTCAACGCTTGGTTCGGCCCAGCCCGCACCATCACACCTCTTCATACGGATGGCTATCATAACTCGCTCTGTCAGGTTGTTGGCACCAAGTACGTCCGTCTATACCCACCAAGTGCCACACCTGCTATGCGACCCAGAGCACCCGAGCATGGTGTCGATATGAGTAACACGAGTGAGCTGGACTTGGGCGTACTGGAAGGGTGGGATGAGAAGCCTGATGATATGGAAGAGGGGGATATAGCATCCACAAAGGGTGAGCTTGAAGGTGTCGAGTATTGGGAATGTATACTGGAGCCAGGAGACACACTGGTGATTCCTATCGGTTGGTGGCACTACGTGAGGAGTTTAAGTGTGAGCTTCAGTGTAAGTTTTTGGTGGAACTCATGAGCTTCCCCCAGAGTCCAGCGCTACATACATATGCTTGCTTGAATGGTAATAGCAGCACTTGCACAACTACGCGTTAATAGCACTAGTCATTCCAATGTTTTGGCTTCACTGCCAGTGCTTATATAAAAGGTCATCTCGATAAACAGTGCCTGAAATGGTTGCATAAAGAGTGTAGTCAGTATATGGTCACTTCTCTAACCAGCTGTCGAGGCATCATCTACGCTTTCACCAACCCCTTGAGCCTCTCTCCGAGCTTTTGCTCCTGCTTTCAACGTCTCCCACTTTTCCCGATACTTATCCAAAACCTTTTGCATCTTACGATTGTCCTTCTCCAGACGCTCCATCTGTTTCATGGCCGCAGCGAGCTGTTCTTCCATCTCCTGATTCTTGCGTCGCAAGGTTTCATCTGCTGCCTTACCAGGGTGTGGAGAGGCAGAAGGAGATCCAGGACGCATAAGACGGTAGCTTTCAGCAAGAGCCATGGCAGAAGTCTGAGCGCTAGCTTCAAAGGCGTGGAGGCGTTTGGTCAGCTTGTCGAGCATATCCTTAAGTGATTTGTTTTCAGTATATAATTCCTCGATAGTGTTGTTCAGTTCTTTGTCAGTGCTAGCACGGCCGATGCGACGTTTGGCTCCAGGAGATAGTGTGGGTGCCTCTCGGGCGTCAACAAAATCGTCATCATCTTCATCCGGGACGTCAAGCAAATCGCTGTGAGACGACGCCCCTAGGCGTCTCCTTTCCTTTTCGGCAAAACTCAAGATATTTGCATAGGACATGGTGTGGCCGGTACTGGGTACGACATAGAAAGAATCGGTCGGTCCATGTCCCTCTCTAGCCAAAGTCTTCAAAGTCGCCTGGGAGTATATCTTGGTGATGTCTGGTTCTGGTATTTTGGACGGGGTTGCCTTGAGGTGACTACGCTTAGGCGACATTTCTGGGGAGTCTTGGGATTCAGAAATAGAGGATTCCTCTTGAATCAGCGGCAGTCCAGCAAAGGCTAAGGGTGCCGAAATCTTATTCATGATACTTCCAAAAGCGTTGTAAAATCGAGTATAACCGCCGTCGTCACTGGATGCCACAGAAGATGCGATATCGGACCGTGGGGAAGATGAACCCTTGCCATGGCTATCGGAACGCGTAGTTGAGGGAACGGGAGGGACCCATGTTGGTTTACCGGGCCGGTGCTCGATAATGTTTTGCATCTTGGCCTTTGTTCCACGAGGATGAGTTGCCGCGTCGAGATTGCCTGGGGCTTGGTCGTTGCTAACGCTGGGCGCAAGAGGCTGTCCTCGGTACTTTGACGGGATGCCACGGGCATTAGCCAGGTTACTAGCAATAGACGAAGACATCTCACGGTGAGCATAGCGCCTCTGGGTAGGAGGAGCTAGCTTCTTGGATGCCGGAGAGTCATTCTTGTTTTCTTTCTTGCCGTGCGCATCTTGAGAGGGAGTATTCGTCTTGTCAGACGAATCTTTTTCGCTGAGATCGTTGTCGTCGACTTGGGGAGCAGGCGTGGTAGGGCGTTTAAGTATATCTGCGATCTTTCGATGATGCTCTTCCAGGAGCTTGAGAGTTCGGAGAGCTTCGATGCTGGAGGTCGACCTGGCGGCGTTGGCAAACTCGCCAGCGGCTTGAGTATGTTCGGTGATTGCGACGGTACTATCTGATGACTGGTGGGCTACGCCTGCAGCGCGCACATGATCATGAGCCTTCACAAGCGGCGAGGAGTCCATGTTTCCATGAGCGATGCTGTCGGCCTGTTTGCGGAAGTTTGCTGTCTAGCGAGAGTCTGTTTGCTGTTGGTACTTGAAAGGGATTCGATATGGAGGGATGTGATGGATGTGAGTGGAAGGTAAGTATCGGTACTGGAACGTGACAAGGTCAAATGTGGGGAGGCGCCAGAACAGTTGATCTTGGTGCGTCTTCAGGAATACTTTGTCACTTGTTAGAAAGTTAGGTAATTAAGTATTAGAGACGAGATGACGTGTTAATATTAGAAAGAGCCTTTCCCTGGCAGCTGATAGATGCAGAAATATTCAAACTACCTATGTCATTCACCTTTGACAAGAGATCCATCCATGCATATCAGTCATTCAGAGGTTATGACCTCAATCAGTGATCAGATCAATTAAGCATTTGGCGGGGTTAAATTGCCTAGGTACAGTACAGTGATCGGAAATTTCATGACGACACTGGTCTGGTCTGGTCTGGCTGTGGAGAAGAGCTGCGAAACATAAGGCATTTGATTGCATTTCTTGGTAGAGTTGCAGCATCTAAGTCAGGCATGATATGAATCAGATGTCATCTGAGCTTGGCGCTGTATTGTCCTACAGCACTCCGCTCAGTCTGCAGTATAGAGTCTATACCCTATAGCCTGACTTACGCAATAAATGACTCGATAAGAAAGACTTGTTGTATTCCTCTTGCCGTTCCATCAATGAGTAGAAGTAAGCTTAATATGGAGGTAATGTGGGCATCTCAAGAGCTCGGGCCGATGGTCCACGTAGATGGTAAAGAAGGCTGGCAGCTTCCAATGTTGGTACATATTGAATGGAAGTGACTAAAAGTTACCGGGTATCCGTACAATTTCAACTCATTTTATAAACGAATTTCTATGAATAGCTTCTACACGAATTTTATACTGGATACTCGACCCTCTGGTCAGAACCACAACGTACAGTAAGGCATCCGTAACTTAGGGGTTCTCCTTGCTGCGCCGCGCAATCTGATCCACATTGTTTGGTGAGAGCTTCAGCAAGGATGACCGATTGTCCCTTCAGCTAGACCTGTCATGATTGGCGCCCTCAGTGCATAACCCGCAGAGCGGATACAGAGGAACCCAAGGGTTTTATACGCGGGTTGGTCGGTTAACTTTGAGCTTCCAAGTAATACGTACTACGCGTAATTAATTATTGGATTGTCTACGAACCGAAATAATGGATGAAACTGTGCTGACAACAATTATTAGACTATCCGTACCGTACTAACGTCAATTATCCCTATTCCCAGGCAGCCACGGGTAGATACAGTGCTGTACTGTAACGTGCCTACTCACTGAAACCACGCATGCGGTTCAAGTTGGGTCCCATCAGGAATTCCACACAAACTAAATCGAGCACTTGGCTTACCTATTTTGGCGTGGTCCAGGACTCAAGGTCTGGCCCGTCACCATTTGAGCTTAGAACAAACCAACGACGTCAACTCTTCTATCCTTGGCTTGGCTTCTTCGTTCTTCAGTCAATTCAGCCCTGACTTGACTTGACTGACTACAAGACCTCACTCACTCTCGATCTCTATCTTTTCACCCTTATTGTCTATCAGAAAAATCAACAATCAGATCGGCATACTTCTCTCGGCATTATTATTTTTTCCCTTTCTTGATCCTATTCCTCAACGTTCGCAACACCGTCATACAACCCTTGTACCACCTCTACTCTGCGGCCATAGCATAGCCTCCGTTTCTCAGAACCGCTGCCGCAACGAATACATCAACACTTTACAAGTGCCCAGACAGTAGTGGTCTCGATTGAATTCGACCTAGGACGCCCAGACCCGTCGGCGCGCAGCGACTGCGACTGCGATTGCGACGATGGCAACGACCTTGGATAACAGCAGCAATACAGGGCTGAATAAGCTGCTCCCCAAGTCAATATCCTCCAAGCGACTCCGAAGAAAACAAGAACGAGAAGCGTCAGGACTTTCGTATGACGACGCTAGTGTTTTTGCCCATTCACAATCCAGTCGCGAAACTCTAGAAAGCGACGGCACTCGCTCTGGGCATATGGCAGGCGACGAGGACGAGAGTACAAGCCAAAGCCATCAGTCCTTCGAATCTGACGGGAACGAATCGTGAGTTTTTAAACTTTCCTATCTCTCTCTCTCTTTGGTCTTAGCCTCTTATCCAGCCTTCCTCCTGTCGTCATGGCCTTGATCTCGCATGGCAATGATTACCCAGATCCGGATTGTTTTGTCTACGTTGTTGCGCAGGAACTGTTGCGAGGCTGAGACCCCTCGGTTGGCGTTCTGCGACATCCATGCTTAATTAAGATGACACCAAAAGGAGAAACAGATGAATCAAGGTATCGCACTAAAAGGATGGAAGATCAAAGAGAGCTCCACCCGGCGCTCTGATCGTCGCCTATACAAGCCTGTACTTGCATGCTTCCCCTTGATCGCTTCCATGCTGTTGTCTACATCATCTTCTTCCTTCTTCTTTGGCACTCTTCCTCTCATCCTGTTCCGTTCCGTTCTGCTCTGTTTCGTTTCCTTTCTGGTGATAATCGCGCCCAGCTGGCTTGGCCTGGTTCATCTGCCGTCTTCCCCGTTTCCACCTCCCTACCAAACTCCACTTATTCATTCTACCGTCTGTGCTCTGTCAATCTGATCAACCTATCTAACTGGGACCATCGTCACTGCTTACAGGTCCAACTCTCGACATCCACCACCTTTTTCAACACATCCTTCCCAAATCGGTCACTTGACTACAAATTCTCCCATTATACAAACAAACTACCATCCTGAATCTCAACAATCGGTTTCGGATCACGATTCCAATAGCAGTACTTCAAAGTCGTCCACGTTTCCGCCGACACGATCCGATTCGGTGGAATCGAAGGATCTCCGGGTCAGTCGGAGTAAGACGGGCTTGGTTCCCCCCCAAACCTCAGCTCGACGTTCTCCTTCTCCAGCTGGTAGATTGAAGGACATTTTTAAACCCAAAAGGACCTCTGGGAATAGCTCAAGTCCTGAACGTCGACCAGCTAGCGAACCCCAACCACCGGTCGAGACTCGCGACGAGCAACAGCCCACCATATCAGTGGACCCTGAATCTGACCAGAACTTGCCCGTCCTCGAGCCACCAGCTACAGCCAAACTTGCTTCACCTGAAAAGCGAGCGAGAGTCCAACCCAAGGTTGACACGAATATACCCCCACGAACTCCTCCGAACGGTGACAAGCCTGCCCCTGTTATAGTAAATACACCACCAACACCTACCGAGTTCGCCAACAGATCCGGCCAGTCGTCTCCTGAACGCAAGTCCTTCTGGGGTAGTCCGACAAGCAGTCCGGGCACAAATGGCCGACCTTCCTCACAAAGCATGAGCGCCAATAGAAGGAGTCGATCCAATTCTGCAAACATAGGCCCCAGTAAACTCTCCCACATTGTCTCCGCCCCATTAACACCGACTCAAGAAAGTGGTGAACCGACACCTATTGCAAACCCAAACCCTTCAGGTGGTTTCTTCTCTTCTATGATATCGGCTGCCCAGAACGCCGCAAACACATTTAGCAACACCAGTCTGAACATTGGCGGAAACAAAGGCCGGAGTGTGTCTCAAAACATCCAGGAACAGTTTGAACCTAACGACGCCCAAGACGACGCCGAACCTACTCCTATTTCAGATATGACAGACAAGAAGGAAAGCAATAGAAAGTCCGCAGTGTCAACAATTGGGGCTGGCGAACTGAGTCTCAGTCAACTTGGGCTTGCCGAAGCGCCCAGCCTTGTCGCATCCCCAGTCAATGCCAGGTTCCCTGATGTATCTGACACCCGGGCTCGATCTGAATCTGCTCCCGTTGATTCTCCTATCAGCCCTGTAGACTTTGTTCCGGAAGAGTCATCGAGCCGACCGCGCTCACTTTATGAGCCCGTGAGTCGTGAACGAACTCCCCCTCCTCCCGACTCCACAAACAAAGAAAACGGCGTTCAACGGACCTCAAGTCTTCGAAGTGCTCTCAGACAGAATCATAGGAAACGTGGAAGCTCAGTCACCACTGGCACTACCATAGGTGCTGCGATCGCTGCTGCCAATAGTTCATTGGCGCATCCCAATCTGAGCGCCCCTAAGCTCACAGGATTTGCCATTGCAAGCAAGAAGCGAAACCGTGACTTCCACGATTTATTTAAGAGTGTTCCAGATGATGACTATCTTATTGAAGACTATAGCTGTGCCTTGCAACGAGAAATTCTGGCGCACGGGCGCCTTTATGTCTCAGAGGGCCATCTCTGCTTCAGTAGCAACATTTTTGGTTGGACCACAACCCTCGTTATGAGCTTTGACGAGATCGTGTCTGTCGAGAAGCGGAGCACTGCGCTTCTATTCAAGAATGGTCTCATGATTTCAACGCTGCACGCCAAGCACATCTTTGCCAGCTTCACCAGCCGCGACGCCACATACGACTTGATTGTCAATATATGGAAACTGGGGCACCCTACTCTTAAGAGTACGCTCAACGGTGTGAGGCTTGAGGGTACCGGTGGCGACAAAACGGAAAAGGAGGATGCCGCCGAGCCTGCTGCAGAGGACGAGGTCCAAGAAGGCTCGGAAACTGATGATGAGAGCGATGATGAGGAGGAATACTACGACGAGGACGTTCATGAAGAGATGCACAATGCCAGCATAGCTGCCGAGGCGAACGGGGCCGATGCCGACGTTGAGAAGACTGCCTCAAGGAAAGCATCAGGAGCAGCCCTCCCCAGCGGACCTGTTCCTGAAGAGGCACCGGCCGCGGCTGGAGGCGCTACAGACTTTCCGGGCCCAGCTACACATGCGCCCACAGACTGTGGCGATTCGGCATCGCATTATGAAAGAGTGGTTGGCGACGACATTATCCCTGCACCTCTTGGTAAGGTTTACAACCTCATGTTTGGCCCGGCGTCTGTTGCCTTTATGTCAAATTGGCTATCAGGGGAGCAGAAGTGCTTGGAGTTGCAGTTGGACGACAAGAAGGGCTTGACCCTTGACAACCGGACTCGAACTTTTACATATATCAAGCCGCTATATGCATCAATTGGACCGAAACAGACCAAGACCATAACCTCAGAGACGTTAGAAGTTCTAGATCTTGAGAAGTCGGTCAATCTCTCATGCTCGACTCAAACGCCAGACGTACCGAGCGGGAACGTGTTTGCTGTCAAAACCAAATACTGTCTCTCTTGGGCCGAGAATAACTCCACTAGAGTGCAGATGAACTGTACGATTGAATGGTCTGGCAAGAGTTGGCTCAAAGGTAAATAACATCTACATTAACATTTGTTGAAGTACATACTAATATGCTATAGGTCCAATCGAAAAAGGTGCCACTGATGGTCAAACTACCTATGGCAAGGATCTATTTGCAGCTATCAAGGCGGCAGTGTCTTCCAAGCCACAGGGCGCAACGGCACAGGGCCCTGGAGCTAAGGGAGGGAAGAAGAAGGGCAAGAAGGCCAAGCTGTCCCAGTCGAATACAGGCGTTGTCGAGGTTAACTCTGCACCCAAACGTCCCGTTCAAAAGGATTGGGGCGTTCTTGAACCAGTGCGGGGAATTTTGGAGCCAATTGGCGATATAATTCAACCTCTTCTCACTGGCAACGTTATGTATGGACTCTTGGTAGGCTTGCTGGTTGCCACGTGGTTTGGCTTCGGTTTCACTCCCAGCAGAAATGCTTCTTACAGCCGCGAACTAGGGGGTATCTACCGTCCTGATAGGATTGCGGCTTATGAAGAGATGTGGCGACGTGAGGACAGCGAGCTGTGGGATTGGCTGGAAGAGCGAGTCGGAATGGATCGCCTGCACAGCGATAACGCTGGTGTGCGTAGGAGAGCTATGGAGCCAAAGACAGTTCAAGAGAACTTGCGCACAACTCGCATGGGTGAGAGGGAAGTGGAAGAGGCAATCCGAGTCACCGAGGAAAAGTTGCGAGTGTTGAAGGGAGTCATTGAGAAGAAGAGCAAACCTAACAAATCGACCAGTGACGGAGTAGGGTCGCAAGAACTATAGAATGTTTATATGTACGGATATAGCATGGCCTGACTGGAGCAATCAGCGAGCTCCCTGTTCTTTTGTCAATAAATTTTGTATAAAACCAATGAATTCTCAGTGACAAAAGAAGCGCAGTGAGTGAGACGAGCAGGTGGGATTCGTACTGGCCGCATGTTACACGACATTGTAGGCATAAGCCATTTTTGTTTCTGTTCGTCAAGTCCCGGATTGGCACGGGTCACTGGTGACAGGTCAACCTCATGTAGTCTACTACTACTGTAGCATTCTTGGCTGAAATTAAACAAGGACTGTGATGTTCCTGCATATTCCGAGTTGGTAAGGAGGTCGGTCTTGTTGATTGGGGTACAATTATCATTCAGGTTTGGACGGTTAATAAACAGTCCAGGATCCAATGAGGAATCGAACGTCAATATGGTCCTACCCTGTAGAACCGTATGTGGATAGACGGTGCGCTTTGTGTCTAGATACTGCAATGTACTGCAATGTATAACAATAAGCAGAAGTACCTTGACAACTTATTTCCATTACAGCTAGTGTGTTCCTATGCAACAAATCAGCTGATTCAGAAAGGCAAGGTATTGTCTGATTCGGTAAGTGTTTCGAGGAGATGGCCTAAGACGTTTCAGTGTGACGCAACTCAACTCAGCCCAGCTTATTAACTAACAGTGGCAGCTCTTCAAGCAGGTAAACCTAGATACCTAGGTACTTCGATGTAATTATAGGTAGGTGCAATAAACAACGAATATTGATCACCGAACATGAGCAACTCGATGGAAATCGAGGAGAGAACCTACTGCTAGCGTCATAGCAAGGAAAGAAGCCAGGCACCTTGCCTATGTACCTTCCCCATCACCTTCCTTACCTCTTACTCTTTCTCACATGGAGGCAGGAGGCAGCAGGTACTGATTGCCTTGTTGGGTGGGGGCCAAAGCTGCCTGTGTCCGCCTCGCTGCCTACCATTTCATCCCCTCTCCTAAACCACTCGGACCAACCAACAGGGATAACAGTCCCATAATGGAATGGTGCTACACTTCCATTCTGAGTGAGCTGTGCGAGGCTGATTCTGATTCTGATTCTGATTCTTGATCCAGTTAATTCTTACTGTACCTTCTCATCTCGATGGACGGGTGAAGATGGTCCCTGATGTTCCCAGAGATTGATTCGATTGATTCCAACCAGCATAGCCTCTGAACAGAGCCTCTACTGCAAAACATCTCAGCTCTATCGGAATCTCATTCGCATACTTCACAGTACAATCGGCTCAATCTGTTGTTGGAGTGCAGCAACCCCGGCTCCAAGTCCCACCAATATCGACTGCATCGCCTTCTTGACGCTAGGGGTGACTTATTGCTTGCATTGGATGGATTTCACCTCCACATCACGTCCCATCTGAGCCGCAAGCTCCAAGCTCCAAGCTCCAAGTCCTAGTCCTAGCCCAGGTCTCGAGTCCTACACACCCTCCTGTGGGCTTATTCGCTCTAGGACAGCATCACCACGAGCTGCCTCCCAGCCTTTGATTCATTTCTCAGTGGGAAATACAAACGAACTGAGAAAGAAAAAAGATATGACAGCCATGTGTGGTGTATAATATCCAATCTTCTTGGGCTGCTTCATCTCTTATCTGATCTGATCCCGTCATTTCATATCATTACCCCCTCTAGAGCGCTTGCTTGACGCCATTCATGTTGACTTGACAAGCAAAGCAGTGCAGCGGAATCCAATTATCTTATTACCCTATTGGTAGAATCTGGGATATCTTGAGGAAGTTATCGGATTGTTCTTTTTTGTTTATTTTTATTGTTACTACTTTTCGAACCCCAAAATGGATTCAAAAACCCGTCTATCACTGGATGGTATAAATCCTGGTCCAGGATCTTCAGCCCTACGACGACTTACTCGAAGCCCCGGTCATCGAATAAGTCTGAGGCGATTCAGTATCGACTCTTCCTCCTCTTCTGCTTCATCTGTTGTATCCTGCGATATTGGAGCATCATCAAGTTGTGTGTAAGAGATCAACTTTCCTTTCACCATTTCGTCAAGTCATCCCCCAGCTCATTGACAAACAGGACTCGCGACACCTCGAGTGACGACTGCGCTCTTCATAGATTCATCGTCTGGGCTGCCGTCAAGCGAAATGCATGCGATAAACTGACACCCCAGGAGAAGCTGGAGTGTCCCATGTTGCGATGCCGCAAGCGATTTGCCAATCACGAACTCATGCTGCAACATCTATACTCATGCAGTTGGCTCTCCACAAGTGAGTATTGGTGCTACGACTGCGGAAAATCCGAACGCTTCAACGACTCCAAATGTAAACGGTGCTTGGGACATCCCTCGAGAAGGAGGAAGATACTGTCCATGGCAAAAAGCTTCTTCAACTCCCTGGGCCACAAATCAAAGCACTCGACCCTACAGGATTTCGATCTCGACCTCGACCTCGACCTTAACCTCAGTGATACCGAGGCACCACCCAGTTATGACCTGGCTGTGGTTCCGAATGAGCCTGAACTTCCATCAAACGAGATCCACGAAATTGGGTCTAGTGGTCTAGCTCTGCATCCTATAATAGAGGACGAGCAGGAAAACGAGGCAGAAGCCGATCCGGCCCCCATGCCTACCCCCTACATGTCATCGTTGCCTGCCCATGATCAGGCTCTGCCTAAACACCCCGCAGAGCTCGAATCAGATGCAGCTCCTGAAGAGTCTCTTGATTTCATGGTACCTCCAGGCACGATCCATCCTGTAAGCCTTATCGACCCTGGCTGTAATGCGGCTTTGGCAAGGCCTGCCCTCCAACTTCATACAATAGGCCTGGAAGAGTTTCGGCGAGAACAGAAGAGGCGGAGCAAGGGCCAAGTGGCACCCAGCACCTCGGTTCGCTCGACAGCCAGTACAAACTCGACTTCAAGCACAAACACCACAGACACTACCTTTAGCAAAGAAAGCTACAATATTTCTCCCATCTCAACCTACTCCGATCAATGGGCAAGTGTCCCAGTGTTCGACTCGGACTTCAATTCGTCTGAGAATGGCTTTGGGAGCCCAGGAGGCCTCCTCAGGACGAACTCGTTCGCCATATCTCGCAAGGCACCCGCGGCCAAGGGCTGGGGGTCGTTAGACGAAAAGGCAGACTTGTCCTATGACTCCCACCCACACGATTTCCCCACAGACTTTCCAGTATTAGGTGCCTTACCTTCTGGCAATACCTTCCACGACCCTCTCGCTCTTGACCAGCCCATCTTTACTCTGAATGACTCTTCACTTCCCACCGACTTCGATCTCGAGTCGAACCTTGCCCTTACCAACAACAATGCGGTTATGCCATCATCAATGACTTCCACTCTACCACACCCAACTGTCAGCTCATACAACGCTCGATCTCTGATTGGCACAATATGGAGTACTCTTAGGTTGCATATTGCCAACTCAATGAGTAAACTCGACCACGTTACAAAGAATCCTCTTATCACACAACTCAAAAGCTTGACCAGCGAGACAATAGCTGTGAAAGGTCTTGATACCCTTGTAGATATTATCGAAGGGCGCCAGCCCAGTGTTCTTTTGGACACTCTCTGCTTCGTTCACATGAGCTATTGTTTCTCTTTCATCATCCATGAACACGATGCTGCCAACCGATCAGCGGAACTCTTTGGCCAAGCAATGTCATACAGCTCTTTGTTCTCGCGAGAAGATCGTCAATTGTATATACAAATCGTCAAAGCTATCTGGAAGCCCGCCAATATGACTGATGCTGGTGTTGTCAGCATTTTGCGAGCCAATGCGTCCGCCTCGGTGTCCCGGTCGCCGAGTATCAAGGGGAAAGAACACGGATTCGCAGCTACTTACAAGTCTGACGCCGACTCACTTGTGTCGGTTGCAGAATATTATCTGGATCAGTTAGAGCTTGCCACCTTGAGAGTTGTTGACGATGTGGTAATCCAGACCTCTCAACTATACATGGAGCACTTCACCATGAGCATGAACATCGACTCATTACAAGTTGCTGCTGCAGATCTCATTCTGAAAAAGAACTTTTGCCAATACACTTACTGCGGACCCTTTGCAGCAAGCTTGGATAATCTTATCCAGCGCATCAATTCCGAGTTCGTATCAGCGCGGCGCTTAGAACTTGAACTGATTGAAATTGGAAAGGTGAGTAAAACCACGAGTTTCGTGTTCATGGTTGGCTGAACAGTTCTATTCAGATGTCTCTACCTTACCATGTCTACGATGATAGTTACATCCGATATGTGAGAGACCAGATCCAACCTCTGTATCCCGTAAATGCTACTGGGGAGAACATTCGGTCTACATATTATCGGCATGGCGTTGAGCTTCTAAAGACGATAATAGCTCCATCTTCGCAACTGACGACTCACCAGCCGATGCAAGATAACGGAGTTCCAGATACCGTGATGCAGTATACTCTCGATGATGAGTTTTCATTCTTGAACGACACCACAGAAACGGAGCCTTTTGATTTCGGTGGGAATATCCCGTTTGGTCCTGAGCAAAATCTTGAACTTCTGGATCTGTCGAATGCTGTTGACCCTGGCACACTACACCCTCAACCACTTCCCACTCCCGCAGACACCGGCTCGGCTCGGGAGACTCCAATGACAGCAAACTCACCATCTGTGCCCGCTACGTCTACGTCTGCGGCTCCGGCTGCGTCTTCAGCTTCAGCCTCGGCGACGAAGGTAAAGTCAGATGTCGGTTGCACACTGTGTAGCTACACTCCAAAAGGCGATCCTCGCTGGTTCAGTTGCAGCCTGTCTAAGCACATGAGACTGCAGCACTCAACGAGACCCCCAATAATATACCGTTGCCAATATCCGGGATGCACAAGCCAATATAAGAATAGGCCAGACAATTTGCGGCAGCATCAGATCGAGAAGGGCCATTTCCCAGATGGTCAGGAAATTGGCAAGCGGCCAATCAAGCGGAGAAAAGTTGATTGAAAGGGTGAATAAAATCCTGGAAGTGCCACGAGTCACATACTGCAGAAAATGCTAGCAAGGTCCCACGACAGTCGTACAAAACAGTGTTTCTGTCTTTTTGTCTTCTTTACTCTCATTCCTATGAATTCTAGATGGACGGATATGGCGTTTGGGATGACCAACGACACTGGAGTGCTTGGTTAATGAAAGATACCATCATGGGGTATTATGATACGTTGAAGAACATTGATGATTCGCAACTATGCCCTGGCGTTCGAATACACAGAAATACACAGCCATTTATTCATGTTGAACCTCGAGAGTCAGAGTATTGGACCTTTAGACTAGGGTCCCTAAGTCTCTGTTTTTTTCTGTCTTTTCCATGTCTCCTGTTTGCCTAGGTACAACTGTGTGTTTTGAATGAGGTTAAACAAAACCTACTAATTATCAGCGGTTACAATATAGGGTTAGAGCGAGAGGTAGTAATCGGATTGAGCAGAGCAATTTCTAGATACGGTGACGCCATGACTGCATCACGGTCCGACACGTCAGTGATCGACATGTTAGACTCTTTCTTGAATAAACAACTCTGAATTGGAACGGAATGCGAGAGCAGCAGAATCTTCTTGCGTAAGTTGTCGATTGGACAGGACCAAAGGAAAAAGAACGACTGTCACGTGTCGGAGAGTAAATTGTTCTCAGGTGGCGGTTCGTGATAGTTGAAGGTAATCGTTCAACCGGAGACATACACATATTGATATGTAAAGACCAATTACTGATAATCGAGTAAATATGTGAGCCTAGATCATCACCATGTATACTTCCACGATATGTTTATGTAGCACAAAGACAAACAAAACAACGATAACATGGCAGGTTGCTAACGTTCATTATCGTTGCCCATAACGAATACTGTCTATTTCTTATTGCCGTTTTTGAACTGTATTATAAATAACGCCAACCCCCTGACTGTCATAGGCTGAACCTGTTTTCACCTTGAGACATACTCGAGCTTAGTAATGATAGAAAGTGGCTTTTAGTAGGTACTATGTACAGTACCTGGGTAGTATGAGAGTAGTGGAGTTGGTGAGACTCAAATGTCAAGATCGAATTTGAGTAGAGGTTGAGGTCAGTGTTATTCTTACCCTAGGCTCAGAACTGCCTACCCTGTGTCTTTCCATTAGTTTGGATGACTTGACATTTTGAACGAGGGGTTAGTAAATAGAAGAAACATTACCATAAAAACAGACTCCCTCGGGCCCTCGAGTGCCGAAATCATGATACGAATGCAATGTAATAAAGGTGGCAGCGCCCTAAATTTTATTTATCAGTTCAGTTCAAGCCAGTCAGTGATCCGATAATCTCTACAGGGGCTAAAGGGCTAGCGCCACGCCGCAAAAGATCCCCCACAGTCTGAGAAGATGGAGAGAGGCTGATGGACGGGAAACATGAAAGTTGACAGCCTCCATTGGATGTCAGAGTCAGGAAACACACGCCTTACCATTTTTGTACCAGTCCGCGCCTGCTTCTGCTTCCCGTCTGGCATCTGCGCTGCATCTGTGTCTGTCCGTGTCTGTCTGTGTCTGCTGCACCTGCCACTCTGCCACTCCCTCCCGTCCCTTCTAGCCTTTCCCATTCAGCCATTACCCTCCTTCACTCCCATACTCCTTCCTGCCTTTGCATCCGCATCCGCATCTTATTCATCGCCCCCCCCTAGAACCCCTTCTGTGACTCGAATTTTGATTGTCTTCCCCGTCTACAAAGTGCTTGTGCTCTCTCGAAACCAAGTCCAGACACGGACAGTGCAGTACAGTACACTACGGTACAGTGCTGTAGCTAGTGATAGAAGAGGCGTCGGGTGTCTGTCCATATTTTGTTCTACTGCACTGCACTGCACTGCATTGCACCCATTCGGCTCTTTTTTTGCTCTTGCCCTCCCACTTCTTTTTTCATCCTTTTTTTTCTGCTCCCTCTCTCATCGCACCTCCCTCCATACCGTACTCACCCGCTCACTCACGTCTGTCTGTCTGGTCGATTTTGTCCCGGGTTCTTGTTTCCCCTTCGCCCCTCCCCTGCCAAATTTACCCCCCTTCGCCCAGGCCAGACTTCAATCACGCCAGGCAAACAGGCAAGCAGGCAGGCAGACGCAACGCGGGCCAAATTTTTTCCCATACCCATAATTTTGTTCACGCCTCTGCATAACCCGCGACTCCACGCCTCCTCCTCCCCCAAGTCCAGCCCAACCCAGCTTCATTATCGACACCCCCAAAGATCCTGGGTCCAGGGTTTGCTTCATACACACGCTCCGCAATCTGAACTACACTGCACCGCACACCACCGCGCTCCGCTCCGTATCAGCACCTCGTGCCCGGCGATATCAACGTCACGGCGGCATCGTTCGTCCTCTGCTCACCGTTACCGTCACCGCCACCGGCCTCCGTAACGGCCATCGGCTTCGGCAACGGGGCTACGACACCTACCGGAGGAGCGTGACGATAGACCACGACAGCCTCGTTGAGACCATCGCGACAGTCACGTAACCGAGTTGGCCATCACACAATCGACTCGACTCTTCAAGTCACGTCACGTCACGTAACATCGTTCCCTACTTTGCTCACCCTTCGCGACCGAACCGCGATAATAACACATCCGGCGTATCCATCGACTCTTCTGCCCGCACATTTAAATTCTCTCGCGTTTATACCTTCACGTTTGTAATCCGGCCCTTCTGCCGGGGCCTGACCAGACGATATGTCGAGTCTGCGTCCGGGATCCAACAATCATGCTGGCCTAAACTTCCCCCAGGCCAGTATTCGCCGCAATCCATATCCTCCTCCCCATCCAGGCCAGCAGAACAAACAATCACCTGCGCCTCACTCCGCGTCTCCTTATCAGACACAGGCATATCAGCCTCAGCAGCCGCCTACCGGATATCCTCAGCACCTTTTCTCGAACCCAACGCATGTGAATGGTAGTCTCTCCAATGGCTCCTCACGCTCTTCGACCTCGCACATGCCCAATGCTGTGCCGAGCCCGCTTGATGTTTCTAACCCTCGAGGAGTTCCACAGCCACGCTCTCAGATGATGTTTCCTACGTTGCAACAGGTTGTGCCTAATCAGCTACACCATCCTCAGCAGCAACAGCAGATGCATCCTCAGCATTTGAGTCATCCTTCTCACCCTCTTAACCAGCCTCGGCAGACCCTCCACCAGCACCACGCTCAGCAGTCTCCCCAGCAGAGGCCTCAGTCTCAGCAAGCCCAGCCGACGCCAAAGCTTGGGCAAGTTCAAGTTAAGCCACAGGCCCCTTCGCCTCCCCTCTCCCAACAGTCGAGTCAGCAGCAGGCCCAATCGCATCAGCAGCTCCAACAACAGCTTCAGCAGCAGCAACAACAGCACCACCTGCAACAACAGCAGCAGTTGCAACAGCAACAACACCAGCAACAACTTCAGCAGCAGCAACAGCAGCAACAACAACAGCAGCTGCAGCAGCAGCACCAGCAGCAGCAAGCGCATCAGCAGGTTCATCCACAGCAGCAGCAGGCTCAACAACAACAACAGCAGCAGCATCAACAGCACCCGCAGCAAGCTCAGCTACACTCGCAGCAACAGCAACAGCAACAGCTTCGTACCCCTCAACAGGAGCAGCAGCAGCTTCAGCATCCACAACATGAACAGCCAAGAGCTCAGTCACATCAGCAGTCAGCGCCTCGTCAGCAAAAGCAGCAGAAGCAACGTGACCAACAAAGGGAACAACAGAGAGATCAGCAGGCCCAGCAACAGCAACTCCAACAGCAGCAAGCTCAACAACAGGCCCAGCAGCAAGCCCAGCAGCAGGCTCAGCAGCAGGCTCAGCAGCAGGCTCAGCAACAGGCCCAGCAACAGGCCCAGCAGCAGGCCCAACAACAGCAAAAGCAACAGCCTCTTCCGGCAGAGCCTGTCCAGCAGCAACAGACACAGCCACAACAGCAGAAGCCAGATGCGACTGGGGACGAATCGATGGACATTGACAGCCATGCAAATGGCGAGGAGACCGGAGGTTTAGACATGAAGCTTCTTGCTGACCCTAACTACATCCCTACACAGCCACTGGGCGAGATGATGTCTCCGCCCCCAGAAGGTGGAAGTTATCCAACTCTTGAGGCTGTCCAGAAAGCCGTTCTTCGTTACTGCACTTCTGTCGGCTATGCTATCGTCATTGGTCGTTCCAAAAAGACAGTGCCTGGATTAAAGAAGGTTCTTTTCGTTTGTGATCGTGCTGGCAAACCACCAAGCCGCGTCAGCCCCGAGTGTCGAAAACGCAAGACTTCATCCCGAAAGTGCGACTGCCCATTTGGCTTCTTTGCTATCGAGCAGCGAACTCAGTGGACAATTCGATATCGCCCAGACCCTGCTCATCTTCAGCATAACCATGGACCGAGCGAGAGTCCTTCACATCACCCAGCTGCGCGCAAGCTTGATAGTAAGATGGTCGCCGCTGTCAAACAACTTAAGGAAAACGGTGAGTTTATCGACCAGAGGAACCGATTCCATACTAACTGCAATGAGCAGGCGCTGGCGTCTCGGAGACGCTGCAGATACTGCAGACCGAGAACCCGGACTGTCATCTTCTGCCACGTGATATATACAACGCTCGTGCGGCTATCAATCGCAACCCTCAAAAGGTTGCTACGGGCTTGGCTGAGAACAGACCAGCCATATATAGCAAACCCCACCAATCTCCCGAAGACCGCATACGCGCAGAGTTGAGGCGAGAAATCGCCAAGGCTCGCGAAGATATGCAAAAAATGGAAGAGGAAAAGGATAAGGAGATTAATGAACTAAAAGAAAAACTCGTGGAGAAAGAAGGCATCATCAAGAAATTTGAGGAGTTCATCGACATTTGCAACGAGCGGGTCATGTTTCAACGTCAGCGACTTGCGGGAAGCAACAGCAATGGGGCGAATCAACCTCAAGTCTAACGTCTCATTTTGGCGCATTAGTCGGTCTGGCGAGTCGCATCATGAGTATTCAAGATATTTAAGATTGGCTATTCGGGGATTATGAGGGCGTTTAGATGGGTAATGCTTCATATTTGCCTTATGATATTTGGTTTTGTGGCTTGTTCTTGCTGGGGTATGGGTGGCATGTTATGTTTTGGAGCATGGTTTTCAAGATTATGATGCAACTTGCTTAACGCAATTCGTGTACAGTGGTCTTTTTACAGCGGCAGATGGTGAATATTGAACGTACATGGTCATTTTCTTGACGCGATCCAAGTATTTCGAGATGTTCGATGCCTGGGTTATCAAATCCTCTTACAACAACGTAGAAATTGTATTGCCCACCATTCAGACCAGCTAGTCTATTGATATCTAGACTAATTTAGTCTCGATAGCTCATGACAATGTCTAATCCTAAACGATACGTCAAGTAGTGGATCCAAAAGGTTGTGTATATTAGTTCTAGGTTGAGTTAGAATCCGTTTGTCGAGATTTGTTTAGTGCAACCCGAGTGAGTAAAACATACTGAACCCACTTGAAACTTATTACCCAGTAGTGATGGGGTTGATAGAGTGAGTATTGGTTGTGAATTGTGTAACCAACTGTCAATGGATGTCAGTCTTCCTTTGTTGTCGAATTTGATCGTTTCTGCGTGGCTTCTACAGCACCCCCGTGTATGAGATGAAACATACATCTTATGGATTTAAATGGCATGCATTCAAAACCCTCCTGAAAGCTCTCATCTTATTTGATGCACAAATTAACATGCAGCCCAGCCGGCCCCCCTCTACTTAGATGCGGGAGAACGCCATGCTGGCAGTCCATCTGGGTAGGCCCCAGTTAAAGGTCTTGACCAATAATGACCAGCACGGGCTCGATGAGCGGACCACCAGGCTACCCCACCCTATCAACATGCAGTGGTTCACAGCGGCTTGTAACATTGGCTTCCAGCGCCATGTGCTTCTATGCGGGCGGGTTTTGAAACGGCCCAGGGGGTATATGGAACCTAGAGACACGCTGGAGAATACTGTATCGTGAGGCTTTATGCTAGCTTATTTCATTAGAGGGCGGGTACGGATACATGACTTTGAAGATGCAGCGTGACTTTCATGATATGAACCTGATCTGCAGAACATGGGCGTTGAATTCATATCTATAAACCAGACTGCCTCTGCATACAGCATTGTACCTCATACATGATATAAGTTAATTTTTCTAGTAGTTTAGTAAGTTATCTTGCACTTCGTCACTGAGAGAAAGGTGTGGCTCAACATCTAAGCGGGACGTATCATCCTCCAATCGACTCCTGACACATCCATTCTACCCAATTGACGATCAGACCAGTCGCGACAGGGGTTACCCCCTGAACAAAGTCGCGTAAATTCGGCAAAACCCAGCAGAGGTGCAGTGCCCTTTAGGAAAGTCAACAACTCCTGGATCCATCTGGTGAACCTCATCTTATTCCACCAAACCCCGATCGGTCGCTGAGGACTTCATATCATTGCCGCGACTTTACTTCACAACGGAAATTGTTGATACTCAACACTACGCTCCTTAGTCTTGAGCTCATCTTTCGATTTTGCTAAAGCTGTTTTAATATTTGACTTGTTATTAAGCTATTTCCCCCAACCCGAAGAAAGCTCTCGACCGCCACATAGACCTTCCTCGACTGCCTTGCGATCCATACTCACACCTATAACGAACCGACGACTTGGAAATGACTTAGGTCTTGCTAAATAAACCACGTAATTTCTTCTGATCTTCATTCATCAATAATGGAGATCACTTCGCCCGCCGTGCCGAGCCCAGGAGCTTCCGCTAACGGCGTTACGTCCCCGTCCTTTCCCACCATCGAACCGGAGCGCGTTGTCGAGCATCTCGCCTCCGTCTGCGAGATCGCACTCGGTGCTACACGAGAGGAGCTCGAACAGCTTGGAAGCTTGCTCCACAAAGCTCGATACAGCGAGACTGTCTCTCGCTGCACACGTTTTGCGAACGATACCCAGAATGTGCTTTACATCCAGAAGGATTTCGCAAGCTCATCTGCGGTAGAGCCCGGGGCCGACCCCTCTGGTACATTGGATTCTATTATGGTCAAGGTTGCCCTTGCTGATGTGAAATTAGCGCCGACGTCTTACAACTACACGCTGTCCACCGAGATCTCCTCGTCTCCAACGACCGTTGCTTCGCTTGTTCTTATTAAAACGCCTCAGCCCATAGATCCGACCCGACCTCTCACATCCCAAATATTCATTACTAATCTGCCTGGTCCTGCATCACTGAACGCTGGAGTTGGAGAACAGGGCTCGGTACTCTCCCCTTGGGAGGTTCTTCATTCTCAAGTTCATCATGCCTTGGTACCGTATTTTGATGCCAACACCAAGAGCCAGCAGCTGGCCAACGGGTCGCGAGGAAGGGCCGACGTGGATGCCAAAACGGGAATTCCTGTGACCAAGAAGCGACTCAACGACTTGGAACTAAGCTTGCTGCACCTCCAGCAGAATGTCGACATTCCCGAGATCTCACTCACGTTCCATTCGATTGTTCAGAACGTCCTCGATGAAGCTGAAGCCAACAACAACCGACCTTCCATCGATGGGATCCCTCAGAACCTTCTTCAGGACAGCACGTTCCTCAACCGATTGCAGGCCAATGTCAATACTTGGATCAAGTCGATTCAGGGAATCACCAAGTTGACTAGAGACCCTTCTTCGAATGCCAACCAGGAGTTCAGTACTGCGAGCCAGGAAGTCAATTTCTGGCTGTCCATGGAGTCAGCTCTAGAGGGAATCGAGGGCCAGCTTCGCAGCGAAGGTGTTCTCTTGACACTGGACATCCTTAAGCATGCCAAGCGCTTCCAGGCTACCGTCAGTTTCACAGCCGATACCGGTCTGAAGGAGGCTATGGATAAAGTGCAGAAGTACAACCAGCTTATGCGAGACTTTCCCCTTGATGAGTTGCTGTCCGCCACCTCGCTGTCTAAGGTTGAGGAGGCCATTCATCAGATCTTTGGACATTTGAACAAGAAGCTGAGAATCTGCCCATACCCTATTCGTAGGGCTCTTCCCCTTGTCGAGGCCATCTCTGCAGACCTCGACGATGTGCTTCACAGGCTGTTGCCAGGTACCGAATTGGTCAACCTTGATTACCAGCAGTTCAAGAACATCATGGACACTTGTGAAGAGATTTTCAAAACTTGGGAAGAGAATGTCAAAGAATTCACTAATGTAGCTCGTGAGGTGACACGTCGAAGAAACGAGAAGTTCATCCCTATCAAGATCGTCAAGAAGCATTCTGAGCTCGAGGCAAGAATCAATTATGTCGGCACTTTCCGTGACAACCACGAGCAGCTTCAACGCACTATTGTGACCGTTCTAGGACCCCAAGCCATTATTCCAGGCGTGGCTGAGACAACTGGATCTGATGGTGTTATTGTGGAGGAGATGGGCGATGTTGATGCTGTAGAGGAAGTCAAGCAGGCTTGGGAGGCTCTTCAGAATGTTGACTTGCTGGACGTCACGGATCAGGGCAGGGAGCGATGGGTACGAGCCGAGAACCTTTACAACGAACGTACGACCCGAGTAGAGAACTCGATCATCTCCAGGCTCCGAGACCGACTCGCCACTGCTAAGACTGCAAACGAAATGTTCAGAGTTTTCTCCAAGTTCAACGCCCTCTTCGTTCGCCCCAAGATTCGTGGTGCCATCCAAGAATATCAGAATCAGTTGATGGATCACGTCAAGCAGGCGATCAACGGCCTGCACGAGCGCTTCAAGCAACAGTATGGCCATTCAGAGACACATGCTATGGCCCAATTGCGAGATCTTCCCCCTGTGTCTGGTGCTATCATTTGGGCACGCCAGATCGAGTGCCAACTGGACAGGTACATGGACAAAGTAGAGGCTGTGCTCGGCGATAAGTGGACATTGCATGCTGAAGGTCATAAGCTGCATGAGGAGAGTGAGCTATTCAAGCAGAAGCTTGACACTACTCGAATTTATGAAGCCTGGCTCAACGATGTCGGACGACGCAAAATCTCTATTTCTGGACACCTTTTTGAGATCGTCAGTGTGAGGTCTGCAGGTGGTATTCTTGAACTCAACGTCAACTTCGATCCCCAAGTCATCACCCTGTTCAAGGAAACTCGCAACCTGACCTGGCAATCTTATTCGGTACCACATGCTGTCACGACTGTGTCCAAAGATGCGAAACGTGTATATCCCTATGCTGTCAGCTTGATGGAGAGCGTGAGAACTCTTTCCCAGACTCTTCGTCAAATTTCTGGCATGGGAGAGGAGTCGGTTCTTCTTAACGGATACCGAAATGACGTGTACAGGCTGATTGGTGAAGGCGTGCCACTTCGATGGGAATCCTTCATCAATTCACATGAGTTGTTCTACTCCGACAACAGACAAACCCGCCCGTTGTTGCCTGCTGGAAGTGATTTTGGCCTGGCCAAAAACACCGAGAGTAAGCATGGCATGTTCGTTCGCGGCTTCGCAGCAGCTGTTTCCGTGCTCCAACAGAAGGCCGTCTCTTTGAGCTTCACCCATGCCACTGTTGAACAAGCCTTGAAGGAACTCAATACCTGCCCTTATGAAGAGGCTGCTTTCCACAGTCGACTGGATACGATTCAATCAGCTGTTGATCAGCTGAACCTTGAGCAATACGTCAACTTGGACTTTTGGGTGCGGGAGCTGAACGCCAAGATTCAATCTATCCTTCTCACACGCCTGCAGAGTGCAGTCCATTCGTGGATTACAGCATTCGAGGACGACACCCCTGAGGAAGAGTGGCGCAGGAGGACCAACAACGAAGAGAACAAGCCAGAAAGCCCGACCATGAAGCGCCTCGTGCTCGAAGTGGTTATGCGCAACCAGGTTATCTACCTTGACCCGCCCCTAGAGTTCGCCCGTGCGAGCTGGTTCCTGCATCTTCATGAGTGGCTTGGAATTGTTTGCAATCTCCGCAAGATCAAGGCCTCCCGATACCAGATGACCCTCACCACTACCGCCAACGACGAGCTGCGCTTTACCGACCTGCCTACTGAGTGCGCCGGATTGTTGCAGCGTGTTTACATTTCCGTTGAAAAGAAGCTCCAGGAAATTAGCGCCTATGTTGACAAGTGGTTACAGTTCCAATCTCTCTGGGATCTTCAGTCTGAACAAGTCTATGATGCTCTCGGAGAACCACTCCCACGATGGTTGCAGCTCCTGCAGGATCTCCGCAAGAACCGATCCACGTTCGACACACAGGAGGTCAGCCGCGAATTTGGTCACCTCACCATCGACTATGATCAAGTTCAGACCAAGGTCAACGCAAAGTACGACCAGTGGCAGCATGAGATTCTGATCAAGTTTGCCAGTCGTCTTGGCAACCGTATGCGCGATATCAACGCAGAGATCGAGAAAGCGCGCAAACACCTTGAGAGCCAAAGCTCTGACGCTTCATCAACTGCACAGGCTGTGCAGTTTATCACTGTTGTCCAGAGCTGCAAACGCAACGTCAAGACGTGGGCCCCTGAAATCGACATGTTTAGACAAGGGCAGTCAATGCTCGTCAGACAACGCTATCAGTTCCCCAACGACTGGTTGCACATTGAGCAGATTGACAGCCAGTGGGAGGCCTTGAAGGAAATTCTTGAAAAGAAATCGAGAATTGTCCAAGAACAAAGTGACGCGCTCCGGGCTAAGATTAGTGCAGAGGACAAGCTGGTCAACGAGCGGATTGCCGAGATCGCAGCCCAATGGAACGAGGAGAAGCCGGTGTCGGGAACCATTCAGCCTGACGTGGCGTCGGCTACCTTGTCTTCTTTCGAAGCTCGCATCTCCAAACTGCAGGACGATGCGCAGATGGTCGTCAAGGCTAAGGAAGCATTAGATATTCCCGCCAGCCTTGATACCTCTCTCGAGTCGACTCTTGAGGAAGTCAGAGACTTCCAATCTGTTTGGTCAAATCTATCCACTATCTGGGCGAGCCTCAATGAGACGCGTGACATTCTTTGGACTGCGGTTCAGCCACGCAAGATCCGTTCCAAGGTCGACGACCTCATCAAGAGTACAAAGGATATGCCTAGTAGAATGCGCCAGTACGCTGCTTTTGAGCATGTTCAAGGTATCTTGCGTGGTTTCCTGAAAGTCAACCCTATTCTTTCCGACCTCAAGTCTGATGCCATTCGCGAGCGTCACTGGGTCAAGATATACAAACAAATCAAGCCCCAAAAGCGATTCTCGCCCAGCTCTATGACTCTTGGCGATGTCTGGGACCTCAACCTTGTTGCTACCGAAGTCATCGTCAAGGACATCATTACACAGGCGCAAGGAGAGATGGCTTTAGAGGAGTTCCTGAAGCAAGTCCGTGAGACCTGGCAGAACTATGCGCTTGAGATGGTAAACTATCAAAATAAGATCCGTCTTATCCGTGGCTGGGACGACCTCTTTGCAAAGTGTAGTGAGAATCTGAACTCACTTCAGGCTATGAAGCACTCTCCCTACTACAAAGAGTTTGAGGAAGAAGCTGTGGCTTGGGAAGACAAGCTCAACCGAGTACATGTGCTCTTCGACGTGTGGATTGATGTCCAACGTCAATGGGTTTACCTTGAGGGCGTCTTCACTGGCAACGCCGATATCAAGCATCTTCTTCCCATTGAATCAGGACGTTTCCAGAACATCAACAGTGAATTTCTTGCTGTGATGAAGAAGGCCAACAAATCTCCATACGTGTTGGAGGTTCTGAACATTCCCAATGTGCAAAAGTCGTTAGAGCGACTCGCTGAAATGCTTAACAAGATCCAGAAGGCTCTAGGTGAATACCTGGAGAAGGAGCGTGTTTCGTTTCCTCGATTCTACTTTGTTGGTGACGAAGATCTTCTCGAGATGATTGGTAACAGCAACGATACATTGCGCATTGCCAAGCACTTCAAAAAGATGTTTGCAGGTCTCTCAGGTCTTGTCATGGACGACGAGACTGTCATCTCAGGTTTCACTTCCAAAGAGGGCGAAGTTGTCCGATTGAAGAAGGAGATCTCCTTGGCGAAAACTCCCAAGATCAACGACTGGCTGGCTCTCCTAGAGGGCGGTATGAAGTCGACGCTCGCTGAGCTCCTTGCTGAGGCTGTTGATCAGTACACTCCTATCTTTGAATCGGAAAAGATTGATCGTGAGGCTCTGAACGCATTTATGGATGCCTATCCCAGCCAGATCGTTGTTCTTGCCACCCAAGTAGCTTGGACTACAGCCGTCAACCAATCTCTCACTGATGGCGGCAGCACACTGAAACTTCTGTTCGAGCGTGAGGTAGAGGTTCTTCGAGTGCTTGCCGACACAGTCCTTGGAGAACTTGAAGTGATTCTGAGAAAGAAATGCGAACAGCTTATTACTGAATGCGTCCACCAGCGAGACACCATCGAGAAGCTTATTAATGCCAACGCCAATTCTACAGGTCATTACCTTTGGCAGCTACAGATGAGATACGTTTACAACCCCGAGGGCGAGTTTCTGGACCGACTCTACATCAAGATGGCCAATGCCAAGCTCAACTACGGTTTTGAGTATCTGGGAGTTCCTGAGCGTCTTGTTCGCACACCTCTTACCGATCGATGTTTCCTCACTCTTACCCAAGCTCTGTGCCAACGTCTTGGTGGTTCACCTTATGGACCCGCTGGTACAGGTAAAACAGAATCAGTCAAGGCTCTTGGTGTACAGCTCGGTCGATTCACCCTGGTCTTTTGCTGTGACGATACTTTTGATTTCCAGGCAATGGGCCGCATTTTCTTGGGTATTTGTCAAGTTGGTGCTTGGGGCTGTTTCGACGAGTTCAACCGTTTGGAAGAACGAATCCTTTCCGCCGTATCGCAGCAGATTCAAAACATCCAGCTGGGCCTAAAGCAAGGTGCTGAAGACGACCAGTCACAGATCGAACTGGTGGGCCGTCAACTCCACGTCAACGAAAACACCGGTATCTTTATCACTATGAACCCTGGTTATGCTGGTCGTTCCAACTTGCCTGACAACCTGAAGAAGCTCTTCCGCAGCGTGGCCATGTCGAAGCCCGACAAGGAACTTATCGCTGAAGTGATGCTTTACTCTCAAGGTTTCAACCAAGCCAAGCAACTATCCAAGCATACTGTGCCTTTCTTCGACCAGTGTTCTGGCAAGTTGTCAAAGCAAGCTCATTACGATTTCGGTCTGCGTGCTCTCAAAAGTGTGCTGGTTAGCTCTGGTGGCTTGAAACGTGCTCGTCTGGGTGAGGGAACCCTAGGTGCCGAAGAGGTTGTTGAACCTGAAATCATTGTGCAAAGCATTCGAGAAACGATTGCGCCTAAACTCATCAAATCCGATGTCGATGTCATGATGACTATTGAGACCGACTGCTTCCCCGGTGTGCAATACGTCCCCGCCAACCTGGTGGCCCTGGAAGATGCAATTCGAACCCTGGCTGCTGAACGTCACCTTGTGGTAAACGAGCTTTGGATGACCAAGGTTCTCCAACTGTATCAGATTCAGAAAATCCATCACGGTGTTATGATGGTCGGTAACTCTGGTTCTGGTAAATCCGCAGCTTGGAGACTTTTGCTCGATGCGCTCCAGAAGGTTGAGGGAGTCGAGGGAGTTTCGCACATAATCGACTCCAAGGTCATGTCAAAGGAGGCCTTGTACGGAAATCTCGACTCAACCACTCGCGAATGGACAGACGGTTTGTTCACTAGCATTCTGCGAAAGATCGTCGACAACCTTCGTGGCGAGGACTCCAAACGACATTGGATCGTCTTCGATGGTGACGTTGATCCCGAATGGGTTGAAAACTTGAACAGTGTCCTTGATGACAACAAACTGCTCACGCTTCCCAACGGTGAGCGTCTTAACCTCCCATCTAACGTGCGAATCATGTTTGAAGTCGAGACGCTCAAGTATGCAACCCTGGCTACCGTCAGTCGTTGTGGTATGGTCTGGTTCAGCGAGGACACGGTATCGCCCAACATGTTGGTCGAAAACTATTTGTCCACCCTTAGCAGCGTCCCCTTCGAGGACTTGGATGAAGACAATGTTGCCACTGGTCAGAACCCTGCCAAAACATTGGCTGTGCAGGGCGAATTTGCGGCATTGCTTCGTATCTATCTGTCTGAAGAAGATTTCATTATTCAAGCTCTCAAGCAGGCCGAGGCCTATAACCACATCATGGAGTTTACAGTTGCTCGTGTCCTCACGACTCTTTTCTCGCTGCTCAATAAGGCAGTTCGGGATGCCATCGATTATAACGTACAGCATTCCGATTTCCCTCTAGAGTCTGAACAAATCGAATCATTCATCTCGAAGAAGCTTCTGTTAGCACTCGTATGGGCACTCACTGGCGATTGTCCTCTCAATGACCGAAAGGCATTCGGCGATGAGCTCTGTGCATTAGCCAACTTTGGCTCCCCTCCCATCGACGGCACAAGCTCACTTATTGATTTTGACGTGACCCTACCCAAGTGCGAGTGGGCTCCATGGCAGAACCAGGTGCCTACAATAGAGGTCAATACGCACTCCATCCTTCAGACTGATGTTGTCATTCCTACTCTGGACACTGTCCGCCATGAAGACGTCCTTTACTCTTGGCTCGCCGAACATAAGCCCTTGCTGCTCTGTGGTCCCCCTGGTTCAGGTAAAACAATGACTCTGTTCAGCGCTCTTCGCAAGCTGCCGAATATGGAGGTTGTTGGTCTGAACTTCTCAAGCGCAACAACCCCCGATCTCCTCATCAAGACTTTTGAGCAGTACTGCGAGTACAAGAAGACACTGAATGGCGTTATGCTCTCCCCCAGTCAAATCGGTAGATGGCTTGTTGTCTTCTGCGATGAAATCAACTTGCCTGCACCAGACAAGTACGGTACCCAGCGAGCTATCTCTTTCCTGCGCCAGATGGTTGAGCACAATGGCTTCTGGCGAACATCCGACAAGTCTTGGGTCACTCTAGATCGCATTCAGTTCGTGGGTGCTTGCAATCCTCCAACTGACGCTGGACGTACGCCTATGGGTGCCAGATTCCTTCGACATGCACCGCTCATCATGGTTGATTATCCTGGTGAGCTATCTCTCAACCAGATTTATGGCACGTTCAACTCTGCAGTTCTCAAAATCATCCCTTCACTTCGAGGATACTCTGAAGCCCTTACCCACGCCATGGTTCGTTTCTACCTTGAGTCTCAACAGAGATTCACGCCAAAGATTCAGCCCCACTACGTATACAGTCCTCGTGAGCTGACACGATGGGTTCGTGGTGTTTACGAGGCTATTCGACCTCTGGAGAGTTTGTCTATCGAAGGCCTGATCCGAATCTGGGCCCATGAAGCTCTCCGTCTATTCCAAGATCGGTTGGTTGCTGAGGAAGAGAGGCAATGGACTGACGAGGGCGTGCGTCGCATTGCACTCGAATATTTCCCCAACATCGACGAGGAGAAGGCTCTCGGAGGCCCTATCCTCTTCTCCAACTGGCTGTCTAAGAACTACGTTCCTGTGGACCGCGAGCAATTGAGAGACTTCGTCAAAGCAAGACTGAAGACTTTCTGTGAAGAAGAAGTCGACGTGCCTCTGATTCTATTTAATGATGTCTTAGAGCATGTGCTACGTATCGATCGTGTCTTCAGACAGCCCCAAGGCCATCTAATCTTGATTGGTGTTAGTGGTAGTGGCAAGACTACCCTGTCTCGTTTCGTGGCCTGGATGAACGGTCTCAAGGTTTTCCAGATCAAGGTGCATGGCAAGTACTCGGCCGAGGACTTTGACGACGATCTGCGGGATGTTCTTCGACGATGTGGCTGCAAGGGCGAGAAAATCTGCTTTATCATGGACGAGTCAAACGTGCTGGACTCTGGCTTCTTGGAGAGAATGAACACCTTGCTCGCCAACGCCGAAGTTCCAGGTCTTTTTGAGGGTGACGAATATGCTGCCCTCATGACTGCTTGTAAGGAGGGTGCTCAGCGACAAAACCTGCATCTAGACTCCCCCGAAGAGTTGTACAAGTGGTTCACCCAACAGATTGTCAAGAATCTGCACGTCGTCTTTACCATGAACCCACCTGAGGATGGTCTCTCTTCCAAGGCTGCTACTAGTCCCGCCTTGTTCAATCGTTGTGTTCTTAACTGGTTTGGCGATTGGTCTGACCAAGCCCTGTTCCAGGTTGGCCATGAGCTCACTCATTCCATCGATCTGGACCGAAGTAACTTTGAGTGTCCTGATACTGTCCCTGTGGCCTATCGTGGCCTGCAACTTCCTCCTTCTCACCGCGAGACGGTTGTCAATTCGATGGTGTACATCCACTACTCTCTCCAACGATACAACGAAAAGCTCTTGAAGCAGCAGGGCAAAGTTACTTTCTTGACCCCCCGTCACTTCTTGGACTTCATCACTCAATACGTAAAACTCTACACTGAGAAGCGAGAGGATCTCGAAGAGCAGCAGCGACATCTGAACGTGGGTCTAGAGAAGCTTAGAGACACCGTCGACAAGGTCCGAGATCTTCGAGTCAGCCTGGCGGAGAAGAAAACACAGCTGGAGCAGAAGGATGCAGAGGCCAACGAGAAGCTTCAGCGAATGGTGGCTGATCAGCGCGAAGCAGAGCAGAGGAAGAGTACCGCTTTGGAAATTCAGGCTCATTTGGACAAGCAGGAAGTTGAGGTTGCTTCAAGAAAGAAGGTTGTGCTAGAGGACCTTGCCAAGGCAGAGCCTGCCGTTGATGAAGCAAAGGCCAGTGTCAGCAACATCAAGCGTCAGCAATTGACCGAAGTCAGGTCCATGGGTAACCCTCCTCAAGGCGTGAAGCTTGCTATGGATGCTGTGTGTACCTTGCTTGGTCACAGAATCAATGACTGGAAAGCTGTGCAAGGTATTGTTCGAAAGGACGATTTCATTGCCAGTATCCTCAGTTTCAACAACGAGGAAAAGATGACCAAGGCTCTGAGGAACAAGATGCGCAGCGATTACTTATCTAACCCCGAGTTCACGTTCGAGAAGGTGAACCGTGCCTCCAAGGCTTGCGGTCCTCTTGTCCAATGGGTCAGCGCTCAGGTCAACTACTTTGATATCCTCGACCGTGTCGGTCCACTCAAGCTCGAGGTAGAGCAGCTAGAAGAACAAGCCCTCCAAACAAAGGCCGACGCCCAGGCTACACAAGACGAAATTGCAGGACTGGAGTCCAGCATCAACAAATACAAGACCGAATATGCTGCACTCATCAGTGAGACACAATCCATCAAGGCTGAGATGTCAAAGGTCCAGTTCAAGGTCGACCGCAGTGTCCGACTTCTTGACAGTCTATCATCAGAACGAGTTCGCTGGGAAGAGGGTAGCAAGTCTTTCGAGATTCAGATCAGCACTCTCGTAGGAGACGTTCTTGTTGCCGCTGCTTTCCTGGCCTATAGCGGTCTCTATGACCAGACTTTCCGCAAGTCCATGATGGATGACTGGTTCCATCAGCTTCACCTCTCTGGCATACACTACAAGTCACCAAACCCTGTCACCGAATACCTTTCCACTGCAGATGAGCGCCTGGGCTGGCAGGAGAATACTCTTCCCGTGGATGACCTGTGCACCGAGAATGCTATTATCCTCAAGCGTTTCAACCGTTACCCTCTCATCATCGACCCCTCAGGGCGGGTTACGGAATTCTTGCAGAGAGAGTGTAAAGATCGCCGCCTAACAGTGACAAGTTTCTTGGATGACACCTTTACCAAGCAACTTGAAAGCGCTCTTCGTTTTGGAAACCCTATCCTTATTCAGGACGCTGAGCACTTGGATCCTATTCTCAACCATGTTCTCAACAAGGAATATCAGAGGACTGGTGGTCGTGTTCTTATTCAACTTGGCAAGCAGGAGATTGATTTCTCACCCGCGTTCAAGATCTACCTCTCAACTCGCGATCCTTCGGCTACTTTCGCCCCCGATATTTGCAGTCGAACCACCTTTGTGAACTTTACTGTTACTCAGAGCAGTCTTCAGACACAATCCCTCAACGACGTCCTCAAGTCTGAGCGTCCCGATGTCGATGAGCGACGCTCCAACCTTATCAAATTACAGGGAGAGTTCAAGGTTCATCTACGACAACTGGAGAAAAGATTGCTGCAGGCCCTCAACGAATCTCGTGGTAACATTCTTGACGACGACAACGTCATTGAGACACTTGAGACCCTCAAGACTGAGGCCGCCGAAATCTCAGGCAAGATGAGCAACACTGAAGGTGTCATGGCCGAGGTTGAGGAGATTACGCAACAGTACAGCATTATTGCTCGATCCTGCAGTGCTGTCTTCGCTGTTCTGGAACAATTGCACTACCTTAACCACTTTTATCAGTTTTCGCTCCAGTACTTCCTTGATATCTTCCAGTCAGTTTTACACGGCAACAAGAACTTGGCCGGCCAAACCGACCACAACATTCGACGCGATGTCATCGTCAAGGATCTCTTTGTCAACACGTTCAAGCGGACAGCTCTGGGTCTACTTCAAAGAGACCGGGTCACCCTTGGAATGTTGCTCGCGCAGGCCTCGCCCTACAAGATGGACAAGACATTGATCGATGTCATCCTCGATAACCGTATTGAAGGCAAGGACCTTTCTTCCAACCCTGATGATAGAGATAATGCTTTCGCACAAGCCAAGAAGATCAGCGTTCTCAAAGAAAAGATCGATGCTATCCCTGTCGAGGATTGGGACAAGTTCTTCACAGAAGAACTGGCTGAGAATTTTGTGCCACTGATATGGGATGACAACACTGACGCTAATGATCAAGCCCTACTGTCTCTCCTGCTTGTCAAGCTTTTCAGGATGGACCGATTCGTTCCTGTGGCAGAGCGTTTAGTCAACCAAGTCTTTGGCTCAGGCATCTTTGATGTTGTCGAGGACCTGAAGGAGACAGTCACCCAAGTGTCTGCGACTCTCCCTATCTCTATGGTGTCGAGCCCTGGCTTCGATGCCAGCTACAAGGTTGATAACTTGGTCGAGAGAATGCGCGTCAAGTGTACCAACATTGCAATGGGTTCCAACGAAGGTCTTGCAAGTGCCGACAAGGCAATTAGCAATGCTGCGCAAACAGGCTCGTGGGTCTTGGTCAAGAACGTTCATCTGGCACCTACATGGCTGCAGAGCTTAGAGAAGCGCATGGAATCACTTAACCCTCACTCAGACTTCCGACTTTTCTTGTCTATGGAGTCGAGTCCCAAGATTCCAGTCAACCTACTCCGAGCATCTCGTGTACTGATGTACGAACAACCTGCAGGTGTCAGAGCCAACATGAAGGACTCGATGTCTTCGTTGTCTACACGAGCGACGAAGAGTCCTGTCGAAAGGACGCGGTTGTATTTGCTCTTATCATTCTTGCATGCTGTTGTACAGGAGAGATTACGATATGCACCCAATTTGGGTTGGAAGGGATTCTGGGAGTTCAATGACAGTGACGTAAGTAACCCAACCTCTTTTATTGCAGAGTTCATAAACTAACCCACAACAGTACGAATGCTCTGCCTTCATTGTTGATACTTGGGTGGATGATGTGGCTGGCAACAGAACCAATATTGCTCCCCAGAATATTCCCTGGGAAATGCTCCGCTACATGGTAACTGAAACTTACGGTGGCAAGATTGACGATGAAGGGGACTTCAAACTTCTCTCTCAGCTTGTCACATCTTTCTTGACTCCTTCTGCCTATGAAGTTGACCACAAGCTCGTCGACGGACCTGACGGTGGCCTTACTGTGCCGTCCGGCACCAGTCTTCAGGACTTCAACGCTTGGATTCACCGTCTCCCTGAGCGCGAGCCGCCCACATATCTTGGGCTTCCCGCAAATGCTGAGAAACTCCTGCTTGGTGGTCTTGGCCGAAGCCTGGTGGGCAATCTGCGCAAGGTTACTGAATTGCTTGATGAAGGCGAGCAGTTAGTGACAGAAGTGTAAGGAAGGATCACCAACAATGTCATTGGGGGCGAGCAGGCGTCAGGTTTAAGTCCTGGCTTGATTAAATACTTAGTGCTTGGTTGATTCCTGTCTAATGGAAGTCGAAGTGCCTGTGTTATCTTTTCTTGTTTGTTAGATTTGGCATCATGCAAAGGCGTGTGGATGAAAGAGTTCGGTGGCTCTACGGAGGATCATTGTCACTTATACCCCTGCATTGCATAGATCAGTTTTGCTTTTTCAGTTTTGATATATCTATTTTGAAAGTAACAAGAACCGAGTTCCCCAGTTCATAACTCTCCCTAGGGATATGCTCCTGATATGCTACATGACTAAAATACATGGCAGAGAAATAAATAAACAGCAGCCGTCGCTGGCCAACCGAGCACTAGCTGTAAAACTCTGCAATTTGAGGGTTCATATCAAAACCAGTAAACCCTGGCGAGGTAAAGTTGTACATGTTCATATTGGCGACGGCGGCGGGCTGGTTACTTGGTTGATGTGGAAGCTGAATTCTGAGTACATCAGAGACATACTTGCGAAGTTGGTCTTGGACAAGAGTCTCGAAGGATTTCTCGTCTTCACCCGGGCTCACCAACTCGTTCATCCAAGCAAACTTGTAGAAGAAGTTGATCCACAGCTTGGGCTCGTCCAAGTCAAGAAGATTGCTTGCTCCATCTGCCGCATGCTTGAGAAGTTCATCGTCTCCTTGAATGACATCGTCGGCATTCGTTTCGGCACGTATCATCCATGATAATGTCACGAGGAGCTCAGAAGGGCTTATGCCAAAGGCAGATTCACACTGACCATACCAGTCAGGGGCACGATTTGCCCGCACCAGCTGCACCATAACCCCCCACAGTGTACAGAAGACTCGGATGTTGTGCCACCAGGAACGCATATCTGCACTGGGGTTGACAGGGGAATCCTGCAAAGCTACAGGGTGATTCAGTCGCAGCTGTTCTTCGCACCACTCAAGACAACAGCGTAGTGGAGAGGGACGGTCGTGGCGAAGTGTTTTAATGAAAGGCTGCTTCTTGATGAACTCATGCAAAAGATTCTCTGTCATAAACTCCGGCGGGTTGGAATGGTCAAACCGTTCGTCGTAGATCTCGAAAGCATAGCTGAGAAAGAAAAATGTCACAAGATCGATTGATGAATAATTGTGCGTCATCTCTGGGAGTGACTGATCGCTGGCGAGTATTTGCTCGACATTGCGGGTAACTTGTTGGATATAATGTGACTTATCAGAGTCTTCTTGGTGGCTTCCCACGTATGCTTTGAGCATTGACAGGAGGAACGGAGGCTTGGAAAACTCATATGGCCACTCTTTTGCAAGAAGTTCTCTGGCACTGAAAGCATTGTCTGGCTTGCCGGCAACTCGAGCACAAGAGATAACAAGAAACTCTCGAGTCTCTCGGAGAGATTGTTCGCTGTTGGCTACAGATTGGTGAAGATTTAAGTATAAGTTGAATGCGTTCGAGTCATCGAGCATGGCGGCGCAGAAGTCAGCAGCAAGCTTCCTTGACTCTTCAATCGATCCAGTTGACCATGGGTACTGAATGAGAAGCTCTTTGCTGTCCGATGATCCATCATAATCCATAGCGTCTGAACCAGGCGTGGTCATCAGGGCATCGGGATCGGTGAGATCCAGTAACATGTGCCGATCGAAAGGCTGAGATTCCGAATCAAACTCGAGATCCTGAAAGTCGATCGACTCGTTGAGGTCACCAGGGGATAATGACATGATGGGACCTTTCTTGTCGCTAGCGTTGTACTTCTTTATCCCCCATTTTTCGAAACGATAGCCATATTGTCGCTTGCTAATGGAGCAAAGATGTCAGTCAATAGCCAAAAGGGATAGCGTGCTGTATATGAGAGAGATATCTAGATACCTTTGGATAATGCCGTATTTCTTCTCCATGATGTCCATGACGATACTCAAAGTATACTTCTTGTACAAGCCACAAAGAAAAGGCTTGAATCTTTCCCATGTTTCATCGTTGATGCGTGTTGTAGGCTTGAGCTGTTTGTCATCAGCCCCCCTCGAGTATGACCTTTCTCGGAAGTCCATGGTTCCTGTGTCGATTATAGAGACTTGATCTAGATTGTCAGGTGGAATTAGGAGACAGTTGTAAGCGGCGATGGTGCGGTCCTTTTAAGGATGGCATTTTGCACTTTGCAAGTCTCGGCTGGACATGTTGGAGTGTAATTTCTGATTGCCTTGGGAAGTGCCTCATTTATACAGTACCTATGTACAGGGCGTACGATGCCGCTGCCTTGAGCTTCGAGTCTCGAGGCTTAGATTCAGTGTGATTTGCCTATATTGTGATTTCAAGATGCCCAAGACAGGCTTGTGTGATTGGTCACGAGGGATGGCTGTGCACATATGCATGTCCGGTATGCACGCGCTGAACAGGCGAACCAGCAGCTAAAACGACAGGCATATAATTGGGTATCGCAGCACAGCCTCAGCTAGGTCTCTTTGCTTGAAAGAAGATGGAAATTCCAATTCTCCTTGTCAGGCCCGTTCGCTGCAGTGATGCGATAAGATGTGATATGGGACGGCATGGAATGTTTCGCCGTAGCCTAACGACACCCAACTTGCTGAATGGGCACCCAACGAACACCGCTTTTTGAGGCCCGCCCTGGCATGGACGGGCATCATGACACAAGTCAGTAGTTCGTTGTTCCATCTTTCCTGTAGTTGGTCCATTTTCCCCCTCTGGCGTGACAAGCAGGTCTCCAATCCGGTCATGGTCATGGTTGGTGTTGCAGGATGCGCGTGAGCTTTTGGGCGAGTATGCGTTTACACCAGCGGCTGGGTATCATTTTTTGACGAGCCAATTCACAAAACCTTCCATTGTCATCGTTTAAAAGCTTTTGAGCCATCAGACTTTCCATCTTGACCGTCTTTCAGGCAATTAATAAACTTGTTATACTATGCAATCACCGTTAGCATTATACCATCACAGAACCATGAAGACAGACGATTTCTGCAATTCTTGGGTTGAGCCAAGCGAGTATCCGCGGATACCCAACGTCTACGAACCGATTCAAGATGCTCAACTTTCCAGTTTCCACGAAAGCAGAGAAAAGAACCAAGCTGCCAAAAGCGACATGAACGCTCGGAGTAGTCATAAATCGTCCTGGGCAATGCATAGTATCCATTCGAGCGGCGAACAATTTGATGAGGTACTCATCGACGACCCTTCAAACTATTCTGTTATTGCGCAACTGGGGAGCAGCTACAGAAGCGACGACTTTACTGTTGGATCCCGCTTGAGAGAAACGACCAAGGACTGGCAATCATCTCCTGCTCGCTCAGACTCTGCTGAGAAGAGACGTGCAAGACGAGACGCGAGCCTTGAGAAGTGGAAAGACGCAGGCGACAAGCTCTTTTGCCAATCAGGGAGATACCGACCATGATGCGCATGCGACTTTGGTATGTTTGAGGGTTGACAAGTCGCTGTGGAATGGTCGATGAAGAGAAGAAGCAAGCCGTTGACACCGGATGTGAGCGCATATAAGTTGATAATGATATTGACAAAATTTCGTATAGCCGGGGGCCAGAGAGTACTCTTGGTCATTAATTCTCGAGCACATATGCGAATGTCTTTTCTTCTAGTCTGAGACAAAGATTGATCTGCATCGTCAAATGAAAGGATGTTCTAGCTTCAGTCAAGCATTCAAATCCTGCGATTGTCGAGAAATCATCTCAGTGACGTACTACGGTATACCAGCTGGCGAGATACACAGACGACTTGATCGAATGGGAACCAGACCAGACCAGGGTGTGCAGTGTCGTTCCACAGCGCATCAAACATAGTAGATGCAATATCAAGTCAGGAACCGGTTTCAATTTGACACGACAAGGTCGTCGAGGTGCGATGCAAGTGATTTAATGCTTGCACAGGAGGCAGCTTGAGAATCTCGATGAGCAATTGCAGCTGAAACAATAAGACTCCTGCCACTATCTGTCTACAGAATCTCTGCCGGATTAGTCTATTTATGTTGTCTGTTTGTGGTACAGCCACAATTCATTAAGGAAGGTACTCTGCATTTGGTAACTTACCTGCCTCCACTCCAGTTCATAACTGTACGGTAGAATGTCCCACTTTGAACCGGTCAACAATACCTAATGGCAAGAGTAACTCAGATCAAGGTTGTCGTCATTGGAGTGGAGCTCTACTTTTTCACCAATCATAAAACTTGGGGCATGTCTGTCTTGCTTGCTTGCTCGCTCGCCTGCACCTGCAACTTACAACCATGGAGCAAACCAAATGCAGGCTCATGCAAACCAACAAGACAGCCTGGACAGGACTTACCTCCGGGGATAAAACACCCACATCAACGATCCACTTGCGATCATCTCCAAACCGACTTTGATACGTGATATCTTGACCTTGATCAATTCGCTGATACTCACCAGAATTATGTGAAACTGGGTACTTATGAAAGAAAGAGCATGCACTAACCCAAAGATAGCGTCGATACCTACAATCACAGCCCGCCTCGCACAGTTACGTAGACAGTCACAGCATGTACCGCATCTGGCGCCACTGTCATTCCCCTTGTCACCACACCAATACGTTCCAGAATCGTGATGGTCACCAACTTGGACACATCAAAACCAATGACAGCCCGACCTCTATTTAATTCCCGGCAATTTTTTTGGTTGATCAGTAGCTTAGCGCCCTTCTGCAGAGGTCATCTGGTCAAGCAAGGCAGAGAATCAGAAGATGCGCTGCTCAGGTTGGGCAAGGCAAGATCCAAACTCCAAAATGTATCCAATGGCCCGAGGGTAATCATGCGCACCCATGCTCCTTTGAACCAGTTGCTGCCGCGTACTTTCTCGGATCCTGTGGCGTAGGCAATGCAGGTCTCACTCCAGATAGGTACCAAGCTTCAATATCAATGACCTTGTGTAAACTCGCACAATATAATCGGTATTTCGATGTCTAGCCAAAGTTTGATAAGTCAATACTGAGGCAGGTACTGGATACAATCCAAGAATCGAGGTACCTTCCTTAGGTAGGTACCTTCGCAGGCACTCTTTTTCTATGGTGACTGAGCTAGGTTCTCCTGGAGCATCGAGCGTGGTGTGACATACCAAAGGCCATGGTGTGGCTGTTTTGTTCCTGCCCCTCTTTAGCTTGCGCTTCCCCGCAGAACTAAGGCAAAGCACTTACCTACCTGAGGCAGTCCTAGTTCTAATATCTTAGTGGAGATCAGTCCCTAGCTCCGTCCTTATGTCACTGTAGATATGTACGTCCAGCCGTCCACTGGTTTTAAATACTTCCACTTCTGCCACATCCTCCTGAGACCTTTAAACTTGCTCTCCTTTCTCTCAGTCGCCGCAGTTTCTTTAACTATACTGGAAGACAACAAACTCTATTTCAAAACACCACTAGCTCGTAATCACCCTTAAATCGGCGACAAACATGGCCAACTGGCAGCAGTGTACGTCAACTATCCGCTTTATCGCGAACATTGACTAACCCCATCAATAGACAACCCCTTCGGAAAGAGGGACTCCCATTCTAACAATTCCATCCTCGTATACAAGATTCTGACTCTCATCACCTGGATCCTGTCCCTTGTCGTCACCGTTTACTATACGCTCCATCGTCCTGATGATGGCCACACTCGAAACCGCAAGATCTGGGAGCAAAACCACATGTACCGCACTGCTTTCACTCTGAACCCAATCATCACCTCTATCTACTGGTTTGTGCCTCCAAATATCAAAAGTGTGCTCTTATGCTAACGGCTTTACCAGGATTGTCCTCTTCATTCTCCAGGCCGGGTACATTGGTCACCTCTTCTCGAGCAACTCGGACATCGTTCATGCTGCCGCCAGCGTCGGAAGCCACTTCATCTTCAACAACCTCTTCCACTTCGCTTTCGTCATGCTCTTTGTCCGCTCCCACTTCCACTGGGCTGAGGTTATCCTGATTCTCAACTTCATCAACCTCTCCTCCCTGTACTTCCGCCACAACACGTATCCTCGATTTATTCATACGCCTGTTGTTTCCGGACCCTTGTCCTGGACCTTTGTTGCGATCTACTGGAACGGTGCTCTGATGATTCCCCACCCCCACCACCTCGTGCCTCGTATCTTCGGAAACATCTTCATCTGGTCCATTCTCGCTTACGGACTCTTCTTCATCGTCATCTACAAGGTATGTTCACTTACCCCGCCTGAGTGGCACAGCACACTGACTGCAGCAGGATTACACCATGGGCTTCTCGCTTAGCGTCTTCGCTGCCGCCATTGGAGTTTCTCAGTTCCTTCACCAGGTGATTGCCTTCCAGTGGATCTTTGCCTTTATCATCATGGCTCTGCTTTTCGTCGCTACGGTTGTTGTTGCTGTTCCTGCTGCGACTGGCAGGGAGATCAACTGGCGTAGTGCACCTGCTGATCAGGAGCGCGCTCCTCTTCTCGCTGAGTAAAATCAACAAGATGGGTCAATCGAAGGCTATTGCTGGGGGAGCGGCAATGCTTTTCACTACTGGGCCTCTGACCAGTCGCCGCACCACTACGTCTAAAGGCCCAGAGGTTATTTGGTGATTGTGTGGGTTGTGTTTATTGTTCTTAGCCGGCCTGTTCTAGCATTGTTCAACAACCATGTTGAATGCGGAGTAATGGATGAATCTGGCGTTGAGGATTTATCGATGTTTCATTTGGTCCTGCTGACAACACTCGCCGCAGGCAACTTTTGTCCAGATCACCAGCTTAGCCATAATTGGAGGTCTTCCTAGGTATCCAACAAAAAATATGACAAGGTTGAAGGGAACATTTCCTCCGGTGACGATGCATGTTCGCAGTGAATGCTTGGTGACGTAGGGGTGGAGCTTAATCGATAAGTTGCCGACACTAGCGGCTCAATGAAGAATAAACCAAGATCGTCGGTTACCGACGCTACGTCTACCACATAACATCTGATCTATTGGGCAGTGCCGCAGTGGTGATGAAGCCACTACGGGCATTTCCTTTTCCACTCAATGTTGGAAACGATATTTGTCAGATATCTCGCATATACTCAATTCTTTCAGGACCACGAGCTGTGCGCTTTGTAAGCAGGATATTATCTTCAGAAGAGTTGGCAAACAAGGATGCACGCCTAGACATTCTCAACAGTGTGAAAGCTCAGAAGCCTGCATTACAGGATGCTTTTCACAAATCAAGCGATGACAGTCATTCACACGAGCAGCTTGCGGCAAAGTATCCTGAGATGTGGAGTTGTGCTGCATTCGTGGCTGGAAGGTACGCGAGTTCAAATATATCGTAATGTGGCCGCTGATTTGGGTCCTGTTCCAGATTTGCGGCAAAGGAGGCTACCATTAAAGCCCATCCGCACCGACGTCTGACGTTCCACGATGTGATTATCGAGAGACGACCAGTGAAAGGCCAGAGGTTGGGAAGCGGACCGCCGATTGCACGGGTTCGCGGTGATGAAGGAGAGGCGGAAGACACAAGCGCTTTGGTGTCGATTAGCCATGATGGGGACTATGCAACGGCTATATGCCTTGGTTATGAGCCTAGCGCCAATAGCAGGAGAGATTGACGGATATGTTTGTACAAGATGTAACCGAAAGCACAAGGGACAATCTAATGTGGCAAGCGAAAGGTCGATGGAGACAACTTTAAAGGTTGTGTGAAGAATGGATGAGAGGATTAGTTGCAGCCTCTAGTACAGTAACTTAAGAAGCAAAACGAGGAACAAGTACAAAATCAAGCATCATGACACCAAGTTAGCTCAACCGCAAAAAGAAAAGGATTTCTTCCGGTATACCAGGGACTCGAACCCTGAGCCTTAGTCTTAGGAGGACTACGCGCTACCATTGCGCCAGCACACCCGATTCGCTTATGAATCCTTGTTGGTTGGATATGGCAGTAGAAATTTTGTAAACTACTATATAGTTAAGAATCTTGCAAAATCCTTTCAGCGGTTAACAATATGGCCTTTGTTGGAGCAGCGATTCATATATAAACTATCCCGGTCTCTGTTGTTGACTTCCCGTCCTTTCTCTGATGCGAGCAATCACGAATCCACTAAAGCTGGTTGGCATCCAGCAACTCATCTTATACCTGCAGCTTCGGGCCATGACAGGTAGCAGAATGCGGCTCTCCGTATGCCGAGTACTGGGGTCCCGGGGTTAAAGTCTGCTACCTGTACAATACGTTTCAACAGAGACGTTCAAGTAGTTTTGTTGAAAGTATATAAGTATGCACTTCTTGTATTATCTAATAGATCAGGCATACGAAGACAACGACTTGGCCAAATTGAACTCTTATTCACATAGAAACAGATGAGCTATTCCACCAAACAGACAAGCGGTAGCTTCTCTTGTCTGAGCCAACAGCTAGCCACCAAATCAACGGCACACGCTGTAACCTCAGGCGGTAACCACCATATCGAGCAGAGTATAGAATGAATGCCACTTCCCTCAAGACTCAATAAGTCTAAGTATCAATATTGTCTTGAGATCTTAACAATATGTGCCTAGGTATGGAGGTCATGAACTAAGCTTGTACAGCCAGATCAAAGTCTTCTTTTCATGATAATCGTTGATACTTGAATCTCTACTACCCTGGAGATAACACGGTCATTGTGACCTTTACAGGTAGCCGATGCAGCCACAGACACTCTTTTCGTCCACTCACTACTCCATTACGGTCAGCGAGACAACAGAGGAGGTAAGACAGTTTTCCGAAACCGGTCAGAGGCATGAGAATGAGGCGGTCAAAGGATATCAAAGGTTAGGCGTCAATGGTTTTGTCTTATGCTTGCCTTTTGGTGTCTTTGTTTTATGGCCCCTGCTTTCAGCTGGGGCATAGGTGCAGTACTTGCCCTCAGGGTATCAGAAGAATTGGCCCCTAGAGACATAAGAGACGAAATAATTTGGTCACTTTATGCTAGCTCAGACCAGTAGTCAGGTTACTCTATTATGGAAGCCTAAACCTTGGAGGACAATTCTTCTGTTACCCACCTGCTTGCCTACCTGCCCCTGGGCCCCAGGTACCCCCACGGGTCGGCGTTCAGGTTCCGTCATCCACTGGAAACATCAGAGGTGAACCCGCTAGGCAGTTAACGTTCAGCGCTAAACCGCGGGTTGTTGTTGCCAATTCCGCCCCCCGATATTCGGGCTTCAGCGCTCCACTTGCCCACTTTGTGCATAGCCCATTCACCTAATGATCATGACTTCAAAATGAAAGACTAATGCGCCTGCTGCTGCTACCTTGACTTATCTTGATGCTTAGTACTCAGAGTCGGCTCGTTTCTTCTTCATCTTTTCATCCACCCATCGTCTTTGTTGCGTTCGTGATACTAAGATGAAGGCCGAATCGGGCAACATCACACATTCATTATTGCCTGTCCCGACCAACTAAGTTAACCCACACTCCATCTTGTTCCTGTTTTGTTTTGTTCTGCTTTACCTTTTATCTTAGATATTCTCGTATTTTGGTCGCCATCATGGATCTCATAATACACCGCTTCGTCGGTTTGGAATTCTCTCCCTATAATGTTAACGAATCTGCATCATTGCCCGCGGCACCTTATTCGATCAGGTAAGTGTAAACCAGTACAGTACGTCCATGCAACCGCAATATTGACATTATAACCAGTTATCAGAATGCTATGTCATCATCGTCTTCTCAAGTCCCATGGATCCATAAGGTGTCACGCTTTGCCCACTCTGGAATACCACAAGCTGTGGTACTCTCCCTATCACTTATGCAACTCATCTACAGCCTAGATCGAATTCGCCGACAAGAGTCAAGTTGTCGATCTAAAGCTGCCAAAATACGTTGGCCGTATGAAATCGCCTCACAGACGGCAAGGCTCACTGCCGTAGTATTCGTTACACTTGCTTATACGCAAGATAAACTACACTGGATTAACATATTTTCTGTTGCATATGCCTTCATCCTCGGCCTTCTACGCCTCTTCAACCACCTTCAATGGCGCCATGTAGCACTGCATCAAATCAACTTTGTGCTCCCAGCTACCATGGTCATCCTCGTTGCTGGTCATACACTGCCGTGCATCCAGACAGGCACCGTCTGTCTCCACGATACAAGTACCTCGGGGGGTATCGTTGCCATCGCAGTGGCTTCTGTGATCGCAGTCATTACTCCAAGAGAATGGAACCCTCTGCAGGTTGAGCTCAACATTCCTGGCTATGATCAGAGTGAGCCGGCTCCCGAGGAAACTTGCAGCTGGTTCACCTATTACTGCACATACGATTGGCTGACACCAGTTATTTGGAAGGGAATGAAGAGAAAACTCGATATGGCTGATATTCCAAGGATAGCATGGTATGACGAGCCTATGTATCTCCTCCGCCGCGTCCAGGAAGCCCGCTCCATCTCTAAAAAGACCCTCTTCACAGTCCTTCGGTTCCAGAAGCGGGAGTTACTTCTCATGGCCTTCTGGGTCGCCACATCGTACACAGTCGAGAACATCGCTGCATATGCCATGTTCAAGCTGCTTGAGTATCTTGCTAATCCGAGTGGTGCTGTATATAAGCCATGGCTCTGGCTACTCCTCATGTTTATTGGTCCATTATCGCGTTCTATTGCCTTTCAGCAGTACATCTTTACATCCACCAGACTTGTGGTCCGTATTAAATCTGCCTTCACCCAGGAGCTGTATTATACTGCTTTGGCTTCAATGGAAATGGAAGAAGACCCCTTCGAGTTACAGTCAGCGGGCACGAAATCTAAGAACACGAGTGGGCAGACGAGTACCAAAAGCACATCAGCTGGACGCTTAGCCAATCTCATGGCTTCCGATATAGATGCCATCTATAAGTCACGGGATATCATTCAGGCCACTGTCGGCACTCCCGTTGGGACTTTAATATCCCTTTTCGGCATGTACAGGATGATGGGTTGGGCATCTTTGGTTGGCAATGCCATTCTATTCCTGGCTGCTCCTGTTTCGATCTGGCTTGGACGCCTGATGTTTTATTCACAGCGCCAAGTCAGAAAAGCTCAAGATTCTCGCATGTCCCTAGTGACAGAGTATCTTGCTTCTCTTCGGGCCATCAAGTATTTTGCATGGGAAGATCCTATCACGGACAAGATCATCGGTGCACGCTCGGCCGAGCAAAAGGAGCTATGGAGAACCTCTTTGATCCAGGCCTCTCTGAACCAATGTATGCAGATAGTTCCATATCTGTCCCTCCTCGTAATGTTTGGTCTGCACGTTGGCCTTTCCAAACGCCGACTCGATGCTGCAACCGCTTTTACGACCATCTTCCTTGTCAAGAATGTTCGCCGAAATATAATGCAAGCTAGTGCCTTTGGCAGGAACTTCGCGAGCGCACTGGTTTCAGTAACTCGACTTGATAAATACTTCGAAAGTACTGTCTCCATACCAGAATATCCAGTTGGTCCGCTCCACATTGACAGCGCCTCGTTCCGGAAGACAAAGGCCGCCACGTTCACACTGAACGACATCACCATAGACTTTGCGCAAGGAGGTCTCAATGTGATTGGTGGCTCAAGTGGCAGTGGGAAGACTACCCTTCTGTTATCTATTCTTGGTGAAACCTACCTGGAGAGTGGATCTGTGACCAGGCCCGAGGACATAGCATATGCCTCCCAGTCGTCCTGGTTACAAAATGATAGCATTCAAGCTAACATCCTTTTTGGCAGCCTGATGGAAAAAGCTCGCTACGACAAGGTTATTGAAGCATGTTGCCTTTGGGAAGACTTCAAGGAGCTACCAGCTAGGGACATGACCATCGTAGGCGAGAACGGAACCTCCCTCTCGGGCGGCCAAAAAGCAAGAGTGGCCCTCGCTAGAGCTTTGTATTCCAGAGCGCCGCTACTACTACTCGATGACATCTTTGCTGCTCTTGACGCAAAGACCGCTGCTGGTGTTTGGAAACACTGCTTCTGTACTGACCTTTTGACTGGTAGGACAACTGTGCTTGTAACTAATCTCCCTTGGATTGCAGAGCAAGCCGACCTTTCTGTTGTGTTGGATAGGGGCCAAGTAGAGTCAGCAGAACCCCAGATCGGTGTTGTTCGAAGGCCAATTGCCATCGCCCAAGTCCTAGGAGGAGACGCTGACGAGGATGAAGCACACGATGATGTGGTACGGGAGATTCAACCTCACAGTGATGATCTGAATGATGCAAACAAAATTCTGGAAGAGAAATATCTTAGGGATATTGTGAGCCAGGAGATGAAAGCTTCTGGAAAAGTTGGTCGCATGACATGTAAGCACACCCCTTACCGTTTTGGACTTCTGCTAACTTCAACACCAGTTCTACAATATATGAATTACTTTGGACATCCCGTGTTCGTATTTACTTGCCTTGGACTCCTTCTGGCCACAAACATCTTCACGTTCCTCTCCACTTTGTGGCTTTCTGTTTGGGTCGAGGCATACAACCATCAAGCTCATGTCGACATTCCTTATTACATGGGTATCTTTGCCGGCCTTACATTGCTCGAAATCGGCAGCTACTGTTTAGCCATTATAATGTTTGAGTGGGGAGCCTGGAACGCCGCAAGAAAACTTCACAACGACTTCATTCGTGCCATCATGCGCGTCTCGCTGTCGTGGTTCAAGCACATCCCCATTGGACGTATCACCAACCGCTTCTCTAGTGACATGGCATCTTTGGATGGAACGATCAGTACCATGCTGCGCATCATGCTTGATACTATTCTTCTAATGCTATTCCGAATTGGAGCTGTCAGCAGTATCATGCCGATTTTCATGATACCAGCACTCTTCACATGCTTATTTGGCATTCTCATTGGCGAGGCTTACACAAGAACTGCAGTCGTAATAAAGCGACTGACCTCTTCAGCGCAGTCACCCGTCTTTTCTCAGTTTGCGGATACTCTCGCGGGCCTGCCCATTATCCGTGCCAGGGACGGAATGGCATCAACGTTCAGAGAGGAATTGGCAGCTAAACTTCGCACCTGGTCAGCTTCGTCAGAGGCCAGCTTCAATGCGAACCGCTGGGTGGCTGTGCGTGTCGACTTGGTGACGGCTCTTGTCAGTCTTTCGGCCGGTATAATTGCTGTTTCACAAACCGGCGTCGTGGCTGCAGGACTGGTTGGTTTCTCTCTTACCAACGCCAACGGACTCAGCCAGACAATATTACTGTTGGTACGAGCCATGAACGATCTCGAAGTAGAGATGCAGAGCGTAAGTACAATCACTTCTTTTACCGAGCACCTGCTGACCCAATACCAAGTTTCACCGAGTCAAAGAGTACGTCAAATTAGAACCAGAGGAGAAAGACGACAAGAGTTATCCAGAGGAGGGCGAATACACAGACGACCCTTCGCATGTGCTTCCTAAGCATTGGCCGAGCACTGGGAACATCGAGTTTCGGAACGTGACAATTCGGTACGATCCTGACGGACCCGACGTTCTTACCGACGTGAATCTGAAGTTCAAAGCTGGTGAACGCGTGGCCGTTGTAGGACGAACAGGGTCTGGCAAGAGCACGGTAAGTATCATATGCTCGAGGAATGTGCTGTAATACTAACGGTGATGTTCCGTAGCTTGTTCTCTCCCTCTTGCGTTTTACACACGTGGTCTCAGGCGAGATCCTTTACGATGGCGTTGATATTACAAAAGTCCCTCGACACCGCCTTCGCGAGAGTCTTACAATCATTCCCCAGGAGGCAGTTCTGTTCAACGGCACCGTCGAGTCGAACCTGGACCCTGGTGGCAGAGTTCCCAAGGAGGTCCTCGACAAGGCTCTCGAGAATTGCAAGGGAATTGCTTCGTTCTCTCCACAGGCTTCCGACGACAGCGACAACGACACATGCTCATCCCACGGCGAACACAACTTAGTGAACCTAGCGACAAGTGTTGATCCTCGTGGTGAAAATTTCTCACATGGCCAAAGACAAGTCCTCTCGCTCTGCCGTGCACTTATCCGCCAAAACAAGCTGATGCTTCTAGATGAAGCCACAGCAAGCATGGACTATGAGACGGATCGGGGGATCCAGACCGTTCTACGGCAGGAACTCGAAGCGGCCGGAGGTGACCGTACTTTGGTAACAATTGCACATCGTCTGCGTACCATTATCGACTATGATACTGTTGTAGTCATGAGTGCCGGACGCGTCCTTGAGTAAGTTGTTCAACTGTTGTTGAAATCTTGTCTAGTGTGATCAATCACTAACTGACACCCCTTTTAGGTACGGTTCGCCTCGCGATTTGTACAACAAGCGCGGACAGTTTTACGACATGGTCTACCACAGCGGTGAAATGGACGATCTTGAGGCTTTGCTTTAACATAGAAGGCCACCACAATTGCATGATTTGTAGATGATTCTTTGCAAAATGTTGCTATGTATATATGCATGTGGATACGATGAGGTAACAGGCACCACATATAGAGCGATTTGTATAATTTCTATATATACGACAACATTACAAAATTATGACGTACCTTGAACCTCATCTTCGAACCACATTATCAAGTCTTGAAATGCCTACCTAATTAGCGCAGATGTGCATCATAACTTAGCTCTTCTTCAGACCAGCTGTACTGTACTGTACTGTAGGTAATTTATAAGGGAACTGTGCACTGATTGATCATAACATGTCATTTACGAGCTCTATAATTTACCCAGACGTCCGAAAGGTACCAACAAGTGAGCCGGAATAATCATTGTAACCTTAAAAAAAAAAAAAAAGCCCTCGTGTGTCGTGTATTTTCATGCCCCGCTGCAACCTTGCTTGAACCGATAAAATAACAATAAGAAAAGGAGCATATATGTTGAGAAAAGGTGTAGCAGATAACAGTAATAAACAAGTAAAAAAAAAATAGTGATAAAAAGCTCCTCTTAGCTCGAGACAATAAAACATTTCCCTCATAGAGGTAGCTGTTTCAAAACATGCCTGTCAAACAATTCCAAAGTCTTTCCCTTGTCTCCCCAACGCCAGTACGTGCGTCCGTGTTCTTGCATGTGCATGCTTAGTGGTTGCGGTGAATATCTCGGCACTCGTCTTCCTTTCAAGTCTTGTCGCTTCTCCTGTATCGTCTTTTTCATGTAGGCACGGGATAGTGTGAGTGTGGTGGGATGGATCATGGGCGTATGCGTTGAATTTCGTGGTATCATCGGCACTGACTTGGTCTGCTTCTCCCTCAAGTGTGCATGCACTGGTAGCATCTCCTCCCCTTTATTAACCACTTCTCTCCTTTATTGTCCGTTAAACTGCTCCTCCATGTTGGTAACACCAGCTTCAACATTATGATAGTCTAGAATCTCCGAGTACCTGCGTATGTCAGCACTTGTAGCGTAATGAACATCCCGTTAGACTTACATCATGATCTTCCATGTATCAACGGGCAAATCAGCATCGTTGAAACTCCAGTCGAACTTCTCCTCAGCCACGGGCTCATCCGTAGGATCATGGTAGGGAGAGAGATAATCGTGAGCGAGAGCCTCAGTGGCAGTTATTCGCTTCTTAGGGTCGAAGACAAGCATGCGCTCGAGAAGGTCGATAGCTATCACTTTTGTCAGCTCAATGCCCCTGAATCAAGCCTAACGTTTATAAGCATACCTGAGTCGTCGGCGTTCTTGAACTTGTTGCGTAGAGGCTGGCGCTCACGCTTAGGTAGCGACTTCACGAACCGGAGAGTCTATACATGGTCAGGATTGAGGTCCTAGATAACAGTTTCAAGTGTTTTGGGTAACTCACGTTCTCGCTAGCGATGGTGTTAATAACATCATCAGGAGGAGTACCGAGCAGCTCAGTGATGATGGAGAATTGGTTGACGTGATCCTTTCCGGGGAATAGAGGCTTTCCCTCGAGCATCTCAGCAAAAATGCAGCCAGCACTCCAGATATCGACCTCGACGTCGTATTTTTGCCAGGTGAGCATGATCTCGGGAGCTCGGTAGTATCGTGTGGAGACATAACCTGTCATCTGAGGGTCCTGGATGCGTGCAAGACCGAAATCGCAGATCTTCAAATCGCAGTTTTCGTTGACGAGAATGTTGCTAGGCTTGAGATCGCGGTGAACAACGCCGGCCGAATGCACGTACTTGAGACCACGCTGTAGGGAGACCAAAAGTTAGCAAATGTGGCCATCAACAAATAGATCTCGCTTGGCGAGACTTGGTTTGGACATACCATAATCTGGTAAAGGAAGTACTGGATGAACTGCTTTTCGAGAGGGCGAGAGGTCAATAATCGGTGGAGATCGGTACCGAGGAGTTCTGTGACGAAATAGCTGCAATGCTGTCAGCGCAAGGACGCGGGGAAACGCGGCGGGGGAGGGGTAGAGCCAATTGTAGCTGGGTAACGTACATGTCTTCCAAAGGCGAGATGAAGATATCACTGAGGGAAATGACCTAATGAAAAGTCCTATTAGCGTCATGAAACGAACAATTGTTCGAAGAAGGCAAAAGACATGGGGACGCGTTCAATCAAGCTACGCGGGGTTGAGCTATGGCGGGGCTGGCGCTCACGTTTTCATGCTTAAGGTGCTTGAGCAGCTTGAGCTCACGGTATGTACGTTTGGCGAGCACAGGTGTGCTGAAAGGCTTCATAATCTTCTTGACGGCAACATTTTGGTTGGTGAGCTGATCCCGGGCAGAGCTGTTGTGAGGAATCGGTCAGTTTTCGGGTGCAGGAACAGCTGTAAGGATCGGGTGGACGTACCAAACGAGACCGAAAGCTCCCATGCCAACAGGCTGGAGATCGGAGTATCTGCGCAAGACGAGTCAGCAATGCGATGGATGGACGACTGGTAAACCTCAAAAAAGGATATCTAACTTACCTCGAGGTGATCTCGAACGTGGTTCCGAAGATCTGGGCGCGTACAAACTCGGCCATGGTGAATGTGTGGTTGTTGGGCGAGAAGGTTGAGGGTAAGAGTGAGAGTGAAAGGTGAAGAGTTTCCTAGCTGCAAAACGAGGAACAGGATGCAATGAGGTATAGATGATGGATGGTGGGCGGGGCGCAGACGTAATCGTCCAAGATCGTCAAGTCAGGGCTGGTTGATGGTCCTGGCGTGCAGTGCGAGATAAAGTAAAGAGTAGAAAAGGCAATCTAGCTGTTGGATTGGACGGGTTGCTGGGGATGGAAATGGGATGGACCGATAATGGGTCAGGTGAATGGGAAATCGACGATCGAGAAAAAGACGATGACCGTGACCGGGGTAGCAGTAAAAAAAAGCGATGCAGGTTTTCGATGTCGATTAGAGTGTATCGAGCGCGGGGCGGGAATTTCCCACTGGATAGTGGTTCAAGGAATTTGGTTGATTGATGACTGGATTACTGAAAGTCTTTCTCGGCGATCGACGTTTGTCGTTAATTGTCGCTTTGGACTCTTTTGTGACTGTTGTTTTCCTTCGACGAATGTATTAAGGTGTCGTTGACAGGTAGGACCTAAGCGGGGTAGGTAATGTAGGCGACGGCAACGTGTCTGTCAATCACTGAAGTATTAGCGACTGCTACATAGGTAGGTACTGGTAAAAATGATAAAGTCAATCAGGCGGGTTGGTGAGCAGTTCTGGAAGCCGTCCATAGAATCGCCACCCCAAGCAGCCAATGCTGAGCAGCAAATAACCACTAGAGCAACTGCTGGTGAATCGGAAACAGTCCATGAGTTCCATGTCGTGTACCGTAAAGTCAGGGCTATGACTGGTGAGGGGCAGCTCCGGGCGGGGCGTCTGGGAATGAGACTGCCCTGAAGGCGAACTAGACGTCGGAAGACCAGGTCCTGTCTTGTCCAACAATAGTGGTCGGGTGGCAGCACAGAAACCAGAAATAGCGCCTGAATCTGTCTGTATCACTTCCTGTCCAGTGTAGGCGACGCAGACCTGAACCTTGGGGGGCCTGGGCACCGTCTAACTTGGAGATCACCGCGGCTCTTCACTCCGGGCTGTGTCCCATACACCCACAGCAGCGGTGGGGTCCAAAACTGCCCAACTCCATAGATTGAGGTGCCCTTGACGCCATCGTCCCCCAATAAACCAACCAGCCAATGCTCTCTTGTGGTTGATTGCCAGAGGCCGGACGAAACAGGCACATTGCCTGGTCTTGACTGGGGGGTAGGATCGGAAGCGTTGAGGGAGACTCTGGGGTATTGTCTGCGCAACAAGAAAAGCTTACCTCTGTTCGTCTTTTGCTTGTGAAAGCGACCTCGAGTGCAAGACTTGTTTCGGGTCAAGTCAGGATGGTCGGTCAAGTGTCGATCGCAATGCTAACAAGGCAAAGGATGGTAGGTAAGCAGGTTGGTTGTAAGAGGAGAAAGGTTGCAAGAGGACGGAGGGAAAAGCGAAAGTTCAACAAGGAGACGGGTTTACATGAGGGATGGGAGGGTACATGTACATATATACGTGACATCCATGGCAGAGGACATGCCATGACATGGAATAGGAATTCCTAGGGCAGTCATGAAGCGTCAAGTATTGGTATTGGTTTGTGTGAACGGAGGGCCGCCGGTTTCTCTTTTTTTTTTAGGTGGGGGGTGCATGAGGAGGGGAAAGAGAGCTCCGGGGCGTATGGAGGCTTGAGATGCTCTGTGCCTACCTACCTGCGACTGACTACTTAGTGCCTACAGGTTCCTACCTAGGTACCTACCTAGGTAGACAAAGACGGGAGGACCCCATCCCTTGTCACCGTCTATTTGGTTTGGTCTGGTTGATCTCTGCTCTTTCCCCTTGGAGAGACCCTGGCAAGGCGCAACACGTAATGGGATCGAGATCTCTCAGAGTGGTGGATATCAAGGTTATGCGCTACACTTACTCACTTACAGCAGACACTATCTGTTTTACGAACAAATGATGGGGCTTTCTCATTCAATATGCGGAAAGTTGAAAATTTGATTGATCGATGGACCGATGGATGGTTACCTGCTGCGAGCCCTTACAGATATCGGTTGGCCTTCCTAGGTTCTATACCTAGTCCATGCAAATCAGGGTCTTTGAGAGACGGTTGAAATCATCCTTCTCTCATTATGGATGTTACTTGACTTGATGATGAGACGCTAGATGCACTGCTTGCAATACCTGATACTTGTTGAGTGTCTGGTCTTTGTATAGTCATTCCATGCCTGCGTATGTAGAAACTGTTTGTTGTCTTGCTGGCATCTATGTGATTCAAGTTAATAAGTAAAGTACATAAGGTAGTACATAGACTGACTGCCATGATGGACAGAATCCACTCTCAAGCCTATACCTGCTGGGACTTTCATGCCAAGACCACCCTGACTTGAGCAAGTCACCTATCATGGCATCACTTTAATAAACCACCATGTTCGATAATATTATCTGTTGCTCATATTTACAATTATAACCATCATACAAAACATCATAGTGCCTTGAATTAACCATGTTTTCTTCTACTATCTGTCTTGTCTTGTCTCGTGTCTGCAGAAACCTGCATTCAACTTCACATGGCATGTTTCAAGATATGACGTCAATTCAGCCTCCACTGTCCTAACTCCTAACCCCTGTCAACTATCTTGACAGCGCACGCCCAATGCACTAAGGTTCCTTCCCCTTAGGTTCCCTTTACCTCTCCTTAGGGTCTTTTCCAACGGCGCCAGAACCCTCTTCGATCTCTGATCTTTTTGTGTGGGTCTGTACCTTTACACCCAACATTCGCCCAAAAGGTACTTATGGTCCCGATCCCTCACGCTCAACGACGTAACCCGCTCATCGTGAATTGCATGGGACGATCGAATATTCTCCCGAATAATCTCTGAGGTGGAGCCACTTCCCAAACAATCCAACTCAACTTGAATTGACTACATATCACATCAATCTGAGGTTGGTTTTCATCACGCGCTCACTGCGACCCTGCAATGAATTTGTCCAGGTTTATCGGCATCTCTTTTTTTTTTTTCCCTCGTTTATCTACGTCATCTTGAATACACACACTTTATTGTATGCATGTGCTCGGATGTGAATGGTAAAGAGTCCCACAGGAATAATAGCCCTGACATTGAACAACTGTTGTACAGTACACCAACAGTCCATGCAGTAGGTACATGGATGCAATGGTTTTCTTGATGAATGAATAAAATGTCCGTCTTCCTCAATCATGGCTTGCTTGTTTCACTGTTGCGGTGAGGACTTGCAATGTCATTGGCAAGTGACAACAAGGCTCCCCGATGACTTATATGCAAACACTGAATCGTAACGAGGTCACACACTCGATTACCATTCGAGATCAAAATGTCACGGTTTATCCGTACACAAGTAGATAAAGCATGTATCAATCAGGCCATCACCGCTCAACCCTCGCTTCATAATACGAGCCTGCCCTGTCGATCCCTCCATCCATCTCCCTTCCATCCCATCTCATCCTATCCCGTCTGAGATTCATCTTGCCCTCCCGCTCCCGTTCCCCTAACCCAGGAGAACCCTCCTTATCCTATTCTCGTACAGATCGGCTACTGCCCCTCCGTTCGAGACCATCTGATCGGCATCCACCGAATCTTCAAACTCTGTCTTTCTCACAGATCTTCGCACAGGCGAGCAACCAAGGGAACTCCCGCCCCAACTGTACCAACTGTTTGGTACCGAATCATCGTGGTCCACAGCTCGTCAACCTTTCACTCTGATCATCCACTCAGACTACTGTACATATTATATAGAGCACAGTACTAAGCCAAGTGCTAACGATATCGCCATCTCCGACTCCCTCTTCTGACATCATCCTTTACCGCGGTCGTGGTTCAGGGTGCAACCCTTTCAACACAATCTAAAATGCATGTGCGTGGGCTGTGTTTAGTCCTAGAATATCGTCCTCTCTTACGGTCCGGCTAGAATCCTTAAATCCCTGGACTAGCATTCACACTTGACATGCAACATGGCAAAGATGCCTATAAATCCCCAACTAACCCCTGCCTAGACCTCCTCTAGAACACCAGCTTCCTTCGATTCGTGGACATACTTCCCCACAGAGTACTCTTACCGATGTTTCTTTCTTTAGCAGTGCGCATATGTATATGGTGTGGGGTTGGGAAAATGCGGTGTCTTGCAGGCTGAACAGCCCGTTCGGATTCTTTATCGATCTACACTACTGATCTTTACCCTACTTATCGTACCTGAACATTAGGTAGCACCCCATTCGTTTTCAAGTAACTTTTATCTTGACAACAAACAAGATGACCACATGAAGCATACTCATACGACAGAGAAGCAGGCGCTTACAAGACGGCCAAGGACTAACTATGAACAATGTATCGTGAACGTTTCATTACAAAAGAGAAGCCTATCCATTGCACACTCTTGCCATGTATCTGTCTCACTGCTCAACATAATTCTCTCCATCCAATCATATTGCATCAATCTACTCATCTTTACGCTTCTTGCTATCCCTCACGTTTAATCCACGCCGGACGGTGAATCTATCCACATACCCATGTCTACCTTTATTATAACCAAATCTTTCATGGTCTAATCATGGACAACAAGAGGCTCGGCATTCCAGATACTCTCAGCATATTCATCAATGCAGCGATCACTGCTGAAGAAGCCCATGCGAGATACAGACGTGATTGTCTTCTTGATCCACTCCTCTTGGTTTTGATATGCCTCGTCCACCAGCTTATGGGTCTCGTTGTAGCTGTGGAAGTCGTCAGACACCAGGTAGTAGTCACCATGATCGCGGACGGCTGCAACCAAAGCACTAAAGTCGTGGACTGAACCGAACGTGCCCTTCTCAATCTCAGCAAACACCTTCTGCAAATCAGGATCGATCTCGTGTGAGCCGTATTGATGACTGTGGCGGAGGTCTTCGACATCTTCGGCAAGGTTTCCGAACAGGAAAATGTTGTTCTCGCCAATCTCGCGAGTGATTTCGATCTAGGTCTGGTCAGTGATGGACTCTGAAAGGAAAGTTGATATTTGCTTACGTTGGCACCATCGCAAGTACCAATGATGAGACCACCGTTCAACACAAATTTCATGTTGCTAGTGCCAGACGCCCTGTGGAATATGTCAGTCGCTTTTCTCTCATCTTTTTGGTGCTCACTTACTCGGTACCCGCCGTAGAAATATGCTCGCTGAGGTCCGAAGCCGGTGTGATGATCTCAGCCTTGCTGACATTGTAATCAGGCAGGAAGATAACCTTAAGTAGGTCGCCAATGTCCTCGTCGTTGTTCACCACAGAACCAACAGCATTGACGAGATGAATAATCTGCTTCGCCATCCAGTACCCGGGTGCAGCCTTGCCTCCAAAGATGGAAACACGAGGAACGACCTTCCTGCGCTCTTCAGGGGACAGAGACTTGAGATAAAGGTATCGATGGATGACACCAAAGATGTTGAGCTGCTGGCGCTTATACTCGTGAATTCGCTTGACTTGGACATCAAACAATGCGGAAGGGTTCACAGTGACACCCACGGCGGACTTGATGAGCTTAGCAAGTCGAACCTTGTTGGCGTACTTGATCTCTGACCACTCCTTTCGGAATTCTTTATCCTCGGCATACTTCTCGAGTTGGTTGAGAGTTGTGAGATCCTTGAGGAAACCGTTGCCCCCAACCTTGGATGCGATCAGTTCCGAAAGGCGAGGGTTAGCCTGGTGGAGCCAGCGGCGAGGAGTGATACCGTTGGTGACATTGGTGAATTTGTCAGGGCCGTAGATTTCGACAAAGTCTTTGAAGATGGTGGTCTTGATCAGATCGGAATGCAACTCTGCGACACCGTTGACCTTGTGCGATCCGACAATTGCTAGGAACGCCATGCGTACCATCTTTGTCTGAGACTCCTCAATGATAGACACTCTTCTCAAGATGTCACGGTCGTTGGGGAAAGCCTTCTCGACCTTCTGGAGGAAGAAGAGATTAATGTCGTAGATAATCTGCAAGTGACGAGGCAGAAGGTGCTGGATCAGACCAACAGGCCACTTCTCCAGAGCTTCAGGCAAGACAGTGTGGTTGGTGTAGCCAAACTTGACCGTTGTTAGAAAATAGAAGCATGTCCAGAAGAGGCAATACTCACAGTGTTGACGACAATGTCCCAGGCCAAGTCCCATTCGAGATGTTCAATGTCGATGAGAATTCGCTGCAACTCGACGATGGCCAGCGTAGGGTGAGTGTCGTTGAGTTGAATAGCTACCTGTTCGGGGAACTCCTTCCAAGGACGGTTGGACTTCTTGAAGCGGCGAACGATATCATAGAGGGAGGCTGCAACCCAGAAGTACTGCTGCTTCAGACGAAGCTCCTTTCCACGCTCCAAGTTATCGTTGGGGTACAGAACGGCGCTGATGGTCTCAGCGCGCTGTTGATCGGCAACTGAACTTTCGTAATCGCCATTGTTGAACTTTTGGAAGTCGAATTCTCCACCAGAAGCTTTACTGGACCAGAGTCTCAAATTGTTGGTAGTGGGCGTGTCATAACCTGGGATAGGGACGTCGTAGGCGACGGCTTGGACGATTTCACCCCCTTCCCAGATAGCAACAGACTTACCGTTCGCATCCGTGGTCTTCCTAACATGGCCGAAGAATTGAATCTATACCTGATCAGCTGTGCTTCGACCATGATAAGATGTTGTGTTACTTACATCAACTGTAACATCGTGTCGAGGGAACTCCCAGGGATTAAAGTCAAGCCAGTAGTCAGGCACCTCAACTTGATACCCATCGACAATTTCCTGCTTGAAAATACCATATCGATATCGAAGACCATAACCCCAGGCGGGGTAATTAAGGGAGGCCAGACTGTCAAGGAAACAAGCAGCCAGTCGGCCAAGGCCACCGTTGCCCAGCGCAGCATCGTTCTCTTGAGTAATGATATCCTCAATTCGGAATCCGAGCTCAGCAAGACCAGCTTGATACTAGTGTCAGCGCATGAAGAGGATGTTTAGATTCGAGTTTACTTACCCTTTGCAGTATCTTTCTGGCCTACGTTGAGCATGGCATTGTCGAGGGCTCGACCCATTAAGAACTCTAGACTGAAGTAGTAAACACGCTTGGAATCGCGGTAGGTCTGCCTTTGTTGAGTCCTGTTCCAATCTAGAATTAGACGGTCGCGGAAAGCCAGACTGGTAGCAGAATAGGCTGCATGTTCATCGCAATTGAAAACCGAGCGAGCGAGTGTTGTCTCGACATGGCGAACTACTTCTTGCTCGAAGCCGTCTTTACCAGTAAATCCCTTAGACTGGTTACGCTTCCAAGCTTCACGCTGAGGCTCGGGGATAGAGGCTAACAAGTGTAAGTGGACGTTGACAAGTGGGTCACCGAGGGTCACGAATGGGTAGCTATAAGGAGAAGGAAAGGAATTGGGAAAGTCAAAACGACCAATCCCCCGCTATGCAATTTTGTTGTATGATAAACAACGTACCTTCAAAGCTCTTGATCTCACTTGGACCAAAGCCAGTGGCAGTTCGGGTGTGCTTTGGACGGGAGATGCCTGCGGGGCCAACAGCACCCTGGATATCGACGATCGGAGCCGACGTGGAGGGGCGCCTCTCACGGGTGGGCAGACGTTGCTGTTCGGATGCCATTGCGTCTGTCGGCAACCTTGTTAGTCAAGTGATATGAAGCAGAAGGTAACTGGAAAACGAAAAAGAAGAGAAAGTGTCCCACGAGGCAATTAAGTACTCAACCGCCCAATGCAAAACCCATGTCATATTCTGAAGCGAGAATCAGATCAGATCACTTACATCAAGGTTGACTGATGCCACTGAACGAGTACTGTACGTCAGATAAGACGACTGGCTAAAGACACGAGATGTGTACAGCTTTAGGTGGGGGAGCGGGGTCGTTGGTGCAAGGTAAAGTTGCAGTAGCTTGTTGAGTGCCCTACTACTTTCGGGGAGCTCAGATCCCAATCAACGTAGGAAATCAGGCGGGTGTTTCTTGGCAAATAGGTTGATGTGACAAAGAAATCTTGAAACTGATAGATTTCAAGTAGGGCGTTGCGATTATCCGTCGAACTCTCCAAATCACAGGGTGCTTTGGCGGATGGGGACGACTGGAGAACTCGTTCGTTTAGCTGATCCGATGGGGATCCGGAGAAGGCGGCAGCTTGGGGAACAGGGGAAGCTTGAGCCTTGGTGGAGTTGACAAAAGAGATATGGGGAAGAAGAACGACCAGGGTACAATAAGGACGGATGAAGGTGAGAGCTGTGAGTACCAATTGCAAACTGATACTGCCTATAAGGCGAAGTTAGGTAAATAGGAGGTCAATAGAGGATGATGAGGTTGGGAGTGGAAGGGAAAGAAAAGGAGGAAGAGACCCGATCATGACTGACAGAAGCTGAGGGGGAGCTTTGTTGAGCTTATAGGTCGGCAAGTGCGATGGTGGGAGGGAGCTTTCCGTCCATCTCCTTCACGGTCCCACCCCATCCATTCATCATGACAACCTCCTGCCTGCTCTTGTTTGTGCTTGTACATTCGTCCTTACCTTACTCCTCATGGCAAGACGAGACAACAGAGCTACCATCGATTGCTTAAATTAGCGTGCAATAGCATGGATGGACTGCTGTAGTGGTACTGACCGGTACAGTAGCCGCTTCTTCTAACTCATGTTGGGTCACATCCAGTCACTTTCACTCCGGTTACCCGCCAATGTCGTCTTGTTGTTTGGCCTGCTCCCCTCTCAACCCAGTCGCATACCATCACGAGCTGGTGGGATGGCATGGCATGGCATGTTTCCCCTCCCCCCGCAGCAACCGTTCCGTTCTGTAACATGACGACATTGTCGACGCACGCATCCTTTTATAGAACGATGCATTTGTTACCAAGGTCAATACAATTGCTGCCAGTACTTATAAGGAATACAGCTCGAGTGGACAATAGATGTGTAGATACTACCTTAGTAGAAAGGTATCTAGTCCACATAACATACCCTGTACCTCCAAGTATCTTACCATATGGCATGGTCAAGCTCGGCTACGAGTGTCTCATTCCAATGACCCATGGACCGTTTCTGCGCGTCAATGGTCTTCCCCTCCCCCTCATGCCAATCGACACAGATCCAGACCGTATTCCAACTCCATTGTCAAAGCAACTTACACGCTTACAGCAAAAGAGACCCGCTCACATACGAATGCAAGAGTGAAGCTCGCCTTAGCGCCAACTTCTAATAGAGCGGAGTGCGGGGCCGTAACGCCTGGCGTCTATTACCTTGTAGATACTGTATGATGTGTGGGCTCTTTTCAAGTCGAACCAAGCTCAGCTTTGTTGTAAACATCGGCATCGAAAGCTATCCTCCAAGCTATGATCCAAGGTAGCACCGAGTCTAGCTATGGCTTCCAGGTAACACATGCGAAACTCTAAAAGACAACCCACACTAGGTACCTACCTAGGTACTAAGGTAGCTTAGCTCCGAGTAGTAGGTACTACCCCTGAAAGGCAGTCACATAGATCGGGCCATTATGAGATATAATAATCTCAGTCAAATAACAATGGCCAATCTCAGATCCCCCAAGAAACCATACTGCTGGGACAACATGAACCTACCTATTAGCCTATGCTTGAGCACATTTGATTGATGGCGTCCCCAGTTCTCTTCGAGTATGGGGAACGCATCAGCCCCCGCGTTGGTAACGCCGAGATGTGTCCCGTCACAGGCAGACCGACGTTGATATGTGGTCTAAAAACAAACGGAACACTCTGGGTGAGAACTGCTTTGCTGACATGCAATGCGTGCTCGGCCCTCACAGACCTTTCTTCTCGAGCACACCCGAAGACATTGTCGCCTGGTGTTTCTTTTTTCTTTCCTGTTTCTGGTCTTAAAAATAAAATCTCAATTGCTTAAAGTCTGATCTCGCCTTATCCAGGCAGTCATGATGGATGGATGTATGTCGTTCATGAGAGTTGGTCCTTGCTTACTAGCTCGTCGATCACCTCATGGTCCAAGGTCAAAGCTCCAAGCCACGGCCAGCCCCTCCCACTCCCACTCGACCTCAAATCGACGCACAACCTAACCTAACCCAACGTCACAGGCGTACTTCCCATTCCAGGACAAACCACGTCACAGCGCATTGTGCTTCATCACATGCTCAAAGACCTTATATTGACATGGATACTGCAATCTCATTAACAAAGCGCTTGTAAGGCTACCAAGTTCTGCTTCCAGCCAACCTATCGCCTACTGATGTCTTCATTTATGCTCACGCACGTTTCACGATTGGATAGATTTACTCAGGTTGCTCAGAGGCTCAACTTTCACTGTTGTTGATAAACCGCCCATTCGTTCCTCTCCCATTACATACCTGATGCAGCAGGCTATCAAAATCGGACATGTGCCCAGAATATCGTCAATTCGTCTCATTTGAGCCGAAGAAAAAGCTACATATGTAGGAGTTGAAGCTGTCCATTAGCATGCCAACCCAGACCTCTTCCTGTGACGTTCCCAACCAGCTCCAAAAACACCACTCCCTAGAAACAAAAACCATACGCCTACTTCTCTTCAGCTCTAGGCTCGACGGGATCCATTAGAACGTGGCCAGGTCTTTGCCTGTCCCACGTCCCACGATTACTCCCCAATCCAAAACAGGACCTTTCGCCAAGAAGCATCGCAATCGCAATCCGTTCGCTTCGTGATTTCCATCTGTTTCGTCTCGTATAAGGCCCCAAGCCTTAACCCAGCCAAACACACCCAAAACATGAGCTCCTGCAAGGTCTAGTCGCTCCAAAGTCCATAAAGCTGAACACATGCTAGGCCAAGATATATAAACCGAAAATCAACAGTGCCGACTGTACCCTTTGACGGAGGCCATCGTATGGGTCTTTCGGCTAGTGCGCGTATTCCGAGTAGTCGCATTCCGTCGAGGAGAGTAGGATGAGAAACCTCCACCCGTAGCCGGTGGAGCCATTGTGGAGGAGCGTTTGGAATATAGAAGTCGCGTCGAATAAAAATGAATAAAGCAGGAATCGTATAAATCGAGGTCGTCCTTCATCCTGTGCCCCAAACTCCGAAAATGCTCTTGACGCCAGCCAACGGTGTCCCGTACCCTAACGTCGTATTGTAAACAAAAGAAAAAGCAGTGCTTCACCATCAAAGAATGCCAGAGTCCTTAAGCGCGTTATTCAAGATAGTCTCCTTTACTGCTGCGAAAACAAGTCGGATGTTTGAAGTGTCTGTTGCTTGTGTCAAGCTAGGCTGCGTTAGAAACCAAGGAGCTTGTCATATCAGCATGGGAAAGACTTACTGGGGATACAAGTTCAGATGTGCCCGGTTGACCTGATTAAATCGCCAGAGTAAATACTTGGCTGCTTTGTTGACATCGTTACCGCCAGAGTAGTCCGGGAAATAGTTGCCCAGTGGCGACCGGCTCAGCTTTTGCTTGAAGATATCAACCTTGTTGAGGAACAAGATGATGCTAGTACGCATGAACCACCTTGAGTTGACCACCGAGTCGAAGAGCAATAAACTCTCCATCATTCGATTCTAGTTTTGATGTCAGCGAGAACTCGTGTACCACTATCGCGAATCCAAAGCTTACTTGACTACTCTCCTCAAGTAGAACTTGGTCGTATTCACTCAGAGCAACGCAGAATATAATGGATGTAACGTTCTCAAAGCAGTGTATCCACTTCTTCCTTTCGCTTCGCTGGCCACCTACGTCGAACATGCTGTGATAATGTCAGCAAGACCATACGCAAGATGCGAAATGTGGGTGAACTTACTGTATGCTTAATTGGCCCATCTGGAATCTCGTTTCATATATACCCGTTGTCTTCGTTCGTGCCCGGAGCACGTCCATTTCGTTGGGAAGATAATCGGGTGCTACTATTCGCATTGCTTCTTGAAAAAAACTGAGTTGAGACTCGTCAGATATGAATCGCGTCAAGCGGGCAAGATGCTTCACGTACTATTCTGCTGAGTCCATCAGGTAGAACTCGGTCTGATGCTCCATCAACAAATCTTTCGCAGGGTCGTTCCACAAAGCTTGTACTGCGACTCCGACTTTTGCATCAATCTGTGCTTGGGGGCCAGACTCGGCTTGGTATTCCAGCAGGAATTCGGCATGCGCCTTGTTTTCCTCGTTTTGCGGCTCGATATCAAATTGTTGCATAGCCATAATAACGGCTTTGGCGCATTCGATGAGGTTTTTGAAAACGGTTGGCCGATAATTGAACAGCTCGTCTTCTGAGTAACCCTTAAGATGAATGATTTTCATCTGTTTGACAATCGTCGACTTGCCGCTTTCTCCAGAACCTAGTGCCTTGGTTAATTATCAAAGCTTGAGGTGAGCAATTCAGCTTTCGCCAAAGCACCCTTACCTAATAGCAAGATTTTGCATTCTTTCCGTAAGCGTTTTGAGTCTTCCTCGAGGATCTTATCGATAGCCTGGCTCTTTTTCTTTTGATCCACCTCCTCATTGCTTGAACTCATGCACGCGCCCATCTTGACAAGTCAAAAAGCGGCCTGAAAAAGGCCCTTCAGTTCGTGGAGAAATCGTTCTGTTCGCAGCGGTTGTCAATTCGTAGTACTCGGTTATGATGCGTCCTTTAAACGTGCATGACGGTCGCAACGGTTTGCGATAGTAAGCGGTGTCGAATATTGTGGGGATATCGGCACAGCAAATAGTTCCAAGGGTTTAATGAATCGGGCTTCGACTTGATATATCACGATTGAGTGTGGTGATGAATAGTCGTGGTAGAGAGTTGGCGATAAAGATGGCAATCAGGTACCGCGTATAGCAATGGTGGAGGACGAGGTCGGGGAGATCGGAGCGTGACGGGTGGGCTGTCGTTAATAAGACTCGAAGCTCTGGAAAGGCACCCTCGAAATGGTTTGCTGGATGGTCGACCGAGGCCGAAAGGTGAAAAAAGACGACGAGAAGAAGTCGGACGAGATATGCCTGAGCAACGTCAAGGCTAGAAGGGGAATGTTTGGCGGTGGGCAGGCGAAAGAAAGAGATGGATGGCTGGACGGATGGACCTTGTCGCTCCAGATGGTCGGCCGTAACCAGCTAAGGACGGTGCTGGGGAGCTTCGTGGAGGCAGGGCGAGCGGGCGAGACTAAGAGGTACAAAGGCACCAGGGAACCTCGACGATGACGAGACAAAGTCGGCGGAGGGCAGCGCCAATTGGTGAGAGAACCGACGGTGGGGAAGGAGTCGGGGCCAGGGGTGTGTGAGCCAGCGCGAACCAGTGAGCAGACGGGTGAAGGCGAGAATTTGAAGGGAGCCTAGGAGCTTTGGGGGGTCGAGTTGAAATGCGCCGATGAATGTGGCCTGGTTGAAGGGGCGTCTGCAGCCAAAGTAGCTAGCAGATGAGCTAATAGGAGCGAGATGTGCGAATCAAAGCGCCCACAACCGGATATCGTTGGTTTCAAAGAGACCTCGACCGTTCGTGGCAGAGTTGATTTACAGATCTTGAGAGTCTGGTTAGCAACGATCTCGGTCAGATAGCGAAAGCGGAAGGAAGCATTATCAAGTAGCGGAAGTTTGACTGTCTCCCATGAGGGTAAGGTAAATCGATGGATGGTGGGCAGGCACCGGTTAGTACATACTAATTAGGGGCCTCTCAGCTGTATTCTATACCTAGAGATGATAATATGGGATTGGATGGGTTTGACGGAAAACGACGGGTCCAAAGGTGACGGGACCTATTCCACTACCTACGCGGAAGGCACGGTACTACTGTATACCTTAACTGAGTACTAACCAGCTAAGACGTCGGACGGACAGGCTGCAGAGATAAGATTGGATAATAAATGGAGTTGGGAAAGTATAAGTCGGTACCTTCCCTCATTTCAAATCCATTTTAAGCAGGAGCGCAGGAAGGAGCAGGAGGCATGCGTGGTCGGGCGGTCTTACTGTCTGTAACCTGCAGCGGACTTTCAGCTTTTAGCAAGGGGTTGCATTTCAGCGCTATTCTACGCCGAATTGAAATACCTCTCCATTCATCAACATACTGTATGCTTGCTACCTCTATTCACGCGCACACATAAACAGGCACAGTGAAGTAGGCAGGTACTGTATCTGCATCTATATGTTGGAGTCATTTTCCAGCTCCCCATAATTCGAGCTACGCGTCACTCTGTTGAGACAAGCATTTGCTAACATGTACCTCAAAGTACCTACAGAGAGATATTTCCTCGAGTTTGTTTATTCAAGATCTGGACCAACGAGAAGCTTTGGTTTATCCCAGACAAGGGATCGATTCACCAGGCCAGTCATATTATTCATCGTACACAACAATGATTGAAAGGGCATTGTCCAGTCGCGAAGCTACTTTCTTCCCTGCGATGGAGATGCACAAGAACGAATGCTCAACCATCGCTCAAAGAAAAGCGCAGCGCCCTTGGTTTTTCGATATCATCTCCCCTCCCGGGTTCAATTTGCGCTTGACACGTCCCTCCTTCACAATTAATCACCGGTATATTCCCTTAATGTATACAAACCCCCAATAACTAGCGCTCCTTCAGCTACTTTGACCCTTGTGGGCAGTTCATCAGGCACTGATCGGCGTGCCAAAATCGCATTCTGCCGCTCAATGTCTCAAATTCCATCCGCTGTGGCTTGGCAAGAGTCAGGCTTATGCTAGATGCTGTCCATTGGTTCCCGAGAATCATTCACAATGGGAAGCCGACTGCCCGGGTCTTTGCTGAAAACATCAGCAGGGTCAGATGCTGGATGTGCATCAAGGCATTGGCACTGATGAGTTTTCCTCAAAGTCAAAATCTGATGGCGGGTCTGGTGGAGAGAATATTATCTTGCCGCCCGCACACGGCAGCCCTCTGTCTGGCTGGTACATAAGGTAGCGGAGTTTTACTTCTTCACTGACCCCGACATCCCCTGCATGTACCGCGTATCCCCATGTTTCCCAAGCTGCCTTAGTTGGTAACGACTCCTAATCTGGGCACTAAGTCCCAAGGGCCAAGGCTCGTCGCTGAGGGCGCTGCCCGTAGCGCCATGAGATCTCTTACATATAAGGTTGGAGCGATTCATCCGCATTCCATTCATGAAGCCAGTCAAGGAGCGCGAAAGAACGAGGCAATTATTGAGCACGAGATATCCGTACTGTTTCCTGATTCGCGTACAGCACCTCAAGATATACAGCTTGTAATCAAGCATGCGACTTACTCTGTGTACATGACTCCAGATTGCCGGATCACAGGAGAATCTGTAACTTTACAAAGTATCCGTACAATACGTACTGATGTACAGCCAATCCAGCATAATGAAGCTAGTGGGTATCAGAAAAGATGTCCTTCAATTCCTTGCGGTGACAAAAACAAATGGCCTCAAGATTGCTTTCAATCGAGCAAAGTGGTCAAACTATTTCGTCTCTCGAGTTCTCGGCGGTCAAGTTTTCTGATATCCTGACGGCGAAGCCAGCTCAATGGAATTTTGACCAGGGGGTTTTCGCCGGGGTACCTGGAGATGAAGTGGATCTGGCATTGGAACCCTTGTCAACTCATATTACCGGTATTGCATATAATTATCCATTTCTATTTTCTGTTCTCCTCATACCATGCTGCATTGGTGTTTGCATGCAGAAACGCCGTGCTGGTCACCCAAATCTTTCCCCTTCCCCTCACCGAGTACCGCTACTGTACTCCGTACCAGGTTTCGATATCTGATCAAGTCTCACCACGCGAACTGTATTTACCTACCTGGGTACGCAATATCTTGGCATAACCATTGTTCCTGCTTACAGAAACTTGAAGAAAAATCGAGACTTAAAGCATCCAATGTCCAAGTCATTTTGTCAATAAGCTTCTGTATCCTGGTCATTTTCTGGACCGCCTGATGAGGAATAAGCCTTCTTGATATGGAGAAAATCGCAGCTTGGGCTGCCCTTTTATGTTTGCATGCTCTCGTTCTTGTTACCCCTCGTTGTTAATGCGAAACCCTCGCAATATTGTTAATGAAATTTCTCTTGGCCGCTCTTGAAACGGCGTACTGTATGTATTGCTTGCTGCCCCCGCGGGAAGTTTTCTTGTCTCTGCAGAATACGGATACCGGTACTCTGTACTGTACATGCTATCGCCCCAAAACCGGATGGCTCTGGCTCTTATTTCCGTCCTCTGATCATGATTATCTTGTTTCGTTTCGTTTTGTTTCAGCCTCATTGAAAAACGCTTGTCAAACGATGCCTTCACACCAAATCTTGATATTGTCCTGGCAATTCCAAGTCCATCTAAATCCATGTGGTTCTGATGATTCATCGATCTTTATGACTTGTACTATATGATGTCTCCTTATCCGGCCTATAATATTGGACGACGAGTCGAGCCTGTCGACTTGAAAGGATTGCGTCTATCAAACTCGACTTTCTAAGTATGTCTCATTCAAGGCCGTCTTTGGGAATTGCGCCACATGAGATATTGGCTAGAGCCAGGCCTGCCATGTCTCTGCATTCCTCCCAATTACGTTGAGTTTATGGTGACTTATCTGGCTTCAAACATGAAACGAATTGAGCTACACCAGTGAGATGTTGACGATCACAAGAGAAAGGAGTCTGTCGGCCAACTTTGGTAGCGGGTTCACTGATCTGGTTGTAACATAATAGGTTCTACCTTAGTACAGGTCCGGGTTGTTTCTCAAATTTTTAAAGAGCCTCATCGATCTTCCGCTTGTCTCCGATTGGATCAATGACAACGGTAGATTCAATATGGTCTACGGTTTCGGCCAAGTTACAAGGTATGTGTTGTTATCAAGATGGTGGATCTTTGACAGTGAGATTGCGATTGATTTACGTCCTGGTTCTTTTATCCTTGATTTTTGGTTATATCTTGTTCCGAGCCTTTGACTACCTAGTCTGGAAAACGTGGGTTTGAATTGCTGAAGCGACCACGAGTATCCGTACGCATCCACGTATGGAGGTAACAGAAGAATTATCCTCTAATGCTTAGGTTGCTGAAATCAAGTAACCCAAGAGCGGGCCCAAGCTGGTATAAAATGACTAATAAACTATTTCATCTTTTATGCTTTTGGCGGTCATTTCTTCTGACACCCTGAGGGCATCCCGTCCTGCAACGAATGAACAATGCCCTGTTGAGCTGATACTGAGATGGAGGTTTCCATGCAGCCAATGCCATTGACAATATGCAAGACACGTCGACTTACCTGCACCAGGCGGATAAGACCAATCGCAGCTTAGTACCCGAGCAGAGAATGTTTCTATGTTTAGGCCGAGGCATCGAGTCTACATATTGTATGGAATGCCACAATATGTCTTGAAGAGGAGTACACCTTGATTTGGGCCTCTACGATAACATACATGACTATAATCGACGTCATTCGAGTTTAAGCATAGGTAGGTCATGGGAATACGCCGTCATTAAAATATTTACGTACCTTGTTGATCAAGAATAATATGTGATTATTACCTAGTAGTCTTTTCACCTCCATATTATATATTGAGCTTTGATCCTGGATCCTGTCCGGGGAGGGGACGTGCTTCCATTGTTAATTGGTGATTTTATGGATCTAGCTCTGTAGGTGCCCCTCAGAATATCCGTACCGCTTCCCTTTTCTGGTGATACTGTACGTTACAGTACCTTTCCTGTATTAGTTTGATTTCTGTTACTGCACGTCTATCTTCTCCTTAAAAGTGATCCACCTCCATCACTCAATTTCATCTACATACTGGCTACCAGCATCAGCATAATCACCACCATCAACACCAGAATCGCCATTTCTCGACGGAACCAGTATAGTCTGGTCAACTCATATTGCAGCAAGCCAGCACAGCACAGCATAGCACAGCACAAAGGACATATTATATTATCCATACCGCATCTGTCGAGAGCATTTTGCGATCAACTGTTATGCGACATTGAACTTTTATCGACACATAAATTTACTTTTACAACTAGTCCCGACTTCTTTGACCGCTTCACCAGCACTAGCACCAGCATATCATCCCTTCGATAGCTTCAGAAGTGCGACTGAGGCCAAGCAACCCCCCAGCTTCTCACGAGAACTGGGCGCCTCGACGTCCAACCGACACTCGCCTCCCCCATCCCCGACTTTCGGACTCGAGTCAAGCAAAGCCACCCTTATCGCGTCAACAAGCCGCTTCACTTGTCGATCAGCCCCTCAATAACGAAAGAAAAAGAGGCACGGATTCCATCGTTAGGACAAAGTTTTTAGATATCTTTATGGCCGGCGATTGACGACACTCCCTTTGGAAAATATTAATACAATGAGCTCCGACGAGTCCCCTCCCGGCGGTCTTGGCGCGCCCGAGTACAGCAATGACCTCAAGCCTGTTCTGTCACCTATTTTGCCCGCCTCGCCTTCATCCTCCAACAAGCCCGATTTCATACCGCTCGTTACCGTTGTCGGATTCCACCATGCCAGAGGCCCTGAGGTAGAGAATTGGTTTGGCGTGGAAGAGGGGACTGATCCAGCGGTCGACTATGGCTGGCCTTTGTTACCTTTTATGGCCCTGAGCGATGGTGCGCACGCGTGAGTTCGCCTTTTTTATTCCAGTCGGCTCATCTATTGGGAGAGCGACCACTTGTTGTTAATGGTGCTGAGATTGTTGGGTAGATCAGAAGAGGACTTTTCCTACTTTACACTCCTTCGTCCAGCAACGGACACGAAGCCGGCTACGTCACTTTTTGGAATATCCTGTACTCGACAGCTCGACTCAACCCAACTCATCAACCGTCCTGCCGATGTCACACGCTCCACTGTACAGAAAGCTGTTGTGGTCATTGCCGACAGCCCACAGTTCTTTGGCATGCTTCGTGAGCGTCTGAGTATCGTGACACAGGCTTGGTTCGCCCAACGCGAGTTCACTGATGTCGAGATCCTCCGCAGGTTCCAGGAGAGCCTCGCTGATGAGAAGACTAAGGGTGTGCTCAATGACCAGGTAGATCGAGACCAGTACCTCGGCATGAGTCTACGTGAGTTGATTCACGAGTACAAATGGCAAACGCTGGTTCTCTTGAAGTGCTGTCTTCTTCAGCCAAAGGTAAAAGCTTTCTTTGCGCTTCTTGAAGCTTGTATAGCTAACCCACTTACCAGATGCTTTTCTTTGGCTCGAGGTGTGATAAGTTGTGCATGATGCAGTTTTCTCTTTTGTCCTTGATACCCGGCCTCATTCGCAACCTACAAGACAGCGCAGACCCCGAACTAAACAGCTATGAGACAAGTTTGACAAAGCCTACCAGTTTGCGAACTAGTGATCGCAACTCTTTGCTATGCTACATGGGCCTTCCGCTTCAGATATTTGGCAAGGTGCGTCTTACCGTACCGCATTCTTCACAGCAGTAATTAATATTTAGTGCAGGGAAGCTTATTTGGGCCTTATACACCCTTACAGCAACTCGACATCCTGGCCGACTTTGGAACAAAATCCTATATCGTCGGTAGCACAAACTCACTCTTGCTTCAGCAGAAAGACCGCTATAGTGACATTCTCATTAACTTGGACGAAGAATCAGTCGTAATCAACTCACAACCACTCAGAACCGCTCTTACTCTCACAGCTGCGGACCGAAGATGGATAGATTACCTGACCCACGAAATTAACGAGACATGGGATGAAGCCAATCCCAACAGACCGAAGACTTTGAAGTACGTCGGCAGCGAGGAATTTATCAGGCTCCAGTTCGAAGAGTACATTCTCGCCCTCATCTCGTCCGTTAAATACCACAACTACCTCAATGCAAACCCAAATAACCCCAAAGCTATGCTTCCCGAGGTCGAGGGTGACCCCGTTGCAGACTTTGGCTACGAGTGGGTAGAAGCTTGGAAACGCACAGAGAATTATCGCATGTGGAACGCAAACACCGACTCTCACCTGTTTGACATTGTCGACCCTCGACATCCCTGCGCAGGCGGCCTCAACATCGAGGATGTTCAACGTCGAATCGCAGAGCAAGTAAAAGAGCTGCACTTAGACGAGCGTTTTGCGCAAGGGCGCGAAGTCCTTGGCAGGAATCTCGCTGCTGGTCGGGAGAAGGCCTCATTTGTGCTCAACAAGCTTTATGCTGACATGGAAGCTCTACGAGAAGCCCAGAGACGCCGCGCCGAAGAAGCCCGAGCAGCGACTCTACAAGATAATCCTGACCAGCCTGCCGGAACCGACCCATCAAAAGCTGGACAAATTGGACAATCGGCTGGCGCGCGAGCTGGCGCTTACATCGGTAGCTGGGCAGCCTGGGCTGGCGAGAAGCGCCGAACAAGCGGCTGGGGAGCCAGTTGGGGTCGCAAAACAACGACTAAGCCGGAGAAATCTGCTGATGACTCTACATCAAGCAGCCCGATTGACAGAGATTACCAGATGATCAGTGCCCCTGAATCTAGAGGGGGGAGTTCAGATGATCAGGCCTCGCGAAAAGACAGAGGAGCAAGCTTTAGTGAGAGTATACTCTCAGGGGTCAGTGAGTCCAACAGTCGACCAACTTCAGGGACCAATAAGCCTTTACCTGGCCCACCAGTGCCCAAAAAGGAGGATAATGGTTTCCAAGCAGAGGGAGTCGTTGGCTCAAAGGACAGAGGGCTTGAGGTGAATTCTCACCCTGAAGGTAACGGTGCAGCAGTGAAGGATTGATGAGACTATATATAAGTGAAAATAAGAAGGATACGCTGCTATATTGGACGAACACCTCATGGAATATAGATATGATGATCAGACCAAAATGGGTTAACCTCTAGCGAAAATCATATATGTTGTTTGCACCTGGTCGGGATTTGTCGCCAATACATCGTAAAGTCACAGGTCAAGCACAAGTCATCAGCACGAGTTCAGCTTTGCATGAACGTTTATTCTCTTCAAGTTTATTCATGACCAAGAGCTTTCTCTTGTGCCGCTCATTCCAGTCCTTTTATCACTATACCCTCAACCTGATCGACCAAAATCTTCTGCCCCATGGATGGCCGCCCTCTTCCAAAAGCATGATCAAAACCGACGACGTGTTGAACACCAGAATAACATAGGGGTGGTATAAGGGGGAAGCTCGCAGCACCTTGTCCTGGATCAAAGTGCTGACATCTAATGTTAACTCCGGCCTACATCACCTTTATCCACGACCCTTTCCTGACCACTCAAGGTGACAAGAGGCAGTCGCGTACGACGGGTGAGAACCAGATAACTGTGCTCGGAGTAGACACCCAATAGACCGAGCGTGAGAAGGATTGTAGGATGAGGAGGGCCTGATTTTGTAACCCTCGTCTTCCAAGCGATGTTGTGTAAAAATTGAGACTTAAGCAAGGTATCCTAACTCATCGTCGTCTAGACGCTCTAGGTACTCCTTGTCAAGTAAAATTTCTATGCACTTCTTGATGTCGCCAACCTTTGGCACAAAGCGGGACCTGATCTGGTTGATAGTCTCACTGACTAGGTTCTGGTGCTTCATCTTCTTACGTGCCTTCATGATTCGCACGATTGCGGACTATAATCAGTTAGTAAAGTTCTTGTAAAGTCCCTTGCTGTGGAAGAAAATACATACCTGAAGAACCAGCTTTCGGTCCTCCTCGATTGTCTTGTTGGTCTCGACCTCCTCTTGCTTAGCCTCCTTAACACCACCAATGTTCAAATTAATACGGATTTTCTTGCTCTTGAAGTCATAGTTGAGCTTGAAAGTCTTACCCGGCCCTGGCTTTTCACCAGATGCGCCGGGCATGACGAGCACCTTTGCCTTCAAGATAGTAGCAAGGGCCTGATCTATAACCTCCTTGCTGAGTTGAGTAGCGCTGAGCATATCATCATAGCTGTAGCTGTCCTTCTCGTTGAAAAGCAGGAGGATAGCCATCTGGTAGATCGATACCTGGAAAGTGTAGGGAGTCTTGCTAGCCTTGCAGTAGCCAGCCTTGATCTCACCCTTGCAAAGATGCCACATCCACGTGAGCTTACGGCCATCATGCTTGTGCTTATAGAAACGTGAAAAACGCTCGATCTCGGCTGCGATTTCAGGAGGCGGGTTGAAGTCAGTGGACGGCGCCGTCAATGGCCAAAAACCGGTTCCTAGAATAGAGAAAGTTGAGTCGACCACCTTCGCAGACTCAACGTCTTCGAGGTGAGCCCGGAAGTCCTTGTTCAAATCTGCCGAGATTTGCATATCCTGGAACATACGCTGAAGCTTGTTGGTGTACTCAAAACCGCACGCTTCCTTGAGTTTGCTGATCATGCTGGTCTCTGCATCATCGGAAGACGAGTTGCTGTTTACTAGGCGTCGAGCAAGCATCCGTGAGTAAAACTTTTGGAATACGTCCTTGTCTTCGATGTACTTGAATACCGTCATGATCTGATCAAGAATATGTTCCAATTCGGATTCCTCGATGCTGGTACTGCTCTTCTTGAGCAAGTGATCGGCGTACTTAGCCAACAGCTCCGGCGATTTGCTAGATCCGGATTTGCAGACTTCGTTACGGTTGACGAACTCCCTGCATGCATTGTCCAGAGATCGTGTAAACTCAGGCTCGCTCTTGAAGGCTCGCTCAACAAGACCCTGATACTGTGTGTGAATCTCAAGTAGAGCGTCCACATAAACCTTTGGCTCAAGCTTTTCACCCTCCGAAGACGAGACCTTTTGCACGGCAGCAAGGCCAGCCTTCCTGACGTGTGTTTCGAAGCGGGATCTAAGCGGCTCGAGCCCGTCCGGAATCCTTGACAGAAGCTTATACATCCTGGCCATGTCTTCTTCGCGATCATTATCAAGAAGTACTTGGAACTCCTCCCTAAGAAGAGCTGAGTGGTCTGCAATAAGAGCTTGATTGCAAGACTTTTTGAGTGGGATGGCAATGTCCTGATGAAGATACATGCGAACACGTTCCTCTTCCTCAGCGAGGCGCGCTTCGGCCTTCTTCATGTATTCCACAACACTGTTCTCTGCCACAAATTGCTTCGATTCGGCATTGTAAAAGTCCTTAGTGGCATCGAGGAATGGGCGCTCGAAATGGTAGCGGTAGACATCGAGGGTTGACTTGGATGGGTCTGCCTCGTCCAATCCCAGAGAAACGAAGGAATCCACGACTTGCTTAATCTGGCCGTGCTCGATAGTTTCGCCATTCCTCTGCTTCTCGACGAGCTTGAGAACCGCATCCATAACCTTGACGCTAACCTTCTCAAAGAGCTCCTTTCTCCATTGCACGAGATGCAGCGTGTAGACGTCGTAGATATTCTTCTTGCCCTCGTCAATCTCCCGCTTGACCCAGTGCCGGTTGAGGTAGCGGAAGAGGTGGTGAATGTACTTGGCAGCGACTGTGTATCGACCCCATTCTTTGATGTAGAAAGCGAGCAAGGCCTCGTCGGTGTGAGTCTTGCTTTGATTCACGAGATTCTCGAGGTGATGCTTCAGGTAATCTATAAGTTTGTTGTATAGCTCCTCGCCGAGAAGATGCGCTGGCAAAAGTTAGATCTGCTATCCGTAAGTAGAATATGTGGATGTACTTGCCTCCTCGATGGTTAGAGTGCATCGCAGGACTGTTCATGCCAACAGCTTTCTGAGACGTACAAAAGTTGTGGACGGCGCTAGAAAATGTTAGCACATGATCTCCGTAGACCAGGGAGTATTATCAAAGGTTACTGACGTATAGACACCCATATACATTTGCATGTCGATACCCTGTTCAAGGTCGTTCATTACGCGTGCGATACCAGCTTGGAGGTAATTCCATCTGGTCTAGTCAGCTTCTGCAGTTCAAAGTTACCCAAGCGGGAGACTCACGTTGCGACAATATCCTCCCTGTTGGGTATGGGGGGCATCTGGCCCTGTGCGCCCATCTTGGCGGCCATCATGCGCTGACAGAGGGGGGCGAATGGAGAGTTGACGAAGGTATCGGTGATGGAGGCGGGGTCGGTATCGAGGGGCTCGACGCGATGTCGTCAGAGTCGGCGAAGTGTGTTTGCGTGATGGGAGTAGGATTACAAGACGGGAGACCGAGATGCGGAGATTCAGGGCGACGGTGAAGACAGCCCGCGGTGTGGTTGTTTGAGAAAAGAAAGTTGTCGGATTTAGGATCGAGTTCGTTAAGTAGCAAGAATTCTGGCTGGGGTGAACTCAAGAGGCGGCTTCGGATGGATAAAGTTAAGGGTCGATCAAGAGTTTGTGCTTTGGGTGAAGTAACAGCAGGTCATAAGTTTAAATCAGTCCGAACCACGCCAAATGAGTCATAAAAAAGAAACAACTCGTGAAATGAGGGCGATTCTTCACGGTCAAACAAATGCACAGGAATGGGAGGAGGATCAGGCAGTAGCTGGAGGTCAGACCGCAGCTGGGATGAACAGGAGGACATGGGCAAGGCAAGGCAAGGCGTACCTAGTCTACCTAGGCTATCGCTATAACTGGCTTAGTGCTTGGATCTGCCGTCATCCACCGCCAAGGGATCAGGCTGGGTTTTGGGTTTTGTCTCCGACGACAGGGGCCTAGAACGTGACAATGGAAGCCTAGAATAGGTACTTTAAAATACTATTCCATTGTTTCAAAGCTGCATGTGGAAGTGTATAGCAGAAACCTACCTCTACTCTATAAAGGAAGGCCATTCAACACAGACGATAAATCAATCTGAAGTTTAACTCAATAGAAAAGATGAATACATGAAACACTATTTAAAATTCATCTTAGTACACGTTTCATCAGCAGCATTGTTCAAGTTATTTAGTTCTGTTCATTTCATCTATTTGAGGTATCCCCGACACTAAGAAATGTACTACGAGGTATCCGCATTGTTATAAGATACCTGTCTGTCTGCCTGCCTGTAGGGAGCCATCCGTAATTGCTCATGATAATACTGATAAAGGAAAGAAAAAGCAGCAATGAACGCTAAACACGGTCTACCGTGATATCAAAGTCAAATGTTCCATATTCTAACAAGCCACGCCATAAGCACTCCCTGCTCGAAGGGGTATCCCAAAATTCATAAGCCAAGTCCGTTGCACCGACCCTCATTCTAACCGTGTACGCCATCATCCTCGCCTCCTCCCAGACGCTCAACAGTGCGGAATATGTTGACTGCAAAGTTCATGGACCAGGCAACCAATCCTATCAACATAAATGCTGCCAGAGCTTTGGACAGATTCCGCACTGCGGTGTCAGACAGGTTATGGTAAACGAGGCTTTCAAACGCGAGTGCTGTGCTCGCGGATTTGAAGATAATGAAAAAGAGGTCCAGTAAAATCAGGGAAATCTTGGACACAACTGATCGTAAGCCCAGAGGCTTTCCTGTGTATTCGTCCCAGATCATGTAGCCGATGTAAGGAATAGCTACACAGTCTACAGCGACGGCAACGATAGATTGTGTCTCCTCAGCCGAATCTGAACTGTCGACGTCTTCAAGTTGATGTATTCGTGCCGCGACACCAAGTGCAATAATGGAAGTGACCATGACACTTAGCCTGAACATTAGAGGTGCGAGAGAATGACGGATAGCCATGTACCATATACGCTTGTATGGTGCAAGGCGCTTTCTCTTCCGAGATATCTTGGCTTCCTCGGCGTTGTAGGGGTGGCGAGCTGGCGTATCAAAGTTTGGTTGCAAGTTCCGGAGAGCCTCAATATCCATCACTTTTGAGTCCTCGTCCGTCATGCGGCCCCATGCGGATGACTGAACAAAGTCTTGCCAAGCTACACTCGGTTGCGAGGTTAAGGCTGGTTTATGTCCAGGCACAATAACAGGTTCTGCGGATCTCAAATGATCCCATTTCCTGCCACGCATCGAGGCGCGCCCATACCGCATAAAATGAGGAATCTTGCCCCTCGTTTCCTGACCTTTACCGAGAAGGGGATCCTGTGGATCGATGAAGCCATCTTTGGAGACCCGCCTTTGAGGGTCGCTTGGTGATGAATTGTGCTGAGGTGGAACGGCGCGCGAAGGAGGTCGAAGGAGTCGTAATTGATCGTCACTCGCCGAGCCATGTTCGCCATCGTAAGAGTTAATCCATGCTATATTCAAAGTCAGCTTTTGAGGAATCGAACAAAGACATCTCGCGAGCGCTTACGTGGGAGAGATCGAGGAGGGCGGAGACGGGCAGATCGACTCGCAACAGAGCTGCTCAAGGTGCGACCGGAATCATAAGTACGGGGGGAGTCGTGATGTGTGCTAGAGCCAGTGCCATTTCCAGTACCAGTTCGTGGGGGTGAAGGAGGTGAAGTCATGACTTGCGGGCGGCAACAGTGAAGAGCCCGGTCAATGATGACTTGAAACTATATCTTCAGCCGGACGTTGAAGCCGGCGAGGGCGATCGCAAAGCGCACCCAGAACAATCTCTCATGGCAATCGGTTTGTTGGAGCGCGGCTGAGCCGGCGAGCGCGCAGGATTGATACCAAGATGGCAAATGCACAAGAGCGTATGTAGAGTAATGCAACCAAGAAGTGGTATGGGTTAGAGAATAATGTAGTAGGTATAAAGTAAAGTATGGAAAGTAGCCCCAGGAAGGTAGGCAATTAATTAAATCTGGCGACAGTCGAGACTTGGGCTCAAACTACTGTACGCAACACACGACAGAGACGGCGACAGCGACAGGCAGATAGACAGACAGAAAGAGAGACAAAAATTACAATGAAAACGGGGAAATTGAGATGAGCTTGAATGGGAACATGCCCGGCCGCAGCCAAAGCCGTATTCCCTGTCGCCTGTCTACCAGGTTACTTTGTTCCCCCGGGCGTTTCGACGCGCCTGGTCTGTGCAAGCCCGTCATTCAGAGTCCGTTAGTGGGTGAGACTGCCTGGGCTCCACTGTCAGCCTATGTCCTGGGAGCTCTGGCAGCGCTAAAAGGCGTCATTGCCAAGGTTTCTCGTGCCGCTACCAGCGTCTTGTGCCGGTTTTTCTTCTCACAATAGCTGTAGAATGAAATCATGAAGACAATGCACGTGTCCACTGTCATCGAGAGGAAATATCCGTTGAAGCAGTGAACCGACAGTCTTGCATGGTTTCGCTCACTGCAGAGTAATAAATAAATAAGCTTCAAGTGCAACCCGTCATTCTCAAATTACCCCTGCCAGCCCCAGTCGTGCCCAGAGTGCCCAGTAACCATTTTGCATACCTGCTGGCTGCCTCCTTGCAGCAACGTAGATCCTACAGGCACGGAGCAACAGGGTCTCTGTCCCAATGTCCCAAATGATGGATTGGGCAGGCACTCTATTTATACGGATACGCGCGAAAGTCACAGCGTTTAATTAACATCACGCGACAACCCGACCTAGCTCCACAGCCGCAAGTCTAGCTATTTAGGTCTGTATCAGAATCAGGAATCTCTTTCATTCATCTATATCTGTCTGTATTCGTACATATGCAATGGACACAGAATTACGAGTACTATTCAACAAAAGGGCATGACATAATGGATTCAGACAGGATACAATGACTGCAACCCAAAATTGTATTCTCCGAACTTCCAAAGACCAATAGATTGAATGTCATCTATCCCCACATCACAACCATACCCAATGGAAGTCTGACGTATGTCTATACTCGGAGGGCACATACAGATACACCCTTGCATCTTCGGTACCTTGCTCGTCCCTAAATAAGCTTCAAGGGTCCCTCCCGTTTCTCGTTTACATCAACGGCCAAGTTACATACATACTTAGTTACAGCAAGATTGCCTTCAGGTTCCTTGTTCGAACAGGAACTCAGGGACATATCGACAGGCTTATTGAAAGCTACCTAGGTCGAAAGAAATGTCGAATTAGTGCCTAACACAGGAACAAAGTACAACAAGCAGGGCTGCTACTTTTTCCTAACTGGGTACCTTACCGACCTACTTTAAGGTGCAGCTATGCAAGCTGGAGTTTTGCTACATAGAGTTCTGGTTGCTGGCTACGTCTAATCAAATTACAGCAAACAGTCTTCAACTCCCAAAAAGCTAATTCCCGGTTTTGGCTTGCGTTCGCAGCTACGTAACTTCCTCAGATGCTTAGCAGACCTGATTACATCTCAACAAGTGAATGGACTGAATTGAAGCTTTAAATATTTTTTTTTTCTATTGCTGTTGTTTACCTGAGATATATCTCCCCAAGAGACGGATATGATTATGCTGTAAAGGCATAGCCCATGATAATATTGACCTCAATTGTGCTTCGGCTATCCAAGGCACGATCCTCGCACTGAAGTAATTCAACTTTCTTGTTGAATCTTGTAGGGTTATAACTGACGTCGAGCCGACGTTCGGGATAGGCGATCTGACAGTCAAATATGAGCTGGTGAAGGAAGTTGCTCAGCTGGGTTTCGTGGTTGTCAAGGCCATGAGTATGGAATTGGGGTATATATGCGTCCGATATAGTCCGCTTGAAGTTGTTGTATCAATTCTCGTGGGTCATCGGCCCGTCTCGTTATCGTTCTTGTGAAACCCTAACCATTCTCCTAGCATACCGCCCGGTTTCGGTAGAGGACATTCCCTCTTGGCTCTTTCCTGTGCGCTCTCGGCTTCCTCGCTTGACACATCGTTGAATTGTACGATTCCGTCTTCGACCTTGGGGTTGGTGTCCTTTCGCTTCCACCTCATTCGTCGGCCATTCTCATCAACCATAATATCTCCATCAGCGAATCGGGCCCGTGGTACGGGGCAAGGGAGCATGTGTGGAATTGTGACGACGATAAAGCAGGCGGCGACAGTCGTTGCGAAGAGCGACGACGTCATTCGCGACTTTGGGTGAAGGAGTGGTGGCATGATATGATATGATCCGATTCCAGGATTCAGAAGTAAGTCGTTTGATGAAGGACTCTAAAAGTCTCAATTGGCCGTCAGCGGGTGCTTCAATGGGTGTTTAGTGCCATTGAACTCACATAGCGACCGTAGCATCGTCCTCCCGACACGCGTTGACGAGGTCGACGAGCCGGTGGTTTCGAGCGATTTGTGGTGGTGGTCCGGAAATCCAAAGCTGCTCACTCAAACCTGAGTTATGCTATCTTTCCCATTGGCTACCGGTTGAAGGGGATGCTGTCGGCGGACGGTCGAATGTAAGTCCGATGTAAGCCAATCTTTCGCGGGGCAGGAGCTTGGATCCACTCCGATAAGCCGATAGAGCGTCACTCAGCAGCGCGAATCGCGAAATCTCCAAATCTATCTCCAACACACGCGACCCAGCGTTTTAGTATTCCCCACGCATCCCCTTAAACGGCAGATCGCAACTTTAAGGTTGGATTAACTAACTATATCTTCATTCTTGCTTAACTGCCCCCAACCCCCTCCGAGCCGTCTCTTAGCAGGCACGCACCACCCAATCGCCACTCAACTGTATAATTAATTATGAGCGACCTCGACAAGTGAGACTCCAAGTCCAACCGCCGATCACCGGACCTTTCGAGCTAATATTTCGTTTCAGGGCCATTGCGCAGCTGCGCGCATGCCGACCGATCCCAGAAGCGCAAGTTCGGGAGCTTTGTCACAAAGCGCGTGAGCTTTTGATTGAAGAGGGAAACGTCGTCACTGTATCGGCGCCTGTCACGGTATGCGCTGTTCCCCAGCAAAGGCATCTGCTATATCTTAACAATCGCTGATATCTCTGGTAGATATGCGGTGATATTCATGGGCAATTCCACGACTTGATGGAGTTATTCAGAGTTGGGGGTGACGTTCCTGATACAAACTATCTATTCATGGGTATGGTCTTTCACCCAGTTTTGCTTTTTTTTCTTAAGTCAGAATTCTAACACGGATTGCCAGGCGATTTTGTCGATCGCGGTTTCTACTCACTAGAGTCGTTCTTACTGTTACTTTGTCTAAAGGTCCGATACCCCGATAGAATGACTCTAATTCGCGGAAACCACGAGTCTCGCCAGATCACAACGGTTTACGGTTTTTATGACGAGTGCATAAGAAAGTATGGCAGCGCAAATGTTTGGCGCTATTGTTGCGACGTTTTTGACTACCTGGCACTTGGTGCTATCGTGCTGGGCGCCTCAAACACCATGTCACCTGGTGTAGAGCCCGTCGACGACGAGACCGAAATCGAAGTTTGCGACCAGAACGGCTCCATCATGAGTCGATTTCCCCGACGCCGACCAGATGAAAATTCGCAAGACCAGATTCAGAGCCCAGGGGGCACCGCGATGGACAAGACAGGCCCACCAGGATCAGGCGCTTCAGGGTCAAGTGGTGGCTCTGTCGGAAATCCCGCTGGAGCAGTACTCTGTGTTCACGGTGGCTTGAGTCCTCTGGTCGATACAGTGGATAAGATCCGACTGATAGACCGGAAGCAAGAAGTACCTCACGAGGGAGCTATGTGCGACCTGCTCTGGTCCGACCCCGATGAAATCGATGGCTGGGGTCTTTCGCCGCGAGGAGCAGGCTTCCTATTCGGTGCAGATATTGTGAAGGTTTTCAACCATCGCAACGACCTCAGTCTTATTGCACGCGCTCATCAACTTGTTATGGAGGGATTCAAGGAAATGTTTGACGCTTCTATTGTCACTGTTTGGTCTGCTCCAAACTATTGTTATCGTTGCGGCAACGTCGCTGCTGTTCTTGAACTCTCTGAGGATGAGTCTGGCACGGGCCTGTTTGCCCGTAGCAACGGTGATGTGGGAAGAAGCGATGGCGGCGCCGGAGTTATGATGGAGGGTGCCATGCCGCCTAGAAGCGGACCTGCACGGAGATACAGAGTCTTCCAGGCTGCGCCACAAGATTCGCGGGGCATGCCTGCTAAAAAACCTGTCGCTGATTACTTCCTGTAATCTGGGTAGCATGCCTTCGGTATTCATTTTTCCTTAATATTTAGACATGAGGCGGTTTTTGCATTACGAGATTCATTAGGTTTGGGATTATGGATATGGCGTGGGAGTTAAATTCTAAATCCATTTTTTTCCTTTGCTACCTGACTAAAGGGGTATCACTATAATGCGCCACTCAAATGTTTCACGATGCAATAGTCTTTGATACATGATGTGCTGTCTCCGGGTGGGTTGTGTTTGTCCAGCATGAAAGCTCATACTACAAAAACACCTTCTTCCTCTTTTGGTTCAGCCCCTGCGCGACTGTCAAATTTCTCCATCGTCTTCAGTTGATCCTGCAAGTGATCAAAACTCTCAATCTCTCCCCAGTCCGTCGAATCAGGACTATCGTACAATCTTATCAGAAATTCGAATGCAGACATAAGATCTTCTCCTTGTTGTTCTCGTGCCTCTCGTGTCATGAGATATGGCATCAATTCGAAGAGTGTATGCAGTTGGCCTCGTTCTTGACTAGAAGGCTTCCTAGCCCCCTGGCAGATATCGGTGACAACACTAAGTATGGCAGCGCCGGTATGAACATCGTTTGTATCGAATGAACTCGAACCGTCTGCAGTGGCAACAAATTCACCAGCAACGTGTTTGTCGGCCACAAATACATATGTGCTTGCTCGAAATGAATCTCGGTCTTGGCTCTGCTCTGTCTCGACTTTTGATACCGCATGAGTAACCCCCTTTTCGTCATCTTCCAGAATGTCAGACCTATTAGCGATACCTATCACTTCGCCAGGTTCTGACAATCGATTCTCACCTGACCCAGGCATTGTCGTCTGCCCTTCTTTCGCTTCCCCTTCGTCTTTGGGTCGATGCTTCTTAGAGTGATGCTCTTCGCCTTTCTTCTTTGGGGATCTGAGTGACAGTCTCTGGCCCATGTCCACTTCGGTTTCTCTTTGACGAGTTTCTTCGCTTGCCTCAGATCTTTTCTGGTGCGTTGGATTCTGGGCTTACCCACCCACGTAGGATATAGTCGGTCTCGATCCGGGCGGTTGTTCGCGCCTGAAGAAAACGTAGCCAAAGTTGGAGTTGCGAACGAGAGTTTGATTTGGGGGATGTTGTCGATTGTTGTAGTCAAAAATATACTTGATCTTCGGCTGATCGAAAGCATTTGATTGATGATAGAATCTAGACTTGATGGATAATTCGACATGGTTGATATGATGAACAGTTGCACCAAGGCATCGGGTTGCTTTATAGCTTCGTTGGAACGAATGTTTCTGGCAATCTTAAGGCGAAGTGTTCTTTCATCTGAGATAACAGGAGGTGTAGCTTCTGAACATTTTCGACTGTTCGTTCGTTTGTCTTTCTGCATTGTTCAAAGACATTGTCCAATATCTGAGAGGCAGGTTCGTGGATTGGTTGATGTTTGTGCAATCGCTGTAGATATGAACTGCCGCTAAACGTAACAAAGAGAGCTAGAACTGATAGGTTATGTGGCAAAGCATGAGTTTGTTATGTTCTATTCTTCTTTGATACTTGCTGAAATCCCGTTGTCCATCCGTGCTGTTTGTCCGGGCGATATTCGTAGGTGTTCGAGCTTGATATTCTTCCAACGATCCGAAAAAGGTGAGTTAGTAGCCAGGCTGTCGTTGTAAGCCGCAAAGCTTGAAGAATACAACGGATCATAGGCCTTAGGCTTTTCTTTGTCAATATCATTTTCGCTATATCGTGATCAGATTTCAAGGGACTGAAGAGATCCTGAGCGCGTGGATGTATCCCTCTAGGTCTCTGTGCTCGAACCATGCAAGGATATTCAAATGGAATTGCCATTGAGGCTCCATCGTCCCGTTAAACATAATGCGTTCTCGTCGTCTAAGTGGGTGATGTAGTCGTGGATTGGTGTTTGGACAAAATCAGCTATGGTTGAGTCGGCTTCCTGCTGGGATCCAGCAAAGATCGCAATGTTAAGCTAGTTTCTGAGAATGCTGCGGTGCAAATGCCCGAAAATTTTGAGGCCACCAGATGCAGCATGGATTGGATCGAGAAAGCCCTCTGCATGATGCTCATCCAGTCAACACGGCCCAGGAGGACCACCATCTTGTCCTACGGGGTTATGAAAAGTATTTATCGCCATACTGTAGCCCAACGATGACGAGACATCTGTAGGCATGGGTGCCACAGAATAGCTATGCCGCCGAGGATCATCCATCAAAGATCCAGGGGTACTGATAGGATGATAGTTTTCCGTTCGTGAGACTTGAGGGTCAGAAAACATTTGCGATGTGTATTGCTGTGGGTGCATCGCCGAAGTGATCGAGTGTCTCGGTACTGGCGTAGGAACGTTAGAAGGGAGTGGCCGGGCATGGGCATGGGCATGGGCATGGTTATGGGTATGGGCATATGCTGAGCCAGGCGGAAGAGATTGGCCAGATTCCCAGAGAGAAGAGCTACTGGTAGATCCACTGGCGATAGATGGTTCGCGACTCTCTTGGGGAGGAACAATATAAGACATGCCTGTTTCGAGAGTCGTAGGCCTTCTGGGCGCAATGACTTGCTGAAGAGACTGAACGCTCTCGCTCGGTGTGTTGGAGGTGAAATGGGATACTGCTGCTGGGTCTGTCTGCGCCGTCGTTGTAGAAGTTAAGTAGCTAGATATGTAATCGTCGCCGATTCCATGTCTGTTAAGGAGACCACGAAGCTGTCTATTCTCTTCGGCAACCCTCCGCGCAGCGTGCTGAACCTCCGAGGACGCCTCGACACCCTGAAGCTCGTACACTCGAAGTCTTTGCTCTAATTCCTGGAGATACTCTCTCCTGCGGGCCCGGGATCTTCTCTGATTGTCTCTGATCCGGGCAAGATTGGCTTTTTGCTAGAGGCAGGGACGCGTTGGTGTTAGGAACAGTCAACCGCAAGAAAAAGGAGATAGACGAGAGAACAGAAACGTACTGCCGGTGTAGACATTGTGCCTTTGTACAATATGATAGGGCAGGCGTCGTCAGTCTGCGGTGAGAATTGGCATCTGTGTAGTTCGTAAATCTAGCAATGGCCAATTTGCAAGAACACCGTAAGGCTAGTCGAACGACCTTGATCAAAGTAACGGGAGGCACTCAAGCCAGGTTGTGAGAGCTCAAGATGGATCAAGCTGAAATAATTTAGATGGGGAGCACCCAGGTCTAATAGATGACGCTTTCCCTTTTATCGAAAAGATTGATGGGGCACCAGCAGTGACATGTCCCAGGGTATTTATGAAGACGTATTAAGACGATAAGCTCATGAGAAGGACCGCCACATGGGAAATGTCAGCCACGGCGGCAAGTCCTTTCTTTTGGAGAGGGCGAAAGGAGACAAAGAGATTGGGGGCCTCTATACTACAGTATGGAGGAAGTATCAGATACATGTATAGATTCAGGGCCCGGAGAACCCCATCAACGGACAAGGCAGCCCTATTGGGACGACGACGAGGACGCCGGTGCGGGATGGAAAAGACCAGTCAATGCAAGTTATGTCGAAAGAGCTGCAGGGCTGCGCTACGAAATAAAAGTTACGAGCTAGCTGCAACCCTGGTGCAAGTCAATCTGCGACAAGAGCCGGTGAAGTACAGTAGTTAGGGGAGTCAAGAGACGGCTCGAACGAGCAGCACGCCACCAACTCGATATGTGGAAAACGGTAACAAGCCACACTTGGGCGCTGACACTGCGACACTGGTCTTATCCATTCACAATCCTGTTCAAATATCTGAAGTTCTTGATAGGAGGCGACGCAACTTTCGCTCGCAGGGTCACGGTGCGAAGTTGGGGCGTGTGATGGGCCTCTAGACAGGCGTCCCATTAGTAAAGAACGACATATATGATTCCAGGTCTTAACAAGATGAGCTGTGGATGTGGTATGGTAAACTGTATCGAAGCCTGTGAGAGGATATTTCACTGAGCGGCTGTGCCAAGTTGCAGTTGATTGAACAGGAAGTGATGCCGTATGCAAGCTGCTCAGGGATCTTGTGAGTTGAGGTAGTGGCTGAGAAAGGTTTTGAGTTTGCAGAAAGCGGAGATGTAGCTGAAATGACGGAGGTCCGGGACGGCAGGAGGGGCCAGGACCAAAGGTCGATGTTTAGTGATTCGATGAATGGGTATCATTCTGTGGTGAGGTACTGCAAAACCTCATCGACGACGACGTGATTCGGCGACCGCCAGCGTAGGAGCTCCGAGGGTATGGCTACCAGACGATACATCACACCCACTTTGAAAAACGCGCTGCAGAAAAAGACGGGTTGGCGTATGCCGTTGCCCCCTTGTGGCGATAAGGTAGGTGTAAGTCAGACAGACAGGGTGCACTATACGGAGATCATTACTGAGCCACGCGCTCATAAACACGCATCCTTGAATTTGTATCGCAGAGGATTCGAAGAGATGAAAGCGTCAAGCCCTCCCAAACCATTTAACAGTGCGGGGTGCGGTGTGTTGCCCAAGAGTGCCGCGCTGGATGCATCAGAATACATCTTTCAGTTGCTGCACCGGGCTGCTAGCTTGGCTTGTTGACGGGCGGCTCTTACCTCTGCGCTAGGTTGTCGTGGCTAGCATAGTACATACTAGATATGTGTTGATGAGATTCATGTACTTAAATCGCTGACAGGCATCCCGTTTGGCCTAAGTAGGGTACTCTTGATACTGTAGGTAGGTCGTACAGTGAGAATGTGAACCCCCTGGGTGTGACACTGTTCCCCAGTTGCCAGTAAGGGCTAAGCTTTGCTGGAGGAGTTGCCGGGCGCCGTTCCTTTCTTTTTTCGAGATAGAATTGTGAGGTAACTAGGTAAGTAGGCATAGGTCCAAGGACAAGATGCAAAGTCCGGGACCACGCTAGCGATGCACGGTCGCTCATGGTTTAAGGGACCGAAAAGGGAATCGCGAAAAGCAGATTGACGATGGCGGTAGAGGTAAAGGCAGATCGGTACGTACTGTATCACCGTTGGCTGGTGGCTCAACCCTACAGCTAGGTGCTGTGGTAAAGAGACCCGACAGCTGAGCTCCACGGACGGCGTGTAACTTGGGCCCGGCACCAACGGCCAAGAATAATAGCAACAAGCGGTGATGATTGGGTTCAGGAGAGGCAGCCCAGAGCCAGGATACATGGATCCGTTGTTCGTACCGTACTGCACCGCATCGCATCGCATCACACGATACGGGCGCAAATTCAAGGAAATCAACGTCTTCGATCAGGCGTAACATCGGGAATTTGAACTTAAGCTTGAACTTTGGAGTTATCGAATGAGACAGATGGCGAGCCTAGAATCATTTGAGCGGATCAAGGTCAGAAGGAAGACACTGATGCAATGTACGGATACAGTAACATTGATTCATCTGAGCCAAGCCTACAGTGCAGCAAAATGCAGTACCAGGACAGGGACAGATGCATGGATGGATGCAGAGGCCGAGGGGCGAACACAAAAGAACTCTCTCTTTTTTTCTTTTTCTAATGATGATTGAGTTCTATTGCCTTGTCATGTTTGGTGATGGAACATCAAGGTCGTGATATGATGCGGTGTGTTGTGATAATCGACTGGCGGCAGGCACCACCAAAAGTACAGTACAGTAAACCTCACCTTCCATCTTTTGGAGGAGGTGACGGGACCGAGGAAGGACTGGACCTTCGTCATGTGCCTGTTATTCCCCAAATCTAGCGAGCCCCTTCCCTGGGTCTGGGGGTTCTGTCCGAGTTCAGTGGTTGGAGGCTGGAGGCTGGAGGTAGGAGCCGGGGCCGCCCCCAAATCTCGATCTTCGCCAGGGAAGGGAAGGAAGCACCAAAGGCAGTTCCAAGGGTTTGGAACTCAACGTCGAATGTGGCTGAGGGGCTCAAATTCCAGACCCTGCCACCCCACTTCGGTAAATGCCGACCGTTGGAACATTGGAAGATTAAACAGAACATGACAGATGCAAGTGCTGACAGACAGAAACATTTATTCATACATACATACATACTAACAACGGAGCAACATAATGATTGACCTGCCTTGGATTGAATTCAAACAGCAGATCCCATTGCTAAGATAGATCTGAACAGCAGAGCAATACCCAGTTGTAAGTTTTATGTCAGTATTTGTAACATTCAAATAGGGACAAGCGGACTATGTACGTAAGTTCAACTACTCGGCTAACATTAATTGGAGTTTGCCGAAAGACAGCCTAGCCTATCATTTACAGTATTACATACAAATAACCTTTCAACATTTTTTCATCATGTACATACATCTCGTGTTCCTTGTCTTGTTTCGGTCCTTTGAAGCCGCTTAGTTATGTGATACGTCGAAACAAAACAAAACAGGCCACAACCATGGTCGTGCAATCCCAGCACCGTGGTAATGGTAACGGGGGACACCGGGCTTGTGTTCCGTCCCGTCTACCAACCTACAGTACTGCCTAAGTACATGACCGTACAGTACAGTACAGTACCTGGATCTGATCTGATCTGCGCAACTGCATCATATCATATCATCTGATGGGCTAAAAAATGAGAATGAGACACATGGATCTCTTCACATCCATGACCCGTCTCCTATGCAGTGCAGACTGAGACTGCAACATGTACGTAGGCTATCAGGTATCAGCCGAGGTCCTCGGTCTGCGTAACGACAACCAAAACCCAATCCGACACATAACCGTCTGGTGTACGCAATCCGTGTGACACGAAGCATGTCTATTTTTTTTTTGAGGCATAAACCGTCGCTTTGTTCAGAATATCTTGGTAATATCTTACATGAATAGTAATGGAGTGGTCCTGACTTGTCCCGACTCCCGAGACCCGCTCTTGTCCGCCCCGGTCACGGAGCTGCCGTTGAGAGTGGGTCCTGCATAGGCCGGGTGTTCTACTCTATCATTCGGCGTCCCCTTAGCTCAATTTTTTCCTCCCCTACACCTACAAGCCATGCTACTGATCCATTCGCAGTTTTCAACCCTCCTTTTGAGTCCTTTCTTTTCTTTTTGCTTCCAGTTCTCTGATAATGGATGCATCCGATATGCGTCTCTCGGGTGTTACAACTGCGAACCCAATTTCCTTTATTGTACTGTCTCAGCCAAGCAACTCCCATCTAACCATCCACCCGGAACACCGTCCGCTACCAACTGCCAATAGAAAGCCGTCGAGTCAGGTGCAAAAAAATTGTCTCGGCTTGGTAGTGGACACTGACACCTACCCAAGAGTCAGACTCATGCACAATAGATGGACCATGAGATCCCGACCAAGCTGAATTGTCGGTCCGCCTTCCAACATCTTCGGAAATTTATTTTCCAGATCTTTTGTGTGTGTAGGAACGTAGCATCCACGTCAGATTCACGATTCAGGCGGTCAAGGGGTACCTTGAAGAGAAAAACGTGGTTGTGTATTGACAGCTTTACCGATGATACGTTAAGAACAGTACCATGTGGCAGCTGGTGTGACCCTTTTTTCTATCATTTTCAGCCATCCTATCCCTGTATATCATTGTTTTTCTTGACTCACGCATCAACGACAGGTTAATATTCGTTGTTCACCACAAGTACCGTATACTTCAACCTTTTCTATGGGCTGTTCTCATCCCTACCTACCTACCGACTTGACCAAGATCGAGTCATGGCTTTTACACCGCAAACTCTACCAGCTTGTCAACCACGTGCTGAGTTGCTTGAAGTAGACCTCATCCCGCAGCACCGTCTCAAACTCGTCTCTCTTTGCAAGCATGATTAGCTCATCATCAATCGCTTGTGTTCGGGAGAAGCGCAGCCTTGCCGCTCGAAAGTCTTGCGTAGCTTGTCGAAATTTCTTTTCTGCTTGGGTCAGCAGTTTTTCTTTGAGACAGTGTGCGCAGAGACTCGGGATCCAGCCCTGATCTGGCAACGTTCTCGGGAGTAGGTGAAGTCCTTCTCTGGTTAAGGACCTGGTTGGAATTGCATGTCCACATCCAGGGTAAACGAGATCAACTCGACAGAAGGGGCAAGTGTCCTGAGTCTTGAACCACTTTTTCAGGCAGCGCGAGCAAGCAGTGTGTCCACAGGGCATTAAACTGAAATTGGTCTCGTCGAGCGGCTCTGCATCTGACTTGATCTGACAGCTCACTTGACGACATATCTGGCACTCGAGTCCGATTGGCTCATCGATCAGAAATGTAACCTTGGGAAATGGGACAAATGACTCTTCAGAGTCGTAGCATCGGTGAGGCTGAAACCACGAGGTGAATCGTGGCAGGAGTTTTGACTTTATCCGTGATCCCAAGGTTGTTGATGCATACGTTTCCTGGCTCTGAGTTCTGGACTTAGTGTTAGCACGGGTTCTTAGGTATCTCGTCCGAAGTGGTTTCTGGTGCGTCGTCATGGTGGATGCTGCAAGTGATTCTTGATCGAATGGTGTAAGTTGATATGTTACTGCTGTTAGTTGGCAAAATAAAGAGGTAAGTTGCAATTTGGCGAGAGATATGAGTCAAAAGTTGAATTGGAACAGCACTTAGAATCTAGAGAAATGCAATCATTACTACTCGACTCTCTATATAAAGAACAAAGAACGTTTTTCTAAGTTCGGTGGTTGACGTTAAAAGAATGAGCTATGTTGAAAACACTTTCTGTTCAGAGGACAGGACAGAACAGTCCCTCGTTTGTTGTCTGTGTCCACATGTTCATCATCAGTACTCCGTGGACTCTTGTTCAATGTGGAACCAAACACTATTGTTCGAAGTTCGGACTAATCAACGACATACAATGTATTTCTCAGAACATTTATTACGATTGTACACCCGGCCAGTTTGCTCCGGTGTGCATTCAACTACGAGATGTCTTCACTATCATATATCACAATACACATAGCAAGATTAAAGGTGGAAAAGATCCCGTTAAGGATGGTTTGATTTGATCTTCTCCTTGGAAATCCTTGTATAGTAATTTCGCCAGTCATGAGTTGCGTTTGCCCTGGACATGGTTAATGGGCTCTAGAAACATACCACACACACCCCTAAAGCAATAAAGGCTACGGGTACGGTGCCCGGTCGGATCCCGGATCTATTGGTCTGATAGTTCCCAAAATCCTACTTCTTATAACGGGCTAGCTATAGCAGTTAATTGTACTGTGATATGGTAGCTTCAGCCGCTCAGGAAATACGTGTATTGGGTGGAGATATTGGGGAAATTAGAGTGACATACCAGGGGAATCTTCGTTCGTCCTTTCCTAAAGCTGAAATACTTGCATGAACCCTTGATCGTATGCACCAAAAGCTGATGGATCGACCAGCTAATAACCTGGCAAGCAGGTATTAGTAGATGAACATCCTTTTCTGGCTATTAACCCGCCACGCGTCACAAGAACGTGGCCGCTGTCCATGACATGCTGTGCATAGAACCACGGAGTGCATAACTAGGCAGCGATCCCTCTCCATGAAGCGGTAATTTTGATGTGGCTGAACTACTTTTGCCCTCCACAAAGTCTTGAGGTGCTGTAAGGGGGCTTGTGGTATACTCGCGCGGACTAAAACTCACCGGATATATCATGAAGATGGGTTAAACATCTCGGCTGGAGACACTGTCGGCTGCATTCAGAGTTAGCAGTATCTAGCAAAAGGCTAGTGAAGCCTCCGAAGGCTGTGCATCACCCGAGAAGGTTATTCCGTGTCGGGCCGTAGGGTCAGGCGTCGGAACCGGAAGCGCGAGAGGGAAAATATGGGGCTCTTTTCCGGTCTCCGGGATTTATATCGGCAAATAAACGAAAAGAAAATAATAAAGGCGGGAGTCAAAACTGAATCGCGTAACGCCAAGATCCGGCGGGACATGACCGCATCGTCGACCTTTTACTAGAGAGTAAGCTTTTGACCATGGTTAGACTGAAAACCTTGGGCTGTCTTCCTTATCATGGCTGCATTTTGTTGTAGAAACCACTTACCACAGCGTGGGTAGGTAGTCTATATCTGACTAGCAGCCGTTGGGTAATAATAGTACGTAGTTTCCGTGGTCTGTTGCAGTACTACGCAAGTGGTGTGTCATATGAGAGTGGTCTCCTCCATATGTGCCAGGTTAGTAGTTTACACCTTACAGATACTATCGTTTTGTAGCTAGTATTGGTAGTCAGGGCGATCAGCAAAGCTATGTAACATATTCACAAGATTTCCATAGATCAGCAACAGGGATATCTTGACACCGTCTTTTTGATCCCAATCCCGTGTCTCCATCAGACTATGTTTTCACTTCTTTACTATCACCTGGGACAACGTAATGTTTTCCCGGCTCTTTTCGAATCGTACCTTACTAGGGTACAGGATTTGCTCGATATGATCAGACGAAATGAAAAGCAAAATGTATGTTGTTGTCCTGTTGACTTTGCACGAAATCAGGTTTACGGTCAGATCTATAGGGTAAGCTAGATGTCAAATCCCTACACTCAGCTCTGGTTGCTGGGTCACACAAAGTAAACAGGGGTCCTCAACGGCAGAAACAGCCGGTCAAGCCCAGACCCAGTGAATCCTCCATCATAAGAAGAGTCCTGCACTTCTCCTTGGTCAGAATCAACTCTTGGCAGCTCTTTAAGGCAATCAGATCTGTGCATCAACGGGCCGCCCATGTAAGAAGTGACACAGAAAAACTGCCTGGTGAGCCTGGATAGGGGCTGCCGGGCAACAGGCGATTCTTGGCCTAACATCGGACTTTTTTACATATATATCAGCGCTCGTATTGCAGCTCCTATTTGATTATTCGTGATTCACAAACTAATCCTTTTGCCCTGAACTCGTACATACTCAGCTTCATTCACCACGTCGTTGCGAATTATATCCTTGCGTACCTATCTTCAGTTAATCAACATGCCTTCTCTCAAGACTCTGCTCGCCTCAGCCGCCATGGCTTACCTTGCCACGGCCAAAACCATCAAGATCACAGCTACCAGCGATAACAAGTTCGACCCTGAGACGGTCGAAGCTGAGAAGGACGATGTTATCGAATTCCATTTTGAGCCAAAGAACCACAGTGTTGTTGCTGGCGACTACCGCTACCCCTGTTCTCCTCTTGATCTGGGCAGTGGTTTCTTCTCTGGTTTCCTTCCCACTGACTCTGGATCTGCCGTAAGTTCTAACATCTCATAATGGCTCGACACACCATCTGACACAGTCTCCAGGACAAGGTTTTCCAGGTCACTGTCAACGACACAGACCCTACTCCTTTCTACTCTTCCCAGGGCAAGGAGTGCGCTGAGGGCATGGTTGGTATCATCAACCCTGACAAGAACAAGACTCTGTCCGACTACAAGGAGCGTGCGGCCAAGCTGAGCTCTGGCGTCAACCCCGGCAAGAAGGCCTTTGGCGGTGAGCTTGTGGACTCTAGCGATGCTAAATCTGACGACAAGGACTCTGGCGAGTCCTCGGACAGCAAGGACGGCGACGGCGATGACAGCGCTGCTGGTACGATCGGTGCTCCCTTCGCTGGACTTGTTGCTGCCATTGGTCTTGCCTTTGTTATGGCTTAGACTGGGAGAGTTTAGTAACGTCAGGATGCGACATGATTTACATGATATTGCCTGGGGCTGGGGCTGGGTCTGGAAAAGCGAAAGTAATTAGAGGGATCAATAATCGTATTTTCGCGATCCCAAACATATATTCTTTATACTAATACAGCGTTGTTGATTCAAATGTTTGCATGTTAAGGAAATGAGAGCTTAGCTGTCGGCTCATGGAAGCAACTGTCTGGCGTTCCCTATCGTCAACTCCAATTGCTAATGCGCATATTGAAGTCCGAGCCTCTTAGCAGATAGAGTAACAGGCTAGTGTCCGGAGAATGGCCACCAGCAATACGAACTGTTTTGTCATGTGAACTTGAGCAGCTGACCATCAAGAAATGCGCCTGGATTCTGGAACATTCATACAGGGTAGGCTTATTCTCAGGGTATTGATAGATTGATAAACAACGTCATGTTAGCCAACCTCGGCAGTATCGTATAGTCTCGCTTAAACTGCGGCTGCCCGCATGACGGGAATATTGCATATTGCATATTGCCTCGGGTCTAGGAAGACGAATCCCGGAGATCAATTCTAAACCCGGCCCACCATCATCATTTCAATACTGGGCTCACAAATTCCCCTCCATGCTTTACTTCTCCAAAATCACGTCTTTTCAGTAGAAACGAATCAGCGATCGATCGCGAAACCCTCAGGACCCGAGAATTGCGACTTATATATGCTATCAACATGCGCGGCGCACTGAGGTGCAGCACCGTTATCCGCCAGCCTCAAGCTCTTAGGCCGTTGGCGGGTAGTGGCAGATATGCGAGGTCGTTCCGCACGAGCGCAGCGCCACATGCTTTAAGAGCAGGCTCATGTTACCGCAAAATACGACCAGAACTTGCGATTCAAGGCGCAAACCTGTCGACATCATGTCCCAAACGCTCTCGATCAATGGCGACAGTAGTCGATGCCGAACCTGTCTACGGCGGAGGTCCAATTCCAGAGTACGACAGAAGGGTGGCAGCGGGAAGATTAAGGAACGATGAGCACCAGAGAGGTGAGCAAAGATGGAACATGTATCAAAATGTACTAGTAAAAACTGACAAAGTCAAGGAATTATTCAAAACTTCCAAAACCTATATCATGAATTGGAACGATATGACGCCCCGCCTGTCGAGCATCCCACCATAGAATCCCTCAAGCCCACCAAGAAATCCATATTCTCGTCTCTTTTCGGATCAGGTGGTAAGAAGTCTGCGACGGGAAGCATTCCAAGCAATCTTCCGAGAGGGTTGTATCTATACGGCGATGTTGGCTGCGGCAAGACCATGTTGATGGACCTCTTATACGATACTCTGCCTCCTTCTGTTAAATCGAAAAATCGCATCCACTTCAACAACTTCATGCAGGATGTGCACAAGCGATTGCACAAGTTCAAGATGGAGCATGGCAACGATATCGATGGTGTGCCCTATATCGCAGCTGACATTGCTCAGCAGGCAAATGTACTTTGCTTTGACGAGTTTCAATGCACTGATGTCGCAGACGCTATGATTCTGCGAAGGTAAGTGCGGCCCTTTACGTTCAAGTTGCGCAGATCTGACAATTCGAAGACTACTAGAATCTCTTATGGCAAATGGTGTTGTTCTCGTAACGACCTCCAACAGACACCCTGACGAACTGTATAAGAACGGCGTCCAGCGAGAATCTTTTATTCCTGCCATCAAACTCCTCAAGGACCGCCTACACGTTATCAACCTAGATTCTCCAACAGATTACCGAAAGATCCCCCGACCACCATCTGATGTGTACCACACATCGCTTGACAGCCATGCCCAAGCGCACGCTGAGAAATGGTTCCGGTTCCTCGGCGATCCCGACCAACCGGAGCCTCGACCTGAGACCCAGAAGGTCTGGGGTCGCGAAATCTATGTTCCCCGAGTTAGCGGACGGGCAGCGTGGTTTACTTTCGACGAGCTAATTCGACAACCCAAGTCCGCTGCCGATTTCATCGAGCTTGTCCGCTCCTACGAAGCATTCATCGTTACTGATATTCCTGGCATGACTCACCAGCAGCGAGATCTTGCGCGTCGATTCATCACATTTATTGACGTTGTATATGAGGGCAACGCCAAACTAGTCCTGACGACCGAAAAGCCCTTGTCAGAGCTCTTTATATCTCGCGATGAGATTGCCGAAAGCCTCATGAAGCAAGGTGTCAAGAGTGCCGATGCCGAAGATGCAGCCGAAAACCATGATTTGGTACACAACGTCGATAAACTCAAGGACTCGAACCTTTTTGCCGGTACAGAGGAGGCCTTCGCATTTGCTCGAGCCCTCAGCCGGCTGCGACATATGGAGAGCAAGGAGTGGGTAGAGAGAGGCATGGGCCTCGAGGCTTCAGGCGGCAAGTTGGACAAGGACAACTGGACCAAGGCTAGAAGTCGACAGATGGAAGACTCCATGTGAAGAGCAAGAGATGGAACCTTGGTTTGGGAAGCGAAGCATTATACCCAGGGCATTAACTCGGCATAGCGAGCGTTTGCCTGGTCTTGTATGATTTACTGTGAACTGTCAAGTGTTGATTGCTTAGGCAATTGGGACTTTGGATCCAGACATGAATGTATTTACGGGTTACATATTTGCATATATATATATAGAGACATGTGGCGAACTCGACTTACAAACAATCTTTAGTGGCTGGCTTGTACCTAGTCCTCACTTATAATACGTATTCATAAAGCCCACGAATAACAACGAGGCTAGATATCCGAACGGGCAATTCAACGGCTTGGAAAGGTTTTAGACACCCCTGAGTAATTGAGTGATAGGCGAAATGCGCATTTAGCCTTGTCGGCAACATGTCCCAAGAAGTATCGAACCACTGAACTCGAGACTGGACTAGTGAGTATCCGTACCAGATGACGGCAATTTAACATTGTAAATTGCCATGGCAGAAGCAAAAGGTGGGCACATGGATGCATCGCCCGAAACCATCTTTCTACAGCACTTTAGAGGGTTAGTTCTTTATTGAAGGGTTCGAGCACCCTATGACGATAAACACTAGGGGCTCACTAGGATGGAATGCAGTCTAAATGGCCGGAAGTGTCTACTGAGACGAACTGCCGGTAGATCTCGCAGTTTGAAACTGAGACAGTCGAAAGGTACTATCTTGAGGAATGTTGTGTCTAAGACTACGACGATCATCATCTCTAAAGCCAACTGTGTCAGACCAGCCACTCTTTGTAACCCAAATATTTGACGGCAACGACGGAAGCAGTACGGATACAGCGACGTTTGACACCCTGCTGTTGGGCAGGTGATGAAAACACCAGGTATTTCGAAACAGAACCGAGATGAGTCTCGTGGCATTTAGATACCCGAGCTTGATTCGTAAATTGAATAATCGCATCGCATGCAAGCAAGCTTAAAGTGGCAAGTCGAGGATTGCTGGGGTGAGGTGAGGCTAAGAAGACAGGGTCTGCTATGGATGCTAGTAAAGACGTTGAACAAAAACAAGCCACACGCAGCAATCAATATCGGTTCGTGAACGTTGTTTGTCAACCTAGAAAGAGACAGACCGAGGATGAAACAGTGACGTTGGGCGATGTAACCGGCTGGAAATTGACTCTGAAGAACTTCGCGATCACGTATCTTCATAAGTGTTAGCGTGCATCTATTGTATAAGCTTGGTGTACTAATCTAGCTAGTTGTTGATAGTTGTCGTATGTTTGCGCACTTTAATAGATTTATGAATTCGTGTTGTGCAAGTCAGCCTTGGCTGTTTACCTACGTGATGAATCCGTAATCCATAGCATTGACGCACGAAACTTCTGTTATCTCGGCGTGGAAGAGGCACAGTCAAAGCCAGTGGACACTTGGAGACGAGGAGAAGCAAGCGGATCGACGGGCCATGCATGCACAGACTCGGCTCCAGTTGTTGTTTCGACTGATGGAGTCAAGTCAATGCGGCACCTGGAAGCGGTCAAAGTACGGGCGATTAACAAAGGAGCAGTCATTTTGTTTCTTTGTTTCTTGAAGTCTCTCGGGACTGAGACCAAGATGAGAAGAAGCTTCCGTGAATAGAGCTGGGGGTCGAGAAGGCTCAGACCATCTAGGTATGTTACCATAGTACGACTTAGTTAGGCGTGGTAGGCTCTAATATGAAAGGATTCATCTTGCAGCTAAAGCCAGGCCAGGCCAGGCCAGATCCTCAGCAGCAAAACATGGAATTGTTCATTGCGCTACGCCACTGAGAAACACTGCCCGGTAGACTGACTGGGTGGACAGATTTACCTACCGTAACCTGGCACAGCTAATGATTGACTGAGCGGCATCTGTCCACTTCACCAGAATCCAAGACATCAGTCGATCAAGGCGATAAGAAAGAGTTGCTGAAGATAATCGATCGATTCGCTGGAGCTCATTATTATTGCGACATTTAATAATTAATGCATCCATAAAAAGGAGAAGGGTGAGAGAGACAGTGTGTGTGTGGGATAATTTTAATGAAATCGGGCAATTTGCGCCAGGGTCTAAATGAGAAGAGGAGACGTTGGAGCTTGAGAAAGCTACCAAAAGCCACAGAGTCAAGGGATTGGTCAGGTCCTCAGCGGTTCCTGGCTAAACAGATTTGGCGGGACAAGCTTAGCCAATCAAATTTGCTTGGTCCCTGACAGCTGGCGTCAGTGGCCCAAGCCACCCCTGACTTTAATCCCCGTAAACGCGCCTAACCCCCTGGCTACTGCGAACCTCATCAGAGGCTGCGGAAGGATCCCACTGCAGCTGCAGGGATCAGGTTTCGCTACCTTGAGAGCGGGTTTTTCTTCCCTTTTTCGCCTACAAATCATAGAGTTGCTCGATTGCTCAGCTTGGCCCGGAGTTTCTCTGCTGATCGTCATCTAATTATGCATAGCATAGCACTCGATGGAACCAACGGGTGGAAATCACGCCCTGCCTCATTTCTTGGTGAACTCGACTCAGTCTCGTTGACGCTCACAGGCTGGACAATGGAAGTGACACGGCACGAAGCAGCATGACTCCTAGAAGGCTTGCATAAGTGGTTGGTTAATTTTGGAATATGATCAATCTGATCTAGTCTGCAGTAGTGTATCTTTGTGCAAGGACAATCTTGTGTGATTCTCTTCCATTACTCGTTGCCAGTTTGCGCTCTGTGAGACTGAGCACAGACTGTCGTGTTATCAAGATGTAGGTCACATTCATTCCATCAAGGACTGAGGTCAATGTTAATATGTACTGCCATGTACTGTAGAGCTGGCTCAACTTGAAACACGAGACAAACAGGCCTGTCTTTCCATCAACAACAGAGCAAGATACCTCGAAATACATGGCCAATGCCCTGTCACTGCCAGGTTCAGCTCTGCAGCCGCTAGGATTACTGCAAATACTGCTAGGTCTGTTAGCCCAGGCCTCGGTTGGCCCTATCAAACTTTTAGCAGGCAACTGAGTGGAAAGTCCGGGGACCTTGCCTTGCTCGGCAACCTCCCCCCGGCTGCACTCCGCTCCTAATCCCAGGTTCCCCTTCTTCTCGCACCTCTTTATCCATCCACTTCCGCCTCCCATCTGCACCTTTCTTTTTTCGCTCTTTTCAGTCTCTTGAGATTCTGAACTGCTTCTGTCCACGGTCGCTTCACTTTTACGCTGCAGCCCGTGTCGAGTTCGGTTCGTCCATTCGTTTCACTCCTTCATTGGCGTGTTTTTGCAAAATCGCCAGCTTGTGCTCAAAGCCATAATCGTAATAATTATTGCTTTATTTGCACACATTACACTCATTTGGCAGCCAGTCCAACTTTTTACGTTCTACGCCGTAACTAGCAGTTGAACTTGCGCTTTTACATCACCCTCGTTACCGACGCACTACCCACCGCTGTTCTCATCTGAGACCTCGCCGCAGCCGCAGCCCGAACAAAGACATCGGTCTTGAAACCCCTAAAAAGGAAGTCCATTCTTTGTTCCTGCCCTCCGTTGCAACGCCCTTCATTCCAATAGGCTTGGCAACCAGCCCCGCGAGTTTCCCACGTTGAAGACGATATATCCTGTTAGAACGACACGCCCGTTGAGCGAATATCGATCTCACCTACCTACCTTAATTCCACCTCACTTCTTAGATCCTAGCAAACATGCATCTCCGGCACGTGCAGGTGCACCGGAGAGCCGATGGGCTTTTCGGGTTTGGAAACATTGCTCATGAGATCGACGTCTCTTCCGGTGCGGCAAAGCGCCATGTCGAGAAGCGAGAACCTCGTAAGTACACTCTTAATAATTTCACAATCACTTCTGGCACATGTGTGCCTGGTTGTTAGAGAAGATCTAACTTCATATAGAAGCAGTAAAAACCGTCTTTAAGACTGTTGAGGCAACATTTGAGGGTGAAATCGGTGGATACAAGACAGTAGGCAACGAGCCCGAACCCACAGGCTCATCAAAGGACGACGAAGACGACGAGGACGACGAGAAGGAAAAGAAGAAGGAAGCAGAGGAAAAGAAGAAGGAGAAAGAGGCTGAAGAGAAGAAGAAGGAAGCCGAAGAAGCTGAAGAGAAGGCAGAAGAGGCCAAGGAGAAGGCCAAAGAAGAGGCGGAGAAGAAGAAGGCCGCCGAAGAAAAAGAGAAAGAAGAAAAGGAGGAGGAGGAGAAAGAGAAGAAGGAAGAGGAAGAAGCTGCTAAGAAGAAGGCTGCTGAAGAGGCGAAGTCGCGCAGTGAGGCCGAAGAGACAACCACAAAGGAGAGCACGACAGCCAAGCCGACCAGAACGCGCGCCGAAGTCACCACCAGTAGCGATCCCTCATCTATTCCTTCTGCCATCAGTAACCCAGTCGACAGCCAGTCCATCGAATCTATTCTCGCCAAGGCAACCGACACAGTCGCCTCTGCTTCAGCAACCATCGGTGAGGTCGCCGACATGTCTGGCTCCTCGAGTCTCCCCAGCTCCACCTCTGTCCCTGAAGCCAGTGGCACCAGCGCAGGAACCAAGGCTGGTATCGCTTTTGGTGTTCTAGGTGGACTTCTTGCCATGGGATTATTGGTCTTTTTTGTCTTTTCCAAGCGCCGCAAGCAGGCTGAGATGGAACGTCTCGGAAGCGATGATGAGAAGCTTCATGGCCCAATGGCTGGCAGTGGTGGTGCCCCCATGGCTGCTGCCGCCGCAGTCCGTCGTTCCATAAGCCCCGAACCTTTTGAGCCTGACACCGCATCCGTCCGCACCGATGCGAAGGCCCCTCGTGTCAGCCTTCGACCTGTCACCCAATTCCTCCCTAACTGGAACGGTCTCGAGAACCAGAAGCGTTCAAGCAAGGGCGCTGCCTTGGCTCTTGCCGTCCCTACCTCCGGTTCTCCTCCAAACGCCAATGGACCTCTGTCACCACGAACACCCGGTGGTAGTGCCTGGGAGCGTCCATCCACAGCTCAGAGTATCGATCCTGCAAACCCCTTTGGCCAACAAGCTGAGCGTGTTCCTTCGCCCGTTCAAGAGGAGACTGCTTCTGCACTCCGTGCGACTCCCAGCCCTATGTCCGAAAAGTCAGCTATTGGCGTTGCAGCTACTGCTCCTGTTTCACCTCAATCACCTTCCGTAGACCCTCTCGTTGCCACTGGAGTTGCTGTTGCTGCTGGAGCTGGAGCTGCTACAGTCGCTCGTAAGACGTCGATACGCAAGGATGGCCCTCCCCAACTTGATCTGACACTTCCCAACGCTCCCATGGCCGCCGTCCCCGCTAGCCCTGCCGGTACAGAGAACAGCAACAGTGGTGCTCCAGAGAGTCCTTCAGTTGGCGCCGCTGCCATTGCGGCTGCTGGAGGACCTGCCAACTCAGCTGTCCACCGTGTACAGCTTGATTTCAAGCCTACTATGGATGATGAATTAGAACTCAAGGCTGGCGATCTTGTCCGACTCCTTCATGAATACGATGATGGCTGGGTAAGTCCATTTACTAATGCAATGCTTTGTCTAAACCATACTAACTACCTTTCAGGCGCTCTGTATCCGACTTGACCGGTCTCGACAGGGTGTCGTGCCCCGAACATGCTTGTCAACCCGCCCCGTGAAGCCCCGTCCCGCCCAAAGTGGCCCTCGGCCAGGTCCTCCCGTCAAGGGCGGTCCTCCTCGAGGACCTGGATCTATGAACCCCAACGGCGGACATCCCCAATCACCCATGGGACCTCCTAGGGGACCCCCTGGCCATCCTCAAGGATCTCCTCGTGGCCAGTCACCTGGACCCTTCCAAGGACCTCCCCAGGGCCGTTCTATGAGCCCAGGACCTCGATCACAGTCTCCTGGCCCCCGTAATGGACCACCTGGTGGCCGACCTATGAGCCCCGGACCTCGCTCTCAATCGCCCGGTCCTGCTGGTGGACGTTCGCAAAGCCCTAATGGAGTGAACCGACGAAACAACCCTCCTGGACCCAGCCCAATGAATCCTTCTCAAGGGCCAACTAGCTCAGGCTCTGTCAACAGAAAGCCCGTCCCTGGCCAGGCTTACTGAGCTTGTGACAGATGACAGGACTGATGAAACAGGATTAAAAGGGACCGGCGTTCTGCGATACCATGGAGAGACCCGAGCATTATGGTCTGCTCACGATTCTTAACTCTTCTGCTGGATGATTTACTTTATTTCGAAACCATTTGTCATTCACTTGAACAATTCTTTTCCCTTATGTGGCCATTTGAGCCCCTTTTTTTCTCTCACGTTCATATAACGTTCATACATCTCAGGCGGCCGCTGCTCTGCTCATGAACACTATCATGCTACCTCTACGTGTCAGTGCGACTACGAGATATTCTCGATTACTTGGTTTTGGAGAACATTTGCGTGCGGGTCGCGGCGTCTTGCCACGAGATAATCTTCACCCTTATGGGAGGAGTTGCGCTAGTCGCTAATGTGTATCCATGTTTGCGTTTGCCTTTTTCGCATATCATTCCTTCCTCCTGCGGCCGGTTCCAGGTCGTTGGATGGAGATGAAAATATAGCTTGCTGGAAGGGTTGCTACCGCCAGAAGCCAAGATTTGAAGATGTCAGATGAAAGATAGGAAATGAAATTATTCCTTGATGATATGATCCGATTCTAGGTTCTCTTGTGAGGCCACGTCAGATGTAGACGATCGTGAAAGAGATAAAATGTTGACGAATAGCTAATACAACACTCTACTTAAGCGTAAGTGAGGCGGTTGATTGTGCAACCAAGGCACTGTACAAGGACGGGTTGAGCGTAGATCTACAAGCTGTGTCCAGGCTGAACACATGCTCGCAGTAGGAGTATATGCTCATTCAACGTGAGATGTAGCGAGCGATATGCAGATGTGCTCACAACTCTTGAATCACTGCACTCTTTGTTTAGGCTACAAACTTTCCTCCGCAACCTCCGCAAGTTTCACCAGAAGATTCAATCCTCGTTCCTGGCCCAAAGTTCTCTACAGCAATGCGAGTCAACTCCGTGACCTTAAGACATCGAAGCTCACACACAGCGCAAATTCTGGATATATCTGGGGCCATGATAGCAAGTCCAGTCGAAGCGCAGCGGGCTGTTCCTGATTGTTAGTAATAATATAGCCAAGTGTTGAAGACATCGGACTCACCAAACATATGTCCATTGTCGCATTTGGCCTCGTCTTCTTCCAAACGTAGCGCCGCATCGCAAAAGACACAGCGTTGTTGTGCTGTGATACCTTTGAACTGCTCCCTAAGCGGTGTGTTATGCAGCTCGGGCGCAATCTTGCTCGTGGATGTAGTTCCGAGCACTTCAGGACCATTCCCATACATCCACTCCCAGACCTGCCCTTCAGTTGTCAGTTGCTTGACTGACATAACTGAACCCGCTACCTCATCGCGTTCTTCATCCCTTCTGGAGAACATCAACTTGCAGAGGGCCCTCCTCTCTGGATGAATAGTATTGTAGCGTGACACAAGGACTGCCGTTGTTCCACCACCAGGTGAATGCGCCAGACCCCAAATACGGTACCTTGCCTCTGGAACTTGCAGTTGTGATGTATCTTCTTCCATTAGGTCATCCTCTGAATCTTCTGAATCAGAGTCTATGCCCTCTAGGGCAGCTGCTCTAGGCACCAATCGTGTTGTCTGCCTTCTGATTCTTGCAGCCCATTTAGGGACCGCGGCCTCTTCGGTAGAGAGGTTCGTTTGGAACCAGTCTTGATTTCGAGCAGTCGCTGACAACCTAACTATAGAGTAATGGGGAACAGGTCCTGGCTTTACATCACTTTGGTCATGGACCATAAGCCCTAGATGTCGTTAACTACTGTTACGGTTATACTCAACAGAGTTCCTACCGGTGATCGGATTCGATGAGACCATCTCGCCTTCTTTAGGATATGTTGTTGAGCACTCCCAAGTATAATGAGAATCAGTTGGCTGCTCGGCGTCAACCAAGGAAACTTGGAATGGCTTCACATCGAAGGGCGTGGCGACGACGCCTCGAGCTGTAGGAGTATCGCCATCATATACAATCTATATTAAGGTCAATAACATACTTTTTCCAGTACTAGGAGCCTCATACCTGGTCCTGCCATTCGACATAGGCATCTGTGGAAAGAAACATGCAAATAGCTGCCGTGTCTACGTTGTCGACCTCGATGTGTGGGGGTTCGCCCCTTTCCCAATTCCCTAGGATGGTAACTCTCCGGAATCCAACGTGGTTCTTGGCTAGATACGCCAGTATAGCTGTCCGTCTACCCATACTGTTGGACCAAGGACTCCATTTCAGAGAGAAGGCGCTTCCATGAGGAACGTAATCCGGATCTGTTATATCCACAGCCTACTCCAGATTAGAAACACTACCAGCCAAGTCCAGGATAGCTCACATCTTCCTTGGTATGTCGACCTCTGCCATCGAATCGATGGACTTCTCGAATGTCCCAGAGGGCCTCTTCGCTATCGGGGTCGCTCTCTTTTGGCCGTGAGAAGTGTTGAACTGCCATTACAGCAACTTCTTCCATGTCATTGCAGTACGCCAATAAGCACCTTCCTTCACGAAACTCTCTAGCCCATGAGAAAGACTGGATACGTTCGTTCATATTTCGGTAACCGTCCTCCTGAGTAGTGTCTGGTAATGGAAGTTGGGCCCCAAGACCCCAAAGTGTCTTCCACGCCTTGAAACTTCTGGCTCGCATACCCGCAACCATGGCAGATTGTCGATCTATATGTTCACCTATGGCGTAGATGCATCCGCTTGTAGAAAGTGCCGTCAGAATGGGCCGAAGATTGCATCCAAGCCCGTGCGGCGACCATTCTAACCTTACAATCTGGCAGATGGGAGCACCTGAGCCTGTAACAAGGCCACTTCCTACTCCGGGGAACCAGTTCTCGTCATTAGCTGGAGGCCCTGCCACTCTGATGCCCGAAAATGCACAGAGCTGGGCGTTGATTGTCGGATCTGGGCGAATCAAGCCTGAGGCGCGATAAGAGAGCGTATACTGGCTTTGCAACTCTTCATCTTCCGCTACGTCATCTGGACCACCACTACTTGGATACTCCGGTAGGAATATGTAGATGGTGTCATCTGTTGAAACTGCAAGCTCGGCATCGCAAGACCATGCCAGGGCGTGTGTTGTAAGTGGACGCGACTTGAGATGAATAGTTTTGAGAGGCCGTGTCTAGGTTCTGGCAGTCAGCATATGACCTTCTCAGTTACTCAGTAAAGCAGGAGCAATTTTTCTCATTATTGCTTTCAGTGTTGGGTCGTGATTCTCAGTCGAGGAGCATCATGAGTGTTGTATTGTTGTTGTGATCTCACCTTCGATTTATCCATGCTTGTAAATGTCGAGTTATTTACTGCAAAGGCGACAAGCAATAGGAATAGGAGTCAAGTCTCAGCAAGTTGCTTTAAAACAAATGAATTAGAGGTATCTTTGCCAGGTCGCAGCGGCGCAAAACTGAGATTCTATGTAAAGGTTCGTGCGAAATGCTCAACAGCAAAAGGCTGCTGACTAAGGCAAAGTATAACTTCATAAATCGAAAATGAAAATAGCCGTTGTCGCGCCTTGAACCACAAATCCTCATCCATCAGACGCTTTTGAAAATGTTAATTGAAAGAAATTGTATTGAAGATCAACTTCTTAGATTATCCAAGTTATGCTATTAGTACGGAAGCATAAATACATCAATCCCTTTAAAGACGCCATTCTCCCGGTTTCTTATGCCATAGGTATATAATCATAACAATGCTCATTCGAATTCAGTATTTAACCCTCCAAAACAGACCCCAGGGCCCAGAGAAGCCCACAGCCTGCCAGCGCTGTCGCGCCAACAACCTTCTTGGTCCACCAGTTGTCATCCGTCAAAGCCTTGGGTTTTTGAATCTTCCTGGCAGACTCAGTCGGGGCACTGGCAGGTGCCTGTGCAGACACCTTGTCCTCAACTGTTTCCTTGGTAGCCTCTGCCTCTTTTTGTCGCAACAAAGCAATCTTCTTGCTAAGGGCTAGGAGGTCCTCTTCGAGAGTCAGGTTTCCGCTACGGTCAACCTCGACGTTTTGGATGTTGCCGAAGAAATCTGTAATCAGGCGGCTGCGGGCGTTCTCTTCACCACCGGGGAATAGGTCGTAGCGCACACCGGCATGGGAGTGGATCTTGCTGTAATCGTAGCTGTCAAACAGTTCGCCGACTGTCTTCTGACTGTTGAGATCTTTGACGTTGTTCTCGAGGAATTCCAAGTTGTAGTATGTGTATCTATCAATGACAGCGACTCCAACGTCGTTGTCGGCATGGTGAGAGTAAGACGATTGGTCGAGCTTAGAAGAACCTGTGGCGATAATGTTGGGGGAGTAGAGCCTGCTGTACATGGTGTTCGCCTGGCAAGTGTCGATCATGAAGAGGATTTCATGGTATCTGAATGGAATGTCAGTACTATCTCACTGGTGGTAATGAGGCTATCACTCACCTCTTCTTCTCCCACATCTCCTCGAAGGCGTTGGCAAGATCGAATGCGCCAATCTCCTCAGCATCCTGGAACTTGAGAAACTCGTTTCCTCCATGACCGGTCATGTACACCAGAATGTTGCTTCGATCATCGGTAAGGAGGCGCTTGCTTCGAGGCATCTCAGCGCCAACGCGATCTGTCAGGAGACGGATAAAGTTCTCGACAGTGACCTCATAGCCACGGTAGTCGACCTCGATGTTGTCGCCGTAGAGATCAACGGCGCGGTCGGAATTGCTGTAGACGGTTCCGGGGAAGGCATTGCGGGGGTTGCAGGCCATGTCATCGGGGAGCATGAGGATGATCTGGGAGTCGGGAATACCGAGACGTTTGACGGTTCGGTACATGGAGAGGACATTGGCGAGGTGGCGGTAGTTGAACCAGAATCGTGATGTGCAGACGAGAACGGCCCAGTTGCTAGTATGTTCGGCGAAAGCGGTTGTTGCGAACAGAGCCGCTGCCACGAGGGCGTGAAATTGAAGGTCGGAGGGCTTCATGGCGGGGATACGATGCGATGCGATGCGATGAGATATGCTGAAAGGAAATGGTTGACAAGGGAGCGGAATCGAAGAGGTAATGAGCGAAGATTAGAGGCCAGATAGAGCTAGAGCTGGCCGCTAGCAATTGGGTGAAGTTGAAGTTGCTGAGAGATGCTCCCTCAGGCTTACAAATCTATAGAGCAACGATGATGGACATGAATTCCATCTGTTTGATGGTATCCGTATCCCTTTTCGGATCAACGTCACCAAGCAAATGGAAGGAACACCTTACGGTTCATCACTAATCGGGGTCTTACCGGATCTGGACCCCGGAGTTTTCGGCGTCTAGCGCCCGAAGCGACCATCACCCCTGGCGCTTGTACTGATTGAAGGCACTAACAATTTCCCAATCCAGTCACCTGGCAATACTTCACTTTGTGACATTGAGGTAGGTAGCTGAAGAAGAAGAAGTTTGAGGTGAGTTGTTTCCCAAGATGAGAGATCTTTCCTATTCTAGACAGGGATTATCAAATAGTTGGGGTTTGAGTTTTGTTGGTGCCATGCATTGTTTGATGAAGGCTTCGAAATGGTTCGACTAACAGTGATATGCTCTGATATTGGACAGAGTAGGCTCATGGATGTTCTACAAAAACAATTTGATAATGAATTCAGTTAGATGCTATCTACTGTTTGTACGATTGCACATACGAGCGTCAAGAACCTAACGTGGCATGCATAGTAGTGGTCTTACATGACTCCTAGGCAAGCCATTGTTTGACCACTATCCAATAATTCTTGGTATCACGGTGATATTTAGAACGTGTCAGCCTCTGTAAGCTGACAGACCCTTCATCTAAGGTTAGTTTTACTGTTCTGACCCCTAAGAAGGAGACTTAGTTATACCTAAATGATGACAATAGCGGTGCGTGCACAAATCGAAGCTGTTTCAATATCTCCTGGCTTACATAGGAACCAAAGATGGGTGGTAGTAGGCAATGGATGCCACATGTCACCGAGCAAAATCTTCAATATTCAAGCCTCTTCATCTTAGGCTGAATATTCAGACAGTGACTGACTGATGTTACACGGATTCCCCGGCCAAAAGCCCCATAACCCCCTCTTTGTCTTGCGCCTCTCCGAGGGTCATGATGGGAATTGGATTTTCCCCCCCCCTCGGGATAAGAGATAACGGCAATGTGAATCTGTAATTAGTAAGTGACTTACAGTAGCGTAGAGACTATAGCGGAGCTGCATGGAAGAAGGAACAAAAAAGGACGGAAAAGAGAAAAGAGGACCCTGCAAAGACTCCACCATGACGATGTGATGGATATTGGACGGATGGGACTCTGGGAAGCCAAATCAAGCTGTTCGCAGCAACGGCAGAGGGACTAGTAACCAACTGAAAACCATGAGTCCAGACAAAGCCATTGTAGTACACAAGCTACCTCCTACTCTGTACTATGCCGAGGATTTACGACTCCATAAATCTCCATCAGTCATGCATTGTCAGGTGGACTGAAGAAAAAACAACCCAAGGGCCGGGACCGGAGACGGAAAAGGTACATAGAAAACTACAATCACATGAAAGAAAATATTAATTTGGGGACCTTGAAAACGACTCGAGTCGCGTTTTTTTAAATGGATGGCGTAGTTTGATCCACTGGCAGTTTATAGCCGCTACCTTAACCCATGCACTGACATTGACAGCCCCAGGGCCAGGGCCAATGCCTGGGTCAGGGATCATGCACTGTATGCGATTCTGTCTAGTTGTACTGTACCGTATCTAGTGTCTAGTGGCCGAGGTCAACCAAGCAATAATATCCTGCAGAGAAGCACGGGGGGCACTCTATTTGAAGCTGTGAGGTTGAGGGTCAAAACGTGCACGTTCGAAACATCAGCTCGAAATACCTCAAACACGACATATTATAAGAATAAGAGATGAGGGTAACAGGGAAAACCTGGGGTTGAGATGGAATCAGGATAGGATGATGTATCTATCATGAGAGTCTAACCCCCAAGATCTAAAGCCCCAATCTCCGATATTGAACCTCGCTTCGACTGTCAGTGTGATCCTTTGACTGACCACAAATGGCTATATACAGTATTGGCTTGGCAAATGTCTCACGATCCAATTCCAATACTCTTCAACAATGCTGATCGATACCATTTAGCGCATGGTGACAGTCCACTTTGACGGCGCGTCTCCAAATCTGATCCTGGAACCGCTTTTGAATGCCGTGCAAGTTTTGTTTAAGTTTCTTGTTTTTGTTTCTTGACTTCCGACCAGTAACGTTAAGTAGAGAGAGATGCCTATTCATGATACCCCACTGAGTCTGAGAACAATAGGTATGGACTGTACGCACTGGAGGCAGCCCGTAGAATGGATAATTACCCCCTCTCTCTGGGTAATGGGTATGGATGGATGGATGGTCCCTGTGGGTGTGCGTGCGCTGTGTTGTGTTGTGTTGTGTTTCGATGGATATTTAATTGTCAGAGGATCAGTCAGGTTGCTAAAAGGAGACATCATTCATTCATCCATACCTAGGTCGTCTCTCCTCTTCTTTGTTCTGTTTTGTTTTGTTCTCTTACTCTTCTTCCACTTTATCTACATTATCACTAAACAGGATCGTTAACTTTATTTCTTTGTTAATATCCAATTCATCCAATCTCATCTTATCCGGGGTGACACACACGGTGTGCTCACTCACCTCAGGTCAACGGTCTACCTGCCGGTGACTGCCTAGGGGACCAACCTCCCTGACTGGTCACCTGCTGCACTACACTGAAGTACCTAGACCTGTACTCTCTAGAATAGGAGGTACCGAGTTGTCTCATATTTGAAATATCAAAAGGTCAACACCCAAGAAATAGGACACTTTTCTATTACTGTACGACACTCCATTCGGTGGATATTTCTCTTTCAGGTTCAAGGTCAAATCTTGGCCTCCACTGTCTGCCTGCTTTGCCTTGCCTTGCCCTGCCTACCCCGTCTGCCGGCTTAATAGTGGGCGCCCTGCACTTGCACAAGCTCCAAATAACTTTACTAACTGTGCAACCCGCGCCAGGTCCAGGCCCAGGGTTATTTGACCATCCATACCCCCTTGGCTTCTCTTATTCGGTTCAGCAGACCAACCTCACTCCTCTCTTCACATACACTCTGCCTGCTTGGTTCTTCTCTTGCTCAATATCTCTCTTTGCCTGCTGTCTTGAGCACTACCCACACTTTACTCCTTTTGATCCTGTCGAGACCTTCATCATGGGCCGTACGCCGGCCTATATCTTTGTCGTCAGGTACGTATCCAGCTACTGTACCATTCTTAGACCCCTGTCGTCATGATGCATCGTCGCAATTGCATCGCGCACTTAGCGCGACGTCTACAAGCAGGAGCATGATCTTTGAAGGGATTCAGCTAATTTTCAATACAGGCACGGCAACCGTCTTGACGCTGCGGACAAGAAATGGCATCTTTCATCTCCTACTCCCTATGATCCTCCTCTAACCTACGGCGGCTGGCTTCAGGCCAGAGCCGTTGGTAATCAAATTTCCAGCATTCTTGAACAAGCCAAAACCGATTACGAGTCGAAATCCAAAGACACAAAGAGGCGGCGTCGATTTAAAGTTGTTATTCATAGTTCGCCCTTTCTACGATGCGCCCAAACATCAATCGGAATTAGTTCTGGGCTTGCCCAGACTCCCCATGAGTCGCCCTACCGCCCGAACGACATTTTGGTTTCTGCCACTGGCCCGCCAAAGCACTTTCGATCTACAATATTACGTCTCGACTCGTTCCTTGGAGAATGGCTATCCCCCGAATACTTCGAACAAATCACTCCGCCTCCTGGCGCCGCTCTCATGCTAGGAAGCGCAAAGGCTGAATTACTAAGGCGTGAAGACTATAGCACATTGACATCTACGCCTGCTCCCGCACCCGCCTCCAGGCCTCATAGAGGTTCTACGGCTTCTCTTTGGAATGGTTCGCCAGCCGCCAGCCCGTCTCTCGGGCCCATGAGATCAGGATCCGCGGCGGAGGGCTCGGCGGGCCCGGCTATGGCAGCAGCTTTGACAGGTCAGCTAGCTAGCCAATTGATGAAGAAGGGATACACAGTACCAAAGCCCAACTACGCCATTTCGAGCTCCGGAAAGATTCCAGACGGATTTGTGGCCCATGCTCGTGACGAGTGCGTCGTAGTGGATTACCAATGGGATTCGATGAGAGCTCCGCTGGATTTTGGAGATGGTGGCCAGCTCGGCGAAGAGTGGACAGACATGCACAAGAGGTTTCGACGAGGTCTGAAGAAGATGGTGGACTGGTATGCTACAACTGACGCGCCGGACGAGATGGTCACGCAAGCTGCTGGAGCCTCACAGGAGGGTACTAGTAACAACTCGACCGTCTCCGAGGATGAAGATGTGGAGACCGTCGTTATTCTGGTGTCGCATGGCGCTGGCTGCAATGCTCTAATCGGTGCCATTACCCATCAGCCTGTGCTTATGGATGTCGGGATTGCATCTATCACCATGGCAGAACGGAAAGAAGATGCTGATTACAATGCTCTCTTGGCTGCATCAGCCAACGCAACGCCGGACGAGCCTCACGTCTCGCCCCATCAGATGTACGATATCCGAATGTCCGCAAGTACCGACCATTTACGTTCAACCACCTCGACTCCAGTATCAGCCAGATCAAACGCGGCCGATTCCTTCCCTACCACAATCCGCGGTCGCAAGCCCAGTATCAGTGATACCGAGGGCCCTGGTCCGCTTATTGGCTCATTTGTCTATTCCGATCCTATCATTCCTGGAGGTAGTCGCAGTGTTTCGGCTAGTGCAGCTTTTGGGTCATCGCTACGCCGAACATCAGGCTCTCAACGGCCTCTAAACCGTGGACCAAAGCTCGGCACAGCGGTGGCAGTAGAAACGGCGGCAGCGACAACAAAGAATGACTCCCCGAGAAGCAACTCGCCAGGCGCCAGCACACCTTCATTTGGCTTATGGACCCCTCGTTCCTCATCCCTCAGGCTTATGGATGATGGCAGTGACGATACTTCCGACAAAGAAGATTTCGACGACGTCCTACCCAATTTTGGCCGCTTCGACGTCAATGTTGAGAACAAGAAAGATGAACCTCGGACTTCGGCTCCAGAGGTCGCTTCAAGCTTACCCATCCAATCGTCACTGCCTTCTTGTTTCGAGCTCAAATCCACAAATTCGTTGACTATGACCCTGCCACCAGCGGCATTCACCTCATTGAGCTCGTTTTCTTTTCCTTCTAGTGGAGAAACCACCCCGAAGGCGACCCCTCGGGGTCCTATACTGTCAGGTCCGATCCGAATAAAGACGGATGGTCTGCATGACCTCGACAAGCCGGTTGAGGAGCTCCAGATCGCACAGCTAGGGGACGGCCTTGGTGGTCTTTGGGGCCTTCCTCGACCTCCTGGTGAGGCAGAGCGTTATCGCGATGTGAGCCTCTCCAAACGACGCTGGACGACTACCGAGCGTGCTTAACCGGGTGCGCCCAATTTTTTGCATTATTCTACTCCATGTTCCTTTGATGAGGTGACGACATGGTTCCAATTTCTCAAAAACTAGGTCAGGACACTCTCTTCTCCCATCACACAATTCTTTTTTTAGCGGATTGCGCCTCTTGGCCGTTTATTATTGTTTCTACTTGGCGACAGACAGGTCTGTCTTTTTACTCATAGCATCGGCGAAAAGGTGGGGCACCATTCGTATGAATAAGGGAGGCCAGCGATGCGAACGACATACCAAGCCCATCGGCATTGGAATTGATACCTAGGGAAGGGATGGATTTATACGGCCACAATGTGTTTCAATGAGTTGCTTTGGGTTGTTTTGCATTTTGATTTTGGCGTATATGGAGACAAGACAGTCTGGTCCTAGGTCGGGTACGATACGATGCGAACTTTTTGTATTATAGAGCGCCTATAAAGTCTGAAGATTGCTTAAATTTATGTTTATAAGAAAGCAAGTGGTTGCATGAGTCTGTACGTAATATACTTTTACTCGTGGCTCGCTGCGAACGAAGTCGAGCTAAGATGATGCAATATGATTTTCATCTATAGATCACTATATAAAGGAATTCCAAGATCTAACTTCTCATGGTCTATATATTCGGAAACAGAAGGTATGCTTAAGCGCTAGAATATTGCTTCATATGCACCCATCAGGGTAAAAGGAAAATACAAGTCATGACATGCCCATCCACCAACGCCTTCCATCCGCTGTACCCTCGTCCGACATTCATTCAACAATCCATGTTGAAAACAAAAAAATAAAGGTAGCTTTTCCCTTTACATACCGGTAATAGCTTGGAACCCCGGACCCTTTTCGTCTAGCCAAACACCTTGTTCATGGCCTGGTGAGCCAGCTCAACGCCCAGGAAAGTAGCAGCGTTGGCGGGCACAGCACGAGCCAGAGCAGGACCGAAACCGGGGAAGAAGGCCTTGACACCTCCCCTTCCATAGAGCTCACGAACGATGCTACCAACTGAGACGTTGCCCTCAGAGGTCTGGAGACGAGACTTGACCGTGTCGACGGGGAAAACGGGGATCCACATAGCAACTCCGGCGGCGGCTCCGGCACATGTGATAGCTGTAAGGCTGAGCTGGCCGCTGGGCTTTCCAGTAAGAGGATCAACAGGTGTCATCTTGCGCTTGATATATTCGTAGGCGGCAAAGTAGGCAGCAGAACCAGGACCATCACGGGCGAGAGTAGCAGCGCTACCGCGGAAGACACTGCGGATGCCACCCTCCTTGTAGAGCTGGCGAACGACGTCGACACCACCATTGTACTTGGGCTTCTCACCGGGAGCGAGTTGCTTCTGACCTTGGACCTGAAGAATGACCTTGATGCGCTCGAAGGGGGCGGTAATGGCAGTCATGGGAATGGCGGAGATGAAGCCAGCAGTCGAAATCTGGGCGATTGTGAGACCCTCAGCGGGGACTTCACTGGCGCCCCGGACGATTTGCTTGCCCAGATCGTAACCCCAGAAAGAGACGGCGACTATGCAGGGTTAGTTCACTGCGCGGGGTCATTGAGGACGATAGAACATACACATGGGGGTAACACCAACGAGAGGAGCGCTCACGCCAGCGTAGAGACCTCTTCGCAGACCATCACGGGCGATACTTTTGCGCACAACGTCGACAGCGGAGGAGTAGACGCCTCGCTCAGCGGTTTGAAGGCGGACCTTTACAAGGTCAAAAGGATGGCCTACAACGACAGCGCAAAGACCACCGAAACCACCGGCAGCAAATGCGCGAGCCTGCTGAGCAAGTCCTGAGGATGCGCCGGCCTTGGATTCGTCCTTTGGTTCAGGAGCGGGAGCAATGCTCTTGAGCTTCTCGGCAGCGCGGGCCTCGATGGCTGAGTCTGGAGCGTCGGCGGAGGACATTGTGAAGGGATGAAGAGGGGGGTATTACTGAGAGGAGAAGAGGGAAGAAGAAAGAGAGAAAGAAGGAGAAGAAGGATATAAGCTTGGTTAAAATGGTTTATGTATGAATGAACCTCGGAGTGTCGAATGCGGAGGAGTGGGAGTGGGAGTGGGAGTGGGAGTGGGAGTGTGGGGTGGTCGGCCAAGGGGAGGGCGTACTGTGTAGCTTGGAGCTTACAGCTTTTGGGAGGATGATGTAAGTACCGATTGAGCCTTTATTACTACTACCTAATGAAGCTTGAAATGCATGGAATAATGCAAAATAACATGAGAAAAAGGAAACAGGGGAGACATAAGATGTAGTTATAGCTAACAAGCCGTTCAATACATCACTGGGCGTCTTTTCTAAGCTTCTATTCGGTTGGCGTTGCTTCAACTGAGACTCTTCTCTCGAAGCCTTCCACCTCTGTTCTCTATTTAGTGTTGAGTTTGAGATACAACAGTTTAACCGAATGAATTCTCAAAAGTGAACCAATAGCAGCCGCAAACATGATTTCCAAAATGCGATGATGACCCTGCAGCTTCAATCCTTCTCCAAATCTTACCCCTCGGTCTTCCGGGGCAATGATACCCAAAAAAAGAGAGAATTAAAAAAAAAGTCTACGAACCCCGGGCCCCGGCTTTCTTTGCCTCGGCTTCGGCTCGCGGGGGGTCGCATCATGAGTTCTACTCCCCACATGTAATGAGCCGAGTTTCGTGGGGTACCAGAAGATGATGACCGACGCTACGACTACCTCTTGGACCGCCTAGACTATTTTCTAGCCGGTCTTTCTCTTATTAAACAAGGAAGTTGGTGTGGTTGATCACTGGAGCTTCCTGTATAAGGCTGTAAAGGTTGCGGTTAACAAGCGGCCCGGGCACACGGAATTGAGTCGGATTTGAGGATTTGTGTTCAAGTGAAGTCATCCATGGTTGTACTGTATCGTCTCGGTAGATCAGATCCCAATCCCGTCTGCTAACGTTAGTTAGACTCTTACATAGACTCGTTAGTCTTGAGGTTACGGTTGGAGAAGAGCCCCACAATCCGCATCTCCATCAGTTGAAGACCTCATTATCACATGCAAACAACAATACATTCAAACTGACTTGATACGATCTCATGACAGGTTGATTAAAGTAAAGCCAAAGCCAAGATACAGAGTAGGCTGTAAGAAAATAGAAAGTCATTCGAACCTTCTTTATTGCTGGATATACACCCTCCTTTAGTTCTACAACCCACCTCTCTGTGATAGGAATCATATATGCTAAGATGAAAAGTGATAATACATGTGATCCTCCGCTTGCCTCATGCATGACCTTGTTGGTCAAAACCGTTCCATGTAAATCCTCAATCCAAGAAATACAAAAGCATCCTATCTCACCTCGTGATGCCGTCGATACCTTGATGGCTTCCGCTCTGATCGAACTTGTCCAAAAGTCCAATAATCAGTAGTGGCCTGGCCTTCATTAACAAAGCGAGTCGTACCTCCAGGTTCGCGACAATGCCTTCTCCTCAATGTACACTCCACATCTATCAACCTCTATAGCTTCTTATATCCTAAATCTAAGCCCATCTCACCAAACTATAGCAACAAATTTCTCCTCTAAAACGCCTTCGCTGATGCTAATGTTGGGGTCGCTGGTGTTGCTGGGATTCCTCGCCTGCTGCACCAACAGCTATTATCTCCTTCTCGCTCGACTTGCACAACCACGTCTGCGCCCTCTCTCAATAAATATTCGCGCACTCGATCTCGAACGTCCTCCAAAGGAGCTCCTCGGGCGGCCACGACATGGACGACACCCAGTAGCTTGCCTCCTGTCGGGCTAGCACTGTGGTCATCCCGCCAAAATTTGGGTGAAGAATAGCCCACTACTCCTCGTTGATTCAAGATACCACCCAGGCTGTTTCGCAAATTATACTCTGTGTCCTCGGGTATGCTAAGCAAAAGTCGCTTTGCAGAGGAGTAAACAAGAGGCTTGGAGGAAAGGAAAATCAGAATGGCGATAAAGCACGACGCCAGAGGATCCCATCCAGCCCAACCCCAGAAACTCGTCAATATTGTCGATACAATAACTGACACACTGCCCAGGGTATCGGCAAGAATATGCAAGTAAATGCCGTGCATATTCTCGTTGTCATGACCAGAGCAACCGCCTCCATGAGAGTGATCATGGTCGTCGTGTCCATGATGATGGTGGTGACCGAAAGCCATCATTCCGACTAGGTTGACAAGGAGACCCATTGTGCTGACAATAAACAGCTCGCCCAGTCGTTTTGTCTGTGTTCCCTCCCACAACCGCTCGAACGCCTCAAAGGCAATCTCCACACTGAGCAGCCTACAAACAGCCATTAGCAACGTACCTGCATACGTCCCGAAAGTTACTCACATTAACAGAATGCCATTGGCGAATCCACTCAATGTCTCAATCTTGCCGAAGCCATATGGGAAGCGCTGGCTTCGAGGCCATTTGCTCAGGACTGCTGCCAGCAAGCCAACCATCAGTGCCACGCAATCAAAAAACATATGAATGCTGTCGCTCAGAAGGCCAAGCGAATCGGTGACATAACCATAAAATGCTTGAACAGCCATGAACGAAAAGTTGAGCCTGCACGAAGATCCGAATTAGCCTAACATTCCAAACCCGAGTCTAAGTCAAACATACGCCATGAAGTAGAAGATTCGCCTGGAGTCCTTTTCGATCAGAATAGCATTTAGAATGGGAAACCTTGTCGTGTATGGGAGTATCATCCTTGTGAACATTGATCTTTTACCCTTGTCGTCTTCGTGTGAGTGTGAGTGGCCGTGACCATGTCCATGATGGTCATGGCTGTGAGAATGGTCGTGGGAGTGAGAACGAGAATGAGAATGAGAATGATCATGCGAGTGGGAATGGCTGTGTGAATGATCGTGGTGGTCGTCGTGATGGTCGTGAGAATGGTCGGGGGGAGAATAGGTCATGTTGGCCGACGCAGGGCCTGGTGTGAGAATGCTCTTGCCTCCGGGTGTCTTTTCTTCTGTCCAACCCTCCAGTGTGTTCAATGGTGCTGGAGGGAGCTTCTCGCGGGAAATAGATGCGCTTGTGTTGGACATGCGGGAGCGTCTGTGTCCATGTTTGTGGACGCTCGGTTTGTGTGAGTGTGCACCGTAGTTCCCATTGCCGTGGTCGTGGTTAGCTTCGTGACCATGATCCTCATCAGGTACTGAAGGAAGGCTCCCGTTGGAGAAAGTAGACTGTCGCTTAAGGTTGTTGAGCGACGATTGGGAGGTATTTCGTGTGTGCGAATGCATATGATTCTGATGCGCATGCGGTAAGGAAGACGTCGGCAAAGCGTATGAAGAAGCCATTTTGTTTCGAGGCTCAACGGTGGTGCTGAAGTCAAGTTCGGTCTGGGTACAATACGTGGAGAGTCGGTCGCTCGGAGGCGGTGATCAGATATGGACGGCGCAAGTAGTCGTTCGCTATGTAGTTGGGAGAGAGTCCTTACGACTCCTTGAAAGCCAATCGCAACGTCATCAGTCGAGTAGGAAATTGATTTTGTGCAACGGGCGCGTCACAAAAATGGTTTATTGTGTCGCTAATATAAAAAACAAGAGTAGAAAGAGGTCGTGGGACGTCACGGATGCTTTACAAAAGCGGACGGGCGAGGCCTGAAAGAGCCGTAGGTGGTTGTGGCGGGCTAGAGATAGGAGACTCCAGCACGTGGAGCTAAGAGAGACAACCCGAATGAGCAGCGATCGACGGAGCCAAGAGGACTGGGACCTAGAATCCGATGGGTAAAAAACCTCAGGGCGAGAAAAGTGACTGACTCGTTGGGTGGACGAGTGCGAACTGTAGAGAGTCGGTGAAAGTATTCGTCATGTCAAGATAGTGAGTTATCAAGAAGTGAATATCCAATCTCAGAGTCACTTGATTCTTGGACTGCAATCGCTCCTTCCTGATCCTACAACGGGATGATACTGGATCATGCATTGGTCCTCATGGGCCTGTAGCTCGGCCGGGGATGCTGGGGAAAGACCAATTCTTACTGGCTCCGAACTGAATTGGTTGATCTGCCCCCTGCATGCGGCCTGCTTGCCCGCTAAAAGTTAGTGCCCTTGATGCTCTAGCTTAGTCTCTTTTGGACACCCTGCAGCAGCTTTCTTCCTCCTCCACCATCGTGCATCATCATCGTCAGAATCATGATCAGACGCGCATCGCTTCCAACATCTTCTTTGAGGAGAGCCTTTGCTCATCCTCAATTATCATCATTTCAGCACAGTTTCTCTACAACAAATATAATCCAGAACCAAGCAAACAACCCCAGCGCCGACGCAACCTCCGTCGACACCCATGGACACGCGAGAATTGGAATGAAGCCCTCCAGTCCCACCGCCGTTACAATAACCAGGGTTCGTAATCAAATATTTTACTAATGTTTTCTTGGCCTAATTATTTCTAGCCAAACAAGAAGCCCTGAAAGCAAAAGCAATGGCAGCATGGCCATGGTATCGGAAACTTTGGGCGAAGTTTTATGCTACAGCGACTTAGTTTGTCAAGTTTGCTACCGGGTTTCAGACCGTAATAATAAGTATCAACTTCAAAATTCATTTAGAGCTTCATACTAACTTACTATTAATTAGGCGTTGTATTGTGGCTTCTGGCCAGCACTCGACATCGTTATGGGCTTGATCAAATGGTGGTAATGAAGACGGAGCTACAAGCGGCTAGTCAGGTTATGCACAGCTGATGGAAGTCGTGCTATAATAGAGCGTTGCACCCAATTGAAATGTTCCGTTGCCTTTCGCTTCTTACGTTTGATCATCTGCTAGGGCTAATTCCTACGATCATGATCGCTTTACGTCTTAATTGGTTGCTTTGCCCCTGCTCATGAACCTATAACCTATAAGCCATAGAAACAACTTTAGAGTGCTGGGTGTGCATTATCAGGTGGGTAACAGAAGAATCATCCTTTAAGCCTTAGTCGCCAAAATAAAGTAGCCCGAATTCCGGCGTAAGATGACTAAATTATTTCGTCTCTTGTCTGTGGAACCTCACTCCAATCAATGCAAGGTGGCCTTGGCCAGCACCAACACCTACCGATACACCAACCAAGACAATTTAGTAGCAACGGAGCACCACCAAACGGATTAGCCTGAACGCCATGTCATAATTGTTGGCTCCTTCTCTCAACATGTCGGCCGCATTCTTTGTCTCTGTTATCGCAGGCGGCATCAGCTGTGCCATCCTTGTATGGCTGCTGAGTGGTCTCACCGTCTTGATCCCAACCCGCTACCAACCAGCTGAGAAGCCTGAAGATGATCATATCCAAGTCCTCGTCGTCGGCGATGTTGGCCGTAGTCCTCGCATGCAATACCATGCGTTGAGTGTGGCCAAAAATGGCCGACAGGTCGATATCGTCGGTTACAAAGGTCATACACTGCCCAACTTTCGAACTCTTTCACAGCTAACGCTGAAGTAGAAACCTCAAGGCATCCTGATCTTATTGGAAACCCCCGAGTCACCATGTATGCGCTTCCACCACAGCCAGAAGTGCTTCAGTGGGGAACTTTGCCATTCTTTCTCAATCTTCCTCTCAAGGTTCTCTGGCAATTCTGGGGTTTGTTCCGTACTTTGATGTACGATGCCCCTGCTGCGAAATGGATTATAATCCAAGTAAGTTGACATGAACTCCAAGAGCATTCGATTCCAACAGCGACTGACGCCTTACAGAACCCACCTTCTATTCCTACTTTTCATGTTGCACTGATGGTCTCCCTACTCCGTGGCAGCAAGCTTGTTGTGGATTGGCACAATTATGGTTACACTATCCTGGCACAGAACAAATGGTATTATAAGCCACTCGTTCCCATCTATCGCTGGTACGAAACTGGCTTTGGGCGCTATTTGGGCGATATCAACCTTGCCGTTACTGATGCTATGGCCCGACAACTCAAGGCAAAGCCCTTTAATGTGAAGCGTTCTGTCTACACACTTCACGACCGACCTGCCGAGGTCTTCCAACCAATCCTTTCCACCAAAGAGCGGCATGCGTTCTTGTCTCGACTCGCAGAGACCAAGACGGTTGCCAAGGATATCGTAGAGGGCGCAGTACGTCTCATTGTCAGCAGTACTTCATGGACACCAGACGAAGATTTTGGCCTCCTTCTCGACGCACTTGTGTCTTATGCCAGCTCTTCTGAGGCCGCGCCGATACTTGCCATCATCACCGGAAAGGGGCCGCAGAAGGGACACTACCTAGAACGAATCAAGGCGCTCCAGGACGAGGGCAAGTTGCCCGGTATTCGTATCTTAACAGCATGGCTATCCACCAGAGACTACGCTTCGCTACTTGCTTCAGCAGATCTCGGTATTTCACTACACAAGTCTAGTTCAGGTGTTGATCTCCCTATGAAAGTGGTGGACATGTTTGGCGCAGGTCTTCCTGTTGCAGCCTACGCAGCTTTTGAGAGTTTCAGCGAACTCGTCAAAGAGGGACAAAACGGCTGTGGTTTTGAAACTTCGTCTGAGTTGACTGATATTCTCACACGGCTGTTGAGCTTCACTGGGGGTGAAGAGCTGTCCCGGCTGAAGAAGGGTGCCGTTAGCGAAGGTGCTCTGAGATGGGATCAGGAATGGGACCGTGTAGTTGGTAAAGTCATCGGGCTCGTGGACGAAAATAGTACTTAGATACTGTTATCGCTTGGAGAAGCCAATAATTGCATGACCTGTGGACACGGAACAGAAAGTCGCTTGATTTTGATGATTACAAAACACTTTAAAGCTTCATGGCGCCATCCCAAACGCTGATGATTGTCGTCGCGGCCTTTACAGCCACATGCTGTCGGACTGCATGTATCTTGCACCCACAAACGCTTCACATAAATCTATCCCGCCTTAATCCTCTCCGAGGCTCTCCCTCACGCACTTTCTACAACGTCTTCGAAAGTCCTTGTGCTTGCCCTCCCTCTCCTCACGAAACATCCGCGCAGCCTCTACATTGGCAGGGCTCTCGTCGTTGGGGCTATGGAAGAGACTGATAGTGCTGATCAAGATACTCTCGGGCGTCTGCACAGGACTCCAGCGCTCAGAGGCATCTTCGTAACCGTACTCATCGTCCTCGGGAGGGTGTAGAATGGAGATACAGAGCTTTCCGTTTTCGTAGATGTTTGGGTGGAAGGGAATCGGATCCTGGAAGGTGAGAGACGGAGGCATATGCGGATAAGTCGGGGGAAATGATAGACGGGCTCGGAAGTTGCCTCCTAGGAGCGCGCATAGGTTAGCATCAAAGTCGTGAAGGGTTGGGACAGGTTGGAGAGAACATGATCTTACCGCCATAGTATTTGCAGTCGTCGCTGATCATGAGCATCACTTCCCACTCAAAGATGTTGTTATCGTTGACAAGACCGCATGAGATTCCAGGAATGTCCTTGCCCGCCTGCATCTCCTTGAGCTGTCGCTTTAACAGCGAAGCCGCAGGGGCAGAGCTTGCAGTCATTATGTCTTTCTGTCAAGTAGTGATTCTGGCTATATATAGTTTTGGTCTCGAGAGACCACGAGAGTAGGCCGTAATGTGGTAGAAGTGTATGCTGGATGATTAAGTCTGATGAAGTGGGATCAAATAGTAGATTAGCTTGGTGATACTTGAAGGCAGTAGTGGATCAAGGGTCGGGCTGGTGGGGGAGTCGGACTAACGGCCCCGCTCACGATTCGGGGAGAACGAACATGATCGTGCATGAAGCAATTCGCAATATCATACTATCGTTCTAGAATTATCATTCATGTCATAGACACCAATCGCTTCTTTTTGAAGCTCGCGTTCATCATCCTAAGAACAATCTTTTATATACTGAAGGACCTGAACGCTCTATCTTTGCCAAAAACAACCCAATTTATGATGTCGACAGTACTCATGTCTAATATCCATGAGCAGTAGGATGAATGGTCGACCGAGGGCTATAATTCCTCGATTTACCATGTTGAATATGGGGTATCATTAATTAATCCAGATATCCATCACTTCTTCGACGTTCCGAACCCAGTAAAGCCCATCGAAGCCATCATGTCGTCCTCGTCATGCTCGCCTTCAATTCGCACATCTTCTCCATATTCTGTCTTCACCTTGCTTGCCTCCTCCTGCTTAAACCTCTTCCTCTCCATCTCATCTCTTCTCTTCTGTCGTCTCTCCTCTGCTTCCTTTTCGGCCTCTTCTTCCCGCAATTGCAATCGCTCCTGCAGACTGGTCTGCTTCTCCTTCTCCAGTTCCTCTTGTCTTCTAATGTGTATCTCGATACGTTCGTGAACCTCCTCTGCCGTCGCACGCTTGACGTTCATCGTTTGGCCCGTGTTCATTAAATGTTGCGGTGTAGTAATGTGCTCGATAAATTGTTTGTTGTCCTTAAACGTGAGGTCGCAAGCCTCACAGTATTGTCCAGCTCCACGACCTCGCTTTCCCACGCCTGCTCCACCTGGGACAAGCTGCGTCTTTCCGATCTGCTGTGTAAAATCTATCACATGGCGTCTTGCGGATGTGTATGTTTCGTCGCCAGTCAGAGGCTTGTGGTATTTCTTGCCAGCGAGCTTGGCTTCGTAACGCGCCTTGGCCTCTTCCTTCTCCTTTGCTTCGCGTTCCTTGCCTTTGGCGGCATATTCTTCGAGATCCCATGTCTTACGGAAATCGGTGTCGCCTGATGGCGCGCCACCATAGGCGCCTTCTTTCTTTGTATCGGGCATTGTGGATGGTGTTGGGTGGATGGATGGAAGATGTTTAAGAAGCAATGCGAAATTGGTCCAGGTTTCGTTGGATGGGAGGGTCTACTAAAAAGCGGGAACCTTACCGTAAGTTTAGCTTCGCAACTTGAGCTCCCTGTAAAGTCTTAGAAAATTCGATGTTTTATGGATGCCTCGGTTAGTAGCTTGAACACTTTACATATATGGCGATTGCCATGACTTTTCACATCTTATGTTTCCTTCAGCTCAGAAACATTACCAAAAATTGAAGACGATTTGATCTTAACGGCAGGACTATCCCAGAGTACCTACTAAGCAAGAATTGTGACATTCTTCTATCGATTACATGTTTTCAATAAAGACACAATGATCCAGACAGCTGGTCTACTAGGTATCCAACAGTGTATATGAGAATCAAGCTTCCATAAGTTATCTTGGAATCGGATATCACCACTGTTATTATCATTAGCTGGCGCCAGTTTCGCAATAGACGAATGGAGGTGGCAGGGGTTTTACATGCGCTAGATGAGGTCACAAACAGAAAACGCTAAAAGTACCCCGCCGCGGGGCATCTTTTTTTATATCGCGACCCAAGACAATTTTTCACCACAATACGCTATTACAATCCATATTACAACGTGAAAAGGATTAAACATGCTGTACCTCGTGGGACTTGGTCTTTCAGACGAGACAGATATTACTGTCAAGGGTCTGGAAGTTGTCAAGAAGGCTTCCAGAGTTTACCTCGAGGCATACACTAGCATCCTGCTCGTCGAGCAGTCCGTCTTGGTATATATACCCTACCATGGTCTATAGCCATATAGATGTTAACAATGATCCTTAGGAATCATACTATGGACGCTCTATCACAGTAGCCGACCGTGAGATGGTCGAGTCCAACAGCGACGAGATCCTCCGCAATGCGCAGAACGAAGATGTCGCATTCCTTGTCGTTGGAGATCCCTTCGGGTATGAACTGGAAACTTGACGCTCCTACGTTCAACATTGACTGACTTTTCAAGTGCCACAACGCATACCGACCTCGTTCTTCGTGCACGAGAGCTCGAGATTCCCGTCCGAACAGTCCCCAACGCCTCAATTATGTCCGGTATTGGCGCCTGCGGCCTTCAGCTCTACAACTTTGGTCAGACCGTGTCCATGGTCTTCTTTACAGACACCTGGAAGCCCGCCTCATTCTACGATCGCATAAAGGAGAATCGCCAGATTGGACTTCACACGTTGGTCCTAGTGGACATCAAGGTCAAGGAGCAAAGTCTCGAGAATATGGCCCGTGGTCGCCTGATCTACGAGCCCCCTCGCTATATGACCGTAGGCCAGTGTGCTCAGCAAATGCTTGAAATCGAGGAGGAGCGCAAAGAAGGCGTATACACCAAGGATAGTTTGGCCATCGGCGCTGCCCGTGTAGGAGGCAAGACTGAGAAGTTCGTGGCTGGTACATTGGAAGAACTTTGCTCTACTGATGAGGAGCTTGGTCCCCCTCTTCACAGCCTTGTTCTTCTTGGACGAAGGACACACGAGCTAGAGCTCGACTACGTGCGACAGTTTGCTGTTGACAAGGAGAAGTGGGACAAGCTATGGAATGCCGAATATGGAAAGCAGCTTTGATTGTGTACTAACGTTGTCATGAATTCGTATCGCCATTGATATAAAATCCTATTGTACAAGCGAGATTTGTATTATCTAGACCATTACTCTCGCGAAGCGCGCCACGAGCGCACATCTCCCTCCGAAATCTCCCTCAAAGTGTTGGGCGAGGCAGGCTTGCCGGTGACAGTGCTGGAAGCAATGTCGGCAACGCGGCTCAGCAGGTTCTTCGAGACAAGCGAATATGTTGAAGAGACGGCCTTGACACGGATAACACCGATACGGGGATCATTCTCAGATCCGTCGTGAACACCGTCGCCAAGGTCACCGAGCCAAGCCTTGAGGGTTGGGCTGTAGTGCTTAGCAACAAGGCTGCGATCTGTGCTGATGCTGGCGTTTCCAGCGATGGAAGCCCACTCTCCAGAGGCGTTGATGAAGGAAACGTTGACGTGAGGGTCAGCATCGAGATCGTCGGTCTTGCCAGACTCAGTGTTGGTGTGGAAGAGAAGGTCAATGCCTCCAGTCTCCTGCAAATAGGTATGTTAGTCATGACATAAATAGTCCAGGAGTTCAAGTAGACGTACGGTGGCGGCCAGCGCCATGCAGCGGGAGACCAGGTTGCCAGAGCCAGAACCACGAGTGGTCATCATGCCAAACTTCTCCTTGGTGATGAAGTTGACAAGATCCTCGATCTTGGTCTGGAGGGGAACCTCATCGGCGTTTGCCGTCTTGTAAGGGTCGGCGGGGGCATCACCGGTATTGGCATTGGAGAAAGACATTTTGTTTGATGTGGTTGTGATTAATCTGACGGTTTGTTGTTGTTGTATGTGTTTGAAGATAAGATCAGAGCTCGAACGTGAAGCTTGGAGCTCACCCAGTAGAGTTATATACCTTCTCGGGTGAGCTGCCTGCTTACGTACCAAAGCAGGCAAGCCAACATGGCACAATCGTAGCGATTTCATCATCGATGTTCTGTTGATTTGCAGGTACAGTGGGGTGTTTGGGATCGAGAGCTGCGATGAATGGTGACGTCACACTCACAATCGATTCGGAGAAGGAAGCTGTTTTGTTGAGGTTGTATCACGATTGCCTGCCAATCAAGGAGCTCTTTGAACAAGTGTTTGATTTGATCACGGAAGTTCTGGCGGCAATTGACACCTCGGAATGACAGGAGGCTTATATACCTGGAGACAATCGTTGGGTGGGATCCTTAGCACAGGATGATGACAGTTTGATTTGCTCTTCGATCTGCAAAAGCCCGATAGGTCTATCTTTCCAAGAACATTTCGGGCAGTTTGCATAAACCTAGACAGTAAATCCTTCACGGTATCAAGATACTAGTAAGTTGATATACAAGCAGGTTGGTAAGTTAATGCTTCTTCGAGAAGTTCAACCACAAGATCACAACAACTCCCCATGAAGCTCTGGAGCGTAGCGGGGAACAGGGGCCAGAGGGGCCAGAACGGTGTAGTTACAGCCTCAGCGGAGATCCCCAGCCATGGGTTCTTAAAATAAAATGGAACTGGTGGCATGTACCTAGGACAGGGGTAGCTACTAATGTCACTCACCAGGATCGTGCTGAGGTAGATTGATCGTTAATTCTTGACCATCATCAATCACCTCAAGCTGTATCATCAGGGTCCTTCACTCGACCCTACTACTGACTTCGGTTTGAAGTGTACAAACCCACCCAATCCAGCCTTCTTTTACATATGATCATATTACTAGTCAGATCCGTCAAAGGTTGACAGCATAGGATACCTGATATCCAGTATCAAAGGAAGCAGCAAGTCTGTTTGGTACATTTGCTGTTACGAACAACATACGACTATCGGGCGCCTACAATGTGAACGGGCACTTACATGACAATGCGCTTACTTCACGTTTGTTCTACGGAAAGCAAATATTTGTCAAAACTAACGGCACTGCCGTTTTCTTGGATTGGGCTACCTCTATTTACGAGTTTCTTTAACGGCAGGATCTCGATCGCATATGCTGCCGCTTTTGGGAAACTTAATCAGCAAGTGCACCTCTTCTAATGCTTTTTTCCCCCCAATCTTCATGCATAGAAAATCCAGAGAGAGATATCAAGATGAATTGAAGAATTGGCGAACGAACACGAACACGTAGGCTGGTAGTCTCTCCGGTAAATATGATAGAATATAAGAGGATTGTTAAATTCATTTAATTATCCCGTCTTCCAACATGTGACTGAAGCCCATGAGATAGACAGGTAGGCAGTGCCTGCCACTGCCTGCCACTGCCCCGCGGTCGGGCTCTTGCCTTTTCCACCGTGCCTTCCGTCTTCGACTGCCCGGAGCGCATCACGTCACACAACCTAAGAAGTGCCGTAGGTAGAGACGAGTAGGGAAACAGCAGATTTTAGGGAACATCCACCCGAGCTTCAGCAACTTTGCCCTCATCTTCTCACTCATTCCAACCTCACCCATCTTCAAACATTAACGAACCAGCGCGACCACAAAGCGAATCTTGAGGCTTCGCGCCTCTGCCTCCGCCGTCTTATACCTTGCAAGTCTGCTTAGGGGCAAACAAAGAGCGTTTGCCTGTTTGGATGCATCTTTCCATTTCCCACTCACTTATCTTCATCGTTTCTTTAAACCGCATCACGGCAAAGGAAACAACAAACAACTGATTCACTGCCGGCGCAACAGGAGTGCAGCCCCCTACGTGATTTTATTCATTTCTAGGCTTCCTGCCCGGTTCAGCTCACCTCTATTTCTCCAACTTCATTTTGTCTCAACTTTTCTGTCTTTCACATGTACAACGGACTATCTGCAGGGCACTCCTTTCCACTTGCACTCAAATATTGATCATCTGTCGCTTAAAACCGATCTTCGCGGTCTTGTTCATTATCCGTTCTGCCTGCTGACACTAGCGGAACTATTTGGGAAAGAACGATCTGCTTCTGTCAGCTTTCTCGATTTCATTGAAAAAAAAATGTCGAACAATACTCCGGTTGGTATATTCCAAGGGTTATCATATTCCATGGTTTGACTAACACATATAGACCGTATTCCCCTGGGAATGCCGAGACAAGGAAGACCAGGCAAAGGATGCTTTCACCCATCCGCACCGCCGTTTGAATCAGTCTCTTACTGAAGAGAACATGCGACTGAAGCGCATTCTGCGCGAGAATGGCATTGCTTGGTCTCCTGTTTCAATGAACCATATACAGCAGTCCAACCCCCTCAAGCGCAAGACCCGATCTTCCATGCCCACTTCAACCCCTTATCTTCCCATGGAAATCATCCTCCGAATCCTCAAATTCGCCATGAAATCTCCTAATTCGATTGTTGACCCATTGTCCCCTCTGATACCTGAGAATCTATCGGACAAGGAGAAGGCGCAGGGCAACCAGATTGCCATCAATTTTCTAGCCACCTGCAAAGCTCTTCATGCTGAAGGTACCCGATACTTGTGGGAATCGAATACGTTCACCTTTACAACTTCTCGGGCCGTACGTGTCTTTGCAGACCTTCCTGCCGAGTTTCGTCGGGGTATCACTCATGTCAACTTCCGTATCATTGCACGATACTATGACGACCAGCCGTCTCGCCGACACAAGTTGGATCGCCGCTATCACGCTGATCTGAACAAGGACCATCACTTGAAGGTCCAGCAGCGCCCTACCGAATCTCCTCTTATTCGGGGCGGTTTCCGGTGCTACACTTGGAATCAGATTGTCGACTGCCTCGAGGGACTTCGTGCACCCTTCGATCCGAGTTACCGAAACAGGAAGCAACTGCGACCCAAAATGCTGCCATCCCTGGTTTCCCTCCGGATTGACCTTGTCAATTTTTCAGACACCCTTCTGCCATTCTCTGGCTCAGAATTACATGACATCTGCGCCCACGAGCTCGGCTGCACCCTGAATGAACTTCAAGTCACAGGCATGCCATTCGATGATACTGGCCTGAAGGCCTCTGCCGAAATGAGCGGTATGCTCAAAGATGAAGGTCTATATCTCGATGGCCCAGCTGCGTACATGGCCCGCTCCAAGTACCTTCAACGTCTTAGAGGGAGGAAATGGTGCGCTAGAGTGGTTAGAGCATCCAAGCCGGAAGACGAGGAGGAGGACAGCGATGACGACGACGAGCCGTTTCACGGCCATTCGCATGCTAGACTTGGAGTCTTGCCCCCTGCGCCGAGTGAAGAAGGACACCCAACCTCAGACCGAGACGAAGAGACTGTGATCTGGAAGCGAGTACCTATTAACCGAGACGCCGATAAGCGCGAATGGGTTCAATTCTCCCGTCAAACCGGATACGAGTCTGCTGACGCCGACTGGGACAGCGAAGAAGAGGGCATCTGTCCCTGCTGCGGAGACTCCCACTCCCACTCAGGCTCGTCCTTTCTGGATGTTTTGATGGATGAATAGTAGAGCTAACAGAACATCAGCATGACCGCTCACACGCAGCCACAAATTTGGTATTGAAAAGGGGGCGACGAAAAATGGGAAGCGGTACGGAAAATGACGATTATGCCTTTATGTCCCAGAACATGACTAGATACCCTTGGAGCTATGGCTGCTGATTTTTGATGAAATGGAATGGAGTTGACGGATGGTCTGAAGGCTGCTAAATGTGTTTGGTACCTAGCCTAATACTACCACATAACAAATGCTGTGCGATGACCAAGACTTGTGTATGAATCATGAACCTTTACTTATATACTGGGGTGGTCTTGTCAAACTTTGTGGCATGAACGAGGAAACTGACCGGCGAGTGATCTTGGATGCTGATTTCGCAACAAAATCTCATCAAAGAGCGAGGTCGCGTGGCCCAATGGCAAGGCGTCTGACTACGAATCAGAAGATTCTGGGTTCGATCCCCAGCGTGATCATTTCATTTTTTGTCTTTAGCATGGACATCATGAGAAAACAGCATATTATTTTCTTGCCCTTTTTAGATTGTCATGATCAAGATCCTAGGATCTGAGGCCTTGTTAATACTATATATAAGGTATGGTTTTTGCTTCTTTGGACCAGTTATGGATCGTCGAATGAAGACTTTAAGTAAGGAGTAATGAATTGAGTTTCTAGACATCACAGCCACGCAACTGGAAACAACACTTGACGGTTCTTCACATTGGCAGTGCCACGGTCCCTGGGTGAGGGACAAGATAAGCAAGATGCCGTTGAGCGATGTAGTCAATCATCACTCGCAGTACGTTCCTCAGTATAAACGCTTCGCACACGACACTATTCTTGCGGTGAAATTGCTTCTAATTTGCCTACTCTTCACGCTTTTCAAACCAAGTCAGACCCTATTCTGAAACAAAATGCAAATGCTATTCGTTGACGAATTGAACTACACCAAACCAGCCAGCAAAAAAAAGAAGAAAGATTTCCATATGAAACATCTATGAATCGTCATCCAATATACATACACCTTGTAATTTTGTCTTTTAAAGTCAATGCCGATATCAGACTAAGGCATTGGCGGAGCTCCCATATTTGTGATCTTTGGCGTCCTTTGAGCTGTTGGGCTGGCCTGGTTTCCCATTAAGTTGCCGGGCTTCTGTCCCCCTTGTGCGTTCCCACGGAAAGCGGGTTCTTTCTTGGGATCAAATCCAGGGAATGCGGCCTGTAACCTGGAGTAGAGGTCCTTGATGCTGTTGTTTCGCTCTTCGCGATCTGCAACTGGATCGATGTTGTTCTCTGAACCCTCAGGTCCTCCTACAGCAGGAGCGCGAAGTTTGAGTGCAAGATTCAGTGGCGGCGCACTGAGATATGCTGGACAAGGCGGAACTTTGACCTCGGGTTTTCGATCTGCAAGGGCCGCCATATAAGACAAGTTTGTTTGTAATCGCCTCATACATCTGTCATATCGTTAGTTGGGGTTCCAGGACAACAAGTGAACTGACTTACTGAAGATAATCTTGTTGCAATTGTGTTTCCTCATCTGATGGCTTCTTGTCTCCCGTGTTTCCGGCAGCAGCACTTTCTTTCTTCAACTCTTGTTGCGTCGCCTGTATCTGAATTGACTCGTAGAGAAGTTCATGGTTGATATCCAATAATAAAGCGAAACGCTCCTTGTCTCGTGATTCGGTTCCAGGGCTTAGCGGTACAGCTGCTGAGCTGCCATTAACGGTTTGCCCTTGATTTGAGAAAGTCGGCGTCTGGGGTGTTGATAAACCAGCGGATAACGGTTGTTGCTGTTGCACTTGCCCCTGCATCTGCCCTTGGGGCTGTTGGGGTTGCTGTAGTTGTGGAGGCTGTGGTTGTTGTTGTTGTTGCTGCTGCTGGTTCGTTGGGGTTTGGCTCTGAGATGGAGGTTGAGGAGTCGGGAACTGGCCCTGTTGAGAGGGTAAGGCGTTATTCGGTGTTCCTTGCGCAGCGCTCGGGGGTCTCTGCGGGGTGGAGGCCTGGCCCATACCACCAGCATTGGCAACTTGTTGTTGTTGTTGCTGCTGGTGTTGTTGCTGTTGCTGCTGCTGCTGGTGTTGCTGCTGTTGTTGCGCCTGCGCCTGCGCTTGTTGTTGTTGCTGCTGCTGTTGCATTCGCTGCATCATCTGAGGTTGTTGAGGCATACCGCCCTGGTTCATCGGAAAGCCTTGCATACCACCACCCATCATGTAGTTCGGCGCAAAGTTTTGGGGAGCGACCGACGAGGGAACAACTTGGCCATATGGGTTACCCGGGAATTGCTGTTGGAATCCTGCCACTATGCGCAACATGTTAGCTATCAAGATCAGAGCGATGGCGTAGGTGTCGCGTCGAGGAGTAGTTTGCGCCGCGCTCTATAGGTGTCGCGCAACTGTTCCAGTCATCATAAAACTTCTGGTGTTAACCAGAGTCTTGAAGCTCAGCGCGTACACCAAGGTTCGATCGATTGTCGCGTGCGAATACAGAAATGAGACCTACTCTGACCATTGGCAGCCATATGCTGCATACCGGCGTTAGGCATCATGCCTCCAGGACCACCGGCCATCATTTGAGGATTCGCGCCAGGGTTGAAGCCTCCCTGAGGCGTCATACCGGCGAACTGCTGCTGCTGGTTATACATCATCTGCTGAGCGGCTGGTTGAGCTCCAGACTGCTGCTGTGGGGTAGGGCTGTTGAAAGAAGGAGCAGCATTGTTGCCAAAGCCGTAGCCGGCGGAGTACATGGCTATCGGTTCGGGGCGTCAAAGGCGTCAGTGCAGCGCTTCGAGCGGCAGCGTGTGCTATGCTGTGGATGCTGTAACAGCGGCAGACAACAGCGCAACGTATAGTGGGAGGGATAGGGGTCGGAGGGAGGGAGGGAGGGATCGGATGCGCGTGTGTGAGCGAGGACAGGCTTGTAGTTGGCTGGTGATGGAACACGAATGGGGTCCAATCAATTAATCCAATCTGTCAGGTTCTTGGAGAATGAGCGACAGGTCTCTTCAGGTAAGCGTGGGCGTCGGAGCGGGAGTGGCAGTGAGAGTGGGATTGGGAGGCTGGGCTGGTCGCTTGCGTACAGACGCGGTTCAGTTGGTTCCAGGATTGGAAATGAAAATGAAACCTGGAGTTGACGATTGGGATGTGGTCGTGTGGGGCTAGGCGTCACAACCTGAGCCTCAGACAACAAATAAATCAGGATGGATGTATCAGAAAAGCTGACTTCCAAGACTAGGTACATACAAGTGCAGCAACAAATAAAACAACCTCAAAGTCACATTTGAATTGATACAAACTATGTTGCATATTTCATCTCCTATGCTTTCAGTAGCCTTGTCTTTTACCTAGGAATAAACCACCCAAGGTTGAGTATGGATAATTATTGCAGTTTCGTGAATACCACGATGCATAGACGGTATATCTTGGAGCTTTACAGCTCTGAGTAACTGAACTTTTTACGTGAGCCGTAAGAAAATGAATCACGCTCTGCTGAGCATGCATCCTGTAAGCGGATGTACATGTGCACATCATCACTTCCATGATGGTGTTGTACTAATGCTCTTCAAGGTGCATTGTCTCTCAACTATGTCAGTGTATCAAGATTCGTAGTATATTCCATAAGTTGTTGAACTACAGTATTATTGGAAACCAAAATTTGGATTGCACGTTGTCGTACCCCTTGGCCATATACAACTTCCCTGTTTACCTACCCGGGACCATTGAGTATTCCAGTCTTGAAAAAGGTCTCAAGGAAATGCAACACAACTATTGGTTCAACATCGAGAATCTAAAGCTCTACAAACTTATGAGTAAGCTATATGTATCACAATTGGATACATCTACCTAGCATTTCTGCTCACACAATCTGGTGGTGTCTACTGAAACATGTAGCGATTCATGCATGCTCAATTGGCTTTGTGACACACACACACACAAGGGCCTCTAGACACTGCTGGATTTCATGAGATGGAATGGTAAATTAGTTTGCAAGCTCTGTTTCCGCAATCTTGTGCAGAAGGTCCCTCCCTGCCATATAACTTGGTGTGTTTGGTGGGACGTCCTTAGTTGCACTAGCGACCTAATACTTGACGATTGTTGCTGATCGACGAGTCTGCATTGCAAATGGCCGTGAGTGTTTCCGAAGCTCTGATCGTGCTTGTGTGGGTTCTGAAGACTTTGCTGTATGAGAACAAGAAATTGAGACATCGTCTGGCAACTTCTGTTTGAGCTCGTTTTTAGAAGTGTGGCCAGTTGCTACGGGCGTTATCCACGTAATCTGGCTCTGCATCCCCCAAATATCATTTCGCCATTTCAAAGTTCTTGTTGTAGTTATCAACGAGTAGGTTCAATTCCAAGTTTGCCTATGGCTGCGATTTCTTAAAGCACCGAGCATTGTACTTCCAGAGCACTGGCAGAGGAAGTGGAGGACGGTTGAATGAAAAGAACGGTTTTAACTCGACCCGTCGAACGGTCGACTGAAGTTAATGTCAATAAAGGTCGGCAAGCATTGGAAAGGTGAAGAACATTATGGATATCATGGACAACGTCTTTCAATACTAACGAATAAAGTTTGATTTGATTGCTCTATGATATCCATCCCGTTTGGTGTAAGACAGAGCCATGTGTTCGTGTGGCACGAGCCTCACATTGATGCATAGAATCTACTTAACCTGCATGGATCTATACCTCCAAATTTCAGGAAACAGAGACGAAGAAGCCGAACTAGATATTGTGATAGCCTAAACTGACTCACTGGCATCGTCTTACAGGCTTTAGCAGTCAAGTTTTTCAACACTCCAAGACGGATTTGAACGGCTTGTATGAAACTAAAACAAAGTGGACAATCAATGTCAGCTAATCCAATCGCAGCAAAGTCGAAACAAAAAAAATCTTTTTTTCTTACCTGCGGAGGTGGATGAAGAGTGGAGTTTATGGTTTAGCCTGTGATGCAGCGCGCCTTTTTCTCTCACTGCCGCCCTGGGCTCGAGCTTCTGATCTTGGGGTGGTTCATGGTTGATTGCCGATGGCTCCAGTGGGAGAGGAGAGATTCACAGTGAGAGTTGAATATTTTTACGAACGAGGCAGTAATTACTGGGCACACTCATTGTGCAGCTAGAATCGTGCAGTGGAATGTTTCATGATCGACTGCATGCATCATACTGTATCTTTGTTGATACCAATACCACAGACTTTGTCTTGTGTCTTGTCATGACAACTCCATACCAGATATCCGTATGATTCTTCCGTTACCGGAGTCATATCAAGCCTCCCCACCACCTGCCCGTCCGTCCTCTGGTCCTCCAGCTTCCTTGGTTATCTTGTCGGAGCGGCTAAACTGACCGCTGATCGAATAAACCCACTTTGAGAGGCTCAAGTCCAACCATTTTTGATGGTCGATCGCTCATGATGAAAGGTTGTTGCGCAGCTTGTGGAGAGGTTTGAGAGGTTCGGCCAAGGCATGGCGGGGCATTTTAGTGTCCCTGCAGATTTTAATGGAATGCTGCAATTGGACGCCTTCAGGGAACTACTGCTGAATTGGCCAATTATAGTGCTCTTCGGCCCACAGCGGGGAGCACCCTGCAAGACAGCAGACAGCCCGCTGGGCGATAAAAAAAAAAGTTTCCCAGGGCCGCTTTCGTCAAGATCTCTTCTTCTTCTTCCTCTCCTCCCCAAACCCTCGCTCTTCCAGCATTTTCTTCTCCCGCAACTCTTTGTTGAGGCTGATGATTGCGAGGTAGCTTCTGACCTTACCAGGGTAGCTCTGAAAACGAGTTAACTTGCCGGCCCGTCGCTCGCAATCTCCCTGTCCTCTCGCGGCGACCCCTCCATTGTTTCTGCCCCGCGCTTCTCTGGGTCCTCGTTGATATAACCCAGCGCAGGAGCTTATTCTTTCTCTTTTTTTGCTTCAATCATATATCACAACCATCGCAATGGCTTTGGTTCCCCAGCCTCCCGCCTCTGCTCGTCAGTTTGGCGCCGAGGATGACGGCCTCGTCTGCCTCGAGCTTGAGGATGGCTCCTCCTTCCAAGGTTACAGCTTTGGTGCCCAGAAGAGCATTGCTGGAGAGCTGGTCTTCCAAACGGGTATGGTGGGCTATCCCGAGTCCGTGACGGATCCTTCGTACCGTGGCCAAATCCTCGTCATCACTTTCCCTCTCGTCGGAAACTATGGTGTCCCCTCGCGCGAGGCCATGGATGAGCTCCTAGGCGATCTGCCTGCTCACTTCGAGTCTAGCGAGATCCACATTGCTGGTCTCGTTACAGCTTCATATGCTGGCGAGGACTTTTCTCACTTCCTTGCCACATCTTCTCTCGGCACATGGCTCAAGGAGCAGGGCGTTCCCGCCATGTACGGCGTTGACACCCGTGTCTTGACCAAGAAGATCCGTGAGAAGGGTAGCATGCTGGGAAAGATGCGCCTCGAGACTCGCGGCCTTACCAATGGCTCTGCCAACGGTCAGGTTGATGGTGCTCTCGCTGCTCTGCCCCTCGACCACTTTGAGCAGGTCGAATGGGTCAACCCCAACAACAACAACTTGGTGAAAGAAGGTGAGTTCTCCAGCGTTTTCGTACTTGAAGGCGCATGCTCATATCTATGTAGTATCTATCAAGGAGCCCAAGCTCTACAAGCCACCTCCGTCGGTCGCCCGTAAGCACCCGTCAGGGCGTACTATCCGTGTTCTGTGCCTCGATGTCGGTATGAAGTTCAACCAGCTAAGGTGCTTCCTCAAGCGTGGTGTCGAAGTCCTTGTTTGCCCTTGGGACTATGATATCGCCGGTGCCATTGACGACTTTGATGGTCTTTTCCTCTCCAACGGTCCCGGTGACCCCGCCGTGCTCGAGACCACCGTTAAGAACATCGCTACCGTCCTCGAGAAGAACGAAATCCCCGTCTTCGGTATCTGCTTGGGTCACCAGCTCCTCGCCCGTGCTGCTGGCGCCACCACCAAGAAGATGAAGTTCGGTAACCGAGGTCACAACATTCCTTGCACCAGCATGGTCACTGGAAAGTGTCACATCACTTCTCAGAATCACGGTTTCGCTGTCGATACTGACAGCCTGACCAACGGCTGGAAGGAGCTCTTCGTCAACGCCAACGACGGCAGCAACGAGGGTATCTACCACACTGAGAAGCCTTACTTCAGTGTGCAGTTCCACCCTGAGAGCACTCCTGGTCCTCGCGACACCGAGTTCCTCTTCGATGTCTTCATCAACACTATGGCCAACTGCGCTGAGAAGCCTGAGCTCCTCAAGACCCCCGTCCACTTCCCCGGCGGCACCATCGAGGAGAACGAGCGCCTTCACCCCCGTGTCCACGTCCGCAAGGTCCTGGTTCTCGGAAGTGGTGGTCTCAGCATCGGACAGGCTGGTGAATTCGATTACTCTGGTTCTCAGGCTATCAAGGCTCTGAAGGAGGAGGGCATCTACACCGTCCTCATCAACCCCAACATCGCCACTATCCAGACCTCCAAGGGATTGGCTGACAAGGTTTACTTCCTTCCTGTCAACGCCGACTTTGTCCGAAAGGTCATCCAGTACGAGCGTCCCGATGCCATCTATGTCACCTTCGGTGGACAGACTGCCCTTCAGGTCGGTATCCAGCTCAAGGATGAGTTCGAGTCCCTTGGTGTCAAGGTTCTTGGTACACCCATCGACACTATCATCACCACTGAGGATCGTGAGCTCTTTGCCCGCAGCATGGACTCCATCGGCGAGAAGTGTGCCAAGTCCGCTTCTGCCAACAACATTGACGAGGCCATGCACGTCGTCAAGGACATTGGCTTCCCCGTCATTGTGCGTGCCGCCTACGCCCTTGGTGGTCTCGGCAGTGGTTTCGCCAACAACGAGGACGAGCTTCTCGACCTCTGCAACAAGGCTTTCGCCGCCAGTCCCCAGGTTCTCATTGAGCGCAGTATGAAGGGCTGGAAGGAGATCGAGTACGAGGTTGTCCGTGATGCTCAAGACAACTGTATCACCGTTTGTAACATGGAGAACTTTGATCCCCTGGGTATTCACACTGGTGACTCTATCGTTGTCGCCCCCTCCCAGACCCTGTCCGACGAGGACTACAACATGCTGCGAACAACAGCTGTCAACGTCATTCGCCATCTTGGCGTCGTCGGAGAGTGTAACATTCAGTACGCCTTGAACCCATTCTCCCGCGAGTACTGCATTATCGAGGTCAACGCTCGTCTGTCCCGATCCTCAGCTCTCGCCTCCAAGGCCACTGGTTACCCTCTTGCCTTTATCGCTGCTAAGCTTGGTCTCGGCATTCCCCTCAAGGAAATCAAGAATTCAGTCACCAAGTCCACCTGTGCCTGCTTTGAGCCCTCGCTCGATTACTGTGTGGTCAAGATGCCCCGATGGGATCTCAAGAAATTCACTCGTGTGTCCACACAGCTTGGTTCCTCCATGAAGAGTGTCGGCGAGGTCATGAGCATTGGTCGATCTTTCGAGGAAGCCATCCAGAAGGCTATCCGTGCCATTGACTTCCACAACCTCGGTTTCAACGAGACCGAGGCCCTCATGAGTATTGAGGATGAGCTCCAGACCCCCTCCGACCAGCGTCTGTTCGCCATTGCCAACGCCATGCACGAGGGTTACACCGTCGACAAGATCTGGGAGCTCACCAAGATCGACAAGTGGTTCCTCACCAAGCTCAAGGGTCTCAGCGACTTCGCCAAGAGAATGACCGGCTACAGCACCACCGACATTAGCACCAGCCCATCCATCCTCCTCCAGGCCAAGCGTCTCGGTTTCAGCGACCGTCAGCTCGCCAAGTTCTGGAGCTCCAACGAAATCGCCGTCCGCCGCATGCGACTCGAAGCCGGCATCCAGCCCTTCGTCAAGCAGATCGACACCGTCGCTGCCGAGTTCCCTGCCTTCACCAACTACCTCTACATGACCTACAATGCCTCCGAGCACGACGTCAACTTCGACGATCACGGTGTCATGGTCCTCGGTTCCGGTGTCTACCGAATCGGTTCCTCAGTCGAATTCGACTGGTGTTCAGTCAGAGCCATCAGAACACTCAGAGCAACAGGTTTTAAGACAATTATGGTCAATTATAATCCTGAGACGGTATCCACTGATTACGATGAAGCTGATAAGCTTTACTTTGAGAACATTAACCTTGAGACTGTTCTTGATATTTACCAGCTTGAGAACTCGAGTGGTGTTTTGGGCGCTATGGGTGGACAGACGCCCAACAACATTGCTTTGCCTCTGCACCGTGCTGGTGTCAAGGTGTTGGGTACTTCTCCTGAGATGATTGATAACGCTGAGAACCGATACAAGTTCTCTCGTATGTTGGATCGCATTGAGGTTGACCAGCCTACTTGGAAGGAGCTTACTAGCTTTGCTGAGGCTCAGGACTTCTGTAACAAGGTCTCTTACCCTGTGCTTGTCCGACCTTCTTATGTTCTTTCTGGTGCTGCCATGAATACAGTTTACTCTGAGAAGGATCTTAAGAACTACTTGGACCAGGCTGCTGAGGTTTCTCGAGAGCACCCTGTCGTTATCACAAAGTACATTGAAAACGCCAAGGAGATTGAGATGGATGCTGTTGCCAAGGATGGTAAGGTCATTGGTCACTTCATCTCTGAGCACGTTGAGAACGCTGGTGTTCACTCTGGTGATGCTACTCTTATCCTGCCTCCTCAGGATTTGGAGGCTACTACCATCGAGCGTATTGAGGAGGCTACTCGCAAGATTGGTGCTGCTCTTAACGTCACTGGTCCTTTCAACATTCAGTTCATTGCCAAGGACAACGATATCAAGGTTATCGAGTGTAACGTCCGTGCCTCGCGATCTTTCCCCTTCGTTTCCAAGGTTATGGGTGTTGATCTGATCGAGATGGCTACCAAGGCTATCATGGGCCAGCCCTTCCAGGCTTACCCTCCCACCGACCTTGCCCCCAACTGTGTCGGTGTCAAGGTGCCTCAGTTCAGTTTCTCCCGTCTCTCGGGTGCTGATCCTGTTCTGGGTGTTGAGATGGCCTCCACTGGTGAGGTTGCTTCTTTCGGTGTTGACAAGAACGAGGCTTACCTCAAGGCTTTGATGTCCACTGGCTTCAAGATCCCCAAGAAGAACATCCTCTTGTCCATTGGTTCTTACAAGGACAAGCGTGAGATGCTTCCTTCCGTGCAGAAGCTTGAGAAGATTGGCTACAAGCTGTTTGCCACTTCCGGTACCGCCGATTTCCTCCAGGAGCACGGCGTTCAGTGTCAGTACCTCGAGGTTCTCGGCAAGGAGGAGGACCGCAGCTCCGAGTTCTCGCTCACTCAGCATTTGGCCAAGAACACCATCGATCTGTACATCAACTTGCCTTCCAACAACAAGTACCGTCGTCCTGCCAACTACATGAGTAAGGGTTACCAGACTCGACGTATGGCTGTTGACTACCAGATCCCTCTTGTCACCAACGTGAAGAACGCCAAGATTCTCGTTGAGGCCATTGCCCGCCACTTCGAGCTCGAGGTATCCAAGCGCGATTACCAGACCAGCCACCGAACCGTCGTTCTCCCTGGTTTGATCAACATTGCCGCTTTTGTTCCTGGTATTGCCTCCGCCAACAGCGATGATCTCCAGACAGTCACCAAGGCCTCCATCTCTGCTGGTTTCAGCATGATCCGAGTCATGCCTCTTGGTGTTGATGGTGCCATCACCGACGCCATCACCCTCAACACTGCTCAGCAGAACAGCCGACGAGGTGGTTACTGCGATTACAACTTCTCCGTGGCTGCTACTTCGGACAATGCTGACCAGATCAGCCACGTCACCGGCGAGGTTGGATCTCTCTTCATTCCTTTCAACCACCTCTCTGGCAACATTAGCAAGGTCGCTGCTGTCACTGCTCACTTCGACTCTTGGCCCAACCACAAGCCAATTGTCACTGATGCCAAGCAGACCGATCTGGCTTCCATCCTCTTGCTTGCCAGCCTTCACAACCGTCGTATTCACGTTACTTCGGTTACCAGCAAGGATGACATCAAGCTCATCGCTCTCAGCAAGGCCAAGGGTCTCCAGGTTACTTGCGATGTTTCCATCTACTCGCTCTACCTCTCCCGCGACGAGTACCCTGAGTGCGAGCGTCTCCCTACCGCTGCCGACCAGAAGGCTCTCTGGGCACACATGTCTACCATTGACGTGTTCTCCATTGGCAGTCTCCCTTACCGCCTGGCTACTTCGCTTGGCCACAAGGGTGATCCTCACATGGGTATTTCCGACGCTCTGCCTCTGCTCCTGACCTCTGTTGCTGAGGGTCGCCTTACTGTCGACGACATCAAGGACCGTCTCTACACCAACCCCATGGAGATCTTTGAGCTTCACGAGCAGTCTGGAACCACCATCGAGGCCGAGATCGACCGCCCTTACACTGTGGCTCCTGGCAACTTCTGGTCTCCTTTCGAGGGCCGCCGCATGCGAGCCTCTGTTCAGCGAGTCACTTTCCAGAACACCACCGTCTGCCTCGACGGTGAGGTTCTTTCTGTCTCGCCTCAGGGCAAGGACATGTCTTCGCACATTGCTCCTCCCATGTCGCCTCCTGTCAAGCCTACCACCTCGATTGCCCAGACCACTGACTCACCACGAGATCGCCGACTTTCCATGCTGGGTGGCTTCCAGCCCCTGAACCGTCTCCGCGGTGTCGATGCTGTTGGCGCCACTTTGCCTTCGCCCGCTCGTGGTGCTGCCCCTGTTGATGAGCTTGCCCCTGGCCTTCAGCTTCAGCCTCTGGTCAGCTCTTCGCTCCAGCAGCTCCTGTCTCAGGCTTCGTCATTCAAGAACGCCCACGTTCTGTCCGTCAAGTCCTACAGCCGAGCTGATCTCCACCTGCTCTTCACTGTTGCACAGGAGATGCGTCTTGGTGTGCAGCGTGAGGGTGTCTTGAACATTCTCCGAGGTCGCGTCCTGACCACGCTCTTCTACGAGCCTTCTACCCGTACCTCGGCGTCGTTCGATGCTGCTATGCAGCGTCTTGGTGGTCGCACCATCGCCATCTCCACCTCTCACTCTTCCGTCCAGAAGGGTGAGACCCTCCAGGACACCCTCCGCACTCTGGCTTGCTACGGTGATGCCGTTGTCCTCCGCCACCCCGAGGAGACCAGCGTCCACGTTGCCGAGAAGTACAGCCCTGTTCCCGTCATCAACGGTGGCAACGGCAGCAAGGAGCACCCTACCCAGGCCTTCCTCGATCTCTTCACCATCCGTGAGGAGTTGGGTACTGTCCAGGGCTTGACCATCACCTTCCTTGGTGACCTGCTCTACGGACGACCTGTGCACTCTCTTGTGTACCTGCTCCGACACTACCAGGTCCAGGTCCAACTTGTTGCTCCCAAGTCCCTGGCTCTTCCTCCCAAGGTCCGCGAGCAGCTTGTCGCTTCTGGTCAGCTCCTCTGTGAGTCTGAGACTCTCACTCCTGAGATCCTGGCTCGCAGTGATGTCCTTTACTGCACACGTGTGCAGCGCGAGCGTTTCCCTACAGAGGATGAATACCAGCGAGTCAAGAACTCTTACCGCGTGGACAATGCTTCGCTCAAGCATGCTAAGAGCTCTTGCATCGTTATGCACCCTCTTCCCCGCAACGAGGAGGTTGCTGAGGAGGTTGATTTCGACCAGCGGGCCGCGTACTTCCGACAGGTAAGCATTCCTTCTTACGTCTCATTGATCACATTTGCTAACATGATACCTAGATGCGCTATGGCCTCTACTGCCGCATGGCTTTGTTGGCGTTGGTTATGGCTGATTCGTAAATTATGTGATGGATGGGTTTGGAAAAGTTTCATGACAGGATCTTTCTTTGTCTTTGGTTGGGAATTTGTAATATTTGCTTTCTGAAAGCCGGATAGAAATTTGCGTGCGTTAGCAAGCATTCCGGATTATGACCGTGAACGATCTTTGATGTTATAGAATGTGTAAACGCGACTCACGTCGTTGCGTATGATTTATGTATGTTATGTATATTATCTGTATGTACGTCGTATACGTATATACGTTTATTTAATGTTATTACTTAATTACTTCATCCGTGCGTTCCATCTGTTCTGTGTCGTGTATGTGTTTTGTTTTGTTCTGTTTCTTAGGTGTTTAAGCCATCATGACTGCAGTATGCTGGCTACTTGTTTATGAAGCATCTGCATCACTATCTATGTTCATGCAAATAGAATGCTTACGTTGGTTGTACTTGCAGCTTGTCTGTACCTGTGTTTCTGTTCCTGCATCTTCAAATGTCACCCTACCAAAGCTGAGAACCTTCGAAGATGTCATGACTCCACCGTGTACCACAAAGTACGTACCTTTTTCCCTCTTAAACATACCATCTCATCGTATGCCTCAAAGACCATCTGTGAGTCAACCCAATCCAATCGCATGATCTCCCGTAGGGGCATAATCATATATAAATCAATCAATGCGTCTTCTGATACCGAAACTCAGTGCTAGATTCTTTTCCACTGCAAAAATGGCTCTTCATTCAGCAGACACCTCAAAGCTCATCTGTATGTTACCCCTCTCACTATGCGACAATCACCATCATGACTCTGCTTCACTTTTACCAGTGACTAACACTTCATAGTCGCCCCTGCTGGCCATCAAGCCACGGGCCAGGCGGAACAATTCACAAAGGGAACCCTTGTGCGCTCTCAGCTTAACCCGGAATCTCCCATTCCTCAATTCCATGCTTGGTTCTCTCGTGCTCAGGAAGACGATTCTGGTGTCGAACATCCCGAATCCTGCACCCTATCAACCGCTTCTCTTCCCTCAGGTCGCATCTCATCTCGCACAGTTTATCTCAAGGAGCTCGATAAGCGAGGATTCGTCATCTACACCAACCTCGGCACTTCACGCAAGTCAGCAGATATAGCAACCAACCCACGCGCAGCGATGCTCTTCTTCTGGGAATCTCTACAGCGCCAGGTCCATGTCGAGGGACGTGTGGAGAGAATCTCAAGGGAAGAGAGCCAGAACTACTACGACACCCGCGCGAGAGGGAGCAGGATTGGTGCGTGGGCCAGTAAGCAAAGTCAAGTGCTTGAGCCTCAGGACGAAAACGACGATGGACGCAAGCAGTTAGAGGGATGGGTGAAGGAGGTTGAGCAGCGATTTGAAGGGCAGGAGAAGATTCCTGTGCCTGACTTCTGGGGAGGTCTGAGGATTATTCCTGATAGAATTGAGTTCTGGCAGGGAAGGGAGAGCAGACTTCATGATCGTTTTGTGTATGAGAGAGATGAGGGAAGTGAGTCTGAAGAGTGGAAGCTCAAGAGGTTGAGTCCTTGAGGCAGGATTGTGCCAACTCTATTCATTCAATTTCGAATCTTTAGCCAGGCGAAGTAAAATCGAGATATCAAAGGCAAAGCGCTTAGTAGAAAGCTCTTCGTTGAAAGCATCTTGTGGATCAGTCTTCTATTGATAGTACTTCCATCTGTGTCTTAGTCTGACAATAATATTGCACAGTAGCATCGCATATAAATCCAGACTTCAAAGCCGGCTTCAGTTGCCGAGTACTCGCCACCCCGGCATACTCCAAGACTTATCGAAATCATATCACGAGTTTTTAGCTGCGGTGAACCCTTAATGAGAGATCGGCGGCAAGCAGGTGGGTATTCCTAAGGAATGCTGGCACGACATGGCATGATATTGACACTGGAACGTGCGCCAAGAACGAAAAGAGTTGCGGAACCGGGAGCCATTTATAGAACATTACAAAGTACGTAGTTATTGACTAGAATACGGAAAGGGGTATGTGTAATCCTAGCCTCAGATGCCATGCCATGCCATAACTTGTTCCTTGATTAAAGAAACTCAAAAGGTTCCTCCTCAATAATGCCTCCCAAACGTGTGTATAATACCGTAGAACAATGCTATTTCCGCCCTATCGCCCGAACCCGATCAGGGACGTAAAAGAAGGGGTCTGATTCCCAAAACGACACACAATATGATGTATATACCACGCCGGATCGAGTCAACTCGCTTTCAAGTCAATCCACAAACAATCGCTAAATGAGTTGGTATCCACGGTAACGCCTCATTAATGCCAAAAGTCAGAAAACGCCGTTTTTCTTTTCTTCTTCCTTTCCTTTCCTTTTAATGCTCTCGAGCCTGGAAATGGTTGAAGTAGTCGTTGCAAAGCCTCGAAGGTTGCGGGGTAGTCGCCTGACTGGCCTCGGCTGTCGGAGTATCGACTGGAGTAAGAGATAGGCCCAATCCCAAGACTGCCGATCCTGAGCCGAGTGTCTTGGAGCGAGAGTGACTCGGTACGTAGTGGTTGATGTTTGTGCTATCGTCACTCTCCTCATCGCTGTCCATGGGCATGTACTCATTGAGCTCCCACTCAGGCTGCTGAGCTGCGAGTTGCATGTCAACCATGGCATCTGTCAGGCAATCTTCTTCGCAGAGAGGCATGATGCGGTAGTTGAGATTCTCCATGATGCATCGTTCAGTGGCATTGAGCTGCTGGTGAGACCACATGCCATGACCCCATGCCTTGCAATAGTACTGAGAAGCATCCTGGGGGTCCTCCGTAAACTTGACGGCAATGACGAGAGCCGCTAGGATGATGATCTCTGGATTGACTGAGTCGATGTGTAACTGTTGTCGCTGAGGCATGATGGGCGTGGGAGGAAGGGTGTGTCGCTTAGACGTAGGAGAGAAGTAGTCGGACAGCAGAGGGCATGAGAGGCGCCAGCGGCGGGCGAATCGAGAATCGAGGCTGTCGAGGATGCATACTGCAAGAGCCACGGTCTCAATCGGGAGATTGGCTCGGCTCAAGATGGCCTGGACGAGAGGGACCGAGGCCGTGGCCAGTGAAGCAGATGATGGAATAAGGTTGACAAGGTGTATAGCCGGGCCTGTGGTAAAAGTTAGTACTGAAAAGTTCCATATATCAAATGCATCGTGTGGCATGACATAACAGGAGATGCAAGTACAACGTGATGCTAATATGCAAACAAAGTTGACTGATTTCCTGCTTGTTTTGCCTTGCTCTGCGGTAAGACAAACTCACCTCGGAATCGAGGCATCAATGGCTCTCCATCATCAAGAGTTGTTCGTGGTGACTGGGCTGCGGACGAGTTACGGGAGCTCGGTGGTGGTGTGGGTAGGTTGGAGAGAGGTCGATAGGTAAAGTAGCCTTCGAAGCGGCAGTTCTTGTCGTTGTCGGCCATGACGGGCTCGTTTCCCATCTTCATATCTCGGTTCATCTTTTCGTTTATTGGTAGTTTCGTCGTCCGATTTTCAGGTTTAAGCACTCCCAAAGGTCCTTTCTCATGATTTGGCGTAGACGTATATACGTAGGGTACGTGTGAGCGCGTGCGCAAAACGAGTAACGTAGAGTAGAATGAATAAACTCGTTTTGTCTACGAAGGTCTCTTAAATATTCCAAGAGAACTATAATCACGCAAGCACACACACGTCAAGCCACGACTGCATACAAAAGTAAGTTTATGATGCAGATGTACTGTAGCAAGATCAAGATGGGAGGGGGGGAGAGAGAAGTTATATATCCCAAGCTGATCCAAATACAGTAACTACAACGCACTGTAGTAAATATAGGCCAAGGCCTAAGACAAGGGGGATGGACCCGTTCACCGTGAGAAGTAAGGCTGAGCAGTCTGCTAAACCAGGATCTTTCACTGCAGTCTCTCTCCAGTTGTAGCGGTGGAAAAGGCGGCTGGTTAGGTGTGGTGGATGTCCAGTACTAGGACAGGGGGTGGCCAGGGGGGCCTAGCATCTGGGCTAACTTGGCTAAGTTACTGCACGGCTTTATTCTAGCCAGCAAACGGCGGACCCTGTCCTGGTTTTTTTACTTTTATTGCTTAGTCCTTGGTCTTGGTCTTGACGAGATCACAGCCCATACGTACATATATGCCTGGACCTAGACCATCAACTGTGAAGCTTGATCCGAGACAGCGGCTGAAAAGCACAAGCAGATACGGGCTGTGGCGGTTTCCAAGTGATCAAATGCTGTGCTGTACTGTAACTCCAAGCCAGGCACCGTATGTACTGTAGATCCCTCGTTTTCTTTGATTTGATGTCCAGTGTTTTTTCTTGGCTTGGTTCAGCTTTTTCGGGGCCGCCCGTACCTACAGCACTGAGGAGTACTGCACTGCACTGCAAGATGCATTGCGGAGTACGTATCGATCGTATTGCTTCCATTTTATTTTTGGTGCACAAAAAGTTGTTTTAAAGCACCGCCAAACAACTTTGGACTCCCCGGCGTGGCGGAAAGTGGACCTTGGAATAGTGGACATGTATGCTGGACTGAGCCTTTTTTTGGCCTGTATTCAATCTTTGTCTTCCATGTCAGGTCTGGCAGTCATGCTGTAATACCGATTCCAGATTTCGGGATATTTAAGTCCCCGAGGCTTGTGGTAAGAAAAATTCACCAGCCAAGGCATTTCCGTGTTTACAGCCCCTGAAATTATGGGTTGGCTGCTTACATGAAATCCCTAGTTCACCTCAGCTGAAAGCCACAGCAGCTGTCACAGATGACGGGTCGTTGGTTCACAATTACCGTAGGCATGGGTATCGCTGTGAATCATGATGCGCTCAAAGAATTGAGATGAATGAGGCTGCTGACCGCTGGCTTTGGCTTTGGCTTTGGCTTGGGCAGCTCCTGGTACCCAACGGCTTTTGGTACTGTACTCCTTCGTCAGTATTTCGTACGAAACAACAGCTCTGGTCCTTGTCGCGTGGCTGACAACCAAATCAGGGAAATGGTGCAATATGAGATCTACAACAAATCGGTTGCGTGGGCAATTGACAATTGTGTGTCTAGAGCCACAGAGTGGTCTGCCCTCTAATAAGACACAGCTGCGGCGCTATAGGTAGCGATGCGCGGGTTTCGGTTCCTGACTAGTCGAGAGACACAATTCATACGTCAACGGTGCGTCTCGACCTTGATCGATTTCCCAATCAATCAAGATGAATGACGAAACTCTCTCTCTTGATGCCGCTTCCAAATGCAGCCAAGGACTTTGTGAAGCAATCGGATCCGTCATGGGAGAAATGAGCACTGTCGTCTCAAACGAAGATCGTCGAGGATAGCACACCCACTGATTAAACTCATGGATAGTGCCTCGGGAATCCAGGTCTCATGAGCACCTCAAATGCACATGCAAGCGCCCAGTCGTGAGGCACCATACAGTATGGATATACTTGTGAAACACACGTCAAGGCTGGCTCACTGCCACACGGCGGCAGTTCTCAGGTGGCTTTTGAGCGGCACTGAGAAACCTTATTCAGCTTCTTGGGCTGTGCTACAAGTCAAAAGCCCAAACCTCTTCAGCTTTGTCTTGAGTGATCGTGGCCCGTGGCAGACCTGTGAGGCAGAAATGACTGTCTCGGTTCACTGTCGCTCAGTAGCCATCATTCGTCCGAGACAGACGCCACGGGTGAGCGTTTTCTTTTCTTGGGTCAGTTGCGGTGGGCTTTGCCCACTATGGGACCACCCCATGCACGGCACCTCGGAGCAAGCAATGGCGGCACCAACAGTACAGCAGTAGAGTAGCTTTTGGGATTGGGGAGAGGGGGTCTAATAGCCTGTGCGGCGCTCATATCATCATATCATGGGGATTTTGCTTTTCCCGGTTGAAGTCTGGGCGTACTTCCATATGCACAACGGGCTTTGTCCTGCATAAAGTCGCGTGCTCCTCCACTGAGTTGGCCGACTGAAGGCTTGTGCCGAGCCCATCGCCGAGAAAGACCCCTTTTTCCTACTCACTTCGCTTGTTTGAGTATAGCCAACGATGGCAGGAGAAGATCGTCGTCATCCCTGAATGCCCATGTCAGAGCTCGGGCTTGGCGCAGTCCAAATCCGTATTCTAATGCTCTCTGGGACAATCTCTGTGTTGTAATAATAAATTGGATGCCGCTGAGGCTCATCTTGGTCTGGAAGCCTAGAAGCTTTGATACTCGAGAGGCTTGACAATTAGCCTGGTGGGCTTGATGTAGGTAATACATCATTAGCGGCTGACAAGGAGCAAGATCCTCGCCAGAACGGAACTGCAATGCCTGCATTTGCAAGGGACCGCCAGCTCGGGATCTGACAACGATCTTGTGCATCAGCAGATTTCCGACTCTGTTCAATTTTGACATCTCAAAGGTGGCTCATCTGTTTGACGCTTCAATCCTTCATCTATGGCCTATGTTTTGAGTTCGTGATTTAATTAGAAATCACCGAACAACGTCAGCCAAGGCATGTTGAGTAACCGAGCCTCTTCTAAGCTGGTCGCTAACCTTCATCAAGCCTTCTAAGCGCGAAATGACCGATTAGCCGCACAGGGTCTAAACACCCTTGCGGCGGCGCGCGCTGACATTTGTTAACTTCATCTCACCGCTTGGACACTCTCGGGCAGGTTACTTTATGATGGGACTTTGGTTAGCAACCCCCGTGCCTGCATCACACATGTCGTGTGGTGCAGGATACAGAAGCCTGAGAGGGTTGAGCAAGCTGCAAACTTGACGGAAGACTGCACAGGTGGGCTAAGCTTATCGTTCAGCTGAATGGTGTGAAACAGTGTGTTTGACGTGCATATGATTTTGGCGGAAAGTCTCTGAGGTTTCCAGGTGAGGTTACATTTCGTCGTCCGATATCATGAACTCTCTCCAATTTCCTTTGCGAGTCAGTTTGTCGGCCTAAAGAACTAGCAGCGCTACCTGACCGCATGTTGTCAAATGTGTGTAGTGTGTAGAAGCCCTTCCTGCTAGTTGAAGGAAGCGCGATATAGCTGCAATGATCCGAGTTTCGTGATAAGTTGATGTTGCGGGGTTGTCGATCTGGTGGTTGATCTGGCTCCATTGGACGGTACCAACAAGAACGTGGGGTGCATCAACAGCGGATCACTGGAATTGGTTTGAGTTAAGTTGAGTTGGGTGCATGTGTTTGCACGCACATATCTGCAGGCTGTTAGTTGGAACTTGAGTGATTGTGTGCAAAGACCTCACATCCTCTCGTCCATCACAGCAGCTGTTCAGAGTCCATTGGTGTCTTGCAAACTCAAAATCAACAAGAATTTCTCATTTTTTGCTGGTTTGTGTTTTGGTGCGCGCACGTGAATATTATCGATCTTGAGCATTTCGATGGCACATGTTCCGATACAGTTGAGGTGGGAGAATGACCATGCTTCGGGTCATGGGCTAAGCATGAAATGGCACCGTTGGGGGATGTTTGCATGATGAAAGAAATGCTACACTCGTCATTTGACCTTTTTCTGTATGAAGTCTGCCGATGTCATCGCTCTCTTGCCACTTAGGAAGGAAGGCATGGGTAGTTACCTGCCAAAAAGGGTGGAACAAGCCGCGCCAATCCTTCCTAAGATATCATGTTAAGATGCAATACCTATAATTCGTTCCTGCCTGCCCAAGCATGGTGGTTCATCGAAGCAGGGTAAGGAAAGAACAGAGTGCATACCTACCTACCTACCTAACTGACGATGAAGAGAATAGAGTCTTGACCCGGCATCACGACATGTAGTGCAACTCTTGTTTGTGGGAGAATCGAAGAGTACAAGTCCTGGAGAACTCGATCGATGGTCTGGACCTTTAATACTTCTCTAGCGCGCTATCACTTTGATGGAATTATATCAAGACTTACAGATATGTCGAAACCTGAATAACTACTCCAGTCACCCAGCTAGTTGGTAGCCATCCTCAAACTACTAACCTACCTACCTACCTACCCTGGGCTGGAGGATTCAACATGCAAGTCTACTGAGTCTTTTACTATATGTACTCGACCTAAATGGTCAGATCTCGGTCTGATACAATCTGGAACCGCCCTATTTGGCTTTATGCAGCTTTCTGTAAACGCCATGTTGCGGAAGACCTATACTGAAAACGTGCTTCAGCAATGTATGTTTGACTAGACAACACAATGCAACTCTGTTTACCCCTACATTAGTTGAATACTCAGGCAAACCTGGCAGCTATAAAATCATAAATGAGGAAAGTGAAACAAACAATCATGTGAAATCCGCCTGGCTTTTTTGAACTTTTTATTGGTAAAAGTTATCCATTTTTTGTCAACCTTTGAAATCTGGTACGCCTCGTTACTTGACACCTCAACCTCTATTACCTAAGCCAACTTTAAGCATCATCAACACCGCCATTATCATTCCAACTAGACAGGCACTCCGTACACCAGAATGACCAGCCGCGATGGTATTCACTGGGCTGCTCACCTCCAACAATAGAACTCCTTCGGTCCGGTCCAAATCGAGCGAGTCCGATCTCCACCTCCAGCCAGAGTACATCTACGATGAGGCCCAGCTACCTTGTCTCCCGCCTGAGAGGCCCGATCTCCGCGAGCTGAACAACAGCCTCGAGGCTCTCGCTGCCGTATTCCCCGATATCCAGATCGAGGTCTTTCGAGAGCTGCTGTCCAACTTTGACGGCGAATCGCGTCTCGCTCTTGTCGCTGATGCCCTTTTAAAGAACAGGGTGACGTGGGTCAAGGGCCGCTGGAGGGTCCCTGATAAGGAGACGACCCGTCCCGAAACGGTTCCCAAGACTGAAGCGTTCAAGAGCAAAGAATATAAAAGAGCTGTGCAAAATCTGGCATGGCACGAGTTCAAGGGGTTATCACGATCCACCATCAACGCTGTCCTTGCCGAATCCAATTACTCCTACCTCGATGCTCGACAAACCCTCGTCACATTATCTTCTAAATCATGGCGTTTCACAATATCATCACTCTTCTTTCGACGTAAACCTATCGCTACAGGGGAGGCTGAGAATCACCCGTTGGTATCATGGCGCTCAACCGGCCAAGGGTCTATCATACCCACCATTCGGGCAACAGGCAGTGCAGAGCTTGACCGCGAACTATACGATATCTTGGTGGCCCCTCTGAAAGAGAAGGATAGATTGGATAGAGAGGGAAGAGATAGAGGCTTGGCCATGATTCTCAATAACGAAGAAGCGGAAGAGGCTGAAGCAACGCACGAGTGTGTCTGTTGCTACATGTCAGCAGCCTTTGAAGAGTTTACTCACTGTAACCGTGAGGGCCATTTAGTCTGCTACCGTTGCGTACAGCACTCAATAAAGGAAGCTGTATTCGGCCAAGGTTGGCAGAGCAGCATCAACCCAGAAATGGGGACGCTCAAGTGCCTCTCCTCCGACGGCGACGGATGCCCTGGGCATATACCACCCGATCACATTCGTCGAGCCATGGAAGAAGAAAAGAAGGGTGCAGAAATCTTACACAAGCTTGATCGTCGACTAGCAGAGCATAGTCTCCTGGCATCCAATCTACCATTGGTACGGTGCCCTTTTTGTGACTACGCTGAGATCGACGACATATACACACCAGCTCACGAGTCTGCTCTTCGCATCAAGTCGGATAGTATATCCAACCTAATCGTCCTGATCCTTTGCATCGCGACTATACCCTTTGTCTTTCCTTTCGTCCTTATCTCTTCCGTTTTATGTCTCATCCTCAGCACACAGCAGTCTTTCGGCGACTACATTTCAGTGGAATGGTCCAAGGCTCTTAACCGTCATCGCCGCCGCCGCCGCGGTACAAAATTCACATGCCAGAGCCCCGAGTGCGGTCGTGCGTCATGCCTCTCATGCCACAAGTCATGGAAGGACATTCACGTGTGTAACGAATCATCGCTTGTCGCGCTCCGTACACAGGTCGAACAAGCCATGAGCATGGCGATCAAGCGCGTCTGCCCCCGTTGCAATACGTCATTCGTGAAGAATGCAGGCTGCAACAAACTCACATGCCCGTGTGGCTATAAGATGTGCTACGTCTGCCGTGCCGACCTCAGCGACGAGGGATATCGCCACTTCTGTGACCACTTTCGCCCCGAAGGTGATGCTACGCCCTGTAAGGAGTGCGATAGATGCAATCTTTGGGAATCAGAGGATACAGACAAGGTCCTGCAGGCTGCGCGCGAAGAAGCGGAGCGTAAGTGGAAAGACATGGAAAACCGAGAACTATCAGGCACAGAGCGTGCGTTTCTTGAGACAGGCGTTGCAGGGAACAGGATGGACGTGAGTGTTGAGCGCGTGTTTTTCAGTGGGCGAGTTCCTGCTCTTGCAGAAGTTTTCGACCTCATCGTAGAAACTGTGTTTGTTTGAGGGCACGGATGGGTTTACGATTTAACGGCGTATGACAAGACGGACTAAGAAAGCCTCACAGCGCTGGCAGAATAAATTTGCATACATTGGGTTATCAGGAATGGTACGGGGCGTCTTGTGGTTTATATAAATATTTGTATTCTGAAACTGGTATCGAATTGGCATTCAAGATTGGGCAAAACAGGACATGATTTAAGATCACATCACTCAACTACAATACAGACTTCATGATATTACACTAAAATCCCAATCGCAAAACTCCGTTGATGGTGCAAATTTTTGTTCAGAGCTTGCTCTTGCCGTCGGTTCTGAGTTCTGCAGCGGCACCGGCGATGGCGGGCTTGCCTGTCTCCTTAACCTTGGACTGGAAGATGATCTTGTTGCCCTCGCGCCACATCTCAGTGACGATAGTCTGACCAGGGATGACAACACCAGCGAAACGGACCTTGATGTTCTTGAAAGCACCGAAGCGCTCGTAGACAGCCTTTCCGGCAACACCGAAACTGCAGAGACCGTGAAGGATGGGGGCCTTGAAGCCACCAACCTTGGCGAACTCAGGGTCGATGTGGAGAGGGTTGTAGTCACCACTCAGGCGGTAGATAGCAGCTTGGTCATCGCTTGTGGGTGTCTCGACTACAACGTCGGGGTCACGAGCAGGGGGCTTGTTGGCAGCAGTGGCAGAACCGCGGTCGGCGCCACGCTTGGGACCACCCCAGCCACCAGTACCACGGAGGAAGACGCTGGCCTCGTTATAGAAGACATCCTCGCCAGTGTTGGCGTCAACGGTAGTGGTGGCGCTTCGGGCAATAGAAGCGTTACCCTTGTCAACGACCTCAAGGAGACGGCCTCGGCTAACAAGGCGAGCGTTGGTAGGGATAGGGAACTTGCGGATCTCAAGGTATTGCTCTCCGTGGAGCAACATCATGGGAGAGAAGTTGGGGACAATGTTGCCAAAGTCAAAGGGCATCTCAGTGTTGAAAGGAGGGATGACACCGAAAGTAGGAAGGACCTGGAAGTCTTCGGCACCCTCAAAGACGTACTTGAGATCGGTGCGCTTAGCACCGACACCAAGGTTGTAGAGAATGACATCTCGCTCCTCGTAGTTGTACTCGGTAGGCTTGCCCTCCTTCTTGAGAGTTTCGGCGATGACCTTCTTGTAATCAGTCTCACCCTCACCAGATGACTCCTTGGCCTTGCTTGTGTTCTGCATGTTGGCCATGATCTTCTCGATCGAGTCCTGGGACTTGCTAGGGTGGTCGGCACGGCCGTCGAAAGTAACGATGTCCTTCCAGTGCTTGACAACCTCCTCGGGGACGAGGGTAACATCCACAGGGAAGCCGTGGCCGCCGGTTCGCTGCCAGCGAGTCTGACCGCACCAGCCGCTTCCGACCTCGTACAAACCGCCATTAGGGGTGGGGCACTTGTCACTGCAGAGAGCAAGGACAAGAGGAGCAATGTAGTCGGGCTTGAAAGCCTGGACCATCTCCTCGGGCATGATGGTGGCGGTCATGGCAGTACCAGCGTTGGGGGCGATGGTGTTGACGTAGATGCCGTACTTGTGACCCTCAAGAGCAAGAGCGCGAGAGAAGCCGAGGATACCACATTTAGCAGCAGCATAGTTGGCCTGGCCAAAGTTGCCGTAAATACCACTGGTAGAGGTAGTGTTCAGAACACGACCGTACTTCTGCTTAAGGAAGTAGGGCCAAGCAGCCTTGGTGACCTTGTAGGTGCCTCGGAGATGCACGTTCAGGACAGGGTCCCAGAGATCATCGTTCATGTTAGAGAAGGCCTTGTCGCGAAGGATACCGGCATTGTTGACAACGATATCGATGCGGCCAAAGGCGTCAATAGCAGCCTTGACAACCTTCTCACCGTCCTCAGCGGAGGCCTTGACACCGACGGCCTTGCCACCAAGCTTCTTGATCTCAGCAACCACGGGCTCGGGGTCAGCCAGATCGTTGACGACAACTGTTGCGCCATACTTGGCGAAAGCCAAGGCGTAAATGCGACCGATACCAGCACCACCGCCTGTCACGAGAGCGACACGGCCAGTGAAGTCAGGGTTCTCGCCCTGCTCAGTAGGTCCCATCTTCATAGAATCCTCGAGCAATGTGAGGAAATCGTTGGGTCCTGTGGGGTATTGGGGGTTGGAGTAGTCAATGACCTTGTTCCAGTTCTTGATGATAGCTCCAGGGGTGTAAGAGTCGTCGGCCTTGAGTAGGAGACCGCTGGATCGCTCCCATCGAAGCTTGGCGACGTGGCCACCGCCAACCTCGAAGATACCACCAGTCTCCTGTGTGTTGTTCTTGTGAACCAAGACAGCAACCAGAGGAACAACCCATTCGGGCTTGAGCTGCTCGAGCACATCAGGAGGCATGATGGTCTCGGTCATTCTGCTAGCAGCTATCTGACGTCAGTATATGAGGTTCACAAGAGGAAGCGCGTTGATGACATACCGATAGGCGCAATAACGTTGGCCATGATGCCGTACTTAATACCCTCCTTGGCGAGAGTCTCTGTGAAACCGACCATGGCGAGCTTAGCAGCAGAGTAGTTGGTCTGACCAAAGTTGCCGAAGAGGCCAGCAGCTGAGGCAGTGTTGATGACACGGCCATACTTTTGCTTGCGGAAATGGGGCCAAGCAGCGCGAGCGCACTTGTATGATCCCTTGACGTGGACCTTGTAGATAAGATCCCAATCCTCCTCCTTCATGTTCTTGAAGCTGACATCTCGTAGGATACCAGCGTTGTTGATGAGGATATCGATTCGGCCGAAGGCGTTGATGGCGGTCTCGATGATGCGCTCGCCGTTCTCTACTGAGTCGTAGTTGGCAACAGCCTTGCCGCCTGCGGCCTTGATCTCGTTGACGACAACATCGGCAGCCTATCGCGACCAGAGTTAGCTGTATGCGCTTGCGCCAAGGTGAAGCTGTTTAGTGTTGTACGAACCTTTGATGAGTTGCCCTCACCCTTTGAGGTGACGCCGAGATCGTTAACGACAACGCTGGCACCGCGAGAGCCGAAAAAAGTAGCATATGCCTTTCCAAGACCACCGCCAGCACCGGTGACGACAACAACTTGGCCGTCGTATCTCAACTGCTCTGCCATGATGGTGTGTTTATGATGATGTGATATGCGACAGAAGGTGGGTATAATGGGACACGCTCAATATGACGGGACAAAAAAAGACAAGAAGAGAGGTGAGATGGAGATGGAGATGGAGGAAGAGAGGAATGAAGGATGAATTGAGGATAAATAAAATAATTGGGGAGGCAGCGCAACGAACAGCTCTTAACAAGCTTGGGCCGGCCCTGGGTGCAACTCAAAGGACCCGGGGGTCATGGACCTTGTGAAGGGGAAGCCTCGGCTTCTATGGGGTACCGAGGGGACTGGTTGCGGGGAATACGCTAGGCCGGGAATGGCAACGGACTTTGTTCACATGTAAAGATTGACGACGGTAGATGAAGTCATGCGCAGGAATATGTGCCTATTTCATGTCATGTCACATGTTTTTATAGAAATAAAATGTAAGATCTGGGGTAAGTTAACTGGTCAGAAGTAGTAGTATCGAGTTAGCTTGAAGTCTTGAAGATACAGTTGCAGCAGTACTCTGTAGATCAGTGTAAGTTGAGACTGCATAGATATAATTAATTTATAATGAATTATTCATATTTAGAATGTGACTGATTTAATTAGTATTGTCCCGTTGCCAGTTAGATCGTTATCGTTATTAGGTATGCTTATAGTAATTGACATCCCTCTGCCGACCTCTTGTCCCGATCCCGGCTAAGGTAACTGTCCATACAAAAACACCCCCACAAATGCCTCTTCTCACTCACTCTCTAACTCCCCGCAAAATCAAACCCGATCAAGGCCAAGGCCCAAGGTCAAGCCTAGACCCAGACCCAGACCTAGACTCAGGAAACAGTCCTGATTTGCTAGTTTCCAGTGCCGTCATATTCTCTCACTCTTGTCTCTCGGGCTCGAATTGCCCGACCAAAAAAAGAAGGCAATTGACTGACAAGATCGCACTCAATCATTCATTCTATGGCTGCACTACCAACCTCGGACTACGCTTACCTCTCATATGCAATACCCTTATCCTTATCCTTATCGTAACTCACCTTCTCTTAACTTGACTTCTCATCATGGCTCCCCACTTCATTGACGATAAAACTGAGATTTGCCTCCCCTTCATCCTCTCTCAGCTCAAACTCCACCGCGAAGAGTCTCCCGACCGTCCCTTTGTCATCGGTCTCAATGGTATCCAGGGTGCTGGCAAGTCTACTCTTGTCAAGTCCTTGAGTAAGGCTCTGGAGGCTCAGAATGTCCCTACTCTAGTCTGTAGCATAGACGAATTCTACCTCACTCGTCAGGACCAAGTTGCTCTGGCTGAGTCTGATCCTGAAAATGCCCTCATTCAACATCGTGGAGAGCCAGGTAAGTAGGCTTATTTGAACTCTCAATTGAACGCTTCTAACGCTCACAGGAACTCATGATCTGCCTCTGGCAAAAGCCTTCTTTGAGGCAGTACTAAAAGGAGAACCTGCAAAACTACCAAAGTACGACAAGGCCATTAATGGTGGTAAAGGAGATCGACTTCCCGAGTCAGAATGGACTCCGGTAAACCAGCCTGATCAGCCCAAAATCCAGGCCATTATTCTCGAGGGATGGTGTGTAGGCTTCCGCCCCTTAACGCAAGAGGGCGTAGAAGCCAGACTCAACATGCCCAACCGAACTCTTAAAGCGCATAAGCTTGAGCATCTCCTATTCGTCAACGAGAAGCTATTGGAGTACGACAGCCTCACAGATTCCTTTGACGCCTTTATTCAGATCGACGCCGAAGACCTTGGCTATGTGTATGGCTGGAGACTAGAGCAAGAGGATCACCTGCGTGAGGAAAGGGGTGACCCAGAAGCTGGAATGTGTTCACAAGAGGTCGTCAAATTCGTCGACGGTTATTACCCCGCTTACGAACTCTACACCGATAGAATGCGAAAAGGAGTCCTGGCCAACCGACCAGGTCGTCAATTGCGAATGGTGGTAGGCCGTGACAGAAAAGTAAAGCATGTCCGAAGGGTCTGAACAGGGGAGACATATTCAACCCAACCACACAAAAAGGAACTCACCAAAATCCGTTACGACTAGACATTAATGAACTACTTACGGTCCTGAGCCGTTTCAACGAAACCACCGAATACTTCTCACGAACCATGTGATTCACCGTCGTACCTCTATAGAGCCCCTGTTTCTGGCGTGAAGACCCTAGATGTCTTTCTTAGTTTCAAGTTATAAGTTTAGCATGAGAATCGAGCCTGAGTGTAAGTCTATGCAGTTATACTAACTTCTATAGGCCTTAATGATATAAGAAAAAATATCTACAGGGTTATGAATAGTCTAGCAGGAGAACATTCTGCATATTGCTGCACTCTCGCAAACCATTTGAAAATATCACGCTCCCAATGTCGAGCAAATCAGCCTCAACTCCATCATAATGCAGTCGTATCGGTCGTAAAACTCATGTCTCGCACAGTTTCGTCGGTAAACGGTAGATGATTCATCCAGTCTTATCATCAACCACTCGCTGGCCATCTTGCTTCATCTTGGAGAGCTTTCGGTCAACAGCTTCTGTCCGGAGACGAACAGCTTCCTCACGATCGGCCGCTTCCTGCTCAAATTCCTGAATGATCATGCGCTTGTTGCGCCTCGACTCCATAAGTCGTTGCATCAAACCACTAAACTCATTGACAAACCAATTACCAGACGTCTCCCAGTTCTCAATCGACATATGAGAGAAGAGGTCATGTTGTTCCTGCTCGCCAAGATGACGAAACTGGTCCAATTTTGCTTCTATATTGCCAGGATCCACTCCGGTCCCCTTTTGTTCATCCTTGGATGGATCGAAGTCAAAAGGCTGCTGTTGAAGGGTGGTGAACGACATGGATCTGAGGGCAACATCGTCGTACTCTGGGTTTGGACGGCGTCGTTTCTTGTCTGTACGGGTCATTCTTGGGACTGGATCTGTAACGGGTGGTATGCTCCTCAACTGAGTCCTTTGAATCACCGGTTCGGCGGCCTTGGGCCTGGGTGTCGCATGCTCCTCCTCCTCTTCTTCTTCTTCCTCCCCACCACGTGAAGAACTCTCCAAATCCTCGTCATCGATATGATGCACAGTAGGCTCTCGCGGCATCTCAATTCTATGGTTGCTTGGCCGATGTGTCTCACGGCGCTTGGGAGATGGGCTCGGTACCCTGTTCAAATCGTAGGCTTCTGACCGGCCAGTATGTGACTTTCGAATTTTCACTTCACGCATGGGAATCCTGGAGTCAGGTCGTGCAGGTGATTCAGGACGGGCCCGTCCATGATTGTAATGACCATTAGCTTTTCCATGTCTAACGTTCACGTTGTCTTGAAAACCATCGCCCATATGGTCGATATTGTGTCGTTGAGGTCGAGAAATGACATTCATGCGAAGATCATCCCCAATAGCGAACAAATCGCTTAGCGGCGCCGCGGCAGGTCGTTGAAATCGGTTGCGATCAGGGTTGCGTGACGGAATGTTCTTCTTAAGATCACGAGTCAACTCGGGCCCGAGTCTAACGGGTTCAGAGGGCTCATTATATGGGGTAGTCAGACCAGACTCCAGGAAGTTGTCATCAAGCTGAGAGCCAGAGAAGAGATCTGGACGACCGTTCGAGTTAGGTCTGGCATGACCGTTGGGTGAAGATACTACTGAGAGCTGTTGTGAACGGGGTGAATGGGGTGGCGGTGGTTGGCTGAAAGGGTGGTTTTGTCTCGGGGGTGCAGTGTTTCTACCACCAAGCACCGCGATCTCTCGAGGAAAACTAGAAGGACGAGGTGTAGGAGCTGGAGGTGGAGCAGCATTTCGTGGTGGCTCTACACTTGAGGATTTGATGTCGACTTGTGATTGCAGTTCATTTTTTGTGCCAGCATTGGCAAAAGCCAGAAGCCGACCGCCTTTGTCTTTTAGACTCGGCGGCATCGTGTGGTTCGCTTGATCCCGGCCAGCTTTGCCGTGAAAAGACTGGAGTGATAGAGGAGCGCTTCCCGTCACGCGATGGCCCTTAACTCTGGCGGCAATGGGATGTTTCGTAGGCTCGTGGTGTCGCATAGGTGGAGTTTGTTGTCGATGGACAAGAAAGAATAGACCATTTGCTCAAAGAGATCGATTGGCTGCACTGAAAGCAAAATGGAATTCTCTTCGCAAGAAACAACTGACCAAAATGACGTTCGTGTCTCGCGGTGGCAAGCTTGCGTGCTCACAAACCTGGATAAGTTGTTGAAAGAGTCAAGTCTGTTTATATAAAATCGCAGGCGCGATCTCACAACTCATGCCTGCCCAACAGGGGTCGCGCCTGGGGAAAGAGCGATGCGCTGTAACGTCGCGACGTCAGGTGACGTTGGCGGGGTGCTCAGTGGACATCAACACCATAGAGATCCCTGTATCTTCGAACAACTTGACTTACACGAGCTTCAAGTCAACAGGTACCCAGCATGCTGCATTCCAATAAACTGAGTGGCATGCCAAGAATTTTTTGCGGAATATTCCTCTATTGACTTTTCAAATATTGACGAACACAAATTCCTACCAGCCCTTGACAAAGTCAGCCCGTATAATTCTAGTTTCTCCTGTCACCTCAACCTTGACACTTCAGTCATGGAAGTTCTAAGATCTTGAGTGACTTCCGATCTCGTTTCCAGTCCTCAACCGATCTCTATCTCCTTCTATAATCGTGATTGGGTTCCTGCAATCATCGGCTTCGGCTATGATTCACAGCATGGTGCATCCGGACATGCAACGAGAAAGACAACATCGAAAGGTTCAGATTGTGTGGTTGGGATGATGAAGATCGTGGATGTCACGGGTATGTTGACTTCTTATCGCCTTCAAAGCGGAATCGCCTGTCCCATGGGCCCGTGTCGATGCATCGGGCAGGCCGACGGCTGCAGTAAGTAATGACTGGGTCACCAAGACTCATTATACTTAGCTCTACAGTCTGAGTAGCGCTATGCATATCTCTGGATCTGAGGAATATGTACTTAGCAGGATCTCGATAAGTCACATGAAAACTCGACGCCATCTTGTGTGAACCGGTCGACTTTCGACGCCATTGACATATGCGGACCTTTCCGATGAACCAACATGCAACGCTATGGCTTCTCAACACATCTCACGATATCTCACTGGTAAGTGAATGATCTGGATTCCACTTGGATCAACATCGATATCGCTGAGACCGGCCAGAACGCATGATGACCAGGCGAAGTTCGTTCTCGAAGGCGGTAGTTCCACCATCGTGGCCTTTCTGGATCGTTTAAAAGGACAAGATCAGCAAGGCATTCTGGTTTTATTTCAACTCATCATCAAACAAATTCGATCTCACATCATTCAATATGTATAATATTGCTTTGTATTCGCTTCTCTATCTTGCCCTGGCCTCCTGTTCGAACGCATTGCCTGGAGCCGTGTCGCAGATTCAGAAGAAAGGTCCATGCTCTGGAAATACACCATCTACTCGAGACCAATGGTGTGGATATGATATCCACAGCGACTACTATTCTGTCATTCCCGATACGGGGGTCACACGAGAATATTGGCTTGAGATCAGTGAAATCATCTTCGCTCCAGATGGAGTCCCTAGGTTCGCCCAAGCCATCAACGGAACAGTACCTGGTAAGATTTCCGCCATACGAAAGCTTTAATTCAGGATCTAACTTCTTAGGCCCGACTATCTTTGCAGACTGGGGCGATAACGTTGTCGTTCACTTGACGAGCAACCTGAAGACTTCGACCAATGGCTCATCCTTCCACTTCCACGGCACTCATCAGAACTACACGAACCCTCAGGATGGCGTCGTTGCTGTTACACAGTGTCCTGTGGCTCCTGGGTCTTCAACAACATACAGGTGGCGGGCTACTCAGTACGGAACTTCGTGGTATCACTCGCATTTTGGTCTTCAAACTTATGATGGTGTCTATGGCGGCTTGATCATCCGTGGCCCAGCAAGCGCCAACTACGACGAGGACGTGGGAACCATTATGCTGAGTGATTGGTCTCACCAAACTGTCAACCAGATCCTACCCGAAGTTCAGAGAAAGGGCCCTGCGTTGATGGACAATGTGCTCATCAACGGTACCAACACGTACGGGAAAGAAGGTCACAAGAATCAGACCGGTGAAAGGTTCAGACTGGACTTTCAGGAGGGCAAGACATACCGGCTTCGTCTCGTCAATACTGGCATCGATACGCTCTACAAATTCTCTATTGACCATCATACTCTCCAAGTTGTTTCTGTGGATTTTGTTTCTATCGAGCCATACGAGACCGACCATGTGAGCATCGCAATCGGTATAACCCTCTGCTTCCTTTTCTCGCTATCCCGCTAAAATGTTTAGGTGAACGCATGGATATTCTTGTTACCGCCAACCAAGCCTCAAAGGCATCTGCCTTTTGGCTCCGTGCTATCCCCCAGCTCGACTGCACCAAAAACGCCAATCCACAAAACGCTCTCGGCATTGTGTCTTACTCATCCAACAGTTCGACGCCCACAACGAAAGGACGAAAATTTGAGGATCACTGCGAAGACGAACCCTATGAGAGCATCGTACCTGTCGTTCCCCATATTGTCGGCCCCCCTGACACCGAAGTCGTTGAGAATGCCAACCGGTCTTGGAACTCGGACGGCATTATCAAGTGGTCCCTCAACAGTACTACCATGATTGCTGAATGGAACCACCCTTCACTCCTCAAACTCGGCACCAACACCTCGTTTACCGATTCAAATGCTGTGATTCGCATTCCAAAGAAGGACGCATGGGTCTACCTCGCTATCGAGACGGAACTTGACATCTCTCATCCGATTCACCTTCATGGTTTCGATTACCATATTCTCGCCCAGGGTGTCGGACCATACGGTCCCAATGTCACCCTCAAAACGGAGAACCCGCCACGTCGTGATACTGCCCTATTGCCTGCGAAAGGGCACTTGGTTATCGCTTTTCTTACCGATAATCCTGGCGTGTGGCTCATGCACTGTCATATAGGATGGCATGCTGCCGAAGGCTTTTCACTACAGTTTGTTGTACGAGAAGACGAAATCCCGGCACTGGTATCGGATCAGGAATACGAGGAGATTGAAAAAGGCTGTAAGGCATGGAATGATTTCTCGCACGGAATGGAGATGGAGCAAGATGACTCAGGGATCTGATGAGATTGATGATTTATGAATTTGAGCTCACGAATTTAGATTATACAGTAGACACTTTACGACTTCCTTGTGAATATGACCTAGAACAATATATTTGATCAACACTGGCAAAAAGCAATGATCACGCTGGGGATCGAACCCAGAATCTTCTGATTCGTAGTCAGACGCCTTGCTGGTGTCTTGTTAGTATTGAATGCTTGTGGCTTGTGTAACCTCAACGAGGTGCACTGGTGATTGAACTTACCCATTGGGCCACGCGACCGTTTTATGTCAGGCGGCCTTATAGTTAGACTTATTAGTCCGCGATTGAAGTGGGAAAGCGATTCTCAAGAGACTTCTCATAGGTGAATGCGGTTCGGCCGGCATCGTAGCCATTGTATGCCTTCTGTGGAAAACCCACTTGGTGAAGCGGGACACGAGAAGCGAAGCCCACAGTGGAATGTTGGAAGTTTCTGTCTAGTTGCAAATAACAACATGAATTACTAGTTATAAGATTTAGAAGCTTCTGTGTAGTTCTCTTGTATCTTATTGAGAAGTAAAGCGAGAAGAATGCAGTGTAGAGTTGATCAGAATCAAAGTTATTCTAGCCAATCACGATTCAACCTGACTTATACCAACCCAACTAAACCACTTGCCAACCCATATTCGCCATCCTGCTTGGAAAGACAATTCAAAGAGTACAGCAATAATCTACCAGACTTCGGTTCCAAGTTCTAATTACTCGGCCATTATTAAACTTGATCTACTGTCAGTAGCAAGTCAGTTGCCGCAAGTAAAGTCAACGCTAACTTGGTTACCTAACCCACAAAAAAGGTTTGCGCCGACTCTCTCCCCACAACCAAGATCGACAAATATTCGACACCAGAGTCAAAAAGATTGATCACGCTGGGGATCGAACCCAGAATCTTCTGATTCGTAGTCAGACGCCTTGCCATTGGGCCACGCGACCTTTCTTGTTGAAAGAGGCTCATATTCGTGGATATATTGTTGATTGCAGCCGTGCTGTGTTAGTCGATCGTTGTCTCGCCTACGTCCGGACTTCTGTAGATAATTGTATTGCTTCTGCTAAGTGATTCGTTGTCTCAAACCTCACTTTACCGTTCTACTCACTACCTGTATGCTTTAAGGAGTTATCAGAGAACAAAATAGAGAGCCTAGTTGACGGTTTTCGTTGCTCCTGTTGCTGAGTCTCGTCAATGTTTTATTTGTAATATTCTGTGAAGGAACACCAATAGTTTCCACCCAGCCGTGTGTATCATCACAATCGAGATCCAATAGTCTCGGTTCGAGGGGAGATGCTCTGCTACACTAATTGCGCTTATAGTCTGCCTGTTCAAGTATCATATGGCCATTCAAGTATTATTCTCTTTCTCTTTAGGGTAGTGGAAGCACATGTAAGTGACTCGACAGCGTAGATGAACCAATGCTAACTCACAAAGACTCCGAAACTCTCATGCAGTCATCATTCAGATTCAATCCTTGTCCAATTGCTTATCAAGGTACCAGACATCAAATCTTCCCTTGGTCAATTATCCAATACTTTGAACGCCTTTCACACGATAACATCGCGCCCCACAAAAAATCCGATGACTCGCCCCTCCGGCCGGCGTCGGCCTTATCAAGCAAAAGTGGCTATACGTTAACAGCTTAAAGAGCAAGAGCTTCGCATTCCCTTTCATATCATCTTCACGTAAACACTCAATTAGACTCCCAATGGCTCCCTTCAACCTCGAAACCTGCGCTAGGCCCAATATTCTGGCTCTACAGCCGTATCGCTGTGCTAGAGAGCAAGTTGCCCCTCCCCCGCATCAACCGAAAGAGAGGACTAACCATTGATACAGCGATTACAAGGATGACGGTACAAACATCCTTCTCGATGCCAACGAGAACGCGTATGGTCCTTCTTTGAACTCGGATGTCGCCAAGCAGACTGCCAATGGCGTCGACGTCGATCTTCTCGGCCTCCACCGTTATCCCGACCCTCACCAGGAGCCATTGAAGCAGCAGCTTTGCGAGTTGCGTAACACCCACGCCCACACGAGCAAGACGCTTAAGCCCGAAAACCTTTTCGTTGGAGTCGGAAGTGATGAGGCTATCGATGCGCTGCTGCGATGCTTCTGTGTCCCTGGAAAGGACCGTATTCTTACCTGCCCCCCTACATACGGCATGTACTCCGTGTCTGCACAGGTCAACGACGTGGCCATAGTCAAGGTTCCTCTTCTGGAGGCTCCCTCATTCAGCATTGATGTGCCTGCTGTCCTCGACGCCTTGACGAATGAGCCCAACATCAAGCTCGTCTACCTTTGCTCACCAGGTAACCCTACCGGTTCAGTTCTCGCCAAGTCCGATGTCCAGAAGATCCTTGACCACCCAACATGGAACGGAGTTGTTGTTCTTGACGAAGCCTACATCGACTTCGCTCCCGACGATGCTTCCCTCGCTGAGTGGGTGACCGAGTTCCCCAACTTGGTTGTTATGCAAACCCTGTCTAAGGCCTTTGGCATGGCTGGTATCCGTCTCGGTGCTGCATTCACATCACCTCCCATTGCCCGACTTCTCAACAGTCTCAAGGCTCCTTACAACATCTCTAGTCCTACAAGCGCTCTTGCGTCATACGCTGTCTCCGAGAAGGGTCTTGCTATCATGAGAGACCACCGCGCTCGTCTCCTAGAGTCGCGCGATCGTCTTATCAAGGAGCTTCCCAACATCCCTGGTGTTGGACGTCTACGAGGTGGCACCGAGAGTAACTTTTTGCTTTACGAGATGCTCAACTCAGCGGGTGAGCCAGACAACAGTATCGCCCTGGCTGTGTACGAGAAACTCGCCGAAGGCAAGGGTGTGGTTGTGCGATTCAGAGGCAAAGAGCACGGATGCCTAGGATGCCTACGTATCACAGTCGGTACAGACGCCGAAGTGACAAGATTTTTGGAGTCGTTGAAGACAACATTGGCTGAAGTTAGAGGATCCTAAAGCACGACGGGGAACAACGATAAAATGGCGTTTGAAAGTTAGATCTAGATTTCTAGACGTAATCTCGTGAAATTATAAAAGGCAACACTCATAGGCATGAGCGTCTTATAAGAATTTTGGTCCTTTAGACCAATCGATAATCAATCCATTTCCCGAACGCCTGTCCATTCTATCCCGTTTAAGATCTAATCAATCATCAATAACTTTTGTCTAGGCCAGTCCCAGGAAGGTGAGGACAGTTACAATACTGAACGATGCAAGGACGAGATCGGCCCGGTACCCGTTGGCCGCATCCTCACTCTTTGTAGGCTTAGGAGCTGCATCAGCCGTTGCTGACGCCGTCTCAGCGGATTTGGAGGACGATGACGGGGTGCTCTTAATCTTGGACTCGTGAACGTCCATGGCAGCCCAGTCTGTGCTACGGATAACCTTGACATCTTTGCCCTGTAGCGGCGCGGGAGCGTCACCTAACAACAGTCCCTGAACTGCTTCGAGAGCGCACATTTGCTGGCCGAGTCCAGTGCTTCCATCATTTCCTTCAACGTACCATCGCAGACCGCACTCACGACCTGTCTTACCACCTGTGCAGGTCTGGACAGCAGCTTTGACAGTTGGCTCAAGGTGAGCGTGGACGTGCTCCTTCAGGCCAGGTTGCATTTGGATGGACAAGTACATGAAGCGTGATAGGTAACCCTTGAAAGTGGTCATGTCTGCAGTGCAAGTCATGACTGTCTCGCAGGCGGCTTCATACATGACGTTGGTGACGTTGCCAAAGGGTGCGAAGAACCAGTCAGTGCCCTTAAGCAAGTTCTTGCTGCGATCAACCCACTCTTGGTTTCCAGTGTGGTTTGCCATAACAGCAGCTCCGTACAGGTAGATGCCCTGTGTATAAGTAAATGAATGATAAACGGTCTTTTGACAGTTGTCTTTGATATCGGTGCCATCATAGACGTGGTAGTTGCGGTGGTCTATGAATCCAACATCCCACGACCAGTCCCAGATCTTAACAGCCCAGTCGAGGTACTTGGATTCACCCGTGATTCGGCCAAGACGGGCAGCGAGCTGGAAGAAACCACCGTTGCTGACCGAGTTTTTGTATGTCATGCCGTTGGGGTTATCTGGGTAGATTTGCCATAGAAGACCACCGCCACACGTGCTGTCGTCCCAGCGACCAGCAAGCTCGTTGAAGACGTTTTTGGCAATGTCAAGCCAAGAAGGAAGGTCTTTGTTAGGCTGGGGGAAGTTTCGTTCAGCGGCGGACAGGACAGCATTTCCCCAGAAGAAGAGATCGTCGTTGCCCTCTTCATCAGCATGCTCGGCAGGCATGTAGTCGAGACCCTTTCCGAGGTTTGTGGGACCCAGAAGTGCTTCGATAATGACATCGTTGTATGTGTAATCTCCAGTGAGGTGGTAGTAGTCGAGCATGATGCCCCAAAGGGCACCAGCTACCCACCAGTAGTAAGGATCTTGAAGATCACCTAAGTCTTTGGGGTTTGAAGAAGTGTTGCCTTTGTAGTAGGACATGGCATCGAAAGCCAGGGTTCCTGCTACATTTCTGATGGAGTCTGAGGTTGTCAGTGGTGTAACGAAGTACATGACTGTAGTACATACCTGGATTTGAGGTGTCGAGTGATTTGGGTGCTGTTCTGGTGGCAGTGGCTAGAGAAGCCAGACCGGCCAGAGCCAATCTATTAAGCTTCATGATGATTGAAAGGTTTGTATGTGTATGTATCGCTCGGCGATCAATGGGCTTCTCCAGGAAGTCGCTGGCACTTAAGTGATGGTAAGATCGGATCTTTATAGAGATTTACTTTGTAAGAGGCTTTATCGATGGACCAGTAAATGTGCGTAGTTTGATGTCCTAAGCAACTGACGTGGCGATGATGAGTCTGTCTGTAGTGGTCAAATAGACGTGCTGCTGGTGCTGAAGAGGCGTAGGTGTGAAAAAGAAAGATCAAGCCATTGACAGGTATAGTAGAGGTAAAAGTCAAGAAGGAGCGAAAAGGCCAAGAGAGTGATTGCCAGAAGAAGAGAGGAAAAAGTAAGGAAGGAAAGACGATAACAGAGTCGACTAGAGAGTGGAATACGAGAACGCAATAAGCTGAAGCTCAATAGATCAGACGTTTGATCGTTTTCAGGCTGGATTTGGCTTGGCTAGACTTAAACTGACTAGACCAAACGTTGACTTAGACGAGAGATACGATACGATACGATGGGGGACCAGACTTGGGTTATGTATTCAAGATTTTTGCTGTAACCGCTTTCAGGCAGGTCCAGGACGGATCTCCAAGGAACGAATAAAGTATGAGAGTAATAAGACTAGACAGTAAAGAGTGAGACTTTTGCTGATGAGCCCCAGACAAGGTGAACCGTTGAATCGTGAATCCTAACAGACCACTAACTCTCCCCGCACACGGACAAGACCCCTGATGCTCTCGGCGATCAACCGTGCTTCCTGGCCAGTAGAACAAACCATGGTGGTTACAGACATAGACAACTAAAGGGCCGGTTGTTTCGCGTCACCGCGCGGGTAAAAGAAGAGAAGATCGTCAACAACAAACAACAACCCCACGGGCAACATTTGTTTCTTGGAACGAATGAATTGGTGTGAAGGACTAACTAACCAACTAAAACAGTGGATGAGGAAAGGATCCAGGGGTAAGAAAAGACACTAAATCTCTAGCTTCTGGACTGACAGATGTCTCGGGGGAGGGTCAAGAGGGGATTGGTAGACATCAAAAGTTGGAGAGACCAGGCTTGGCGCCACGAGATTCATGCATTTGTCAATTGAGAAAGGCTTTCTCTATACTTTACTTTACTCTGTGTTCTTTTGAGTGACGGATGGTTACACTTATATCTTGAAGTATAACATGACCTTTCTATCATCTCAGAGCCAAAGCACAAACATACTTGCATAAGGCATTAACGTTACCGTATTCAATCACCCCAGCAATTTTTCTTTCTTTTTTTACTTTGACTTTTCTGCCCTTGCTTTGAGGCTGAGCTGAGCGATTAGAGGCGCAAATGATCGTCCCATAAGAGCCTGACTCACAGACGAAACATAAAGGAGATCCTGAAACACGAAACAAGTCCAGCGTTTCTGTCGGTCAAAGGAAATTTTATGGCGGTCTCTTTCACAAGCCAAATCTTATGGCAATCCGAGTCTATTCCAAGGGCAAAAGAAGCTCATAGCCAAGCTTCATTGTCTTGCACACGGAATTCGTCTCCGCATTCCCTGTAGAACTTGAGACTTCCACGATTTCCTTTCCTGTGTCTTGGTAAAACTCCAAACAGATATGCTTACCGGAGCTTGGCCGGACCCTATCTTCCCTTTTGAATGCGATACCTTAGATTATGCAAGCCCATTGGGATTGGGGCTGCAGACAACATTCATGTCGTGCCACTGTCTCTTGCAGATTAAAACCATCATCCAGTCAAGATTCCTCCAAGACTTTCTCACCACCAATTCATTATCCCGTAAAGAACATATGAACAATCTGTCACAAGGAACGTGATAAGCGTGATGGGACTTGACCGTCGAGGTTTATTTCTCCGAACCAACTGACTTTCACCACCATCTATCTAGCAGCCAAACAGCGGGCATTTCTTGAACCGCGTGGCAAGCGATGAACTCTATGCTTAGTCTTCTGACCTAATAATAGTGTAGAAACACGGCGTGTCTCCGAAAACAGTCGCCCTTCTCTTGGACATTTCCGAGTCTTTGCCTCCATTCCCACTGCCGCGTAATCATCAAGAATGTGCAAAAGTCAACAAACTTTGAAGACGAAGAGTCTATTGGCTAGTGTATGAGTCTTGAAGTCATTCAAATCACGGTGCTTTCGTCAATATGCCCAGGCGAGGGAGGGGAGAAGGGTCATATCAATACTCTTGAAGGTGCCGTTGGTCGATTATACACCTAAAATTAACGACAAGACATCGCATTCGTCCAACCTTTCACTTCAACCGTCATCAAATAGCTGTGATGAATCATCTTTTTAAGCCACTGCCTACGTGCTTGAGATAACCTTGTGAGAGATTAGGTGCAAAAAGTCAAAATGAAACGACAACGACAGGATTCGAACCTGCGAGGCCGAAGCCAATAGATATCCAATCGTGATGATTCAAGTCTATCTCCTTAACCACTCGGACACGTTGTCTAGTTTTGATTACGTACTGGCTCACTAAGAAAATAATATGTACCCTTTCAACATTAAGTCAGCCAGAATTCGTATCAGTGCAGATTAACCGCACATGCCGTATTGTCTGGCTGGAGACTGAACGCCTTTCCTTTTTCTCCATATTCAATCCGGTATATCTGAATTGGAGGCTCATGGACCTTATCCAATAAGCGTGTTAAGAATTCAGTCTTTCAGGTACTAAAGTATACAGCCACAATGTACGTCACATTAAGCATAACTCATAATGTCCAAAGTCTTCTTGTTTTGGTATAAATAATAATAAGCCCATGCTAACATATGATGAAAATGCCATGTTTGCTAGGCAACCCCAGTCTTAAAAACAATGCTTGCTTGCGCCTCCCAATCCAATATCCCGTCATGATTCATGGTCTCATAAAATGTCCAACAGGCCACGCTCAAAGCCAACCAGCCATCAATGTGCAAAACGCTGTTAGTAGAGCAATCCTCTGGACGCCAACATCCAAGGTTGTCGCCGCACTGTTGGCATCCGTAGCTAACGGCAACGAAACGAATTCTGTTGGCGTGGTTGAAGCCGCAGTAACAGGGTCAGGATCCTGTGGTACAGGGCCCATAGTCAAGACGCCCCATTGAGCATCTTCGCCGGTGAAAGTTGACGTCCATAATACTTCGGTTGGGCCAGTATGTATACCGTCATTATAGCCCTTGTCAAAGCTAGAGGATCCAGAGCAGGTTGCTTCGGTTGTGCCTTTTAGGTTGCACTCTAGATTTGCCGTTCTGTACTATGTTAGAAAGATGATAGATAAACAAGGGGGAAACGTACAATCTTGAAGTATGTGTTCCGTGGAATCGAACAGTCTCAGGACCTTCGACAATTACGAAAGGAAACTCGAGGGCAAGATCACATTCTGGTGGGTTGGGGCCTTGTTGGTCTGGGCAGAATATCGTATATGTGGTCTCCTGAGCCTCCTCGTCGCTCGAGACAACACTACCGCGCACCAAAGACCAAGACTCCTCGCTGTAGTAGGGCAAGTATATAGGCGCGGTGGTAATAGTAGGCGGCACCTCTTCAGCATATGTGACGCGATTCAAGACCATCAACGCCAGCCAAGTTGAGGTGAGTCCCAGCAACATGGTACAGGTCCAGTGCAGTACAGTACAGTGGAGGCAGGGATAAGAGAGTTTGGAAGTGACCAATCAAAAGGGGTTGAGATGCGCTGTAGAGTGACGATCGTGGGCGCGAATATACAAGGGTTAGACTAGTTTTCAGTTGTTCTGATCGAAAGAGGTAGAATGATAATGATTCTTTTTAGAAAAGGAACTTGACTCTTTGATAAGAGAAGAGAGAAACTGGGATGGAAGTTGGGGAGGGGCGCAAAGACGTGAGCCAAGCATCAGCGGAGAGTGCCAAGGCTTGGGCTTGGGCTTGGACTTGGAAGAGCGGCTGAGGCTGAAGTTTTGAGATTTGGCGATGTTTAGTTACCTACTACAAGACACTTGATAACTAAGTATAGGTAAACTACAAAAAAACAGAGTTTCCGACTACAGATAGATTCGCCATAACATGAATTCTATCGGATATCGGCTTCATGATAACAATTATTGTAACATGCCAAGACTGAGGATTTTGACTGAAACTTCCATGCCAAGACGGACAACTTTTGAGCGCCAAGGCTTTTTTTCATTTTGGTACCCCAGCAAAAAGGGAAAAAAGGCCCCGTTCCGAATTTCCACTCGCTGCGGCTTAACCGAATCCTACATCAGTAATACTTAGTAATGATACTAGTTGAATCCTCATTTCGCATCTGAAAATCTTCAATTTTGAAAAGGGTCTTTATTATGAGTGAATAGAAGTGCCAAGAGTATTGGATTTTTACTTAGTCGAAGTCGGCTTTATCCCATCCGGTGACCAGACATTTACCCGTAGGCATTGGCGATGATTGACATCATGTCTAATACTAGTAGCTACAATTTCAAGAGGGATATTGTGTATTTAATACAAGAGGCCTGTATCCCTAACCTAACATCTCATAGGCAGTATCCGTACGGAGTAGAGGTGCACGTCTTTGCAAGATGTAGCTTGACAAGTCGCGTCTGAGCATGAGTATAACCAATTCCCAAGACAGGAGAAATCTAGCCACAAGTCAAACCGATAGGGTAACTAACTAAGGATAATGAAGGCACAAGCTTGTTCATTGAGCAGTGTGACTCTTAACAACACTTAGAATGCTTATAGCCAAGAAACATTTGTTTTGGGCGATCAAGTTAAGCTCAATCGTCAAGGCTTGAGTGGAGGATATCATCGTAGCCAAGCACCGGCCCAGATCGTTCTTTATTCCCGCCGAGGTCTTGGCCTTGGTATCCTCCCGAGCTTGGTTACTAGCCTCAGAAACATGTAATGCGTGTCGACCTGGATTGTCTAAACGATTGATAGCGTCTTTCGTCGCCAGTCAGCAGTCATGGTAATCGCTGTCTTTGCGCCGCAAGCCTTCGCATGTTATCAACCGTGAACATGAATCTATCGTCATTACGGCGATTACTGAATAGAGTAGAGCCCAAGATCAATTCCTTTCCGGTTACAGCTTCAAAGCTGTCAGGGTATCCCTTGTCCTACGGTGTAATAGTCCAGCCGATGCCTACCGAGACATGCCTACAGTACTGCATCAATCATCTATCAAGTCTAGGCTAGATCTATTACCCGAATGCTGCCTACCTTTCTCGTACGAGACGAGAGCTAGGATATGACACCGACCAAACTTCAAAGGATGCGCCACCCCCATAAGGCTAACTCGATTCAATTAATGCTTCAAAAATAAGGATCAATAGTCTCAACGACTTTGTTCCTTGACAGACGCCAAAACCTCCATTTTCGTATTACTTTCAAAGAGCCTCTTCTCCACTAATCTAGAAGTTGGTTGTCACTGAAATAATGAAGATCATTGACGTTTTGACTCTCCTTACTGTAAATCTCCCGCTGCAAAATGCAAATCTTCAATCTACTTGTTTCCCTCCCCTGCCCTACGAGGCCCGAGAGGGTGGTACCAAGGCGGATCCTCGGAACTATAGAGCCTCTGTAATCTCCTTTCTCAACTCTGAAAAGGTAAGTGTTTCGAGAATTAGCGCTATCACGGTCTAAGCGACCTCCGGAAGGATTCACTCAATCAATTAGAACGGTTGGATGACGGGTGACTCTAAGCTCAGACCCTTTGTCGTTGCAGTTGGTCGTGACTAGCATGAGAAATTAAGTAAATAGGAGAGCATCTGCCACCTCTTGAGTTATTTAGTCTCTCTTGTTGATTATCATTGTTTTTGAATCATCTACAGTTGATCATCCTATACATTCGTTTTTCTACGTCCAACCCAATACATTCATTAGCTTAATTATACACACTCGTTAATTATCCAACAAAAATAATCTTCAAAATGGTTCGATCTCTTGCTCTTCTCGCCGGCGCTGTTGTCGCTGTCGCCGCCCAGACTACCACCGTCGAGTTCTTCCTCCCTGGATACGATGATCAGATTCTCGAGGGTTCCGTTGTTGCCGTCAAGGGTGACGCGACTACCATGGCTATCAACTGCCCCAAGGGAGTCGACTCTAGCGAATGTGGCATCATGGACACCAGCACTATTATCGGTGGCCCCTCTACCATGGAGATGGTCTACTACTACGAGCCTGATGAGGAGTTCGGTGGTGGCAAGATGTAAGTACATGTCTTTTAAGATATCACCAACCAGCAACTAACATATCTATTTGAAGTGACCAAAACATTGGCTGCAAGCTGAACCCCAAGGACGATGTGGCCATCTGCTCCATCGACGCTACCAACGTCATGTCTGGTTTGACCGAGTCCATGGCTACCACCACTGCTCTCAGTGGCTACAAGCAACTCCTCATGCCCATCACTGTTACCGCTGGTGCCGATAAGCTCAAGGACGATGGCTCTGCTCCCGCTTCTGCCACTGGCTCCGCGGCTACTACTGCCGACAAGCCCAAGGCCACCGGCGCCCAGGCTACCGAGACTACCTCTGCTTCTGCTTCTGACGCTACTTCCACTCCCGCCGCCGTCACCGACAACGCTGCTGGTCCCATGGTCACCCAGAACGTCTTCCTGGTCGCCGCCGCTGTTGTTGGTGGTGCTGCCATGCTTCTGTAAAGGAAGAACCGTAACGAGGAAGAAATATGATGCTTTGGTAACGCGTTTAGCAGTAATGATATCTAATTAAAACCATTCAATTCGAAGTCAAATCATACACATGCCACTCCAGTGAATGATCACTACAGCCAGTCTTGATCTAACGTGATGAATCTGTCCCAGGAATTCAACCCAGCCTCTCATAATAAAGCACAAAACGATGGTTCTACCGTCCTCGCTAACAGTAGTGCAACCATACATACAGCAACGCAATAAGCAAAATGCGGTTTGCTCGACTCTTCAACAACTCAAAGCAACGAAAGAGCAAAGCCAGGGGTATCATATACTTGCATAAAACGATATGGCACGCGTTCAGGTGCGGTCCTCTCTTCCATCAAGCCAGCTAGTGCACTGTATACAACGAACAGACTAGAGAATGTTAGTAGACACTCGGCATTACTAGGACTATTATCTTACCTTCTCGTTGATACGCTGCCTGCAATACTTGCACTTCTTGGTATGCTTGATAATAGGTTCGGAAGAGGCAAGCTGCCACAGATGGGCAAGTCCATATAAAGCAATACCCAGTATGAGAAATGATATCATTTGGCCGATAAATGATCTACAAACTGTCAGCAGTTGTATCAATTAATGTCTGATGATGCCTACCCATAAGCCAAGACGACAGCACCATCATCTTGTGCCTGGTGTAAAGTGTTGTAGCCTGAGGTTGCATTGTAGTTGGGTCCCTTTTGCAAAACGGCAAACTTCTCCTCCATATTCTTGTTCAGTGGCAGAATGACGGAAATTGGTGGCATGAGGACATTGCTCACAAACGACTTGACCAAGTCGGTGAAGGCAGCGGCAAGACTGTTCCATTCATGTTAGTTACCAGAACAAGATAAACAGTGTGGATCTCATACATCAAACCAACGGCAATCTTGAGAATATCATCCTGGAAAGCAAAGTCGATAAAGCCATCCCAAAAGTGCTTAACTCTCTTGTGACCTCGACCGAGCAGAGACTCGGATTCGCCAGAGGCGGACTCCTCATCTGGGAAACGACCAGGCATGTTGCGGTAGCTTGGGCGTGATGTTCTCCAAAGACCAGAGAACCAGGACATGAGTTTTTTTATTGTGAACAAAGTTTGATGACCCGAGAAAGACTGAGAGGATTTTGATGGATTTGTCTTAAACGTGGCAGACTGAAGGAAGGACCATCATACATCCAATGTTAGTGAGACACGGAGACACGCGCTTGTCGCGGGAATATCACAGTGACGTCATGGTCACATACCAGATGGCTACAGGGTAATCAAGTTGACAACAGTATCATCTGTTAGATATCGTATGTTGCAGTACGGTTGTGTATTGATAATTACATATCTTGTTCTCTCGAGTTTATCACTCATCATCAAAGATGGAATTGCTCCTATGAATTGCTACCCACTAAGGTGGATGCCTCGAGACTCATTCACCATTACTATCTACTGACACACGGTCCTCGTTGCAATCATCAACCATGAAGTTCTCCCAAGTACACCTAAATTTTAGAAAGGAATGGCCGTCTTGGCCCGTATGTTATCATGACAGCTTCTGATACAAAAGCATGTATCATGAAATGTCCAAAATCAGCCATCACCTTCTAACATCCATAACCTGATTGGCCAATCAAAACCTCAGTATCCACTGCGAGCAGAAGCATCAGAGCTAAGCCATTAGAAATCCAGACTTCTCATACCCATCAACCATTTATATAAAACAACTCAACTTCAAAAACTCACAAAATGGCTACTCCTTTCCGCTTCGTACGACCTATCACTCAGGCTGCCCGATCTGGAGCCGTTTCATTCGCTGCCCGACCCTTCCACACCACAGTCGCACGATTCGCTGTCCAGGACATCAAGACGTGAGTTCAAGAGATACACCAGGTTGGGCCACAGTAACTAATTGGTATCGACAGAACAAAGGAGTTCAAGGACCTTGTTTCCACAACAGATAAGGCCGTCCTAGTTGACTGCTTCGCTACCTGGTGCGGTCCTTGCAAGGCCATTTCTCCCATCCTCAACAAGTAAGTCAAGACAAAATGTCCTTGGGAAGTCTTAAACTAATACAAAATTCCAGGCTCTCCGAGGAATCTTCTCTTTCCAAGAGCATTGATTTCGTCAAGTTTGATGTGGATGAGCTCCCTGACCTGACTGGCGAGCTCGGCGTTCGCGCCATGCCAACTTTCTTTGTCTTCAAGGGTGGTGAGAAGGTTGACGAGTTGGTGGGCGCCAACCCTCAGGCTCTCCAGAAGATGCTTGCCAAGCATGCTGCTTAGAATGGTGATTCTCCTCCCGTTATGTGCTCTACTGGTTTATTTGCGGAAAAGAACCGCCATGATGGACCTGCCCTGCAGGGATTTTGTATAAAAGGCAGTACAGTAGGAAACTGTGTATATTAGCAAGGTTTGGAGATAGACTTTGCAACTGATCATTGATATCTTATCTTGTCATGATCATCTTGAACCAACAACGAACATGCAGATCACAGTCTCGGCTACAGGTGGTTCAGCCAAATCGTTCTCCCCTGGCTTTCTATTTCCAGCTTAGAGGGACGCAAGCGGAGTTGGAAGGCCGAAGTATGGTATCACAGAAGATCATACGGCCAATGTCATTTGCGCCCAAGAGGTTTTGAAGGGTTGGAAAAGGCGTCCTCACAATTAACACGATTGGTTGATTTAACATACAGGACATGATGAATATATCACTGGACCAGCCTTATCTTTGCCATTGCTTCTTCCGCTATCATTGTGGATGGACGGTCCCGGTTTCGGCGGACCCGCGGCGGGCGTGAATGTTTCCCGCGGCGGACTTGACTGAAACAGGCCAATCAGAAGGGTCAATTAGGCCGGTTCAGCGATCGGGGCTTCAACTAGTAGCCGAGGAGAAGGTGAGTATAAGGTCATGAGACAGGTCAAGTTGATGTGACAACCTCAATTCATTATCTGCCTTTATAAGTCTATTCAATTGCCTTAGTATCTCGACACGCCTAGGGCCCATATACTGTAAGCAATTTCTAGAGTGTGACGTCTATCAACATGGCCAACACAATCGTCGTCGTCGGGTGAGTCCTGTAATCCAAGCCCTTGCAACAAATAACTGACATTGTGAAGAGCTGGTGTTTCCGGATTGACATCGGCCTACCTTCTCTCCAAGAACAAGGGAAACAAGGTCACCGTCGTGGGCAAGCATATGCCTGGTGACTATGATATCGAATATGCCTCGCCTTTTGCTGGGGCTAATGTATGCCCGTAAGTCCAAATACATTGGCCGCTCATGACATCCACTCACGACCTTGTAGAATGTCCACACAAGAGAACAGCAGATGGGAACGTCGAACATGGGTAGAGTTCAAGAGACTCTGCGAGCAAGTCCCTGAGGCGGGTATTCACTTTCAAAGTGCGACCCCATGTCTTCTCGCTAACAAGTAGTCTTGCTAACAACTTATAGAGTGCTACATCGACAGACGCAAGAAGGATACAGAGGCAGCAAAGAACAGTACATTCCCTGATGCCCTATTCCAAGAAGAGCCATGGTACAAGGAATTGTTCGAGGACTTTAGAGAAAAGAACCCCAATGAGGTTACCCGCGGTTATGATTCAGGCTGCGAGTTCACATCCGTCTGTATCAACACCGCCATCTACCTTCCCTGGCTGGCAGGTCAATGCCTCAAGAATGGCGTCGTTATCAAGCGGGCCGTTTTGACCGACATCAGCGAGGCCAAGAAGTTGAGCCACACGGGCAATGTCTCTAACATCATCGTCAACGCTACAGGTCTGGGATCACTTAAGCTCGGCGGTGTCAAGGATGAGACTATGGCACCCGCGCGCGGACAGATCGTGGTGGTGCGAAACGAGACCACACCCATGCTCATCACATCTGGAGTTGAAGATGGTGGTGCCGACGTGATGTATATGATGCAGCGCGCAGCTGGAGGTGGCACAATTCTGGGAGGAACATATGATATCGGCAACTGGGAGTCTCAACCAGACCCCAATGTTGCCCAGCGCATTATGCAGCGCGTTGTTGAGGCCCGTCCTGAAGTTGCTGACGGTAAGGGCGTGAAGGGACTGAGCATTATCCGACACGCTGTTGGTCTACGACCTTGGAGAAAAGATGGACTTCGACTTGAGGAAGAAAAATTGGACGATGAGACGTGGATCGTGCACAACTATGGCCATTCAGGTTGGGGATACCAAGGATCATATGGTTGTGCTGAAGGTGTAGTTGAATTGGTCGACAAGGTTGGCAAGGCCGCCAAGTCAAAGCTGTAAATGATTCAAGCGACTAGCGGAGAGAAAAATTGGTTTCGGACAAATGGTAAATATTTGAGTTATGATTTCTATTTTCCCTCTTTTTTGAAGTCTTGTTACACAAGTTGGTGATAGTAAAGTTTATGCACATCGCGGGGCCCCGCAATACCATCGATTAGCTGTCATGAACCCCTAGGCCCAAGCTCATGAAGCTTCCCTTTTCAACCTTTCACAGGCGAGCGACGTTCTCAATCGACGAAAAATGGCAGAACCAGCGCCTGGCGTCGTCGCCCAAAGCACTCGCTTCGTGAAAGAACTTCTGACCGGCCAACATGCGCTTTCCAAACTAATTCCCGTCGCGCTCTGGCTCGCCGACGCGGTGGGCACAAGTCTGATCATTTGGAAGGTCCCATGTGCGTTGCGCTCGATGCCTCATGGCCCATGACGAAGCTAATTCTTTGTACGCAGATACCGAGATCGACTGGGTGGCATACATGCAACAGGTTTCACAATTCATCTCTGGCGAACGAGACTATACCAAGATCAAGGGCGACACGGGTCCCCTCGTGTATCCGGCTGCGCATGTCTACACTTTCACGGGACTGTATCATATCACGGATGAGGGCAAGGACATCTTCCTCGCACAGCAGATCTTCGGCGTGCTGTACATGGCGACACTGGCAGTGGTCATGCTCTGCTATTGGAAAGCCAAGGCAAGTCACCAGAGAGTTGATTACGATATGGTTTACTAACGTCGCTCAGGTGCCTCCGTACATGTTCATCTTCTTGATCGCCTCGAAACGATTGCACAGCCTTTTTGTCCTACGATGCTTCAACGACTGTTTTGCCGTTTTCTTCCTGTGGCTCAGCATCTTCTTCTTCCAGCGTCGAAACTGGACGTTTGGATGCCTGGCTTATACTTGGGGTCTTGGAACCAAGATGTCGCTACTGCTCGTCCTCCCTGCTGTTGGTGTCCTTCTTTTGCTAGGCCGAGGTTTCTGGCCCGGTCTACGTCTCGCATGGATCATGGCACAGGTGCAGTTCGTCATTGGCCTTCCCTTTATCATGAACAACGGTCGTGGATATGCGGCTCGAGCCTTTGAGCTGTCGCGCGAGTTCAAGTTTGAATGGACGGTTAACTGGCGCATGTTGGGCGAGGAAGTTTTCCCCAGCAAGAAGTTTGCTCTATTCCTGCTCGCGTGCCATGTTACAGCACTCCTGGTTTTCATTTCTCAGAGATGGCTCCAGCCAACTGGGAGGCCTCTCTCTGCCTTGGTCCCTTCCTTCTTGCGACTCAAGTCCCCGTTCACTGTGCAGGAACAGCTTCGAATCTCTAACTATGTCACCCCCGAGTTTGTCATGACGACAATGCTCTCCGCCAACGTTATTGGTCTCCTATTCGCAAGATCGCTCCACTACCAATTCTATGCCTATCTCGCATGGGCATCACCCTACCTCCTCTGGCGTGCCACAGAGGATCCCTTCATTGTGCTGCTAATCTGGGCAGCGCAGGAGTGGGCCTGGAACATCTTCCCAAGCACCGACCTCAGCTCCCGCGTCGTCGTGGGTGCTATGTTTGCGACAGTCGTGTTGGTGTATCGGGGGACAGCCTGGTCTGCTGTTCCTCCTTCTCAGGCTAGGAACATCGAAGCGAAGGACAAATAGATCTGGGTCTAGAATCTAGCTTCACTCATCTTCGGAGTCACTTGGGGGCATTTTGCCGACGTTGGATTCTTCTTCAGAGTCGCTCAGGTCATATGTGCTCTTCTTGACAAATTCCTTGGGCCTATCATAGATCTCGTTAGCATATTTGATTTCACGCAGAATAGACCATGAACTCACCAGTAGGACTGTTTGCGCCAAGCCTTCTCATCTCGGACCACATTCACGATCTCTCCATCTGCTCGAGTATCCTCTTTGCTATCTTGGTATATCTCGGCCAAGACAAATCCGCCGCGTTTAATCCAAATAGTGTTTCGAAATCGCTGGGCCAACTCCAAGAGCAGGGTTTTGGTGTTGGGCAGTTCGCAGGTGTACAAATTGTTTCCCTCAGGCTTGACAACGCGAACAAGAGACTGGTTAGGCTCGAGAGCATCAGGTGGTGTCAGAGCAGCCTCTGCGGCGGCAAGAACGTTTCTCTTAGGGCGTCCCATCTTGATGTTTACTTTCGATGACTTTCACAAGCTTTTGCTGGGCTTTTTTTTCTGGTATGATGGAAAATGTGGAGGGGTTACTTTGGAGGGGCAGATACTGGCTATAGCGATATGTGAACCTTTGTAGACTTTAGCTTTGACTATTGCTTTATCCGAGATGTGTCAAGCTACAACGGAATTACTGCATTTGGATCTTCCGGTCTCTTGTCTCTTCTCATGATACCATTACCACCGACTTTGCTCATATGTATTTATGCTGTGTCATAAATAACCTTGTCTTTCACCGGCCGCTAAGATCTCTAGACTAGGTAGGGTAACATGGTAACCGCCACTGCTGGACTGGTAACCCGAAGCAGCAAGACTACCAACCCTGATCATCATAAAGTGAACACAACAGCTGGAGATGGTGGCCATTTTGTCAGCAAAGCATCATGAATTAGAGATCTTCACCCAATCGGATCTTTTACAGATCCATCTTAACGTTGCCGTGTAACTAACTGCAACATGCACAAGGGTAAGCTAGTTCCATAGGTATCTGACATCGTGGGTAAATTATTCGGCAGTTCACGCTATTGGCCTGCTGGTTCTGTTTCACCTCGTTTGGCCTGTCTAAGTGGACTCGGCTTGATTGCCATTCCCTTCTCTCACCTCACCGTTCTATATACTACTACCTGATGAAGACATTCCACTACTGAGAAAACGTTTCGGGAAGCAAATTTGAGTGGACAGGTGACTCGAGTATTTATCTATTACAAATCTTACGGTGATCTTGTCAAGTTCCCTGACCTGTGTATACCTATATCAAGCAATCGCCGCCATGTCCCGACCACATTGCTCTTCGTAGCTTTACAAACCCTAATACATATCTTACGCTCCATTCACCCATTGAACCGCGGAGGATATCCATCATGGAACCTTCAATGCTCTCGGGCCTTGTTGCAGTTCGATCTGAATCTGCCGCTGCCAACTCACCAACCGACGAGCTCTATCGACCGTTGACAGCTCCCGCAAAGACAGTTCCTAGAACACGCCTCGGCACTCAAAGAGAGTCTTTCGAACTCCATGACATATCAGCTCGAAATGATCGTGCACGAGATGCTTCCTCTGTCAACGCCAGCAATGACCTGGAGATGAGTCGACCCAATACTCCTGACTCTAATACCGAAGTCGTCGAAGTTCTGCCTACCTTTCTGGAACCCTTTATGAATCGCTTTAGAGCTCTTTTCGGCTGTCTGGCTCAACTCGGTAATGCACTAAGTGATGGTGCTGCTGGTGCTTTGATTCCCTATATGGAGAAGTAAGTTCTCTAACTCACCGTTTGACAGTAATAGCTAACAAATCAAAGATACTACGGCATTGGATATGGCACAGTATCTCTGATCTTCGTAGGACAAGCCATTGGATTTATCTCCGCGGCTGTATTTCTCGACATCCTGCGGGCTAAGATTGGTCGAGCCAGACTTCTTGGCCTGGCTCAAACCATGGTTACTCTAGCCTACATCCCCATTATATGCGGAGCACCTTTCGTCGTTGTCGTCTTCTCCTTTTTCTTCATCGGCTTCAGCATTTCGGTCAATGTTGCCATTGGTAATCTCTTCTTTGGCGGACTTCGAAACGGCACTTTTATGCTTGGTATCCTGCATGGTACTTACGGAATAGGAGGAACGATAGGACCACTCATCGCAACTGCACTTGTTACAGCTGCCAATGCGGTATGGAACCGATACTACATAATTACATGCGCTCTCGGTGCCGTGACAGCTGTCTTGGGTACATGGGCGTTCTGGACATACGAAAAAGAGATGAGCCCAGCGGAACGCCAACGAGAAACAAACCAGGCAGGAGAATCGATGATGAACAGCATGTTTCTTGCCATGAAACTGCGCATCGTATTCTTGGGCTCTCTTTTCATCTTTGCATACCAAGGAGCTGAAGTCTCTATCTCGGGCTGGGTCATCTCCTTTCTCATCGAGGACCGTGATGGAGATCCTTCCTCAGTCGGTTATGTAACAGCAGGCTTCTGGGCCGGTATCACCATCGGTCGGTTCCTGTTAAGTGCTCCTGCCTCGCGTATTGGCGAGAAGAGACTCGTTTATGCTCTGACAATCGGTGCTCTAATATTCGAGCTTCTTGTTTGGTTCGTACCCAACATTGTGGGCAATGCTGTTGCTGTCTCTATTGTTGGTCTCTTCCTTGGACCTATCTATCCATGCGCTGCGGCGGTCTTCCTCCGCGGTATGAGTCGACGTGAAGCTTTGAGTGGAATTGGGACGATCAGTGCTTGTGGTAGCGCAGGAGGAGCTGTTGCACCCTTCGTTACTGGTCTTCTCGCTCAGGCTGTTGGCACATTTGTACTCCACCCGATTGCCATTTTCCTTTTCGTTGTCATGTTGCTGTGCTGGTACTTTCTTCCTACAGAGGAGAAGAGAACAGAATAGAGGTCAAATGAAGGCTTGCTAAGGATCTTGATCCCACTTATGCAGTATGACAAGTTGGAACGATGGTGCTGGGATACAGTGCAGGTTTACCCGGATTGACCATTTCTATTCAAAACCTCTAAAGGATCTATGATATGATCTGTGTAGATGGTGTATATCTAACCCCTCTATCCTGTATGCCTCTATCTGAGTATATATATAGATACCAATCCAATTTCCTTATTTTATGTCATAAATCATAGCAATTAAATTAGATACGTCCACGGGCAGCATCCTTGACAGAAACGGTGCCAGCCGCAATGTCCTTGACGGTCTGGGTGATGCTAGACCAGTCACGGAATGTGACGAAAGGAACGTTCTCGTTCTCACACCAGGTAACAAGATCTAAGGAGTCAGCATTTATTCCAATATACACAAAGTCATGGTTGTACTCACCCTTATCAGCCTTGGCGAACAACAAGTCGGTCTCCTTGGCAGCAGAAAGATCGGAAACACCGTCGCCAGCGTAGAACATGGTGGGTCGATCAGGTAGCGAAGAGTACTTGCGGATTTCGATAGACTTGTCATGACCGTGGATACTATCATGGTCAGCATGAGGACAAGGACCAGTAAAGCATGGACATACCTGTCGTCATGGAACTCAATTCTCCAGCCACCCTCATCCTTGAGAGTCTTACCCTCGCGCGCTACCACATCGTTGCTCACGATCTGAATGTCCCAACCGGGTCCGAGGAGAGTATCCAGGAGAGCGCGAATGACAGGCTCCATACCACCACTGAGGATGACAATAGGAACGTTGTTCTGCTGAGCCCAGTCGTAGAACTCCTTGAAGCCAGGGTCGAGCTTAATGTTCTTGAGGAGAATGTCAACACACTCGTCGAAAGGAGTCTTGATGCTGTCAAGCATCTCCACGAAGCTGTCGCGGAAGTGCATGTTTTCGTAGAGAACAGCCTTGTTGAGCTGGCGACGGCGCTCAACACCGAAACCAAGGTTATCGGTCATGTAGTCATTGGAATCGGCGGTGGTGACAGTTCCGTCGAAGTCGGTAAAGAAGATGAACTTGGGGTTGTTCTTGAGAGCTGGGGTTTCGGAAGAAGCCATGATGACGGTCTGGAGGTGTTATTTGTGTAGTTTTGTGACTTGTGAGTTGTCCCGTTATTGATCAAGCTGTGTTTAAGCCAGAGTAATAAGTCAATGACCTTTATTTGGGTCGTTCTTCAAGAAGGACCGAGTCGTGTTGTTAGAGGAAGATATGACAGAGCGCAATAGAATGGCGGGGGAGGGGCACAAGTTTTCATGAGACAGACAACAGAAGAGATCAGCAGAAATAAATAAACACCTGCTATTGTCTGGTTAAGCTGATTGGATATTGATACTAAGGAATCCTGACTAGGTCAATGAGTAGCAATATAAATCACGTACTGTACATAGCAGAAAACACCGCATAATCTACTGTATCAGCGCAGTCAGTTCTTGTTATCAGTGTCTTTCATGGATCCTTTAACCGTCTTGGCTTTTAGTTGGAGCAACTGTCGTCATTCTCATGACTCTGACCGACTACGCCATGGAATTTAGTGCCCCTCCACACTTTCTTCTCCCTGTAATTGCTCTGAAGCATAGCTCCTAGGACCCTGACCAGTCTGAGTCAAGACTCCAGCATAATGACAACAAAGGCGGTGACTGTATTTGGTGCTGCCCCGGTGGCAGAAAAAGCCCGGGCACGGAGCCGGCTGTAGCTCCATGGAACGGCTCGGCCCAGGCCCATGCGTTCGTCCCATCAACTCAACATTTATTTTTAAGGCTTCAGGGACTCCCGCCCACGACGACGACGCCGTTGCTGTATCGCACCAAAGCTTTCTCTGGTCGTCATGCAGCCGTTCGCCCGTCCAGCGGCAAGGCTTGTCTGGAGCAATGCGCGATTAGGTTTCGATCGGACCACGAGGCCGGGCAGGTCATGTTGGGAAGCCTCGGTATTTCAGAGCTCAACATTACGTATGCGATACAATATACGGACCATTGGCTCACAATCACGACTCTATTCCTCAGAAAGGCCACCGAAAGATCCTGAGGCGAACTCTAGATCGAATAGCGATGTCGAAGCCGAGCTCCAATCAATTCTTAAACCTCGGCCAAATATTCTAAAAGAGCTTCAGTCACCTGCCGAGAGACCGAAGTTGGAGGACGTAAAGGTGTCTTCCGAGAACACTGTACCTAAGGACGACAAACCCGAGCCTCCCAAAACCGAAGAGGCCAAGACTGATACCACAAAACCGGATGATGCCGCCTCATCACAGGAAACCCAGTCGACTACGGATAGCCTCCAAGTTCTCCGTGATCGCGCGCAACATCGTGTCAGCGAGTTAAAGGAAAGATTCGGCCATGCTATGGGGACGCTACAATATCGAGCGATGAACGCTTCCCAGACACTCAACGATATCACTGGATACACTAGCATCGAGACCATCAAGCAGCAGAACGCCAAGCTTGAGAAGGCACTCGCCGAGGCTCATGAGCGGGTTCGAAATGCCCGACAAGAATACAAGACGTCGAATGCTAGCCGAGCTACGACACAACGTGAGGTCACAACATTGTTGGCAAGAAAGGACAGCTGGTCACCAATCGACCTTGAGCGCTTTACCGAGCTTTACCGAGCTGATCACACCCTTGAGGGCAAGGTGGCATCATCCCAAGAAGCCTTGACAGAAGCCGAGATTGAAGAACAACGCTTAAGCCAGCAACTCAACGCAGGTATCCTGAAGCGTTACCACGAGGAGCAAATTTGGAGCGACCGTATTAGAAAGGCGAGTACCTGGGGAACATGGGGTCTAATGGGCATGAACTTCTTGCTGTTTGTTATCCTGCAGTTTATTGCCGAGCCCTGGAAGAGAAGGAGATTAGTCAAGGGTGTTGTAGCTGAGGAGAAGGCTGTGCTCGAAGAGGTCCGTGGCGAGCTTGAGCAAGTCAAGCTTGCCATTGAGAACCAAAACCATTCTGCTGCCGCCGCCGCTTTTGCTTCAGCTGTTGCGGCGACCCGGGAGGCAGATGTGGAGCCCATTACTGAGATTGCAGAAACAGAACAAATTCCAGTTGAGAGTCTCTTCGCTGCTGAAGAGGCAAGTACCACTGAGGTACCCGTTGCGACTCCCATCGAGCCAGAAAACGAGGCGCCTATTCCAAATCCCTTTTCAACAAGAGTATGGGAGGATGTCCTGCTCGACCCTTTGTGGTGGAGGGCTCAGGCAGATTGGTGTAAAGCCAAGGCAGACGATCTCTGCAGCGAGCGACGAATCAACCTACGCATGAAAGACGCTTCGTTATTGGCGCTTCAGGGAGCTCTGGCCGGTGCTCTGTTTACCGGAAGCGTTGCGATGCTAATCGTTCGACGATGATGATAAGATGTAAGATAGACATAAAGTTAAAGGCATTGTACATTATAATATAACTGTACCTATAGTTACAAAGAGAAAGATAGCTATCGGGCACGAACTGAACTGCAAGACTTTCACTGACATGCCTTGTGGCGATAACCGACGATGCTTCAAGCAAGTTATCTCTGGCCAATCGGATGTAGGTGTGCTGCATGACCTGTAGGGCTGGTAGTTGGAAGAATGATGTTGAGGATTATGGCACTAAACCATTTGAGCTGTCAAGAACAATAGTTTTATGCATGTTATGCCATGCATATCATGACATGTTAAATTGATTACTTCAACTGCCGACACATCATCCATTACGTAGATTATTTTGCTCTACCGTAAACCTCAACTACTAGAGAATACTCCATATCATGACACCTGCCCCTTCAACTACAACCCCTTGTCGTTCCACCCTCAAGGATAACCCTGACGATTAATTTGAGCTTGGATGAGGAAAAGTGCACTTTGCAAACCTGATTTGCCAGACATTGAGATTAACGGCAACTAACAGCTAAGGGTCCTGATACAGCCTTTTGACCGCTTCCTGGCTTGCGGATTTAATCGGAGCTGGACAGGCGGATAACAGAAAAGCTGTCCTCTATGGTTTAGGATACCAATATAAAGTAGGATAATAAGTGATGGTCTGAGCTAGTATAGGATGATCAAGTTATTTCGTTCCCCGTGTTCACGGAGGTCATTATTCTGACACCCTGTCGACTGGAGTTTGTTCAATGGCGGGGCAGTTTAGAGCTGTTCCAATTCTAGGACTTTTGAAGATGGACTTTTAGGACTCAGTCACATCCAGTGTAACCTGGTTACCTGCAAACCTATGGCTCAGGTACGGTGCACCGTGGGAATAAACAAGCGCACACATCTGCTTCTTTTGTTATTTCCTGTATTCCCAACAGTCAAGTTAACAGGTACTCATCTTGAAACTTTGGTCGATTAACTGTGCATGGTGTAAAGTTCGTGAGTTTACCGTTTCAAAAGACTGTTTCACAGGCGTTAAAGCTTTATATGTTTATGCATAAAAGTACGTACCAGTTACTGTATCTCATGGTGAAGTCTGAAACTCAATTCACGTAGGACGGGCATGATTTGATATCTTCCTAGATACAAAAGTGCCTACCTCATTCCAACCATGGAAGTTCAACGTGTAATAGAGGGTTGCTTGAGCCGTTTGGCGCTGTCTCATTACAGCTCAGCCTCTTTGTACGCGTTGTCATTTATAATTTAAAGTCCTATGTAGATCAGTTGCTCAAAGAATCTATCTATTTCATGACGCGAATTCTTTCAGATTTTGTTGAATCCTTTCGACGCACAGCAACTCCAGTTTCAAGAATTACCCGTTGGGCTTGACAGACCCTTGTATGGCCCATGCTACAGTGCATATAGTGGCTAACGCCATTAACTGGAGAGCTACGCCGCCGCAAACTTCAAGAACCGGGCTGGTCTAAGCTCTTCTCTTGGCTTGGGCGTAGCTTGGGACCTGACCTGACCTGACTATCCGACGATTGGGCTTCCAGATCTTCTTTCTCTCTTACCTTGACTAGCAGATTCTTTGGAGCTAGCGTCCGCTTTGTTGCCCCTGGCAGATCAAATCTCAAAAGCTATAGTCACTGTGAATATTAATTAGAGGTATTTTGTTTGTTTTGAATTCCATTGTATGGAACTTTCCAACTTGCCTGGCTTAAGTGCCCGCTTAGCTTACCGCTAATCTACTCTAGGGATTTCGAAAAACCCCGCCAAGTTTTACCCCCCTCCTTCCATCCAATTCTTCTTCCGTGGGCTCCCCCCAAACCTTCCGATTTCGATTCCTCAGGTAGGTGCTACTGTATCGCAGGTACTGTACAGGCAGTACCTTCCGTCACTGTTCAGTTCACTGCGGGATGACATCTCCCACCACAGCCTTAGGTTAACTCTTCGCACCTTCCAGTTCCCACCTTCATTCCGCTGCAACGGCTGGGCTTAATAACCTAAACCCTTCCTTCCTCTCAACCTCCCCTCCTCCTCTACATCTCCACTCGCCAGCTTCGGCTTCGTCCACCTGAAGCTTGCAGGCGAACAAATATTACCACTATCACTTATCCGCACAAGAACACGCAGTCAGGATCTGTCGTGCTGTGTGATTGGTACCCAACTTGACGACACAAGACGTCAACTGTCTTGTCGTCGGCTGTATTTTACAAGCGCCCGCCCGCCCTCTACTAACCAGGTGTCGCCGGGTACTTTCACCTGATATCGGTTGTCTTCTAAGACTTTCCCCCCTCCAACCTTTTGTCGTCCTGCGCAACGCATCGCGCACCCGCCGCCAGAATGAACGACGATGACGCGATTCACAACATTCACAAGAAGATAGAGCGGGAGAAGGCCCTCATCAACGCTGCCAATTCCATGAGGGCACAGACAAACAATGAAGCTGTCAGATCCCGTCTCGACTCCCAGATGCGCGATGGCCGCCGCAATCTCCAGTTTTTCGAAGAGAAGCTTCGTGATATCCAAATGCGCCGTGTGAACCAAGGCGTTGGAGACATGTCTCTCGGAGGACCATCTGACGAGGCCGGTGGCCCTCCCGCACCACCACCAAAGGATTCCAGCAATCCCGCGGGGGATAGAGGATCATACGGCTCCGGCTCAGGACAATACAGCCAACAGGGCGGCTCCGATCTCATGCCCCCGCGTCATCCCTATGCACCGGGACCTGGTGGATCGGGCATTCCGAAGGCCCGTCCGAACTTCACCAAACTAGGTTCGTTGTTGCTATGCCACTTTCTCTCCATATCCTCTCATGTATATATCGGCTAACAAACTTTAGACTTAATCAAATATGATACGCCGCATCTGGGCCCCCGTATTCAACTCATGCTGTCACAGATTCAGTTCAAGCTCAATGTTGAGGAGCAATATCTCAAGGGTATTGAGAAGATGGTTCAGCTTTACTCCATGGAGGGTGATCGGAAGAGCAAGGCCGACGCAGCTGCTAGGAAGGTTGAAAGCAAGCAGAAGATTCTACTGTTGAAGCAGGCACTCAAGAGATATGAAGAACTGCACATCGATGCGGACGTTGCAGATGCCCAAGATGGTAAGTCAGCGTTAAACCATGATGACCGTGAGGCTGACAAAGAACCAGATGATTCAATCAACGCCCCCAATCTCAGGAAGCCCCTCAGCGGACAGCTCTCGATTCGAATGATAGCGATCAAGGATGTCGACCACGCTGCAACTGGACGTTTTACGAGAGGTCCTGAGACCTTTATTGCTGTGAAGGTTGAGGATACCGTCATGGCTCGCACGCGAGCGTCCAGAAATGACCGCTGGGAGGCCGAGTTTCATACCATCGAAGTCGACAAGGCCAACGAAATCGAGTTGACGGTTTACGACAAGCCTGGAGAACATCCTATGCCCATCGGTATGCTCTGGGTTCGGATCTCCGACATTGTTGAGGAAATTCGTCGCAAGAGGATCGAAGCTGAGATGAACAGCTCGGGCTGGGTTTCTGCCGATAGAATGGGAAACACCAGTGCGGCCCCTACACAATTCCCCATGAGTCCTTCTCAAGGCTCTTTCGGAGCAGGTTCTCCATCGGCCGGTGGTGAGCAGGGAGGTGACTCTGGTCCGTTCGGAACTGCTGGTCCTCAGCCGCAGGTACAAACAGGACCTATTGAAGAATGGTTCAACCTCGAGCCGACTGGACAGATCCAGCTTCAGTTGACGTTCAACAAATCTAACAACAACAGCCGCCCCATCGACCTTGGTCTTGGTCGAAAGGGTGCCGTTCGTCAACGAAAGGAGGAAGTCCACGAGATGTACGGCCACAAGTTCGTGCAGCATCAGTTTTACAACATTATGCGCTGTGCGCTTTGCGGAGATTTCCTCAAGTACTCAGCAGGCATGCAGTGTGAGGACTGCAAGTACACTTGCCATACTAAATGTTATTCCAGCGTGGTGACAAAATGCATCAGTAAAAGTAACGCGGAAACTGATCCTGACGAGGAGAAGATCAACCACCGTATTCCCCACAGATTCAACCCTTATTCCAACATGACAGCAAACTGGTGCTGCCACTGCGGTTACATCTTGCCTTTTGGAAAGAAGAACTGCAGAAAATGCTCAGGTATGTACATAAAGGTCATATATTCGTCACGCAGCTAACAATATGCTAGAATGTGGTCTCACTGCTCACGCTCAATGTGTCCATCTTGTCCCTGACTTCTGTGGCATGTCAATGGCTGTTGCCAACCAGATCCTGGATGGCATAAGGACTCAGAAGCAGAGACAGGCCAAGGTTTCTTCACTTACGGAAAAGACACTACGACCTGGAAAGACTAGTCCTACGAGTACCAGCTCACCAGCTCCCTCTTACTCCAGTTCGGCTGCTCCTTCTTACCAGTCAGGACCAGCCTCTCCAGAGGCGACAGAGGCTGCCAAGATGATATACTCGAACCAGACTACACCAAGACCTGGTGGCCCTGACCGAACTTCCTCCAGTTCACAAGCCGCGGCTGCAGCATCGGCGGCTATGTCTGGTGGACCTGGTGCTGCCCAGCGACAGCATTCTGATTACGGACGTTACAGCGGAGGCTATGACCAGCCACAAGAAGATCCCTATGCTCAAGGAGGTCAATACAGTGCGGGCGGCCAGCAACGCAAGTACAACCCTGCCGATTATGCTAACGTCAACCCTGGCTACGGAGGACAACAACCTGCTGCTCAGGCTCAGCGACCTGTACAGCAGCAGCCGGCCCAGCAACCCCCTCCTCAGTCACCGCTACCTCCAGTGCCACAACATCAGTCGCAGCCCCAGCAGCAACAAGCTGCTTATCAGCAGCCCTCAGTGCCAGCGCATAAGCCTCAACAACCAGAAGCCATGTCTCCTAAGCAGCAGTCGGCAACTGGCGGCAAGCAGTCGGCTCCTTTGGCTACTGATCCTGGAACTGGCCAGCGTATTGGTCTCGATCACTTCAACTTCCTTGCTGTGCTGGGTAAGGGTAACTTCGGTAAGGTCATGCTGGCCGAAACCAAGCGATCCCGAAAGCTCTACGCCATCAAGGTGCTCAAGAAGGAGTTCATTATAGAGAATGACGAGGTTGAGAGTATCCGCTCCGAGAAGCGTGTGTTCCTGGTTGCCAACCGAGGCAGACATCCATTCTTGACAAACCTGCACGCATGTTTCCAGACAGAGACCCGTGTGTACTTTGTGATGGAGTACGTTAGCGGCGGTGATCTGATGTTGCACATTCAGAGGGGCCAGTTCGGTACTAAGCGTGCGCAATTCTACGCTGCTGAGGTCTGCCTGGCACTCAAGTACTTCCACGAGAACGGTGTTATCTACCGTGATTTGAAGCTCGACAACATTCTTCTCTCGCTTGACGGTCACGTCAAGATTGGTGATTACGGTTTGTGTAAGGAGGATATGTGGTATGGCTCGACAACAAGTACCTTCTGTGGTACCCCTGAGTTTATGGCACCGGAGGTATGTATCTGGCATTTATCTGTTCCTGGTTCTCTCCGCTAACAGTCAGCAGATTCTTCTGGACAAGAAATACGGTCGTTCCGTAGATTGGTGGGCATTTGGTGTGTTGATTTACCAGATGCTTCTTCAGCAGTCTCCTTTCCGTGGAGAGGATGAGGACGAAATCTACGATGCCATTCTTGCCGATGAGCCTCTGTACCCCATCCATATGCCCCGAGACTCAGTCTCAATTCTTCAGAAACTGCTCACTCGTGAGCCCGACCAGCGACTCGGAAGCGGCCCAACTGATGCCCAGGAGGTGATGAGCCAGCCATTCTTCCGCAACATTAACTGGGACGACATGTACCACAAGAGAGTGCCGCCTCCTTTCATGCCTCAGATTAAGAGTGCCACGGATACAAGCAACTTCGACTCTGAGTTCACTAGTGTCACTCCAGTTCTGACTCCAGTTCAGTCCGGTAAGTTTCGCAGACTTTCGATTGCCTTTCTTAGTACTAACATAGCCACCAGTTTTGTCACAAGCCATGCAAGAGGAGTTCCGAGGCTTCTCATACACAGCTGATTTTGATTAAACGACTGCACACGAGATTGACGATTTTGCAATGTTTTATTGAGACAATGGAGCCGCGGTGAGGTTAGTGTCTTGTCTATCGGATACCCAGGAGCGATAGTGAAATAGATGGCCGGGCACCGCGGGCAGGTGATGTCGGTGCGCGAACCCAACGTGGGCGTCAGGATAGGACAGCCCTTTTCATGTTCGCTCGTTTATAGTGGTTAGTATTCAGGATATAGGTAGTGGATGAGCAAAACGTATGATGGTATGGTTAGAATCATATCAATAGCGACGCAAGCGTATTCAGTGGTAGATGAATAGCTTAGACAAACAGCATATGGATGGTTGTCTTGTTAATAGAAGCAGAAGGGAGATAAAATGACAGACACCAGTACGTTCATAGCGTTTTCTAATTTGCTATGGTTTATTCAATTACCGAAATCTTTCAACTCGTACGGGGCTGTTTGGGTGCTTAAAGCTTTAGTGTTGGGTCTCACTTGTGCATGCACTCATAAGTTCGGAAGTATATTGAATTGTTTTAGTTATTTTTTTGCCTATATTTTATTTATCCCATGTAATTGTCCATCTCTTCTAGATTTCTTCTAATTCTTTTACGAGGTGTACTCCTTCTGGAGGAGCTTGGCGATAGTGTTGAGCCTGGGAAACAAGTTAGCAGGAGTGTTGTTACTTTTTATGCGGATAAAACTTACTGGATGTTGCTGGTACCCTCGTAGATGGCACCAATCTTGCTGTCGCGGAAGTACTTCTCGGCAAGACCCTCACGGACGAAGCCCATGCCACCCATCCACTCAATGGCAGATCCACTGACACGTCCAGCGACCTGAGAAGCATAAAGCTTGGCCATAGCAGCGTCCTTGACGAAGTCCTCACCAGCCTCCTTCTTGCGAGCAGCAGTGTAAACGAGAGCGCGAGCGGCAGTGATCTCGGTGTAGGCTTGAGCAAGCTGGTGCTGCATACCTTGGAACTCACCAACCAGAGAACCGAACTGCTTACGGTCATTCCAGACATAGCGAGCGGCGTTGTCAAAAGCACCAAGAGCGAGACCGGTCATCTGAGCAGCAATACCAATTCGACCCTCGTTGAGGATGCTGATGGCGTACTTGTATCCCTGGCCACGCTCGCCGAGAAGGTTCTCCTTGGGGATCTCGACATCGTCGAAGTTGATAACGCATGTGCTTGAGGCACGGATACCAAGCTTCTTCTCCTTCTTGGCGATGGAGAATCCCTTGGTGCCCTTCTCGACGAGGAAGGCAGAGATACCCTTGTAGCCCTTGCTGGGGTCAAGGTTAGCGAAGACAATGAAGAGATCAGCCTCCTTGGAGTTTGTGATCCACATCTTGCTGCCGGAGATCTTGAAACCATCGGCGGTCTCAGTGGCTCGTGTGGCCATGGCAAAGGCGTCGGAACCAGAGACAGGCTCGGAGAGACAGAAAGAGGCGACGGTGTTTGTCGCAAGGCGAGGGAGCCACTTCTTCTTAATAGCAGTAGAACCGTGCTTGATGATAGCCGTGTTGCAGAGGGTGTTGTGCACATCGACCAGGACAGAAACAGAGGGATCAGCGCGCGCAAGCTCCTCAATGCCGATGATGGCAGCGGTGAAGTTCATGCCAGCACCGCCATACTCCTCAGGAATCTCAATGCCCATGAGACCCTGCTCAAACAGCTGCTCGACAATAGTAGGATCCATCTCCTCAGCCTCGTCCATGTCACGCGCGCGAGGAAGAATCACATCTGTGGCGAACTTGGAGACGGTGTCAACCATAGCGGTTTCGAGCTCAGAGAGGTGGGTGATGGGTGTAGGAGGGATCTCGGAGATGTCGACATGTTCATTGCGGCGAGATGTTGTTGTAGAGAGGGGACGAGCAGTGTTGCTGAGGCAAAGGGTTAGCAAGCACTCTGGTATAGCTATTTCAGCTTTGTTGCGCTTACAGATTTGTTCTTGTCATGGAACGGGGAGCGGTGGCTCGTGGGGCGATGCGCTGTGTAAGACCTCGTCCTCCCCTCAGCGCAGGGCGCATAACTCGAGTAAATGACGAAGACATTTTGAAATTTGTTGTGTTGAGCAGAAGTATTGAGGAACAGGCAGTAGGCAGTAAGAGGATTGTAGGAGGTAAGAGAAAGGTGGCTAGGTTAGAGCAAGGTATGAGGCGGGTATCTCAAGACGATCACAAGCCAGACGATCACCCAGCAAAATAAGCTTAACACAATGTATGAAGGAGAAATATGAAGATGAGAAAAAGATCAGAGAATCACAATGTCAATTATAAAACCTCGGGTATATACAAATCATCCTTCGCCCCTGGAAACATAGTCACGCCTACCTTATACGGCTGAAGCGGTTGAAGAATCTCATTGTTCGGCCTTTGGCAGCCGAGGATAACCACCGAGGTCGAGGATGAGTTCGGTACTATAACGGTAATCATGGCTTTGTCGATTTTGGGGTTCAATGGGGGATGCGGGGAGCAACAAAGATGCGCCGGCGATTAACCGCTGACGTCAAAGACATGCGGGTCATTGAGATAGAAAAGCCGGGGGTTTGATGTTTGATGCGGGTCTGGCAGTCCAGCATGTGACATGATCCTGACCTGGACGGATAATCTAAGCTTCCGAAAAACACTCAAGCTCCACGTGATGAGATTCGAGAGGCTGAGATTTTGATATTGGCGTTGGTGAAGCTCGAGATTCAGGATAGAGAGAGGCCGAATACGGGATCAATTCGACCATTCCACACGATAAATTATATCAATCCGACCATAAAGATCGCCCAAAATGGTCGGCTCTATCCTCCGCCAGTTCTTCTCCCCGGCGACCCGTCGTCCCCTCACCACGGTTCTCTCAACACCACCAAGTCGTCTTCTACAACCGTCTATCCGAACGTTCACTACCACAACACCCCGCGCTTTCGCTCCCACAACCGCTCGCCCTGCGACTCTGAACCAAGTTCTGCGTGGAATTCGAAAGGGCAAGCGCGCTCGCCACGCTGTCTCCCCCGCTCTGTCCAACACACACTGCCCAGCTCTTAAGGGTGTGTGCCTCCGTGTCGGTGTCGTTCGACCCAAGAAGCCCAACTCCGGTGAACGAAAGACTGCTCGTGTGAAGCTCTCTACCGGAGCTGTCGTTACAGCGTATATCCCCGGTGAGGGACACAACATCCAGCAGCATAGTGTTGTTCTTGTGAGAGGAGGCCGTGCGCAGGATTGTCCTGGTGTGAGATACCATCTTGTTCGAGGAGCTTTGGATTTGGTATGTTTCCCTTTCCTTCTGATGTCTGCATAAGAGGCCCAGTCATTATACGAGATCAGCTATTAACATTTGCAGGGTGGTGTTGCGAGCCGAACGACAAGTCGAAGCAAGTACGGTACGAAGAAGCCTAAGAAGGCTACTGTTGGTTAAGCGAATTCTTAAAATAATGAATTAGATGCGCAAGTTGGGTTGAAACGATTGGTGGTAAAGCAAACGGCATTAAAACCGTGTCGATGATATAGAACAGGCTGAGACCATGTATTGATATTGTACACTATTTCAAGCATAAAGAAGACATGTAAACGATCCCAACCCATTCTTGATTCATAGTTCTACGATCAAAGCTGTCCAAAGTATCTCAAACCCAGACGCCTAATAATAGTTCCCATAGGAACTTCTCCTAATGCATACCCATTGTTTGTAGCTTAGAAACAATGACGACAATCTACCGAGCATAACAACCTGTATGATAAAGTACAATCCTTCCTACACACTCTTTAAATCATTTTCGTCTTAGTTCTGTTGCTTCTCGAAACCCTTAGGCTTCTCCAGGCCGTTGAGCTCGTAGAATCGGGAAGTGCCTGGCATGACGTTAGTGTATTGTTTCACATGCAGTGGTTGGAGAACACTTACAAGAGTAACCCTTCCAATCAAAGTTGTTATCGGGGTTGCAGTGGCAACGGAGATCCAGTCGTCGCTGCTCATCGGTTGGGCAGTGAGTGAAAGGAACGTGGTAGTAGGCAATATCCTCGAAGAAGTGAATTTGTTCCTTCTTGAGAAGAAGACCAGCAGCAATAGAGTGGACAGGAGCATCACCCCATCGCTCGTAGAAGAAACCGCCGTCCTTGTCAAGAGACTCGAAGAAATCGAGGTAAGGCTTGCTGCGGAGCCAGGACAAGCTACCAACCTCAAAGTTGGACCACTGGAAAATGTTAGTTTTGGATCATCGAAATATCTCGAATTAACTTACGAAATGGCACTTGTTGTAGTTTTCACCGCCATCGTCACTGAGGAAGCGCATAGAGTTGCCCTCAGCAATGTGCTCGGGGTGGTTCTGCATGAACTTCTTGGTGCTAGCCCAGAGAGTGGGAATGGTGTCGATGTACTCGTAAAGAGAAAGAACGAAACTGTACTTCTTGTTGTTCTCGTGCATGACGCGGAAAGGATCGTAGTGAATGTCGCAGAAGAGCTTGACGGAGGGCTCAACACGCCAGTAGTATTCGTAGTTCATCATGAGCTCCTGTCGGAAGAAGAAACCGGACTCGAATCGGCACATGTGACGGTAGCTGATAGAGTCACCGTAGATGATCTTGCGCTCATGCATATCCTCACGGACCTTGCGGGCCTTCTCCTGGTCAATCCACTCGGGGAAGGACCAGTGCTCCTCGGGAATCAGACCATAGTGAGTCTTACCAGAGCAGAGAGAAGTGGTAACTTTCTTGAACTGCTCATCGAAAGGCTTGTCGTTAAGGAAAACCCAGTCATAGTTGTATCGGCGGTTGAAACGATCCTCAACCTGGCGAATGGACTCGGCAATTTCCCAAACATCCTGGTTACGGGCGAGAGTGACAAAAGTAGCGTTCATACGGGGGCCGGGAGCGGTGCCCTGAAGGTTGTTCCAGCCAGGGTCGTTGGGAGACATAGGCATCTTAGCCTCAGCGAGGTCACCAGAGGCGGGAGCATCAGCGGGAACCTTGGCAGCTTCAGAAGCGGGGATATCATCAACAGAAGCTCCCTCGCCAGCAGGCTTCTGAGCGGGAGTTTCATCCTTGTGAAGAGCAGTGTCGCCCTCTTCAGTAGCAGGCGCCTTCTGGCCGGGGAAGTTGACATTGTTGCCCGCATCGTTAGGCTTAGGAACAGTGCCTGCACCTTGTTGGGAGCTGGAGCTTCCAGGACCGCCTGGGAAACTACCGACGTTACCAGGAACGGAGATAGTATCGATCTTGGAATTGGAGAAAAAGTAGAACATAGTGAGCGTCTTAAGGAGTCGTGTTAGCATGTGGCAACGTCAGCTGTCATGAACCTCGCGCAAGAGAAACATACGAAAAGCGCAAGCGCAATGTAGCGCACGTAGCGCGTATGACCGGCAGCCATGGTGAAGAAGGAGTGACGACACAAAATCGCCAACTATAGAGAAGAGTTGGAAGAAAGTGGGAGGTTTAAACAGAAGAAAAAGAAGATGGATGTTCCAAAGTCGACGTTCTGTTGCGCACGGGGAAAAAGTACACCTCCACTACAAGGGAGCCAGGGTGCCAGCTAAGGCAGATGGACCTGATGGGCTGCACTAAAAAAAGAACCCTTTCTAGATGGATGTTGGCAACAACTTCCCCAAAATTGATACTGTACTGTACTGTAAATCAGAGAAGAGTAATGTAATGAAAAAGAGAGATTCGAAATATGATGAACATGCTCGTCATAAGAGAGAAAAAGAGACTGTCGGTCTAATCCATAACAAGAGCAGTCAATTGCATCCAGAGACGCGCAGCAGGGTGTCGGTACCTCGACCAGGCTACGTACTGGAATGGGATGAACAGCGTGTTCTGGGGAACGTGCCCTGTAACAGGATCGTCGCACCCGTCAATCAGGTACCGCAGAGACAGAAAGCGATAAGAATTTCACCTTTGCACGTATCTTTTTACAGGGGCTAGACGAAGAGTACCTGACTGACTATGCCATTTACGTCCAAGAGCAAAGTATCGTCTCAACGACATGTACTTCTCATGAGCTGAACCTCAGGGTGGCTGTCTTGTCGAACGTTAGCCTCTGACGTTCAGGGGGTGCATCTTCTAGTGCATGTTAGCAGGCAATAGATGTCTTCTATCTGAAAACTATTGCCAAGTCCAGACGCTTTAGCACAATGACAATATTTTGGCGTGTCATCAACATTTCCGTACATACAATACGAAGAAAGGTGGGCTGGTTTGGAGGATTACGACAACAGGACTGATCAGTGGACAAGGACAAGGATCCCCCATCTTGCATCTTGGAGACAGCCTGCTTTCCACTGTCGTTTTCACAATTACTCTTTTGAGGTACGCCATGTGCTCGTTCAGAACGTTTGGAATGAGAGATCGGTCGAAACTTCAAGCCTCAAAAATGGAGGAATTGGCCAGACAGAAAATCTGTCCCCGGAATGGACAAGTGTTGCTTGTCGAATGCATCACCAGTTGCGCTCGTATTTGTTGATGAGATGGATGTGCCCCTTTTACGTTTCCTGGGCTTGTTTTAGGTTGACAGGTTTTGACGACCTTGTGTCAACCAGCGCCGCAACCAGCATGCAGCGGTTGCAGTGCTATCTCCACCACCAGGCCTCTAGATGAACGGGATAAAATTTTACAAGCAATTCGGGGGTGATCCTGCTTGTTCTTATTTTTCTGTTTTTCGTGCATGACAGAAAAGTCGTAAAGGTTGTCGGTGACCTCTTCTGACCCCTTTACAATCAACTTTGTGGCACAAAAACCAATAGTCTAAGCTGGCTTAATGCGTCTAGATTGTCTCTTTGCTGCTATGAGAGTTCGCTCTCAAAGCCGCATTATCCGTTAATTCAGCTGTTTCTTAGCCAATCGACCTTTTGCTGAGGGACCTATCCCATCATGAGGATATGGGTTTGTGTTGCATTTATAGGTGCATTTGGTGCTATATGTGCTGCAGATAGACCCTCCAAATGATTGACGGTACGAGCCAGTCAATAAGAGCCATGGAGATTTACATGTTTGTGGCTGGGGATTGCTACATCCAAGTAATTTGCCAGGATTCAGTGTTACCTAGACGAACGAATCTATTCGCTGCAGTACCCCGCAGTATCGTGAGATAAAGAGTGAATGAGATAATGGCGAGTTTAATTGGCAACTGAATGGACTAACAATACAATGCAATAACCCAGCATTGAGACGTCATTGAAGCAATTGACAATCGCTCGAATACATGCTCCACGTGACTGGGCACGTGTTTACTGCACCACTTGTGATTCATGGTGGGGAAGCGGGCTTGGAGAACAACGTTGGCACTTCGTCGCATCATCGTTGGCTTCAGAGCTTTGCCGCGCATCAATAACGCAGCGCGCCCTCTCTCCCAGCCAGCTGCCTTAGGTTTGACGACCATAAAACTTTTTACTAGAGCTTCGAAACACTTCCAACCCTCAGCTACAGCCAGAACAGTGCCCTCTCTGCATGACTGGCTACGATACAAACATCTTGAATCCGATTTACTGGAAGACATCATGATAGATTTGTGCGCGCTGAACGATCCTGAATATATCTCCTTCTCTTAGTGGTGAGTGGTTTTATCTCACCTGTCGCTTTCTGGCCCTGCTCGATCTCTTCGGGGCATCCCTTGACATGTGCTCGACAATCCTTGACGACCTTGGATCCGTATGCGAAATCCCTCCAAGGTTGAGCTTCTATCAAAGAAGCCTCCCTAGGGAGATCAAAGTCAAAAGGTTCCCTCCTGATCTTGCGCCTGCCACACGGCAAATGGCAATGCGAGCTGAAATAGCTTGGCAAAAACAAGAACAATGAGTTCCACGGCATTGGGTCAATGGACAACCTATTACGGGTAGCAGAGAAATCGGGTAGCACAGCGAATGCAGACATACTGTCATTCATTTATGAAGAGGTGGCCAAACCCCTTGGGGTTGGGCTCAGCAAGTCTATGGGGCGTTTCCTGAGGATACCTTGAGCGGGGCACGGAGCTCAAAGCGACAGCGGCTGAACTGGCGTCGTTCCTGTACTAATTTCTTTCATAGTACAATTGACGTCCACTCGCCCAAACTCTTTCAAAATGTCCTTTTTCGGTTTCGATAATGCGCGCCATAACACGGCAGCGCCAGGCTTCGCCCAAGCCCACGACCCTTTTGCCGGGCTGTCGGGCAGGGATGGAGACGATGATGCTCTCGACTTTGAGGAGACTTACGATGGTCTTGGAGACCAGCTCGAAGAGACTGGTGACGCATTCAACGATGATACCTTCGGAGACAGCGGGCCAGCGGTTTCGAGAAATGCTGGCAAGGACTTTGACTTCTTTGGCCAGACTGCAAAGGTTGCCGATGCGATAGAGGAGGAACATGTCCGTTTCCATCGCCAACCGCCAACCGCCAGACCAGCTGCTTCAGCTCAGGCACCCGCTCAGGTTGATCAGTATGCGTCGGCCGATTACCAGTCCTATTACGGCGGACAGCCTTATCAGCAGCAGTCTTACCAGCAGCAGGCATTTCAGCAGCCAGTGCGATCTGGCTATGAAAAGTACCGCAGCCATGACCCCGAGCCTCTTCCTGATCTGCACGTCGATCGAAGCATCTGGGGCATTGGACCTTCCAAGCCTGTTCAACAATCATCGCCTGCCCCCGTTCCTGCAGCTCAACCTGCCGCCAGCCGCAAAGTCATGAGTTTGGAGGAAGTTGAGGCCGCGATGCGATCTCAGCCCAAGCAACAGACTCCTCAGCCTCATGTTGCAGATCTCTCTTACCAGCAGCCCCCTCCCGGCTTTGCTGCCCCTCAGCACCAGCCTCCCCAAGCTCATGGGCACGGCCATCCTGTGACCATTCTGCAGAGACCTCAGAGCACCCAGTCGAAGTCCACGCCGCCAGTTCCTGGACTGCAAGGGACTCCTGTCCAGCAACACCAGCAGCTTCATGCTAACCCGACTCAAATTCTGCAGAACCCTAGCCGTGCCGGCTCGGATGCGCCTGCACCTCAGCACGGCCACCATGCCAAGCAGCCCCATGGAGCCGTTCCCAGCGCCGCCCAGTTGCAAGCTCATCCCCAGATGCAGGAGATGTCGGAAGAAGAGAAGGCCGCCTTCCTGGACCAGGAGACCAAGAGGGCTAAGCGCAACCACAAGATTTGGCTTTTGTCTAAGGATAACGGCCTGATGACACCTCAAGACAAGAACTTCATCACCCGCATCCAGCTTCAACAGCTCGTTTCTGCTACTGGCAACCCTGTCGAGGGATCCGATGCCTCAATCGCCGAGGACTTCTACTATCAAGTTTACAGCCATATCCGAGCCGGCCAGCGCCAGAACCCCAGTCAACCCCTCAGCAACTTTGCGCAAACCTACCTGTACCAGACCGGCAGCCGCCAGGGTGGTATGCGGCGACATGGTCGACCAGCCGAGAACCACTTCCAGCGAATGGAGCAGCAGGTACAGCGAGCTGTAGAGGCGGCCAAGAACAAGCCCAAGAACCCTCAGTTGGTCATCGCAGGTAGTCTGGGAAAGATCTCTTTCAGCAACGCCAAGACGCCCAAGCCTTTGCTCAGCATCAAGCGCACCGAGAGCGAGCACCAGCGACCAAACAACGGCAAGAAGGGTTCTAGCCTGGACCGAAAGACTATCTTGCGAAATGTTGAGAAGGTATACCAGACCCTCATGCAAATCGAAGATCATGTCCGCCTTATCCCGCCTCCAATGACCAGCCCTGATGAGGAGCTTGAGAACAAGCACAAGGAATGGGCTACTATTCTGGAAGCCTACAACGCCAAGCTCTGGCAGGAACTCAAGGTTCACGAACAGATCGGAGTGGTTGTTCCTCACCCATTTATCGCTTTCCTCTCGTGCGCCAAGGGCGAGAAGGCCATTCCTCGACTTTTCCCTCATCTTTCTTTTGAACAACGAACCACCATTTTGACCATGATCATCTACCATCTCGATCAATTGGATGTTGTCCAGGGTGCTGCCATCATACCCGGTGAGGTGACAACAATCAACGCGAGAATGCGAGAGAAGATTGAACTGTTTATCTCTACTGTTATGCCATCCCTCATGCAATACTTTAACGACACTGGCTTGGATATTGTTGATGGCGTCTTGAACCTCATTGCTACAAAGCTTAATGTTGATCTTATCGCTAGATCTAGAATTGGTGTTTCCATGCTCACGCTCATTCTCAGTCGTGCCGTTCTTCTCAAACAAACAGGAGCCGGCACCCCTGAGCAATGGGACAACTGGTAAGTGAACCCATACTCTCACCGCATTATTGTCACTAACAAGTAACAGGGACCGAACATTTGAAGTTTTGTTCAATAGACTCGAGCCTTCACTTCCTTACATCTTCCCAGGAAGTGTCAACACCGGAGAGGACGTGTACGTATGGCAACTCCTCGCAGCCATGGGCGTCAGCGCTACTCACGATCAACAAACCCGCTTGGTCCTTGCTGTCAAGGATCGTGTGCTTGATACTGTCACTGTTTCAAAGACACTGCCTGCTGCCATGGGAGCTGAGCGATTGAACAGTGTCAACCTGTTCATGCGATCTATCGGTTTGGATGTCGAACTTCTTCAGTAAACAGATGTTGCATACGCAAACATGATCTTGTCGATTATTCTTGGGCTTTTCTTTCTGGGCTGGCATATAGGAACGAACATGCGAGAGAATCGGGGAAAACATGATGCGACACGACGAACGGGCTTTACATGCTGGCGAAAGAATATTGGGAGTAAGCATACTGGGTGTACAAAATTCTTAACAGCGACATGGAGAGTGCTTACAGCACTCCTGTATACCGGCATACCGTCTGATGATTACACATGGAGAGAGTTTGGGAGGACTCTTGTCCATGGAGGAACTAGGTTATATCGTACTTGAAAATTTACGCGTTTTTTGAAGCAATCATCTTTTCTGTAGTGTGATACTAGATGCATTTCTTTGCGTCTTCTATGTATATCGCAGATCCTAATACGCCATCCATGCAACCTATACTATCCTGACTCGTCCATTGACCTGGACTGTAGACCTTATTCATCGACATTGACTGTCTTTGAAGCCGCAGCCCTAGGTTTAGCTCCCCGTCGAGCAACGCCTCCTGCCGCCCCACCGCGTGGCCGAAGTTTAGGTTTCCGTGACTCTTCTGATTCTGGTGCTGTTTGCTCTGGCTGCTTGCTGGCAGCTGGCTTGGGTTCTTCCTTTATGACAGGCGCAGGTGGATCCTTCTTCTCAATCCCACTGACGGCGTAGAGAAGATCCTCGTCATCCCATCGACGTGCGAACTTTGGTACTGATTCCTCAAGCACCTGTTCATTCTCTTCGGCGCCATCGGCCTTTTCTTCCGCATCTTCCTCCTGGGCAGGGCGTAAGAATAGACTCTCGTTATAAACCTCCCATGCGGCCTCCTCGTTCTCATCTGTGTAGTGCATGGTACGCCAGTGCTCAGTCTGCACCGATCTTAGACGGTCGGCCATGGTCTCTGTTGTCACAGCGTCGCCATCGCCTGTGGCCTTGACTGTCATGTGAATTGCGCGGGCAGTTCCGCCTGCTGTTGTGGGAGCAGACTCCTTGGTGGTTGCGGCCTGTCGCTCCTGCTGGACAGTTGCGTCGATGTGGTGGAGTTGAGGTCGGAGGTGAACAAGTGATGAAACGGGTGTGAGATGGAGGTCCTCTGCAATCGAGATTAGAAATTGTATAGAAACATAATAGCTGTGCAACTTACTGCCCTGGAATACACCAACCATGTGTTGGACTTCCTTGTATTCAGGATATTGCCCACCCAGTGTCTGTGTACGAAGAACCTTGTCTTGTCTGACAGCCTCTTGCCAGTCCATCACCTCGTCCTCATCTTCTGTCTTCTTTCTCCCACTTCGAGTCTGAACTGTACCGAAGCCAAAGCCACCGGCTAGGCCGTGACTACCACCGTTCTTAGTAGCCATCGAAGCGTTCAAAGTCTTTCCCCACTTGAGGCCCTTCTCACGGTCGTACGCTACGGTGTTGTCAAGAGGCACATCAACTTCTACCATGCCGGCTTGAGCTTTGACACGCAGTTCGGTTGGCGGAGGTCTGGGAGCGTCATCGGTGCGGTTGGGGTGTTGGAGAACGAGAAGACGACGGCCTAGCGGTAATGAAGGATTGATGAATACGTTATATGTCGCGGTAACGGGATCGTCGTCTTCGTCGTCTATCGTGTTGGCGTTGTCTGTTGTGGTGGAAGGCTTGACGTTGGAATCGACGTCCATCTGGTCAACGTCCATTGAGGCAGCAGAGGTCGGTGTGGCGGTTGCAGAAGACATTGTTCAAGATTTCTCTGAGTCAGATAAGCTATTGGGGAAATGACTTGAGAAAACCGGATTGAGAATCCTCAAGATTAGTCGATTGAGCTTCAAGTATAAGTCGGTCTTCAAGCTTGCTTTGCGACAATCTCTCTGCGCAACCAAAGATAGCAAACCTGAGCTCACAGATTTACGACGATCTTGTATGCTAGTTAGCAGAGATGTATAGAAGCTACAACACTTGCGACAAGTTCAGTACGAGATAGAGCAAGGTTTGCGCTGCGAATGTTGAAGCGTCAGAGTTGGGAGGGGCGATCGCAGAGAAATTTCCATATTCGTCCCCCGCCAAAGTTTAGACTGTTATCTTATCAACTCTTCAAGGGTCAACTCAGCGTCACGAACTACCAGGTACCTTAGTAGGTGACCAAGGCTACTGGCATGGATCTTTTCTGGTTTTAACAATGTACGTCAATTAAATCTCCAATAAAGTTCGGTTCGAGGTGAAAGAAATGTTTGGTGAACTAGTTCAACACTGATTAACATTTCTACCCCAGAAAGCGTACAATTCTCTTGTTACTGAGACTCCTTTTACGCCGTCAGAAAGAACCATGACATAAGACACGATGATCCTATTATCTGGCCAAATTCGTAGTCTAAGCCCATATCTATTAAGATGGTTCCATTCATCGGTTCTTGCCACGGTCTCGTCGTCCGCCCTCCAACATCTTGGCTCTCTTGTTGAATCTCTCTCCAATACCAGCTCCCATACCACTTCCACGGGGTCCATCTGTTGTGTCGATTCCACGCTTTCGGCTCTTGTCCAGCAGGGCACGAACATTTCCACCAGACTTCTTGGCCTTGGTAAGACGATCGATGCGGTCGACACCCTCTCCCAGGTTGTGCCAATCCTCTCCTCCGAATTGCATACGACCACTGCGGCCAGCTTGCTTCGCCTTCTGAGCGCGATCCTTCTTGCTCTCCTTGGGAAGACGTGTGAAGTTCATTTCTTCGTACTCCCGGCGCTCTGCCTCCTCCTTTCTTTGGGCATCGGTCTTCATCTTGCGGCCACCCTGGACAATTGTGGTACCAATGCTGGGCTCTGCCAATGGTGCAGCGGAGAGCTCTGAAGCCACAAACTCATCCATAGTATGCGACTTGCCTGGACGACGGTCGAACTTCTGTGGTCGTTGGGGAGCTTCCATTGTTTGGCGCTCTCTCTTGGGAGGTCGATAGACACCATCGGTTCCTGCCTCACGCTCTGCGCGACGGACAGTGACATCGTCAGCCATGGCGCCAGGCTTATGCGACATCTTCTCAGCGTCCACCTCCTCGTCTGAATCTTCCTCTTCTTCCTCAGAATCCGATCCGGCAGCAGCCCTGGCCTCCTTAGCCTGTCTCTCGCGCTCTGCATCGTCTGCCGTTCTGAGGAATCGGTCAATGGAGAAGCGAAGTTTCTCTTCCAAGGGTCTTGCTCCTCTCTCGAGATAGAGTCGGAGTTCTACCAGTTTTGCTCTAACAGATTCGTCGAGTTCGGAGTCGCCGTCTTCGGTATTTTCTGAGTTTGTTTTCGAGTTGCGCAACTTAAGGAGAATCAAGAAGACCAGGTTTTGTAGGTACGAAAGAAGAAGCTCGTTCTTCACATCTAGAAGAGAAATACCATCCTTCTGGTGTTCAATGGATGCGAGTTTAGGCGTCACTTCGAGTGCTGAAGAAAGCGACTGTGTCAGCGACGTCAAAAGCGCCGGTAGTGTCGTAGGGGCTGCCATGGTGATGTGTTCGTCTGAGATGGTAAATCTCTAGACAATTAAGAAAAGATGTCTTGTCAAAAAGTTTAGAGCGCTTCAACTTTTTAGCGGGGCTTTCTTGACTCGACTCCACACTGGTCGTCACAAGCCACATGCGCCACAGACCCCCTGGTTTGCCCAATGTCTCACTTCCCTTACTAAGCCACTAACTCACTGGAACTTGGCCAGATATTACAGCAAGTGCATTGAAGCTCCCTGTCTAACGTCTCATTCTCGCAGCTATACTCTGTACTGCTGGTTTGATCAACCACACGATCCTCTATCCTCAACAGCCGAAAATAGAGAGGAATTATCAGAGCTGAACTTAGGAATCGGGGGGATCATTTTACCATCGATCCATCTTTCTCGTCGTCTTCAAATTGCGGGTCGCGCAAGGCGTCGTCAGCTTGGAGCTTAATACGAGAGAGCTTCAGCACCCAGCTTTCGCAACGCCCTTTGTTCAACCTTCGCAAGTCTGCGCATGACATAACTCGTCAGGATGTATTTCGGAGAGTTTGCGCCCTCGAAGGCGCTTCTAACATCATTGCTCGCCATCCCGCAGTTAACTTCCGCGTTTTATCTCCCCGGTGTCGCCCCAGCTACCTACAAAGAGGGTGACAAGGTCCCGCTCTACGTCAATAGCATCAAGCCTGTCGACCGATCTCAAGACCCGCGATTACACGCCGTTGTCTCTTACGACTACTACCATCCTGCGTTCCAATTCTGTCAACCCAAGGACGGACCCGAGTATGTTTCGGAAAGCCTGGGTAGTATTCTCTTCGGAGACCGTATCATGACTTCTCCATTTGAGCTTGTCATGGGCAAGAATGAGACCTGCAAGCCTCTTTGTGAAGTCAAATACGATGAAAAATCAGTCAACTTTGTCAAGAGTCGCATCGAACAAGGCTACAGTCTGGAATGGTTGGTGGACGGACTGCCAGCTGGTCAGGAAGTTCTTGATCAGTTAACTGGCACAACCTTCTATAACCCTCGTTTCTTGTTGGGTCAGGATGACAAGGACGACAACATTCTATTCAACAACCACTACCAGATCGTCGTCGAGTATCACGAGGTCAACAATGATCCCAACCAGCGCCGTGTGGTTGGTGTTATCGTGCAACCTAGTTCCAAGGAGTATGGCGGCAAGGCTGATTGCGGTAACCATCAGCCCATCGTTTTGAGTGGAAAGGAGCAGCACGTTACTTTCAGTTACAGTGTCTTCTGGCGCAAGTCGGAGACTGCTTGGGCTACTCGTTGGGACAAGTACCTGCACGTCTTCGACCCTAAGATCCACTGGTTCTGGCTTATCGACACAGCCATCATTGTTGTAATTCTCGTCCTCACCGTCATGTCCATTCTTGTGCGCGCTCTGAAGAAGGACATTGCTCGTTACAACCGTCTGGACCAGATCGACCTCGATGATTTTGGTGGTACCTCGGTAGTTGAGGATGGCGTTCAGGAGGATTCTGGATGGAAGCTGGTTCATGGCGATGTGTTCCGAAGCCCCTCGCGACCTCTTTTGCTCTCGATTTTGGCTGGAAACGGTGTTCAGCTGTTCTGTATGACTGGTTGCACTATTCTCTTCGCCCTTCTCGGATTCCTCTCGCCCTCAAACCGTGGATCTCTCGGAACCATCATGATTTTGATGTACACTGTTCTCGGATTCGTTGGTGGTTATGTTTCTGCTCGAACCTACAAGGCCTGGCAAGGTGAAGCCTGGAAGCTGAACATTGCTTTGACCCCTGTTTTGGTCCCTGGTGCCGTCTTTTCCAGCTTCTTCCTCCTGAACCTCTTCCTATGGGCCAAGCAATCGTCGGGCGCAGTTCCCTTCACCACTATGCTTGTGATTGTCGCCATCTGGTTCATTATTTCGATTCCTCTCTCCTTCGGTGGCTCTTGGCTCGGTTTCCGTTCCCCTCAATTCGAGCCTCCCGTCCGCACCAACCAGATTCCCCGTCAGATCCCACCTGTGAGCACCTACCTCAAACCTGTGCCCAGTGTGCTCATCGTTGGTCTTCTTCCCTTTGGTGCTATCTTTGTCGAGCTCTTTTTCATCATGAACTCGATCTGGTTCAGTAGGATCTATTACATGTTCGGCTTCCTGTTCCTCTGTTACGGTCTTATGATCGTCGTCTGTGCTGCCGTCACCATCCTGATGGTGTATTTCTTGCTATGCTCCGAGAACTACAACTGGCAATGGAGATCGTTCCTTGCAGCAGGCATGAGCGGTGGCTACATTTTCCTGAACTGTCTCTTGTATCTTGTTACAAAGGTCAGGGTCAGCGCATTCGCCGGTATCGTTCTTTACGTCGGTTACAGTGCTATCATCTCGTTCTTGTTCTTTATCCTAACAGGTAAGTGATACCTCTCGAATTTTTTACTACATGATTCTAACTTCTTCAGGCTCAATTGGCTACTTTGCCAGTTGGTGGTTCGTTCGCAAGATCTACTCATCTATCAAGATTGACTAAGAGGCGACATTTCGCCAATGCTATGAAAAAACGAATCAACAGTCATAAGTGATTTATGAAAGAGATGGGATGCGGCGTTTGTAACAATACGTGTACAACCAGCGTCTGAAATTTTACGTTCACCTTAAGCCGCTGCTCGTATGTCAATGAAGGATACAGCGGCGGGATGGTGAAAAGGGCCCACGGTGTTGCATCAGCTCGCAGCAAGTAAGGAGTAGATTTCTTCTCACTTAGACGGATTTCAAAAATCGGGATAAGGCCTAAACAAAACCTGAGCCGCGTTGGCTACTGATGAGGGGTATTATGTTTCTGCATTGTTTTAAGCTCGTTATAGATATCAAATTCTTTGGCTCTTATGCCCTCGCTCAATCATCGTCGTCGTCATCGTCCAAATCGTCCAAATTAGTGAACTGGAACTGCGCCTTTTGTTGCGGTGGTCCAGTAGGGCTCCTCTGCTCTCCAGGGGCAGCTGGGCCATTGACCAGGCTTGCACGCCTCCAAGCCTCTTGGTCTTTCTCTCTTTGGCGCTCCCTCTCGATGCGCTGGCGCTCGCGTTCTTCGCGAATCTTCTTCTCGCGCTCTTCCTGGGCAATGCGATCCTCCTCTTCCTTCTTCTTTTTCTCTTCTTCCTCGCGACGCTTGCGCTCTTCCTCCTCGGCAGGATCGTAGCCCTTGGGATTGATGCCCTGCTCAAGCAGAACCTGGTGAGCGGCCAGAGAGCCTGCGCCAAGTTGAAGATCGTTTGGCCATGGGAGGAAGACTTGGTCGGTCAAAGGGTTCAAGAACTGGGTCCACTCGCTCGGAAGGTTGGTATTGGCGGATAACGTGGACTGCTGTGTTGCTGGATCTTGTGAGACATGTGGTGTCCCATTCATGACTGCTGGACTTTGAACCTGGGAGGATGGAGGCGCAGATGGTGTCATGACGGATGCTGTTTGCGAATCAGGTCCAGGAGTTTGAGCGCCGGGTGTCTGGCCTTCGGGCGTAGGCGGTGCCGCTGTTGCTGGCACAGGTTTGATGGTCCCAGCAGGGGGCATGGTCGTTTTGCTAATCCGCCTAGCATAGTTGAGCAGCTCCTCGTAAGCGATGGGATAGCTGGGACCAGCTGGGAAAGTCGTGGTGTGCGTTGTCACAATATCCTTTCGGGTGGTTGCGAGGTTAGAGAGTGTTTCGCGAATCTGGGCATCCAGAGCAGCTGAGGATTCGCGCAGTTGCTGTATACGTAGATAATTGTTCTGGTGTGTTTGTACTAAAGTCGCAGTCAGTCGCTGGCGACTCTCGTAAGCAAAAGTGAGCTACCTTCTTCCAAGCCCTTGCTCAGCTCTTTGTCCGCTACATTGAGTTCATCGCCTTGTTGTATGGAAGGGTGAAACTTGGTGACTGAGTCAATTAAGTTCGCGAGGGCTTTCTCAAGTCGCTCAAAGCGACCGTCAATATATGTGTCCATCGCAAGCCTCAGCGCGAATGACCGAGATATGTATGATAAAAAGATAAGAAAGTAAATAAAGGAATACAAGGCTGCTAAGTTGGAGCAGGCGTAGCTTGAAAGTCAGAGCGGGTCTTCGTTCTGTTATTGGCCAGTTATCTCTAAGCTTCTTTTCACGCCTGAGGCCAACCCCGATCTTTCCCGTTCGGCAAACTCGCGCATCCAAGGCCATTCTTTTACGACGACGAAATCGACGAGCAATTGAACCGACACAGGCTTCCACCGCCCTACGATTCAAGATGGTTTCCTACGTACGTCCGAACCCCCCGATACAGTCGCAGACGACAACCCTCGAATAATCGTCAATGACTTTCAGCTCTTCGGCAAAGCGTTCATAAACTGACGTGATTATTGACAGACTCCCATCCGCATGGCGGAATTCAAGAGCAACTATGGTCCCAAGTATGTCTTGTCCCTCTATACGGTCGTCGATATCGGTCGGCGAGTTTCACGATCACACGAGCGAATTGCGACTTTGGAGATATCGAAATGGGCGAATTGAATTTGGAAATGGTGACGTTGGCTAATGCTCTGCAATAGGTACCATGCTCAGCCCAACCTTGCTGGCTACACCCCCCAGGCTGCCTTCCGAATGTGAGTTGGAATCTTTGAACGAGAATTGGTCGAGAAACGAAAGCATGCGAGCGAGTCGAAAGTCCAATCTCCCTTCCGTTGCCCCGGATTCATTCGATGTACAACCGCGGTTGAGACGAACTTGGTGGATGAGGAAAACCTGGGACAAATTGATGAACGACCATGCTATAGGACCGACCAATTCAATCCTCGAACGAATGCTGACCGGATAATCAGTGCCTCCCGTCTGGCCATGTACGGTGCCCCTGCCGCTGTTGGTGTCCTCCTCTTCGCCAACGGTATCCCCCGTGTCCAGCGTGACGTCCTCCAGGTACGAATTAGCATAAGGTCATGAGATATTGATCGAGATACTAATTCCCGTACAGAAGATCCCCTTCGTCGGTCGTTACTTCCACAAGGAGGTCCACCCCGCCGACAACGTAAGTTATATGTGCATTGTGAAGCTATTCAAGTCAAGTACTAACAAGAACTTAGCCCTTCTAAATTATATGGTGTATTGCGGAAGATAGACGTTGCTCAGCGCCGGTGCCGGCTCTCCTTGTAAAGATATTCCAATAGACATGTTCTGAGCCTTGAAATTTGCTGTGAAATGTACGGTCTGTGATTGGTTGATGTTTAAGTGAACAAGGAGAATCATGGGCAAGACATGATATAAATAAACAATATCTTTGAGATATGAATGTGATAATTTTAACTCAATTAAATATCCCTGTGATCAATACCGCTTCTTGGTCGTATAAGTTTCGCACTTCAAGTGTCCTCGATTGTTCCTAGTGCTGCCTGTAAGTACCTACAGTGTAGTGTACATTGATTGACTGCGGACCACTATTTTCCTCCGACACGCGATTCAACCGTCTTACATCAATTTCAAGCCAATACTGCCGCTCGTTATACAACTTTTTTTTTCTCCTTATCTAAATTCGTACTCTTAACTCTCTTAAACTTTCTAACTTCAAGGTCATGCGGGGCTTGACTTCTTGATAATTTCTTCTGTGCGACTCAGTCAACTGCTTTGGTGAACACTTGTCAGGATGGAATCCTCAAGCTGGTATGAGCTACTCACTGGCGACTGGCTCAGTCGACCAATGCGAGCAGTATTAGCCTGCGTTCTCACTGTGCCTCTCGTCCTCTGGCCTCGAAACAAATTCCAAGAGGGCAATCCTCGCCTCTTTGCTTTGTTTGTTTATTTACTTCATTTTGCGACCATCCCCTGGCTGTATCTGGTAACAGAACTGGTCCCTGAACCCTACCTGGTAAGTCTCCCATATATCGGCAGGTCACAGTAACTGATACATGATAGGACGAGGTGTTCCATATACCTCAAGCACAAAAATACTGCCAGGGCAAGTTTCTGGAATGGGATGACAAGATCACGACACCCCCAGGCCTGTGAGTCCATCGCGCAAGGAGTCGATATGTTATAGAGCTGATCAATTCTTAGATACCTTTCCTCATTAATTACCCCTGGTGTAGTCCAGCGCAATGGGTACCTCGACTATGCTTGCAGTGTGCAGAACCTGCGGGCCTTCAATGTCTTTGCTCTGGCCGTCCTAGCCTACTTGGCTTTGCAGTGTCGCCGTGAGATCGAGGCACGCCTCTATGAAGCTCATTTCTCAGGCAAGCTACGCATCACTTCGCAGTACGCACTACACACTGCCTTCAACATTGTCTTGTTCCCACTGCTCTTCTTCTTCTCTGGGCTGTATTATACCGATGTTGCATCTACTGCAGCCGTTCTGGCCGCCTTTTTGAATCACCTAAAGCGCATGGGAAGAGGTCAGAGCTCAATTCTGAGTGATCTTACAACGATTCTACTTGGTGTCTTCACACTATTCTTCCGCCAAACCAATGTCTTCTGGGTGGTAGTCTTCATGGGCGGGTTGGAAGCTGTCCATGCTATCAAGACGTTGAGACTTGAACATGTTGACCCACCAGTCATCTTCACACTTTCTGAGCAGCTCAAACATTACGCTTGGAGGTATTCTCTCGGAGATGTCCATGATCCCCCACTACACATGATGTGGCCCGATGGTAAGCCAGAATCATAGTTGTTCGGGATGTCGCTAAACGCATAATCAGATATGATATTTTGTGTCCTAAGTCTAGGCATCGCAGCCGTCTGCAACCCAGTTCGTGTTCTTCGACAAATATGGCCTTATATCACTACACTTGTGATGTTTGCGGTCTTCGTTGCCTGGAATGGCGGTGTTGTGCTTGGTAAGTTGTTCGTGTTTTACTACTACGCTCAGAACTAACCAGTACCAGGCGACAAATCCAACCATGTCGCGACTATTCATCTTCCACAGATGCTCTATATCTGGCCTTTCTTTGCATTCTTCTCCCTTCCACTTCTCATCCCATACGCTTTCTGGTTCATCAACTTGATACTTTTCTTTCTTCCTACTGGAGCTTCGAAACCAGCTCCTAGGACACCTCCTGAAACAGACCAATCATTCAATCCGTCTCGCTGGTTATACAGCAAGTCTTCGTCCAGGAAGTCTAGCAAAAAGGAGTCTAGCTCCGAGAAAGATGAAGTTGTTGATACGCCTAGTAGCAAAGCCCAAGAGGCATCGAAGGAGCTACGAATCTTCCAGCTCATGTTCGGCTCCAAGATCTTCCTGTGGCCCCTTTACCTCGTTGGAACTATCATACTCTCGATAGCCATCGTCCGCTACAATACTATCATCCACCCATTTACTCTGGCGGACAACCGCCATTACATGTTCTACGTCTTTCGATACACTATTCGGCGAGCTTCTTGGATTCGATACGCCTTGGTCGTTCCTTACACTTTGGCTCGCTGGATGACCTGGGGCACAATGGCTGGATGTTGTTCGCAGTGGTTTAGGGTTTCTCATGAACCAGCGTGCTCTACATATGCGAAGCACGATGGTGACCGCCCCTTCTTGAGCCATCCTGCCTCTACTTTCAGTGGTATAAGAACACGGAAAACGACCCAAGAGCAGGACATAGGTCAGGCTTTGGAGAAGGACCCTTTAATGGCCTCTATCGAACCAGCGACCATCTCAACCGGCCTGATTTTCTTGCTTGCGACGACTCTGTCGCTCATGACAGCTCCCCTGGTCGAACCTCGTTACTTCATCATTCCCTGGGTGATGTGGAGGTTGCTTGTACCTGCATGGAGATTCCATGACCACAGCGGCTCTCGCGGGCTTTCTTCTATCCTAGAAAAACACCCAAAGACCAGGCCGTTGATCCTATTCTTTCAGCGCTATGACCTGCGTCTTATACTCGAGACGCTTTGGTTTATCGCGATCAATGCGGCGACGGGGTACATTTTCCTCACTAAGCCCTACGTGTGGAAAGCCGAGAACGGCACAGTACTAGATGGTGGCCGACTCCAGCGGTTTATGTGGTAGACTTCAAGGTGAAGGAGAGATGCGAAGTGGTGCTTGCAAAAAATAATCTTTTTGTATTTTCGTCTTTGCAGGCACATCTGAGACTTGAAGTCTTTCCATATGTAAAATATACCCTTTCAATCACTGAACGCCGTACCCGTGGTCCATGTCCTGACCGATCCATAACCGTAACCATAGCCATACCCAGTTTCATATCGAGTGTCCCAAATCCATTTCCCAAGTCAAAGTGGCCATAATGCTCTATGTATCATGAAAGGCCTCTCATGCAATGAGTGATACTGCTTCGTACCTTGCCTGTCCACCGTGCCGAATAAAAATAAAACAAGTCGTCAAATTTCGTCAAAGTCGCAGTTTATAGACTCAAACGATCCAAGCTCAAGCCATCGTTGCTTCTCACGCGGCGAATAACGCCAAGCTTGAAGAACTTCTCCTCACCGCCAGGAGTGCGTCCACCAATATACCACTTATCGGCGCCTATCACATCACGGAATCCTTCACTACTGCTGTCGCTCCCACGTCGTCCAGAAGATCCAGGAATGGGAATGGCGGTGCCGTTGCTGGGAGAAGTAGACGTTGACGGTGAGGAGGAGGAGGCGGTGTTGCGTGGAGGGCGGATGGCGACGCTAGAAGTAGTTGTTTGTTGCTGTTGGTGATTATGTGATGTTGAGGTAGATGTCGATGTTGAAGTTGCTGCAGTGGCTGTGGTAGATGTAGCTGTCGTCGTTGTATCTCGGGCGTGCTTGTTTGGTTGGTGTTGATGTTGATGTGTGGACGATGTCGAGATGGAAGGGCCTTGAGGACGGAAGGCGGCGAGGAAAGAAGAGAGGAAATACGGGCGTTGTGAAGGCATTTTGTGTCGGTTGTTGTGTGATGTATTTGAGGAAGTGGTTGGTGTAGGACTTGATGAGTGCTGTAGTCCAGTAGCCGAGCGACGGTCCGAGTCGGGTCAAGATTTGAGTTCGGCTTTAAATGAAGGTCGAAGTGATTGATGAGTACGACAGTGTTGATTGTTCGGTAACAAAAGGGATCCAGTCCCTTGTCGTCGTCGTGATCTGGTTTAATGTAGAGGTTGGATTGGGAGTCGAAGTTGGATCTGGATCGTCGTGGGGAACGGGAAGTGGATAGTAGAAGAAGCAAGCAGCGGCAGTGGTAGTGACAGCGACAGTGATCTGGGGGTAACTTCCATTAAGTCAGTCACTGACGTCGCGGGTTTTTTTGCGGGGAGTCGATTTCGATCTGGGTTGGATGGAGCTGGAGCCCAGCCCAGGCCGGTAACACCCGGTAAAGCTGCAAACGTAATGATAATAGCAGGGATATAATTGGTCACTTTTAGGTGCTGCTTTTAAGGTGTTCACGTGTTTAAAGAACCAACACCTCCAAAAGTCAGACAATTTACTGCAATGGCTTCTGAAGGAAAGAAAAGACTCGGCTGGGCTTGCACTAGTTTGAGTTGAAATGCGGAGGTGGCATTAAAGTGAGGTTTAGTTATGGGTGAGTATTTGGTTTGATTGGGTGAGGTTGTTGGTGATGTGAAGATGCATCTTACTACCCATGTAGGTAGGTAGGTATGCAACGGTTATTTCTCAATAAGAAGTTGATTAGAGATTAATTAGTTATAGACTACTGACTCTCTGGTCTTAATGTTCTAGATATTAGCAAGATGCTTCTTTAGCTGCAGTTGATGAAATGGCAGTTACAGTATAGACACTCAGACAATAAACATCCATTCATCCGTACCTGTGGTATAACCAACAGTCACATATCACATCACACCCTCCCATCCATCGAACCCTGAAGGGAAAAGCAAACAAAGTCATTCTAAGCGACGTTTCTTCAACGCTTACAGTAGTTCTCTTTCCCATGCACATCTTCCATGCAGCATCAGATTATAATGGATGGGCAACTTCTTGATCAGCTACTGGAGATCAGTCCCAGACAAGACTAGTGGGATAGTCAACCCTGTTTTCAACCTTGACATCCCACGTTTTGTATCTGGGCATCGCGATGACTCTCTATGATCTTGATAATAAATTATTTAGAACCTTGTGTTCACTAGAACAGTGATGATGATCAAGTGTTCCCGTTCTATTCCCTTACTAAAGCAGCGGCTTGTTCGTTCTCCGAGCTCTCGGGTCAAAGGACTCCTTGTGACAGGTCAAAGTGGAGGAGCTGAAGGGCGAATGCAACTGTAACTGTGAACATGATCTGATAAATCATGAATCTGGAATGTAAGCAGAGACTGTGCAGTAGAATGGACCGTCCATTTGTAGGGTGGCTGGGATTAGCGAATGAAGTTCCAGGCGTAGATTCATCAGGTTTACAACAGAAGCTATATGTCAAGGTTAAAGATACTGCTTGCCCCAAAATCATTAAACATCTTGACCAAGAGAATATTGAGATGCTATTGGACACAAGTCTACACTGCCAACTCGTGATGGTTGTTGTCTCGATCTGCCTCGGCTATTGTCGTGACAGACGATACCAGGTTACCCTGGATAGTCAAGGTACAGAAAGCACTGGTATTTTGTGACAGTGGACTAGTCAGTGTAAGCTTTTCAACTAAACATGAATTCCTATATATCTGTTCTCCATCAAATACCTTGTCGTGTTACCTTCTATTTACAGCGTTCGTTGGGAGTATCTCTCAACAAGCCCATAGTATGGATAGCGGTGTAGACCAGCCCAACCCCTCCTTATCCTCCTGTACAGCACATGCAGTACATGACCCATAACTAATAATCCCCTCCACACAAAAAACACCACATATCAGAGCCCAGTATGAACAATCCATAGTCTCTAGAAACCAAAACCACTTAATTTATCAGTCTTGACCATTCATCTTCCGTCTGTGCAGCCTCTTCTGCATACAGACACAGTTACAGCACAGCAAAATGCCCACTCTCAAAGCTCGCATCCTCAGTTGGATCATCTGGTGGTGGTTCAAGAGCACTTGGCAATCCGCAGAGGGCATCAACAACCGCATCGCCAAAGAGCGCAAACACCCTGAAAGGGTCCCTCCCAAGCATCTATACAAGGAGTTTGCTGTCGAGGATTACAAGAGGAAAGGCCATGTCGCTGACTACTCGGTTTACATAATCTCTCCAAAGACAGAGACACCTGCCCGTGGTCGCATCCTCTATCTCCATGGCGGAGGCTTCGTCTTTGACATCACCCCCCAGCATTGGGAGCTCGTGGCGCAGCTTGCTCGGCGTTTGAATGCGACTGTCACCGTGCCCTTGTATCCGCTTGGGCCAGAAACGTCGCTTATGAAAATGTACGAGGTTGTGCAGCCACTCCACGATGAGATGGCCTCTGCTCCAGATAAGACGCCTTTCTGGATCGTGGGTGACTCAGCTGGAGCCACTATGTCTCTCGTCCTCACCCAGAATGCAAAGCTGGCGGGTCGTCAGACTGCGCAGCGTCTAGTGCCTATCACGCCTTGCACTGATTCCAGCCTCATCAATCCTGACTTGCATAACGCCGCCCTTAAAGACCCATGGCTCGATGTCCCAGGAATTGCAGAGATCACAAGGCTGATCTGCCCTGAGATGAACACGCAACACCCCAACGTCAGCCCCATCTATGGAGATCTGAGGTTACCGGCCATGCTGGTCTTCGCAGCCGGACTAGATCTTCTGACGCCTGATACCCAGAAGATGGTTGAGATGGCCAAGAGGGAGGGTACCAAAGTCGAGCTGGTGTATGGGGAGGGCATGGTACATGTCTGGCCAATTATGCCCATCTGGGAGGGTAGACAAGCCGTCGACAAGATGATTCAATTTCTGGGTATTAGTTGACTGGTCTGATTTTTGGTTATTTGGCTTGGGTAACGGCGTTGGGGTTGGGGTTTGATAGTGCGGCGTGAGGATATACCCCCTGAGATGTGATGACGATGATGATGATGACTATAACGACTCTATATATGCATTTCTTATGTTATTATGATTGGTAAAGGTAAATTCAAGGTATATTTTGTGTCCTGGTTGTGATCAACCTGATGGTGACTTTCTGCATATGTCCATGATGGAATTACGACATGGAACAGGTATGTAAAATATATGGCCTTCTACTGTATGTCTATAACTTAGGCTATTATATGTGTATGCATGTTGTAGTACAGTCGGATACCAGCTCAGCCTTGCGTGCTCCATCTAGCGGTATGATATATCGTCGCACAAGATTATAGATCTTCAAGGCAAACAACATCCTGTAATCACAACAACAGACTGGACCAACATGTTGTTCAATTTGATACATTCAATTCCTCGTATATGGCACGTTGGCCAGCCATTGTTCATCGCTTTGTTCAATGCTCACCCTATATGACCAGTGGCATGTTCTGAACAATAGTATCTGTATCCCTGTGAACAAACTTCTGACATAATCTTCCAACGTCAATTCTAGTTCAAACTGAGAGCACTTGGATGTTGAAGTCCTTCTCGATAGAATCGCCGATTCATATCATTTCGATTGACCAAAGGCAAATGCTGTGACTCGACCCTACCTGTACTGTAATCCAATTGTATGATTCTACATAGATATCTATCACAAAAGAGAATCTGGTTGAACATGAAAAGTCGGTAAGGCTGTAGATCAGAGTGACAGCAGATGAAGCAGCTTCCCTTCAGTTGTGCAACACAATGTATAAACCGAACTGCGAGGCTGAGGATATACACTTATACCAAAACCACACGTCAGACGGGTTGCAGTATCTAGGTTCTGACTTGATCAAATCAGTAATTCCCGAGACAAGGATTGAACCTCCTATTTCGCAACTGAGCAATCATCATATCAAGCATTGGCCAATACATTCTCTATGCCCAGACCATATCTTGGTAAATCTGGGTAAATGCACCACCGGCCAACTGCAGCGTCCCAAAAGGGAATCTTTCCAGCATCGTTCCGACGGTTGATATACCCCCTTCTAAGACTTGTTCGCCACAGCCTTGGGGACTCGAGAAGGCTTGAGGTGCCATTGCATCTGTACTGCACTGATGACTGGATAATCAGCCTGATTGCTAGATTCCATATAAGAGACTTCGTCCTGTTCTCCAGTTCGGCCCCCAATGGATATCTATTCCATCAGGAACACTCCGTTATCCTGTGCCACATGTGAAGTGTCCGACCGAGCATCAGTTTAGATCCTTCGAACAGTAAATGTAACCAGAGAACGCCCCCACTGAAAGTTGGAACGTCAGTCCTGATCACCTTGAACGATGCGTATGCCCGCCGCAGTGCCAGTCACTTGCTGGCACTGGCATGGCAGTTCGGAACACCAGAACAACAGGATAGCTAGGGGTATTTAGTCTTCGTTTGTGACGCTGCCTTTTCGATCTTCTTCCTTTCCTCTTTCTCTTCATCCATCTTCCACATTCCACCCTCTGGTCTCTAGACTATAGTATCAACTAGCCTTTTGACCAATACACCTACTACCATCTTGACAACAACCTTCTATCCTGACAACGATCTTCATCGAGCTATCACACTCCTCTTTTTTGGAAACCTTCTTGGAAACATCCATCACAATGTTGATGTCCGCCCTCTCCGGGCTCGCAGCTATGTCTGCTCCGGCCTTGGTGTCTTCTCTCTTGATGGGAATGATCATCTTGTGCTTTATCATCCTTGGTATTGCCATCTTCAACATCTTTGTATACCCCTTCTATGTCTCGCCTCTCCGACATCTGCCCGGTCCTACCGACAACGCCTTCTTCCTTGGCCAGGCCGCAAAGTTCCTTCAGGTCCCTTGGTTCCCCGAACTCTTCTGCAAGTGGTCTCGAGACCATCCTGAAGCACCTCTTATCCGATATCTGAACTTCGCCAACGGTGAGACTCTCTTCGTCAACACCATGGACGCATACAAGCAAGTCCTCCAGACCAAAGCCTCCTTCTTCGTAAAGCCCGCCTTTGCTCGCCAGTTCGCACATGAAATCATCGGTGATGGACTTCCTTTCGTCGAAGGTAAGCTTCACAAGGTCCGCCGCCAGGCCATCAGCCAGCCCTTCTCGGCTCCACGCCTCAAGGCCTTCTTCCCTACTGTCCAGACCAAGGCCGAGCAATTGATTCGCGTTTTGACTCAACGACATGCTGAGAATGGCAACATCGAAATCGAGACCCATGTTTGGAAGACCGTCCTTGATGTCATCGGACTTGAAACCTTTGGCCTTGATCTGAACCATCTCGAATCTGACGAGTCTCCCTTGTTCGAGACCTTCACTAATATGATGCAGCCTTCTGCAGTCGGCCATATCGTCAACTATCTGAACTCTCTGGTTCCAGTCCGCCAATTCGTCCCTATCCAAGAATGTGTCGAGTTCTCTCAGAGCTGCAGCAAGGTCCGCGATTTCATCCATGGCTTTGTCAACATTCGACGAAACCTGAGCGAGAAGGGTCAATCCAACCATGGAGATGCTCTTCAATGCCTCCTGGACCACGACGATGCCGCTTGGAACGACGAAAGCATTGTCGAATACATCCTGAACCTCTTGATTCTTGGACACGACACCACTGCCTGCTCCATCACTTGGGCTATCCACGAACTCTCGCGCCGACCCGACGTTCAGCAGCGCCTTCGAGAAGAAATAATGGACCTGGACAACACTTGCCCCATGCCCTTCTTCCCCGATATCGACAAGCTTCCCTACCTGCACAACTTTGTGCGCGAAGTTCTCCGCCTCTACTGCGCAGTCGCCATGGCACCTCGCCAAGCCACTCAGGATGTCGAAATCGCCGGTGTTGTTCTCCCCAAGGGAACTGTCATCCAGCTCTCGCCTGCTGTCATGAACACTCACCCCTCCGTCTGGGGTCCTGACGCTCGAGACCTCAACCCTGACCGCTGGAATGATCTGTCGGGCAACGCTGCGAGTGCCTACGCATTTGAGACGTTCCACAACGGCCCGCGAATGTGCATCGGCAAGCAGCTTTCCATGATGGAGATGAAGGTCATCCTGGTCGAGATTCTCCGAAAGTTCAGAATCGAGAAGCCTGTTGGCGCCGAAAACAAGAAAGTTGAAGTCGCTGGCCCAACTTTCACTCTCCGCCCCAAGGAGAAGTTGGTTGTTCGCTTGGTGGAGTTGTAAGAGCCAGGTGTAACACATGGCTGAAGACACTCCCTGCATCATTGTACCATACCCTAGACTACACGACACAGCACACGCTTACGAGATACGATACCCCCCTTCCCCTTTGGATTGCCTACAGAATTAGATTCGCTGCGGAAAGCGAAAAACGAAACACAACACAAGAGATTGGAGATACGAGGCGTTATGAACAGCTTTATTAGATCTCGACCGAGTATAGACTACACACTACACAGATTGGACGACATGATAATACGAGAAAGCAAGAACGAATAGACATTGATACCCCAGGAAATATGTTAGGAATACACGGAGGATATTTGCTAGATGGATTGATAAACTGTAATTAGACAGTATTGAGTCGAAGAATAATTATGAGCAATTGATTTTTGCGAACCTTTGACAGTTTCTTGACGTGAGATTTGAAATGCATGCCCTTGTGATACCAACACTAATGCTTACCGTGGTCTCATCATCTGCCACCAAGCATGATTCTGAAAGGAACAATTTGTTTCTCTTAACACGCACAGGCAAATAAGTGAACGGTAGTAATGATTGCTTAGATTGTCATATCATTTAACAATACTACAAAAGAATTCGAGACGCCGAGCTATGCCAGATGATCCATCCATGGAACATATACCAACGCCCATAACTCCAGAAACACAATTGAAAAGATAGGAATAAAAGCTGTCGGGGCGTGGTTGTTCAAACCTCATATATTCTCCTCTGCATCGCATCGCATTGCTTTGCTCGTGCTCGTTATGCTCGCCCAGACCATGGTTGTGCATCTCAAGCTGACAAGCCTTACCAGTCAGCAGCCCAGCCATTGTTCTCGAGGAACTCCTCACAGGCTTGCTTCAACGCCAGATTTGGTCGCAACTCAGATGCAACGAGTGGCTCACGGGTCAGAGGATCGCTGGGGTGTCGTCGGAGGTGTTCCATAATAGATGAGCGCTCATATGACTTTCCTGTCTTTGACTAGATTATATGTCAGATCATGCTCTCGACGTATGTGTGCTTTCATCAGTAAAACTTACCACAACGGGATCAATCATGAAGCCAAAGCTGATATCGTCAATCGCCCAGTCGGGAACCTCTCGCTTCTTCTCATCGCCCGCCCTTGCTCTTTCAAAGATGTCCTTCATTCTCTCAATCTTGGCTTGAGTCTCCTCTTCGATTTCCTGCTTCTCCATTCCATCATCCGTTTCCGCAAGCGCAGAGACCTTCTCCCTGTTCAGAAGCTCCATCACCTCTCTTTCAAGGTCCTTAGCTTCGCGCATGCGCTTCTTCTCCATATCGTCCCAACGTTCCTTCTTGCAGCGCAAAACGAGTGCCGTCACAGCAGCGAGAGAGCGGTCGTTTGTAGCAGCGCATAGCTTGTGCGCGTGTAGTGCACTCTCTAGAGAAGCGTCATAGTCCTTGAGAGCCAGTTGCGCTTCAGCGAGATAGTAACGAGCTTTCATATTATCAGGCGTAAGCTGCAGGCAAGCCTCGCAGTCAGTAATAACTGAGTCCCAGTAATTCAACTTGAGACGGGCCATGGCACGATTGGTGTAAAGTGCTGGATTCTTGGGGTCGGCGATGATGCTGTGGGTGGAAATGAAATATGTCAGAATGGATATCACCCAGCTTATTTCTCCCGGCGCCGATGTTTGTATGGATGCATGATTAAGGTATATATGGGATGAGCTCACGCTTTGGAGTATAGGCTGTCAGCGCCGACATAGTCGCCTTGCACGAAACATTTGTTCCCTTCTTCTTTGAGTTGAAGTGATTTGGACATGGCGGCTATGTCTTGAGTGTATGAAGCGGTCAACTGTGATGAAGGCCGTTCGTTGTAGGCAATTTAAGATAATCGATGAATAGAGATACTAGCTCGGGCGCCTCGGATAAGTAGAGAACCTGCTACAAGCCTAGAGATTTATATATAAAGAACAATTGCTGCGTCGGTAAACAAAAAAGGGAAGAATATCGGCGCTCAAAGCTAGGTGCTCAGGTCTAAGTGATGCTGTGGACGTAAAGGTAAGTGGTTAGTGCCTCAAATCTATCTGGCCGGGCGAGAGATTGACAACGGGCGAACTACAATGACACCATGGAATGTTGGATTGTTTTACATGGGAAGGACCCTGATTCTAGGAAGACTGTGATTGGATTTCTAAGCGCGTCTTTCTTGGAAAGTTCGAGAAACGGGCAGCGGGCCTGGACTGGGCGGCTGGGCATTTATTACTATTACAGCATGACCGCCCGACAATTGCGGGGTGATAAAGAGATCAATCAAATTGTTGGGGTTTCATCATGACACTCAGTTCTCATGATATGGAGCCGGGTACCTATCCGTGCACCGAGTCAGGTTACACAACACAACACACATAGCCTAAAGTCTGGGACCTTAGCAGGACATCGATCATGTAATCAGATAACTATTGTTCGTATTCTCTTCAGCATATCTCATATCTCACTATCGCATTCCCATAAAACATGTCTTATCCAGTGTCCCACAGCATACACCTTGAACAACACTTAAACCTAGTACACCTAAGCTTTATTCGTCATGTCGTGTTCCTATCCTCCACTAACTCGGCCATCCATGTTCCACAGCAGTTTTGTATATACAGGTAGTCATTCATCAAGCTCGCGCTGTCCCAAAGACATGTCTATACCCTCCCACCCAAGAGCGACGACCTCATACAAGCGCTATGCAACCGAGAGCCCTTGAACAAACCAAACAAGCTACGTTACCCAGAAATAAGACCAAAACCAACAACGCCGTGCATATGCATATTTTCCCCAGCTCATAATCCCATCCCAAAAGCCCATTTTACCCAGCGGATTGGTCCCTATCGGTAGGCTGGTCCGGGGGGTGGGCTATCGTCCTTGACGAGTCCGGCCTGCTCTTCCTCCGTTGGGTCCTCGACATGCGACGTTGATCTAGACGATGAGTGAGGTCGCCTAAAAACATTGTGGAATGAAAACTGACGCCGTGTGATTTCGGGAGGTTGTCCATGAGGCGGGGGCGTCGGAGGTGCTAGACTGTTACCACTTCGGAATGACGCCCCTCGGTACTCAGTGTCCAGACCATTGAACGCGTGTTCGCGAGTTTGACCGTAGTAAGCGGTATGTTCTTCGTCGGCCTTGTCCCGGGGGACGGCAATCTCGGTTAGAGGGACGGGAGGCATCGGGCTCCGAGGACGGGGCTTATCGTCTTCGTGATCGTCGTTGGCGTGTCGTCCAGAGAAATTGGTAAAGCCTCGGGCTCGGCCCCTAATAGTCCCGGCGATACTAGAAAAGAGTGTGTTCGTCTCTTGGCGGTTATCGTCGTCGCGATCGTCATCGTCATCGTCGACCGAAGGGAATTGGGACATGCCTAGTGGTGGGTGCTGTCTGGGACTGCTTGGCCTAACGGCAAACCGGGGAGAGATCGGGGGTATCTGCGGGGGAGGAGATGTTACGGATCCTGCTCTTGAGCTGCTAATTGTTCCGGTTCGTCCAGTCCGGAAAGTCATTGTCCTTCTCCTTCTCAATCCATCCCATTCCCACTCTGGCTGCGATCCATCCTCACGGATAGGATCCATGGTTTCCATCATCATCTTTTCCTCGTGGAGTCGCTTGAGCTCTTCGGCCTCCATTCTAAGTCTTCGCTGAGAGATCTGTCGCACAATGGCAGCTGTTCCACGGATGGCGTCGGCCTTGGGATCCGTCTCTGGCTGCTCCTGTTCGACAATGGTTTGGATCTGGTCGAGATCACCATTGAAGATAGCAGCATCAGGCACATCCTTTGCTGATTTCGATATTTGTAGTAATACTACTCCAGAGCAGATGGTCAAGAAACCCAACACCACGGTCACAATAGACTGGACAGAGCCCTTAAAACCTTGGTAAAGGATCGCTGATGTGATAATGGTAGTACTGGTAAAGTAGACGTAGTATGTCGGAGTAACAAGAGCCGCGTTATAAATGTTGAGCGCTTTCTACTACAAGTTAGCAAAGGAGAAAAAAGGGTTATCGGGTTTCGTACGTTGAGATAAATGATCTCTGTCAACAGTGTTCCAATGACAAAGACAAACAGAACCCATAGGAACCACTCCTTGTACTGAGGCTTGCCTCCAATCCAAGCAATGATGGCAGCACCCAAGCCCTGGGTCGATGCGACACTCAATCCACCAATCCAACTGCAGATGGAGATGTAGACCAACATGTTCTTGTTACCATATTTTGGCGCAACCCAGATAGCAGTGACCGCAGAACCGACTAGAATGATGCCAGCATAGGTGAGAAAGCCTGGCGTTATGAAGTAACTTTGCATCTGCTGAATATCGCTGACGGACGACGAATGGGGCGCATTCATAACAATGACGACCGAGCCAACGATACACAGAAAACACCCAACCTTTCCCACCAGACTAAGACGTTCCTTGAGAAAGATACTCGAAAGAATAGCTGCAATAACGACGGATAGAGCTCCCAGAGGCGTAACGAGGATAGCATCGGTAAAAGCGTATGCGACAAAGTTGAGGATCTCGCCAATGATCATAAGAATCATACCCGTCCACCACCAAAAGTTCTTGAGGTATCCGTATCCTTCTCCAGCAACCTCATTGTATTTCTCGTTGGCACGCAATAGACCGAACTTCTTGAGGACAAAGGATACACCAATGAAGACGCCAGAACCGACAGCCAAACCAATACCAACGGGTTTATAAAATCCAGGTCGGTCGCCCGAGTCGCCGCCTCCTATACCACCGCTCCTGGCGAAGATATCGGCGTCCATTGCAATATACAAATCGAGGTTGGGGTCGAGGCTTAGCGGGAGGAGGGGAAAGCGAATCGAAGCGGGAGATCTAGACGTATGCTTAGGACCACATGTGCGATGGTGACAATGGAATCGGTTGTGGCAGCGACGAAGGACTTTTATATATCAGGGGTTATTCAAACAAACTTTACAACAAGACGATCAGGTAAGAATCAAAGAGACGAATAGGTGTGCACCGGCAAAGGTAAGAGGAATATACAACAAAAGAGGTAGAAAGAAACCAAAAAGTGTATGTATGTAGAGTAAAGGCAGAGTAAAGAAACCTTGGAAACGGCGTTGCACACACCAGGCCAGATTAGCTCAAGCTTGTGATGAAAGAGAGATCCGATGTGGATGGGCGCTCCTGAGACAAGCATCCACCATGTACAGGTACTTGGGTACGCCTAATTAGGCGCTGTCCCCGCTGCGACCTGGGCCTACCCTACCTGCACCAGCTGCCAACTTGGAGCGGCCCCCAGCCAACCACTGAAGGAAACCAAAAACAACAAGCTTCTGCAGCCAGGGAAAGTTCCCAGTCCATTGGGCGATCTTAACTGTTTCCAACTCTTTGTCAACACCAACAAAGACGACACTTCACGGACCGACATGTCACTGGCTTCCTGACATGCAAACAAGACCAAGAAAGGAGCTTATGCCATCAATTACAACTTCCTTGCCTGTCATTACTTACGTAGCGGGGGTCTTCCATGCTTTTCTCACCGAAATATGCAGCACCTACAGGGACAATATAGGTCATCACCCGCGCAACGACCCATGGCTCTTTGACCAACGGGCGCTAAATCGCTATAAACGTCAGCATCGGAAACCTATGACACCAGACTCTTCCAACTTGATTGTTGGGACCTAAAGCCCAAAATATTTGATAGGGGTCAGGTCTGATATCGATCGATGCACTGTTGACCTGCCCATCTCGGTAAGCCCTTGGCGCAGCACTCAAGCTTCCAAAGTAGAGGTACTTGATCCTCCCCTCGGCCCAATGTAATGGGATAAGCCACTTACGGGTGGCTCGCGATGACGACGAAGCATTGCGCAGCTTGTGGTCAAAACGTTCATTGTCTTTATTGTCCGTCCACTGGGAACGGAAGAATTGTCATCGAGAATCAACAACGATCACTTTGACAGTCTTCTGTATCCCGTCATTGTAAGGTTGACCGATAAACAACAGATGTCTCACTGAGCTGATGGTGGCTACAGGCTGTAGGCCAAGACGGACTCTATTCAAGCGCATCCACAAACGTGGGGTGGTTGTTCGGCACTAAAGATCTAGACTCTCTTAACCTTGGCTCACTGAACAATGGGCCCTTTTTTCAGCTCTGAACCTTCTGTCTGTTCAGTAAACATGAACTGCATCTATGAAACTCCGTGTCCATTGGAGTTAAAGATGTGGTCAGCATTGTACAGCTAGAGCTCCCGAACATCCGGTTCAATCAACCTTAATAACGCTCGCCATCAAAATCTTCGTGTCGCATCTCTAGTCTCTCACAGCCAGACAAAGGTGGGTAAAGACGATCCTCTGGTACTATTTCTGTCTCAGTAGCGACGACTCTGCATGCACGCGACTCAGCCACATCCGAATGCACACGCATGGTGTTTCAAGATATGTCTCTTCTGTTCCCACTGATCGACATCCAATCAATCTGTATCCAAAGTTGCATTCTTTTGCCAGGGCTTTAATCGACAGATTTGAATCAGCATCTAGGGTTTTATGGTTAAAAGCTGGGGCAATGTCTAGGGTCCTGATATGATATGCACATCGTTTAAGGCTGATGATGGATTCTGTGCAGTTTTGTGAAGACAAGCTTGAGAAGATGGGTTTTAGTTTTGTTTGACCGCTCTTATGATGAGCAGATGCTCTAAAGTTTTGAATGATGATAGTACCATCTATTCATGACTCTGTCACCAGACCGTTGTATGGCGTACGATAGTCTCGTTCAACGGTCCGTTTATTCTGCACATCTGGGGCGTTGCAAAAGTCAAACAATATCGGGTGACTGAATACTTGTGCTAATCCATACAAAATTATTGTCGCTTCCTATCATTATCAAGGGGTATCTCGATCTTAAGTTCGTAAATGCATCATGCAACCCAACCCAAGTTAACCAAAGGCAATCTCCCGTCTCTTTCTATAATATGTACCTTGTTATGCCATATTATTTCTTTTCAGCCTGAACAATCTCAGCCAGCCACCTGCCCACCTTTTCCTTAAGAGGTAACTTTGATGCTTCACCAATTTGAGAGACGTACTTCTCCTTCAGCATCCGTGATTCCTTCCTGGCCTCCTCTGCTGCTTTGCGAGCTTTGAACCTCGCCATAGCCTCAGCCTCTCTCTGGGCACGCCTTTCACGACGTTCCTTGATACGCTCAGGGGGTATTTCCTTTCCGGTAACGTTCCTGACCTTCTCCCAAAAGAGGTGGTGCTGAGCCTCGTCTGCTCTGCAAGCATTGTACATGACAGCTTGTATGGGATGTCTCATCATATGATGGAAAACAATTTTGTACTCGCTGGTTTTGGCCGTCTTTGAGAATCTGAGACCCATGTCGATTCCAGTCTTGGCCATATCCTCATAACTTGGATCGCTGTAATTAAGACCCAAGATAAATTCCTGTGCCTCAGGATGAAGCTCGCTTATAGGAAGGCGACCAAGTAGACCTTGGAGATATGCAGGGAGCTGGGTATTTTGTAACTCCTCTTGCGGCGCCAACCATTCTGACGGGACCAAGGACCTGGTTTCCTGCCCCTTCAGGTCTGCATCATCCTTCTCGTTCGCGGAAGGCGCTAACCTTTGCCGCTTAGTCAATGGGACTTCGGTCGCAGGGGTTTCATCTTGAGTTGTGATAAGGCCTCGTTTTCTCGTGACGGGTGTCGGTGCATCTTTTCCGGAATCCTGGACCACGGGAGCTTTTGACGCGGCTAAAGGATCGATTTTCTGTCGTTTTGCAGCTTGTGGTCTTGGCGGAGGGCAGGGACTATCATCCCGTGGTAAGCTTCGCTTCCTGACGATCGATTTCGGCTCCTCATTTTCGACGGGCATATTGTGCACCAACAAAAATAACGAATCCCATTCGCTTCCATCATCGGATTCTTCAGTTTCGGATTCCTCTTCTTCCTCAGATTCTTCCGTCTCTTCCTCTTCATCGTCGTATTCCTCTTCAAATTCTTCTTCCTCCTCTTCCTCTTCCTCCTCGTCCTCCTCTTCTTCCTCTTCAAGCCCCTCCTCCTTTCTTCGCTTCTCTGCCTCTCTTTCTTCCCTGAACCTCTGCTTTGCTGTTTCTCCTATCTTTCGCAGTTCAGCTTGGTTTTTCCTTTGAAACGATTCGTCGTCTTCTTGTGCGTAATATTCCTCCTGTCAATAATTAGTCCCAAGCGTCCTAGGAAGGTCTGGTTAATTTTCTGGTGCATACGCACGTCTGAGATTTCATCTTGCACAAGCATCATGACGGCCAATAAGGTCAATTTTGTTGTGCGGTCGTAGTCATGATTAACAATGTCGTCGAGGACAATATCCTCGATCATCTGCTGATCAATCCCTGCGACTGAGGGTAGAGCGTCCCTCGGTAGAATCGACATCCTTCCTGCTGTAATTTTGGTCGAATAAGTATGCAAAATTGTGTTGATGTCGACGTCAAAAAAGGTCAGCCGCTGTTTCTGCTCTGTCCTCAACTCCTCTTCCCGTCCAGGCCGATAAGGCTCGGTATAGTGAGCCCGACTAGTGGGCCTTGACCAATGGGAATCATTCTTGCAGTGGTCTAGACCTTTGGACCATCTGTCGAGTGAGTTGAGTGAGTGTTACTGGAGGTTTAATAATCCGAGGTTGCTATAGTTAGTACTGCAGTGTAGATCTTAACGCGTATTGATTGTTCCGCACTCGACAACGCATCGCATTCTTCATCCCGGTATCCATAGAGGCTTAGAGAGACATGCGTTATATGTCAGTTTTCCATCAATAGGCTCTCGCCCTTTTCTATCCAATCGCCAGAGGGATAGAGGATTTCCTTCCGGACATTCTTTAACTCTTTGTCTTTAGTATCCATAATTTAGGCTATGGACCCTGGACCGCCCTACGCTTAGACTGATCCTGAAATTACAAAGTCGCCTTTTGGCCAGGGGACAAATCCTTCGACCCATTTCACATGTAGTGCTGATGGGATCAGAGGCCGTGAGCCGCTCGCTGCCCTATGAACTAGTCGAAACCCTAGTCTGCAAAAGTTCTTTAGCTGTTTGAAGTCTATACAATGCATTGTGATAGTCGGAAACCTCTGTCCGAGGGCATTAATCGATGGTCCATTATAGAAGAGGAACCTGCAGGGGGTCCCTTTCATTCAAATGGAGTCGTTGATCGCCTTGACAATTTAGGTCCTCTAGTGATCCCTCGTCTTGGGTCATTCATGTCAATTAACTAACTAGCTTGTTGTTCCTTCGCGTCTTGTTTCGTCTTCGTCTTTGTCTTCTTGATCCTGAACTTGATCCTCTTATCTTATACTTATACATATATACTTATCATTCATAACAATGGCCAACAAGAACGCAAAGCACCTCGCCGAGGTCATTCCCCAATGTGTTGCTGGATGTTTCGATATTGGCGTGGCCGCAACTGGCTGTGACGATAACGACTACGATTGTTGGTGCTACAAAGCGAACCACCAGACCGTCGTCGATACAGTGGAAGTGTGTCTCATCAACCAAAAAAGAAGAACGCAAAAAGAATGTACCGACGATGAAATGTTCCGTAAGAAAATATGCATTTGCGATCACATGAGATGTTCTTGCTAACAAGCATCTAGAATATGAGAACAGTTATTGGAAGATTTGCGAACAATATTGGGAACCAACTGGAACTGCTACCGAACCAACCTCATATCCAACTGCGCCGGCGACCTCATTAGCGTCAACGAAATCTACCGATGCGAGTACAGCGACTTCATCAGCAGCCGAGAAAACCACAACTGAACTATCTTCATGGACCACCACCATAGCGACCCAATCCGGCGACTCCGAAGCAGCAGAAGCAACAGGTCCCTCAGAACCAGAGTCTACTTCAGGAGGTCTGTCGAGTGGAGGAAAAGCTGGTGTAGGCATTGGTGTCGCTCTTGGTGTTATACTCCTCGGTGTAGCTATCTTCCTCTGGCTGCGCGAGAGACGAAAGCGACGCAATATTGAGGAGAAGCTTCGAGTTGCCGAAGTCGAAAAGGCTGAAGCTGTACAGTCCGGAGGCTACGGCCCCCATGTTATGTACGAGATGGAGGGTGACCGACCTCACGCCGAGGAACTGCGCGGAAGTATGAGGACGCCAGAGCTTGGCGCAGAGCGAAAGTCAGATAGCGTGACAGAGGTTGCTCCTGTGAGTCCCTCTGATAACGACAAGGACTCGACATTCTCGAGTCGCAGCTACGAATGGCCCATTTCACCAGAGAGCCCCAACCGAGATGGGGCAGGAAACGCAGGGTCTCTGGGTGAAGTGAAAGATATAAATACGCCTAAACCACCTGCTCCTTGAGCGGGATTGGTTGTTTGATCTTTAACTACCTTCTTTTACGTTATATACCATCTTCTTATCTTACATAATTGCCCTTCATCACTACCTTTCAGCGTTTGATGAAAGAGCGTTTGACGATAGAAACAAGTCAAACAAGTTTCCCCACTGAGAAGCAAACGCTGTTATTGTGAATACTTGAGCACAGCAGTGACAATGAAAGTCAATCTTTGCTATTTCAGCGTTTGAAGACGAAATCCAAATATATAAACTCGTCTAGAGATGGAGTCTCTTGTATGTTGACTTGATCAACACAACTGTCGACACCTCCATCGACAGATCTTCCCTCGAACTACTACTTGCTTTCCCAACTTCTACAAGCTATCAACATGTCTGAAAGCGCTAAGATCAAGATCATGAACGAGGTCATCCACCGCCTCTGGGCTGAGGATCCTGATACTGCTCAGACCCTCAAGGTAAATATTACGGGAGTGTGATATCTGACAGCATAACTGACAATTCCTGTCTTGGCAGCGCTACATCAGTGAGACCGACCACATCAAGGACATCATGCAAGCCGTCGTTAAGGACATTGGCTATGCCATGAACGATCTCAACCTTCGTGGCGAGAACGCCGTTGCTCTCAACCGTTGCAAGTACGATCTTCTCCGTGCTGTTGTAAGTTGTTAGTGTCCCTCTTTAAAAATACAACGTTAACGAAGATTCAGGACGAGCACAACCGTCTCACTCGCGATGGCTATGACCGAAACTTCCGTCCCCGCCTCAACTGCACCGTCAAGAGTCTCAAGACTGTCGGTGCTGGTAAGGATGGGGCTTCTGGTGGCGGTAGTACTCAGCAGGACAAGGAGCCCATGATGGAAGTGACTCTTCGCTTCCCGGCCCGCGAGTACAACGACAGTCCTCACTGTCTTACTTCCGACAAGACCCATGTCTACATCATGATGAAAGAGCGTTGAATGGGAGGCTGTTCTTGACCTAGCTTTGGAGCTTGGGTAAAGAAAGAATGGGGGGACATTCAATGAATCTTTGACAATGAAACGAGAGGTATAGAAAAGACACAGGCAAGACTAGAGCAGCGGGATATTCTTCCTAGCCAAAAATGAACTTCATCTTTGCTTTAAAGTAACCAAAGTCAATTGTGTCTTGTTTGTGTTTGAGTTGAGTTTGCCCCCAGGTTAATTAATCTATGGCGGGGTTGTAGGATTCGTGAATATTGTATCGATGACGAATCTAACAACCTAGGTAGACAAGGTAAGAACAGTAGAATATAAGACATCTTACCTCTGTTCAAAATTCCTTCATAACCAAAAATTAGACCATACATGGCCAATATTAGTTAGGTACATTCATTTTACGGCAGATTGTTGAGATATTGGATAATACTGCTAGTGCTACTTCCGTTTGTTAGTCTCTCCACTCCACTATTTCCGTGCCTTCCTACAGTAACTCTAGCTGCGGCTCGATCCTGCACCTTTCTAATTTGCTTATCTTCCCTACAATATTTCCCGGAATCCTCAATGATTTATTCATCATGAGTGACGAAGAAATGGCAGCTATTTACATCCGTAGTGATGATGCTGGGGGCGATAATACCGCTATTGCCCCATTTAGCTGTCACCAGTGTCGCAAGAGCAAGCTGAAATGTGACCGTACAAGGCCATGCTGCGGTCGATGTCGCAAACAAAATTATGAATGTATCTACTCCAACTCTAGACAACCTTATCGAGCCAGAAATCGAGGACAAGTAAAAGATTTGGAGGCCAAACTTGGTAAGTTGCGGTTGTATCTATGGTGATAGTCAATGATTTATCAAGGTGCATTCACTAATCTCATTAACTTAAGAACGCCTCGAGCAAATACTGCAAGCGTCTCAAAAGACGAAAACGTCCTGTTTCGGTGATAGTCAGTACAGAGACGATGCTCTTTCACTTGCCGACATAACACCACCAAGCCAACCAGATGACCATGTTGCGCGGCTGGATCTTTCCGATGGATCGCTTCCTCAACATCTCATTGAAACGCTGTGAGTACTTCTTCACCGATTCTTCATAGCTATGAACTTATAATAACCATGCGGAATAGGATGAATATATACTTCGATAATATCTATCAGCCTCCGCCCATGTTACATCGGCAGCGTTTCATGACATCTCTCGTCGAGCCCGATCATATGAAGCCGCCAATGTGCCTTCAGTACATCGTAATGGCATTTGCTGCAGAGACCACCGATTCATACCGCCACCTAGGCACGATGCTTTACAAGCGTGCTAGAACGCTTCTACAAGAACATGAATTCGGGGTATGTTTCACCACGACAGATCACTGAACAGTAGTCTAACTCGGACATATAGGGGCTTGGAACCAGCTCCCTCTTGTTAGGCCATGTACAAGCCTGGGCACTAATGTCTTGTTTTGAAGCCGAACATACCATGTTTGCAAAGGCTTCCATCACTCTAGCATCCGCCTTTAGAGCTGCACAGATATTGAATCTGCATCAGGTCGATAGTCTCCAGCCATATGGGAATTTTGGAACGGACTGGATCGAGCTCGAGGAGCGTCGTCGCACGTGGTGGACCATATTCTGTTTTGACCGCTTTGTTTATGCAACAACAGGATGGCCGGCTTTGATCAATGATCAAAAAGTTAGTTTGATTAGTCAGGACTTTGGATAATAACTGACAACGGCATAGATGAACACCCGTCTTCCAGCTTCGGATGAAGCGTATACATACGGAATAGAGGAGCAACCGAAATTTCTCGGAGATCAACTTCTCGAAGCTGAACCACACTCGTCTTTCGCAGGCATGGTTCTTACAGCGCAGATCTTCCATCGAACCATAGAGCATAACAGCTCGGATCACAGTCAAGAGCAGTTTGCCAACGTTTCGAGCGATGAAGTATACTGGCAAAGACATCGAGAAATCGACAATGACCTCAAGTTCATGCTACTTATGTTACCAAAGACTCTCTGTCTTCCTGAAAACTACAAAATCCATAATGCCGTATTTGTCAACGTCATGCTACACACGGCTACCATATGTCTCCATAGAGCGGCATTGTGGAGGATGAAGTCGAATTTGCAGGGGCTGCCAAGTTATATGATTCGGTTGTCGCAAGACCGTCTAGTTCCGGCTGCGGAAGAGATTCTGAATATCTTCAAAATGGTACCAGAACTCGCAACGACCTTTGCCAATCCCCTTATCTGTTTCTCGGCATACATGGCCGCTTTGGTCTTCCTATCTAATACATCTCCTGTCGAACCCGATATACACAGTGAGGAAACTTTGGATTTCATACTAAGAATTATGGTAGCATTTGGGGATACCAATCTCGTCGCCAAAGCTGTGGCGAATGAAATCGTGAAAGAGATGAGTCAATGTGGCATTACATCTGCAAATATGTGCAAAGTAAGACATCGTTTTGTCTTGAGCCACCACGATACTGACAACTTGCTATAGGTAGACTTGCAGGACACAACCATCGAATTCCCACTGCTTGCCACTCAGCGACGATACTCTACTTTCCCGTTGGTTTGATATCTAAAGCCTCGCCGTCCAGTTAATAAGATTGCGTTCAAAATTAAGTGGAAGTCTGGTACGATTCTTGATTGGGTTTATTAAAAGAATCATCTATAACTGTGTTTATCAACAAGAAAGCGCATGCTCCGAAACAACTTCCAGGAAGCGGCGGGGAATCACTTGCGAGCAAAGTCGCTTTCCGTCTCGATCCAAGTGCCAAAGGTCTTTATCTCCGGGAAATCCTGTTTCAAGGCCTTCAAGTCCGCATCGAAACCAACATCGTTGAACCATTTGAACATATATCCCAACTCCTTGATCATGGCCATCATTGGGTAAACGATGAGACTATAGGCAGAGGGAACGTCCCGACCCGTCTTCTCCTTGAAGACCTGTTGGAATTCATCAAGCGTCAACTCGTCGCCGGCCAGTGATACCGCACGGCCCGCGTATCTCTCAGGGTGAAGGAAAGCCTCACCACCAGCGATTCCCACGTCGGTTACGGAGATAAACTGAATGGGTTTCGTCGGGACAGCTAGCTTCCAAGCTGTGATAAACGATCTTCCGAGGAAGTTATCGGTCAAGTTGTCCATAAAGGCGGTGGGTCGCAGGATGGTCCACTTCATATCGGTATTGGCGGTACGTGCAATAAGATGCTTCTCAATCTCATGCTTGGCTATGAAATGGGGAACTGGGGTCGGATTGTTTTCAGAGTCTTTGCCATGTCGATCAACTGAGGTGTAGACAAAGAACTTGACTCCGGCATCCAAGGCGGCGTCGACAAGACCTTTGCCTTGTCCAACCTCTCCACCACCTCCTTGATCGAAGCCTATGGGTGCCTATAGAGAACAAGTCAGTGGCTGCACGCTTTCGGAGGACGGAACATTATTACCTGGACACTGAACACTCCCCAGATAGGCTTGTCTGTAACACTCTTGGCCATTTTGAAGAGTCCAGCAGGATCAGCGAAATTGCCCTGAACAAGCTTGATGTTTGGTGATTTGGCGAGGAGCCTTTGAGCTGAAGGAGACTTGGCGTTTCTGGTGACGGCGAGAATCTCGAAGTCGGCTTTTTGCTTGACGAGTCTGTTGAGAACAGCACCGCCTTGCTTTCCGGTTGCACCAGAGATCAGCACTGCTCGAGACATTTTCGAATTTATTGGTGTTATTAAGGGTATTAAATCTGGTGATGAGATTTATTGTATAATTATGGAACTGAACTGAATTGTGAGGGTAGTGAAAACCATTATTGGTGTTCTACCAAGCTTCTTATATACAATCCTACCCCATACATTTACGTGAAGTGATCTGCGATCTTATCGCGATGCAATGTCGCATTGTACATTCGTTACAAATCATGGTGTATACGATGGCCGAATAGACCGAAGTCATGATGGATGGGACGCCGAGTGCACTAAGAGACGGCTTTGTAGACGGCCGAAAGTGGATCCCGGATTAATTTCGTGCTCCGAATTGTGCGAAGACCGCACCGATCGGAATAATCATCCAGACCCCGAAATATCAAGCCGGCCCGGAACATGAGAGACTGTGGATCTGAATGAGAGTGATGCCACCGATTAGAAACTGGTCTGAATGGTCATGATACAGGTGGTTCATTGCAGCTCTAGTAATCACATTCTTTTGGTACGCAGGTACTCGAATGGAGATGTGAATATCTTGAAGAGTTTTCATTCTCGTGTCATGGTCGTTCTATTTCACCTCAAATCGGCTTTATTATAGGACTACAACATTGTGAGCTCTACCCACGATCATATTCATGATCTGATAGATACTGGAGGATAGATAAAAATACATCTAATTGCAACTAGATCGGGCTACTTTCTGTTCTAGGCCTGGCTACGAGATATGGCAGATAAGAAATTCGAGATTCTATGATGGAATTTTTATCAAATCTATGATAGAACTGGTTAGGTAAAGTAATTGGGGAGACATTAAATATATATCTAGCAATTGATGTTGGCGCTTCGTTTCATGTGCTGTCAATCTTTCTTAGTTGTACTGTGTCTATACTGTGCTGCACTGGGCTCTGCAGTCCAAGGTCGGGAATTTGTGGATGCAAGTTGAAGCTTCACCCGAAACCAACTCTCGCGTCTTGTTGAACCATTGGGAGCTGGCCCGGCCCAGCATTACTTCCCAGCCATGTCTGCCGCTCTCTTCAGATCACGAGCTGCCGTCTCAGGCACCCGAATTGCCTCATCCGCCCGCCCTGCTCTCCCCAAGTCAAACGTCGTTCAGCGCCGCAACGCTTCGTCTTCTTCTTCCGCCGGTGACGGAGCTGGTCTCAGACTCGCTCTTTACGGCAGTGTAGCTGCTGCTGCTCTTTACGGCTCTTACCTCTACGCTACCGATACTCGAGCTTTCTTCCACCGATGGGTCGTTCCCCCGCTGCTGCGCTGGGCATACCCCGATGCTGAGGATGCCCACCATGCTGGTACCACAGCGCTGAAGGTGCTCCATGAACTCAACCTCAACCCCCGCGAGCGCGATACTACTCTCAACTCCCCCGACCTGGCCGTCAACGTCTTTGGAACCGAAGTGCAGAACCCAATCGCTATCTCCGCTGGTCTTGACAAGGACGGTGAGATCGCAGATGCGCTGTTTGATCTTGGAGCTGGTATTGTCGAGATTGGTGGCTGCACACCCCTCCCTCAGGAGGGCAACCCTAAGCCTCGAGTGTTCCGTGTCCGTAGCCTCGATGGCATGGTCAACCGATACGGTTTGAACTCCCGCGGAGCTGACGATATGGCCATTCGATTGAGGGACCGACTTCGACGATATGCCCGATCTCTTGGACTTACTGAGAAGGATGTTCTGAACGGAAACGCCAAGGTTCCTCCTGGAAGTCTGCGAGAGGGCCGACTTCTGGCTGTTCAGATCGCCAAGAACAAGGAGACAGACGAGCGGGATGAGAAGGCCATTGCTGAAGACTACGTCTATTGTGTGCGAAGACTCGCTCGCTACGCCGACGTCCTGGTCGTCAATGTCAGCAGCCCTAACACTCCTGGTCTTCGTGATCTCCAAGCCACTGAGCCCCTGACACGGCTCCTGAGCGCCGTTGTTGAGGAGGCTGCTAAGACCGACCGACAGCAAAGGCCTAAGGTCATGGTCAAGGTTTCTCCCGATGAGGATGAGGACACACAGATGGAGGGTATTGTCGAGGCTGTTCACCGAAGTGGAGTCGATGGAGTTATTGTTGGAAACACCACCAAGCGACGAGACGGCGTCATCCCCCCTGGTATTAAGCTTACCACTCAGGAGCGACAAAACCTCATGGAGACGGGTGGTTACTCGGGCCCTGCCATGTACAGCCGCACACTCGACCTCGTTGGCCGTTACCGCAAGATGCTAGACAAGCACTCTTTCAAGGCCAGCCTCGGCGCCAAGGGTGGTGCTCAAAAGGTCATCTTCGCCACAGGAGGTATCACCAACGGCGAACAAGCACGACAGATCCTTAACGCTGGTGCAAGCGTAGCGATGGTCTACACAGGAATGACATATGGTGGTGCCGGTACCGTCACTAGGATTAAGCAGGAGCTAAAAGATGGAGTGAAGAGTTAGACATGCTATAGCAAGCAACATTTCACGTTTTATTTGTTTATCACAAAAGGTACAAAATGGGACAATTTCAAGAGAGATAGAGTGATTCTTTTTCGACCTTTTTTGTGCTTTTATTGATTTTTACTACTAAACCAGAGCTAACAAATGTGCTTCATTCCTAATCGGAAACCAAGCTTACTCCGGAAACTTACGTCAAGTCAAGTCCGGCTTGTTTTGAGACATATCAACCTGAGAACAAGTCAGCTTTCCAATCTTTTCACTCAAAAACCGACCACAGGCGTTCAACGCAAGGCCGTCCATTTACGTCGTCTTCTGAAGATGTTTCTCAAGTGCATTGATGCACTGCTTAAGGTTGGCTCGGATGACAGTCCGCTCAACCTGAGTAGGCTTGAGCCACTCCACAGCAATGGCCTTGTCGACTGGTTTGACATCGGCATTCTTCTCGACCGCATGCCTGGTCTCTTTTATGTCGAAGGCGGCTTCCACTTGCTGATCTATAACCATCAGCCTGCCGAGAGTCGAATTGAAAAGAGCTCGTGTAGTATCGACTCTACGGGCGGTGTGGTAGGTCTCTTGGTAAACTTCCATAAGCTCACTGTGGAGGGAGGCGTTCTTCAGGCGCAGTCGGCCATTCTCAATCTCCAGATCTCTCAGAACTTTAGCCCTGGCAGCAGCAGCATCCTCCTCCCTCTGGGCATCCACCTTGGGGTCCTCCTTCTTGGGGAAAGAAGAGAAAATATTGAGAGAAGGCATGGTGGCAGGAAGTTGAGTGAAAGGGTATAGGTTTCGGTCGTTCTTGTTGCTTGCTGTATATCTCAAATCTGAGGGGCTGTAGTAGTGCAAGAACTTGGGTTTGTCTGAAGAAAAGCTGAGAAGAAATCGAAGCTTAAGATGTCAGGAAAGACCAGAGATACTTATATCCTTGGAAGATATGCGAACATTCATGTTCATTACAGCACTGAGATGTTCTATGTATGCAAGAGATATTCCACTAGATAACAACAGAAAAATAATAGGCATTGTACGAAGGTTGAATAAGAAGAAGTAGTGTTGAACAGCCGATTTGGGAACTTGCATCGCTTGGACAATGGTTGTTATCGTACGAATAGCCCTTTGTTCCAACCGAATGGCCAAGGTTTTGTAAGTTTCATCAACAACATAATTGTAGCTATACACGTTGGATGAACACTGTGATCTACCCTCTTATGGCCAACATTCACTTTGATAATGACGGGGCCGAGAAGTACGAGAGTGTATAAGATTGCCAATAGTATTTTATAAGTCTAACCAAGTCATAAGACTTATTATGTAACTATCTACAGAGACTTCCCGCAAAGAAAAGCACTTAAGTGAAATTAAAAGAAGTGGCCCGATGGTAGGTAAGCGCAAAGGATGGCGACTTTGAGCTGACAGTACCCCCACAACCATTCATTCTGATCTCAGTAATGCGGCGAGTTGATAGCGATGTTGGTCGTGTTCTCGTCGAAAGCAAGTCTGTTCTGCCTCATTATCAGTCCATGTTCAACAATAGTATTGTGGCCATTGTCTCACATTCTAGTGACGCCTAAGTAAGATCATCAACATTATCAGGGGTCTCGGCAGAAGGCCGGACCATATCTCGAATCTCTTTGTAAGTGTTGAAGGTGCGCATGTGCCAACAGGCTTCGAGACTGATGTACTTTATGAGGTTGTCCACGTTGGCACACTTTTGAGTCTGTGACTGGGGTACATGCTCTCGGACTTCGGTGAGCTTGTTGAGAGTCACCATGAGTTCCTCAATGTGCAGCTGGATTGTTTCCAGAAAGCTTTCGAGAAGTGGAATGTGGTGAGAGTCGATGGTGATGGTTTTTGGCATTCTGGCTTGATAAGGTGGTCTTGACTCGAGAGATATTAGGATGGACTAGATGCCTTGACACAGGAGACGGTAGTATCTGGAAGAGAGAATAAATAGAGAGGTAATATGACGACGGGTTCTATATAAATGTCTATGATAGTGCAATGCAACTTCATTCACATTCTTGACCTTGTTACACTGAATGTTTAGATGATAGCATAAAGATGCCTATGCGCACGGGTAGCTACAGTCTCTATAAGACAATCAATCATCTGCTTGGACCGGAAGATAGACATATAACCGTGTCAAGTATACTGTAGAAATCTTTAGTTGGATCACCAAAAGCAGTAGCTACCTTAGGACCTAAGGTGGTTTATCTT